GGGGGGGGGGGGGGGGGGAGAGGCTTGGAACATAAAATAAAACGGAAGTTGGCTAGTTCTCTATGGTGAGGATGTGGAGGGAATGGGAAGGAATGGGGTGTTAGGAAATCTTTTATAGAAGAGGTCTAATAGCATGAAGTAGTCTGATATAGTAAATGTTAACCAGCGAAATACTCTTTGGACAACTAGTCGTGCAAGATAATACAGAGGGAAGGGTGGCTGGAGCAAGAACTGTCTCTCTTCCGCCAAATGGACTCCCTATAGTGGACAACCAGTAGTCGTCTACGGCCCTTGTCTTCGTACCTGTGGATGCACGAGGGTAATATCTCTTCAATCGCCTCAATTATGAAAAAGGCCTTCTATTATATTTAGCTAATAATGCTCGGCTCGAAGGTCGCCATTGCCATGAATATAACTTTTCATTGTAAAAAATATGGATCTAGGTCCCAAGTCTCTTAACTGCAAGATTTCATGATAGGTCTTAGACGGACTTCAAGATAGAAAAACGAGTCTAGGTTACCAATTAACTTACATCTGACAAACTGGGTATAAAAACGCTATTTTTGCGATTGATGACTTCAGGTGACAATGTACTACATGACAGAAGCTTCGGTGACCTTGGGATATATTACCACTCCCCAATAGAAATTGATGAGACCAAGATGAGACCAATCAAACCATTCGCAGTTTCTCTCTGGCTTATCGGTATCTGGTTGAAGGCTTGCTATGTTGCCACTGATTTTAAAAACCCAAAGAATAATAGCTCTTCCGGCGTTGAAACCGAATGACAGGAGGTTGAACGTGGAGGGATAATCACATCACAGAGCTTACCGCTGGTACTTGGGACTTGTCCATTATATCCCTAGTATCCTCCCGGAAGCTATGTCTGCCGATTGTAATTCAATTGACAGTGGTAGGGAATTATCTGTAGCTTATTAATCGGTCTCCCATACACTCCACCAGACGCCTATGTTGGCAGCGATGACAAGGTCCAGCATTTTGAACCCCTCATCGTATATTATAAGTTTTCCAAGTTTGGCACGTTTGCCCCTATGCCCACCTCCAGCTCTCTCTTGACCAATGCTGAGATCGAGACGGGCCTCTTCTTCGCTTGGTGCCCATGGTGATGAATACCGCCTTCCTGAATTTGGTAGGACTCCTCTCTCAGAAGTAGGTTCGGTCGTATAAATATATCTATCCGGCCTAGGCGGAAGTGGAGGTGGATCATCCTCCTCGCTCGAAGATCTAGCTGCGTAGGAAGTCGGACGTGGACGAGGAGGAAGTGGTGGTGGTGGACGTGTTATCTTGTCAGGAGACAGCTTGTTGCGAATATGACCAAATCTTGGAATACTAAAATGTCCAGATTCATTTGTTCGACTCTTAACAGGATTCGAGAAAGGTAAATTGAAGCGAAGTTCGCTCACAGGTACTGGGGGTTGTGCAAATTCACTTGTGCTGCTTGCTGAGATTGGACCTGGTAGTGTGTGTTGCAAGTGTAAACTTCTCCCGGTAGTACCTGTAGAGAACTTGCACCGACCTCCCCAGGGACTTGTAAAAACATAACCTTTGACCCCTGAATCACTAGGGCCTTCGCTACTCTGAACAGAGGGAAGATTGCGCTGTGAATCAAAATCATGATGACCGCTTCCATATGTACGGCGTGTACCTGGAAGATCTGACAGCGCTCTCTTGTGTTTGGTACGGTCCCAGAAGCTCAAACCTTCCATGCGAAGGTCGCGTTCGAACCCCAGAGTCGAAACCGATGGGAAGTTCGATTGCTCAGCATTGTTATTTACGACAGGCAGCGGATTGGATACAGACGCTATTCCAGCGCCACTGTTACTTCTTTCAGAGCGTGTGTTGTATTGGAAGTTTTTAAACTGGCCATAGCCCGGTGTTGTGATGCGAACTAACATGTCAAAAGCTGGTTTCTTGGAGTGCGAAGGGCCAGGTTCTGGATTTTGCGGTTCCCCTTCGACCGTACCAACATTCCACTGAGCTCCAGATGAGGGGTCTCGTCGAATGATAGTAATCAAGAAAGCTTTTGTAGATCTCTTGGTAGTCTCGATATTGTCACGTTTAGAAACGCTGTGTTTAGGGCTTCCCACGCCGATAGTCGAGACGGCGCTTTCGGGGGGACGGGAACTCAATGACCCAGGAAGGGGACCTCGACTATTAGAGTCTGATAGAAGGGGACGTGGACCCATCAGCCTCTGTTGGACGTTTCCTTGGGGCCTAGGTGGGGCTTGAACAGGTGCAAATGAGTTATTTCCAGACCCCGTTTGGCCTTGTCGATTGATATCAAGAGACACTCTGGCCGTCTCCGGTAAAGGCTTCCGTTGTACGGGCTTCTGTGAACCTTCATCTGGCTCAGTCTCCTCGGCTATGGCGCCCTGATTGTCGGCTAGGAGTTGGGCATCCTCTTCGGTATTCAGATGAAGATAATACAGAGAACTAGCCACATGTTCAAAGGTGACATTCTCTCTCTGCGGCTTGAGAGTCGTGAGGATGAGATCTGTCTCGACTACATTAGCAAGGCTACCGCAACAATGTGAACACGTGACTCACCCTTGCTCCCAGGGACGCGGGCGATGTAAAGCGTCAAAGGCTGTCTCTTCTGTTCGGTTGGGTTCCTAGGATATTTTGGTGGATTTGAAGCGAGTTGAGTGATATCAGAGAGCGAATATGCTTCAACATAGGAAGCCATTATGGATTATCAGCCAAGATGAAGACTGTGAGGAGCAAAGCGTCCTGCTTGTTGAGAGCTGAGAGATTGAGGTAAATATTAAGGGTACTATGAGCAGGATACAATCAAAAAGAAAGACGGCCCAAGATCCTCAAGTCTTGAGCTTGGGCTTTTCGAAGGAGCCCTTCAGGCATCTGCTAGGAATGACGATGTAGTGTTGGCAGACAAGGTAAAGGAGAGTCGAGAGGTGGAAACGGTAAACGACGGCATGAATATCTTCAAGGATCTGGTGGCCTTTGCGTAAGCGCTAAAAAATAAACACATCCAGAGCATGAGTATGAATTAAACTTAAACATACATACATACTGCATCGCCAACTTCAACAAAAAAACAGAGCCTCTCAGGAGATGTGCGTAGACTTGTGAGGCTGAGACTCGCAGCAGCGAATTGCTTGAGTGTGTGCAGAGAGCAATATCTGGGGTGTCGCTATCTCCGCATCAAACTAAGCGAAGGAAAAAAAGTTCGCCCACTCAGGCTTCGAATCGAGTTATCTCAGACCGCCAGAGATCTCGAAGATACCCTACAATATTTCTCTGGCGCTGCTGTTCCTATTCACTTGACAGCGGCCGTCAACAATAGAGGGAGGCGGGGCATCACACATTTCGCATATTCAATTTCGCCTCCTGCAAAAATGGCAGACACTTCGCTCCAGGTAATTTCCTTCCCCCGCACTCTTCAATCTCTCGATCTAACAAAAAGTCCACAGGAGCGATTGCGCGAACACGCAGAGGCATTTGATGGACTGCTTTCTTTAATACCTGCAAAACACTACTACGGCAAAGACAACAGTGTATGCACGCAATTCGCTCCTTGTCCAGAGGACCTGCAATTGATTTTCTTGTTTACAGGACCAATACAAGAAGAAGAAGCAAACCAAAGAGCAAGCCGCCGCAGCAAAACGAGCAAAGCTTGACCCAGACTCTGCCCAGAGTGCGAAAGACGTTATGGACGAGCTTGCGAGAAAAAGGAAGCTGGAGGAGTACGATGATGATGATGAATCGGATATCGAAGGTGTCGAGAAGGAGCTGCCAAAACAAGGATTGAAGCTGGCACAAGACAAGAAAGCAAAAAAGCAAAAGACGTCGAACACGGATACCCCGCAATCGACAGCAGAAAAGCAAAATTCTGATCCCTCAAAGGAGGCGATGATTAGCGAAAAGAAGCGCCTAAAGCAGGAAAAGAAGAAGGAGAAGCTGTTAGAGAAGAAGGCCAAGAAAGCGAAACTTGCAGAGCAGGTGGTTAAACTGCCTGCAGAAGACGACGCTGATAAAGAGCCAGCAGACGGCGAGGCCGCTGAGAATGCAGAATCGGCCGACGAAGAGCTTCCTGGAGATGAAATTGAGCACTTTGAAGCTGAGGGTCTTGAAGAAGACCAGCCCGATGCACGAAAGTCTTCTGCCTCAAATAGTCCTGCACCTCCTTCCCCAACCTTCGACAATCCCTCTGAGCCAAGTGCCAACACCTCCATATCCTCCTCCATACCTCCAGCCACCGCACCCAAACACATCAAAATACCTACCGACCCAGAGCTGCTGAGAGCAAGACTGGCAGCACGAATAGAAGCTCTACGAGTTGCTCGCAAGGCCGACGGACCCGATGGCAAACCGGCACGAAATCGACAGGAACTCATGGAGCAACGAAGGAAGAAGGAACTGCAACGACGAGCACATAAAAAGGAGCTTCGAGAGAAGGCCAAGAGGGAGGAAGATGCTCGCCGAGAAGCCGCCCTCGCATCCGCACGAGATTCCCCCGCATCCAGCATGCTGAGCCCGCTGATCCGCTCCCCCGACAACAACTTCTCCTTTGGCCGGGTAGCCTTCGCGGATGGACAGACACTCGCAGACGATCTATCCTCATTACGAGATGCACCTAAGAAGAGAGGACCGCAAGACCCAGCGACGGCGCTGCAAGCTAGCGAGAAGAAACGTCAACGACTAGCCGGGCTCGACGATGAGAAGCGGGCGGATATCGAGGAGAAAGAGTTATGGCTCAACGCGAAGAAGCGGGCGCACGGCGAGAAAGTGCGAGACGATGCGTCGCTGTTGAAGAAGACACTGAAGCGCAAAGAGAAAGCGAAGAAGAAGAGTGAGAAGGAATGGACGGAGCGGAAAGAGGGCGTAGCCAAGAGCCAAGCCATGAGGCAGAAGAAGCGCGAGGAGAACCTGAAGAAGAGGAGAGACGAGAAGGGCGTCAAGGGTAAGGCGAAGGGCAAGCCGGCCGGTGGAAGCAAGGGCAAGAAACCAAAGAGTAGACCAGGATTCGAGGGTAGCTTTGGCTCGGGCAAGCGTGGATAAAAAAAAGGGAAAAAAAGGGAAAAGCAAGCAAGCACAACACACACTCTCTCTCCATCTTTCTTTCTTGTTTACCTAGGTACCTAAGGATGAGTGCCTCGCTGTATAAAATAGCTAGCTAGCACGGGTATGAAACGGAGTCTGGTCTTGAACACTACTATCATGACGAAATTGCATCTAAGCCATGCCATCCCATCAATCAAAGGTGATTTCCAGGAAAACCGTCCAAAGCAAATAAGTAAGAGAGAGAGAGTAGTCATGTTCATGTCAAATCAATCAATCCATCCCAAACTCTCAATCCCGACTTCCACACATACACACAACTACACATACAACATACGGATCCCCGCGCAGATAGCAGCAGCAGTAGCACATGCAAGCAAGCAAGTAAGACCCATCCGCACAAGACAAGATTTAGAATGAAGAATTCTTTTTTCAAACCCGCCCTGCTCAGCTCAGCTCAAGTTTCAAAAAAAAAAAAAAAAAAAGATAAATATTGTACACAAAAAACGGCGAAGCAAAAAAAAGGGGGGAGAAAAAGAACACCCCTAAGAAAGTCCCAGTCGTAAAACAGCCGCGAAATTCCAGCCCACGCCTTAGGTAAGAAAAGGGGATGTTAGAAAATCACACTCTCTCTCTTTGAAATTTTTAGTCTCTGGTATTTTTGGGGGACGAAACAAAACCGCGCTGTTTTATTACGACAATATAGAAGTTTGACCTTTCTTCGCTCTTCCTGATCCCTCGTCTTCTCTCTCTCTCTCTTCTCTCGACTTTCGTGTTTCGGGGGAGTGGCTTATTTCATGTCTGTCTATAGCAAGGAGTCTAGTCGGGTAAAGACGCTGAGACATGCTGCTACCACCTGAGATATTGGTTAGAAGGGGGAAGGGTTCTGATTGATTATTAGGTGGGCGTGAGAAAAGACTTACCTCGAGTTGTAACTCCTTATCCTTAGCGTTATTAACCTCGTCGGAAATGACTTGTGCCAAGTTCGCACCCACGCCTGCTGAACCCCCAGCCCTCTTTGCGAAGGGCCATTGGCTGTATTCCGCCAGTAATTCATCCACCTGGGCGAAGGCACGCTCTCTAGCCTCGTGTCCCAGGGTAGCAAGAGCATTTTCAAGCACGTTGGCTGCGTATGCAGCGGACACCATTGCAACGGTGCGGAGATATCTGAATTCGAGGTTTTCGGGGAGGAATTGACTCGCGGGTAAGACGACGGTCCGTTGTGTTAGAACGTTTCGAACTCTTCGGCGGATCTCTTCCTTCGCGCCTCCATCTGCCACGGGATGAGTGGCCATATCGAACAGCAAGAAGTTCTTCTTCTCGGTCCGGAGAATCCCTTTATCAACCAAGCCCTTAGCTAACCGTTCTCGCACCTGTTTCAATTGGTATCCGATCTTCATGAGATTCCACGTCTCGCCTGTTCCAAGTAATTCAGTATTTGTGATCGTTACCACCAGGTTCTAGAAAAAAAGGGGCTCCATACCACTCATCAAGTCAATCCATGAACTGACGCTCATCTTCTCACTCGCCTTCATCATCTTCAGTGCCTCGTCAAGAAGGACCTCGCCCGTCAGTGTGTCGTCGATAACCTCGATTACTCGATCGGCCAGGGGGAATCGCCGTCTCGAAGCATCTTTTTGCATGCTCACGCGCCCCCGGAAAGCAAGCTCGATGACGATGCATCCGCGCAGCGCATACGAGATATTATCGTTCCAGAACGAAAGATATCCCTATCTAACATCAGAATAGCGAAAGCAACACCCCCCGAGACAGGCCAATGGGCATATATGGCATGGCAAATCCCGGCCGACGGAACAACAACGTACCTGCTTATCTTTTAAACCTAGTAGTAACACCTCCTCCATGAGCGTCAGCTTGGGCTGCTTGCTCCGCTCAGCACTCTCGCTGATATCCCGCGGGTCGAATGCAATCCTGTGGCCGTTCTCGCCGCTCTCGTACGAGGTCTCTGGCCCGCTGGTGTCGCGAGACCCTCCAGCCTTATTCACGGGAGAGGCCACGCGGCTCGAATCGCTGTTCTCATTATCTCCTGCGGCTCCTGCTCCGCCGCCGCCGCCTCTCCTGCGAGTCAATCCCGACGCCGACGACATTGCGCGGAATGCTGGTGGTGTGTGGTGATGTTGTAAAGTTGGGGCCCAGGGGGGGTGAGGGAGGGAGTCGACCTCAGCGGCGGGTGGGTTGGGTCGGTCTCCGTACTGCCATGCGCAGACACGTGAGGCGGCGGAATTCGTCGTTCAAATCCACAGATCCTGTAGCTCAATCGTGAGATCCGGCGGCTCTTGCAGCGCAATATCTGTCCTTCGTGTTGGTCGTTTTGTTGTGGGAGGATGATCTGTGGGGCAGTGCGCTGAAATCGAAGGGTTCAATAATGAATATCAAGGTGAAGCGGACAGGGATAAGCTAGTGCGCTTCCTGGGCGAGGCTAAAGTTTTGACACGGGGATGGAGGAGTGCTTTTGGGAAAGCCTTCACAATGCCATATTCAAAAGGACACCAAGATGCAGAGCAAGATGGTCTAATAATTGTTTACAAGCGCATAGATTCAATATCCCTCTATGGGCATGTCGAGTCTTACAGAACCCCCCGCGGACCGTCGTTCAATGGCCATGCCTCTCCCCCGTCCCCTACCCTCATCTCAAACAACTCCCCTAATATACAATAGAAACGCTCAGTGAGCTTGTGTCGCGTTAGCTTAGATTGCCACACTCGAAAAGGGTGCGCAGAACTTACCATCTGGCTGTGCAAGGATATATTCAACGGCCTTGTCAACTATCGAGGGAATTAGAATCTTCATCCCTCACTCATCCGTTCAATCTGCACCTACCGCTGTGGATGGCATCCGCCTCCTTATCTGGGATCTCAATGCTGAATTCCTGTAGCCTCATCAGAATCTAGCCAAGGCCAATGCCGGGATCCAGACTGACCTCCTCGATAGCCATCACAACCTCAACGGTGTCCAAGCTGTCCAAACCAAGATCGTTCGCGAAGTGAGAGGTGGGCGAGAGCTATTATACCGTTGTTAGTACTGGGAATAAAAGCACAAACGCTGGATCCGGTTCGCACCTTCGACGGGTCGGTAACCTATCAGAAAAGTTAGTTGGAGAGCCCTCAGGGGGATGCAAGAGCGGGACGCGCCTTATCAAAGTTCTTCAACAGGTCGACTATCCGGCCCTCGACCTCAGATTTTTGCAGGCCCGAGGCAGCAGAGTAACATCTCGCGGCTTGGAAAGCAGACGGGGCGAACTGGGACTTGGTGACGAAAGAGCTGGGAGCGACAGGGCGCGCAATTGCCCCGGTTCTTCGCACGACTTGGCTGGTAGCACTGCGTGCTGATCTGAGAAGGGCAGTTCGGAACATCTTGAGTGTTGTAGGAGATCGGAGAGGACGGTTGATATGGAGGGAAAAGCCGGAGTTGATGGATGAATGTCAAGAAGCTCTCTTTCGGTTCGGATCCTTAGTTTATTTTCCCGTCACGTGCTAGACGTGGCCAGGTCACAGGCGGGAAGACAGAAGTCCTGCGAACAGCAATTGAGGATTTAAAAAAACAAAAACTACAGATACTCTGGATCCTTCCGAAGGCCTCTGATCCAATTGTATTTTTCCCCTTTCGAAAATCTCCAGACGTGGTGGGATTTTGAAGCTTTACGGATCCGGCCAATCGCAGCGCACGGATTAATATCGAGCACAGCAATTCCATGCCTTTGCCCGGCGACTTCGATACATATATCCAACCACTCTTCCCACCTTGCCACGAGCAACCACAGAAATGGCATCCGCAAAGCCTCTCAGCATGCTCGTGGTCCGGAGCCGTCCGGCCGCGACGCTGTCTACGACCCTCCGGCCACTGGGCCCCTCGCCCGTCCGCCTCTTCTCGACGACGGGACTTCGATCCGCCACGCCCTCAGGACCACCTCCCCCAGGCTTCCGGCTGCCCAAGGCGGAGCGCTGGGACTCGACCCGCGAGAGCACCATGGACCGCGTGGGCAAATACTTCCTCCTGACCGAGATGGCGCGGGGCATGTACGTCGTGCTTGAGCAATTCTTCAGACCACCGTACGTTGTGCCAATTGAGCTCTCCCTCCCCCGCCTCTCCCGGGAATTGGGTTACTGACCTGAGATATAGATACACTATCTACTATCCATTCGAGAAGGTTCGCATGCTACATGTTCCTCCAGCGATGTGGTGGTGCTGCTGGTGCTGGTTGCTAACCTCTTCTCCCTACAACAGGGTCCCATCTCTCCTCGGTTCCGCGGTGAACACGCCCTCCGTCGATACCCCACGGGCGAAGAGCGCTGCATTGCCTGCAAGCTCTGCGAAGCCGTACGTCCCTCTCCCTCCCCTCCCCGTCCCATCCGCAAAAGACCCCATACCACCAATATACCATATCCCCTACCTTCCCAACGAACACACCGAACTAACATTCCCCCCCCCCTCTTCTTACAGATCTGCCCCGCGCAAGCAATCACCATCGAAGCCGAAGAGCGCCAGGACGGCAGCCGCCGCACCACACGCTACGACATCGACATGACGAAATGCATCTACTGCGGTTTCTGCCAGGAGAGCTGTCCCGTCGACGCCATCGTCGAGACGCCCAACGCCGAGTACGCCACCGAGACCCGCGAGGAGCTGCTCTACAACAAGGAGAAATTACTCGCCAATGGTGATAAGTGGGAGCCTGAATTGGCGGCCGCCGCTAGGGCCGACGCTCCTTATAGATAGATAGATTAGATAGATTGATACCTACCTACCTACCTGAAGATAGATAGATGGGTTGATTTTGACCTTGGCGGTTTTTTTGGTTCTCTTTTGTGGAAAAGGGGCGTATGCATCATCATTTTTTTTATGTTGTATGTTTTAAATAAAAAACATCAAAGAAAGTATTGTTGTATAGCCTTAACGAAGAATACTTGTTTTGGCTACACACACACTTTTATATCCCTCCCTCACTTTGAAGCAAAGAGTCATAAAACTGAACCCTAGATCATATGTTCGTGAATGTAAACCTTTTCCGTCCGCTAAGGGGAAGTTATATATTATCAAAGCTTACCTAGGGATCAGGAGAAAGCTGAGGTTAGGTTTTAGGAGGAGAAGGGGCTATCTAAAATGTTAGTTTACCTGAGGTATGTTAGGGGAAGGAAGGAGGATGAGGTCTTTATAAAGATAGAAGGCAGGCAGGCATAGATAATCTATTTTCATTTTCATATCTCGTATTACTATATTATGATACATTCCACACTCAAGAAGCCTTCCACCGTTTCCCGCCGCCTTTCTGCCACAGCCAGACGGCTTCCACCGCATAGACCTTACTCCCCTGATGCCCGCCCTCCGCACTCGCCGCCTCCTCCAGCGTCTCGATGACCTTGCCCTCTTCGACGCAGCGCCACAGGCCTTTCGAGATCTCGCTCTCTTCCCCGCCCCACTCGCCGCGGCCTAATCGATAGAGGAGGCGTCCCAGCGTCTGGAAGGCGAGGCAGCGCTGCGCCGGGAAGGCTGAGCGGGCGAGCCGCGCCAGTTCGGGCACCGTGTAGCCGGCGGCCTCGGGCGCCTCACCGTGGTGATGCAGGCCTTTGGTGGAGGGGATGGCGCGCGCGATGCGCGGCGGCAGTAAACCGCCGCGGAAGTCGAAGCGGAGGGCGGAGGCGGGGAGGGATTCTTGGTTCGGGTAGTAGGGGGATTCTTGGTCGGCGGGAGAGCCGTGGGTCGGGATGGGGGCCATCCAGGCCAGCTTGGAGGGGTCGGCGGGGAGGGAGGGAAAGTATTTGGTGTGCAGCTTTTCGAGGAAGGAGGGGTCGGATGGGTCGAGTTCGGGGGCGGATGGTGCGGCTGGGAAATGCACGGAGGGTTGGGTGACTTCGGCGAGGGGATCGGGGGTAGCAGAGGCAGGTTTGAGATCTATAGGCTGGGCGGGCTCTTTGTCGTCGTCTTCAAATCGTACTCCTTTTATCGCGGCGACTGGTTTTCCAGCCGGCTTTGGTACAGGGATAGCCTCTTCATCCTCCTTTTCTGTCGTGGATTTGGTATTCTTGGCGCCTTCAGACGTTGACGAGGGCAGCTCCTTCTCCTGCACAACTGTGGATGTTGTATCATTGATACCTTTGTCAGATATCGACGAGGGCGGATCGATGCCCGTATCGCCTCGACCTTCGTCCAGATTGGCCCGCTTCAGAAGCCTTTCAATCAACGAGGGGTCCAATGAAGCTAGCAACTCCTGTCTTTCAGCATCTATCTCTTCAGCTGACATGGATGCCAGCCTCTGGTTGTTCTCCTCATCGATGCGCTGGCGCTCTTCATCTTCGATCGACTGTGTCGGTTTGTGGGCGTTTTGGGCGTTCACCGGTTGCGGTTCCAACGGGGACGGCTTCCGAGGAGCTGTAGTCGCGGAAGCGGGCGACGCAGACCCATTCCTCTGCTTCTTGAAGGCTGATACCCGCGTGCGTTTCTTGTGTTCAGGAAAACCGGTAGCTGAGCTCTTCAGTTGTGGCGCGGTCGGCGGGGTGGTGGAGCGTTCTTTGATGTCGCCGATAAAGGCAGACGAGAGAGAAGGGACGGCGCCGGATGGGAGAGTGGAGTGCAGGCCCGTCTCGTCCTCGTCATCAGACAGATCGAGGGTAAATCGTTGGCCTCGCAAATCCATGGTGGGCTGGTAGACGTGGGGAGCCAAGGTTGGAGTTACTTGGAGGTGCTGAACGTGGAAAATAAAAACGAGGGATCGGTGTTCGGCAGCAGATGCCCAGTGCAGACCGAGGATTCCCAGATCGGATTTAAGGTTTGGCACTAGGACTGATGGAGAATAGTAGGCGGCTGACGAGGCTGGTGATGGGGTGGCGGTGCGTCACGTCTCACATCAAGTTCCATGCGATGCGACCAGCAGCGCGGCATATGGGACTTGGGGTGTGGTTTGTCTCTGGTGCGCCATCTGCAGAAACAAAATGCTGCTCTTTTACCACTGATCGCAGGATGAGGACCGGCAGAAGGAGAGAGAAAGCGGCATCACGGCGAAAAGCACACGGGGCGGTCCTGGCGAGGCTGGGCGAGCAGGAGCCAAGGGCAGCACAAGAGGGAGAGCTTAGGAATCATTGGCTACAGGGCGGTAGTGGGCATCAGATATAGGAGATGCACTCACAGGTACAGTACAGTACAGGAGAGATGCATGACATGGATGGGGCCAGTGGTAATGGACGGGCATCCCTGGCATAAGCAGTGGGTAGGAGTTGAGACTTGTCGTTGGATAATAACTGATACCTACCTTACCTAGGTGATGGATGGGCTCGTGGAAGGTCTAACTCTGGCACAGGTGACTACCTTAGGTCCTTAGCTACTGGGAGATGCTCAAACCGGGTTAGCAGGGGGGGGGAAAAGACCGGAGAAGGAGGATTGATAGGGCTATTAATCGCATTACTATTACTATTACTCCTGCTGCTCGCTGCTCTACTTACCTTACCTTACCTTAGCAATAGGTCGACACTACTGGCACTGCTGCTCCTTACTACTGCTCTCTGCTGCTGCTCCCGGGGAAGCTGTTTCTTTTATTATTTGGCGCCCTTTCACTTCATTCACTCGCCCGTTTCCCGTTTCCCGTTCCCGTCTATTTCGCCCATATACATCTGCTCTTCCTCCTCCTCTTCTTCTTCTTTTCCCTCTTTCTCTCTTTCTCTCTCCTCTTTCACCCTCGATCCGTCTCCTCAGAGGAACGCTTCTTTCTCCATCGAATATCGTCTCCGTCTCCATCGGCTCCCCTCTCCAGCCACCGCTGTTCGCTTCCGCCGCTCTTCGTCTCTCTCCACACGTCTCGTCAAGGAAGAGCGCCCGTCTCTCTCGCCCCCCCGTGCAGGGAGCCCCGATATCCAATTTCGCGCGACGTGACTGGTGTTGAGGCTATTCACACCAAACACCGGCCAGCTCATCGCGACAGTCCCCGGTCTCCTGCAGACTCTGACGCCCGACCCGTCGCTTCATTCAGTCTCTTCTGCTGCATCCCCTTCTGCGTCTCCATGAAGCACAATTGATCTTGTGGCATTCTCGTGTGGGCGCGGGAGCTTTTTCCGCTTGATTCGCCAGATTTCGATTTTCAGTCTTCCAGACTCTCACTCCCAGAACTCCCAGACCCCCAGACTCCCCCCCCCAGAACCCTCCCGCTCGCCATGTCGGGCCACCGTGACGACGGAGCTGGCGGTCGGCGCAGTTCTTCATCGGCTGCTCTCTCCTCGCCACCGCATTCGTCGCCTGAACCCGGATCGCCCTCTGCCCAACTGCACGGCAGCATCGTCGTCAAATCCTCCACTGCGGATGCCGATGCCAACCATGAGGCGAGTGCCGCTCCGCAACCACCACCCAGAAAGAAGCCGGTAAGTTCTGTTGTTATTATTGTTTTATTGTTTTATTATTTTATTACTTTCTTGTTTTAACACTTTTAAACTCTCTTATTCATCTCCTTTTCTATTATTTATTTCCAACCATGGCTCTCTCCCCCGACCAGTGGCTAACCTCCCGTCCAGGGTCGCAAACCCAAGAATGCGGTCGCTGACCCCGGCTCAGCAGCCAACACCGACGCCGCCAAACCCAAGAGGCAGCGCAAACCAAAAGACCCAAATGCCCCTCCCGTTCAGCGCAAGAAGAAGAATAAGGAGTCGCTGGAAAACGGCCATGTCGGCACTGCTTTCATTACTGTCCATCCCGAAAATAATTTCAGAGGTTCTCCCCAGGCGAATCATCAGCCCGCCGCCCAGAAGACATTCGCTTCGGAAAATGATGCTATTCAGAACTCCAAGGCCCCATTAGAGACGGTCCATTCTTTCTTCACCGCCCCTCCTCCACCGCCGCCCCCCGCGCAACCCCAGCAGCCCCAGCCTGTGCGTACCAGTGGTCAGAATTATGATCCCATCCGGTCAAATTACGATCCCGTCCGGGAAAATGTCATGTCGCATAATCATTATGCCCCCAGCAACCCCCAAGCCTCTCCGGGCCAGCCTCCCTCCATGAACCGCGCTAGCGCCTCCCCTTCAATCTCGAGTCTGGTCGACCCTCCAAACCAATCTTTGGCCTCGCCGTCCATTGCAACGCAATCCTTCTTTAATCAACAAGCTAAGCAGAATCAGACCCCCCCGGTCCCCCCCTCTCCCACTGCGAATAGACTCGCGCCGGCACCTGCGATCGAGCCGTCAACGAGCCCCAAGCCCCCTGCACCGCCCCCCGCGCCTGCGACCACCGCGCCCAAAAAAGCTGATGCTCCTGCGCCCAATGCTGCAGGTGCATCGTCAACCTCCAAGAAGCCAGCGGCTTCCGGAAGTACGACCGCGTCATCGACGGCGGCATCTCCAAAGCCTCCAAAGCTCAAGGATGCGAAGGACACCTATCCCACACCACCACCTCTTCCCGGCTCGGGCCTCATACAGCTCGGAGGTCCAAACGATGGCACCGAGTTTCGCGCACCGACCGTGATCCTCAACATTCCGATGTTGGGCGAGACCAACAAATACGTCAACTTCACCCGTCTTGCCGAAGAGCAGTATGGCTGGGATGCGCTGCACCCGCGGTTGGCTGCTCAGCGGGATCGCCTGGCGCGCGTTGCCGCGGCCGGTGCGGCTCTAGAACGAAATGGTTCGGCCAGAGAGAGCGGTGACGAGATGTCACTTGATTCGGAAGGCGAGGGGAGCAATGTCGAGATGGGTGGCATGAGTGATGGACGAACGGGGACCGATGGAGGAGCAAAGAAGGTCCCCCGTAAGCGCCGGATGAAGGAGGACGAGTATGACAAGGATGATGGGTTCGTCGATGATTCTGAACTGCTCTGGGAGGAGCAGGCTGCCGCAGTCAATGACGGCTTCTTTGTGTACTCGGGCCCTCTTGTCCAAGAGACCGAAAAACCGGCTTCTGATACAAGGTACGTTCCGGCCCTACTCACGCTGCTTCAAAACATAGAACTCACTTTTCCTTCAGGGCCGATGGTGCACCAAAGCGTGCTCGGGGACGTGGCAGCCGTGGTGGGATCTCTCGTTCCTCAGGTCGAGGTGGCACTGCGGGTGGTACAGGTTCCCGAGGCGGCGGTGCTCTGACCGGGCCTGGCTCCCGCGGTGGATCTACTACACGAAAACCTCGCATTACCAAGGCCGAACGTGCGCGTATGGAGCAGGAGAAACTTGACCGCGAGAAGATGGGGGGAAGTATGGCGTCAATGCCTAATAACTACTCCGCCATGCCTCATGTCGTAAGTACCGCGAATCTGGGGACCACACCAATGGTGTTTGACCAGTAAGAGCTTCTTGGGGTGGAGAAGGGGAGAGATATCCCCGAGCATGGAGTGTCTGGCGGATTGGCTGAGAGATATTGCTCTTGTTTATGGGAAAGTATTGGCGTTCATTGGGAGACTACCTACATGCATACGGAGTCTGGTGTCCACATACCTTATTTGGCTGTACAATACCTGCTTTCGCTGCATTAAACGGGGCCTTTGCCTTTGCCTGTAGATTAGTAAAGGAGGCTGGTAACGTACAATAGGAAGGATCCTAATACAGGGGTAGAGTTCCTCCAAAGTTCATCAAGTACCTAGGACTCGGAGTCAAATAAACGAAGGTTATCTTAATTGCAAATGAGCGCTTCATCTTGCTTCAAAAAAATGTAAGAAAGCGAACATCTAATAAAATACTATGCACCCCTAACCATTTACTTTGTCTGTATACAATCCTGGATCATGTGAAGTCCAACATAAGGTACCTTACCTTGGTACAGCGAAGATGTTTAGAAATTACCCGCTTAAGGCAAGCGGGCAATTTTTAACGTCATTAATTTTTATTTTCCGGGCTTCACTTCACGAAAATTGAAAGAACGCATCCATACTTCCCCACCCCCAAATTCCCACCATGGTCACGGTGCAGGAAACCAGAGCGCCCGAGAAGCCCAAGGAAAGGCCGAGCGCCTTGCGCTCAATCATTGCGGGCTCGACTGCCGGAGCTGTTGAGATTGGTACGTCCCCACCCCTTCTACGAAATCTTCAGGAACCTTGCTAATTCTTCTGGTCAGCCATTACATATCCTGCGGAGTGTACGTATATTATTTTGTTTCCGGTCAAGGGGATATTTGGGTATAATCTGGGCGGAAGGGTCACCCGGAGATTCGCTGGGGCGGCTGTCGTCTGAGAACAGGAGGACTGATGCTTTATGCGTGTAGTTGCGAAGACGAGATCGCAATTGAACCGCCGGTTAGGAGATGGGCAGAAGCTGCCCTGGCCACCGTTTGGGAAAGCATGGTATGCGGGCTGCACGACGCTGATCATTGGCAATTCCTTGAAGGCTGGGATCCGTACGTCCCCGGAAACCAAAGCCAGACATACCAGCAATTCCTGACGCTTCTCTAGGATTCGTTGCCTTTGATCAGTATAAGGCACTGCTTCAAGATGCCGACGGGAAGATCTCTGGCCCTCGCACGGTCATCGCGGGTTTTGGTGCGGGTGTGACTGAGTCACTGCTGGCTGTCACTCCATTTGAGAGTATCAAGACTACATTGTAGGTGCTGCGGCGTCTCCGCGTACATGGGGTTTGGAGACTAAGGGATCTAGGATCGACGACCGAAAGAGTGCGAAACCTCGTATGCGCGGATTCCTCCACGCCGTGCCCATCATTGCCCGCGAGCGCGGCGTCCGCGGCTTCTTCCAGGGATTCGTCCCGACCACCGCGCGACAGGCTGCGAACAGCGCGACGCGGTTCGGCTCCTACACGTTCCTGAGACAGCTGGCACAATCATATACGGAGCCGGGCGAGAAGCTGGGATCGCTCTCGACGTTTGGGATTGGGGCGATTGCGGGGCTCATCACGGTCTACGCCACGCAGCCGATTGATACGGTCAAGACGCGGATGCAGAGTATCGAGGCTCGACACCTGTACAAGAACAGCTTTGCGTGCGCGGCGATGATTGCGAAGAATGAAGGCATGTTGACGTTCTGGAGTGGGGCGCTGCCCCGACTGGCAAGGCTGATGCTCAGTGGGGGCATTGTGTTCACGATGTATGAGAAGAGTATCGAGCTGCTAGACAAGCTGGACCCGGAGAAGAAGTACATATGAGGTTCGAAAAAACGCAGAGAAGGAACACACCTTCTGTAAGGCTATGGTTGCATGGGAGCACGGTGTTGAGGAGTTTAGAGAATGGATATAAAGATGATTGATTAGTTCTGGCCCAGCCTTCCAACGCCGTATATGTACAGTACAGTATATAAGTACAATTTATGTTCCAGTCCACGTCCAGATGTCCATCCGGTCTCTCATTTGAATCGTATCAAGCCCTTCCATTTGTTCGTCACCTGTTGCCACCAATTCCTCTTCGGCGCCTCATCCAATTCCCTGACCAAGTCCGTATAATGCGTCGGGTTACTCGCGGGCGTCAACAGCGAGCCCTTCAAGGCATACTATACACCACATAGCACATTAGCCCCTGGTCCCTATTCCAATCCCATCCGCCAATTCTGGCTGCTGCTGCATAGCATACCTTCTTACTATACCTATTCTCCAACAACGAGTACAGGGCATTGACCTGTTCCAATTCGGCGCGCGCAGCATCCGGGCTCGCTGCTGCTTTCTGGGGCGACAGCCGCTGCTCGATACGGTGGCGCATGGCGTCTTGGAATTGGCAGTCGGGCCGCAGCGGATCTTTGGGCCAGCGCGAGAGCGCGCGCAGGTAATGCTTGTATGCTAACTGTGTGGAGGGGAGTGAGGTCAGAGTGACAACTTTATTATTTTATTTTTATTCTTTTCAGAAAACGTCGGGTGCCGGTTGAAGGCCAATTGGGGGGATCTTCGTACTGATGTAGACATTATGGAGAGGTGTCAATGGGGCCTCTCTGTTTCCTCCACACGATTCGTTCTGCGGTTTGGATGATTTCTTTCTTGGCTCTTTTTCTTATATTCGAGGTTGGATTGATAGGTAGTCGAGATATTGATATTGGGGGGTGCGATTACATAATGTATGCATCTCGGCGCTAACCGAAGGCTCGAACAGGTGCGCCTCTCCTGACTCTCATGACCTCGTCCTGTACTTTAACTCCGCCGTCCCCGTCCTCCTCTCCGTCCTCCTCTCGTCGACCCCATTTCTCCCACCTACAACAATCCCCTTCGACCGAGTCGGCTGCGCGTCCGTTCCTTTTCCTTTGTATCTCATACAGCTCACCATGAGCGCCCAACGGTATGAACGGGTAAGCCAGATATCCCCCGCCAAGCCTCGCCACGCAATCAATCTCCCACGACCGCATATATACAAACTCGCGACGATGCCCGATACTGACATCGTCTTCAGGTATCAGGGCATGAAGAAGACAGTCCCATAACACCCCAAACGCCCTCCTCGCCGCCCCCCTCTTTCCGCTCACGTGCCTCCTCCCCCACCTCTCGACACAACTCCCAGCCGGTAGACCAGACGCTCGCGGATACATTTGATGCCGGTGGAGCGGACAGCGATGAAGAGAATGATGGCGATGATAGACAGAGATTAATGCGCGGGTCGCCGGCCTCGGCCTCCGTGGAGCGGATCCCGACCCCAGAGCCCACCGAGGGAGAGCCTGAACGGCCACAGGTGGAGAGGCGGCCGACACAATTCCCCATCTTCACACCGAGAACTACGAGAGTATATGGCGGGGGATCGGGGTCAGACGGTGTATTTGCGAATCTGGCTGCGAAGCCTGAGGTGGGCGAGAAGACGGAAGAACATCCACCTGTAAGGCTGCCTGATATCACTTTGTCATGGCGAGTGATGCTGACAGATTCTAGACATACGAACAAGCAGCAGCAGATGCCGCGCCCCCATATTGGGAAACTACTATCCTTGCACCGGGACTCGGTGGCCCCGACGATGTATACGTCGAGGGTCTGCCCGTTGGCTCCGTCTTTTCCTTTATCTGGAACGGCATGATTTCGATGTCTTTCCAACTTGTCGGTTTCCTTCTCACCTACCTCCTCCACACCACACACGCTGCGAAGAACGGTTCGCGCGCCGGTCTGGGCATCACGCTCGTGCAGTATGGCTTCTACATGAAAGGCTCAGGCGGCGCCGCCGCGACCCCCCCTCCGAATGGGCAAGATCCACAGTATACACCACCTCCAGACCCTAACAGCCACGATTTCGACCCAAACCAAGTAACTCAACCGGCCGGGACGGAGAATCAGTCATCAGGAGGGCTGGGTGGAATTCCCAGCAGCGACTGGATAGCGTACATCTTAATGATTGTTGGATGGTTCATCTTAATCCGTGCCGTGAGCGATTTCCTGAAGGCGCGACGGCTCGAACAACTCGTGCTCCAAAGCCCGGACCGCGGGCTGAACGTCCCGGTAATCTCCAACGAGGAGGAGCCGGAGACGGTCGTATGAAACGGCTGCATGCGCGTTTTTGGGTAAATCGTATCGGAGTTTTCACACGGCTAGGGCGGGATGGGAGGATGGGAGAGGGACGCCGTTTCGTGCCGTCTGTCTGGATAACAAATAGCAAGGCGTTCTTCCGGCGTGTTTGTTTTCCGGGGTTTGGTCCCCCGAGTTGTTCGAATTCTTCAAAAACCTACCTATGTAGAGAGGCTCACTCAAGTCACGATGTTCATATCTTCTTCTATCTTCCATCTATTCGCCTAGGTTTTGTTTTGCGTGATGTTGTTTGTGCTTGTGCTTGTGCTTGTGACTTTGACTTTCCTTACGTAATATGATAATCCGGAAACCGCAAATGCGAATCCGGACCGTTCGTCTCCCCATTTCATTCCATTATTGAAAAGAGTGAGGAGAGAGAGAGAGAGAGTCTGGATGATGTAAAGGAAAGGAAATGAAACGAAGGAGAGAGATATGGATATTATTTTACCTACATACCTTAAGCTACTGAGATTAAGAATCGGTAGCTACCTTAGGTATGAAGAAAGAATAGGGGGATTGGGAGGGATTGAGAGGGAAATCTCATACCTAAGGTATTGATAAATAAAAAGTTTAACGTTGAAGTTCATATATTTCTTCTTTGGGTGTTAACTACCTAGCTTAGGTTGGAAGGAAGGAAGGAAAGGTGGTGTGATTATATATCACGATCCTTTTTCTTGAAACAGAGGTATGTATTCTCACCCCCGTCTCCCCCCCAAGTCTATCTTCATGATTCAAAAACCCAAAGACAAATAAATCTGCCTCGCTCGCTGATTGGTCCTCGCGACGAGGCTGATGTAGGTAGATAACCGGTTAGAACCCCGCATTTTGCAGGAGGCGAGGTTCACAAGGACGTCACGTCAGCCTGATGTGACAGTTGGAACTTCTTTATAGGTATGGAATAAGAAACCACTATCACCAGTTATTGAACTACACTTTTTCAGAGATTATAACTATTTAACTATTTAACTATTTTATTCATTTATTTATTTATCACATCTTCATCATCCTTCATCATCATCCCCCTCTCTCTCTCCCCCAAAAGATCGATAAGATACCTAGTAACTCTCAGACATCGAATCTCGAATCGAGGGGATTTGAAGAAAGATTAACGCAACAACGTGTCCTGGCTAAAGAAAGTCCTACTCCTCTTCCTTCCCAGTCTAAGTTTCGGACGCGGGATTATGGCGTGGCGATGCTCGGGAGCTTCGAATCGGGAGCTGGTGGAGAATTTATTTCAGAATGGGTTGATTGAGAGTCCGCGTGTGAAGGGGGCTATGCTGAGTGTTCGTCACTCTTTCTCCTTATTATCATCAGGGGACTTGCATTTCGTTTCTCTTTTTTTTAGTTGAAAAGTGCCTACCTATGGACTGCTAATTCTCATTCGCGCAGGTCGACCGCGCGCATTTCTGCCCCTCCCCCAACACAGCGTATCTCGACACGCCGCAATCCATCGGCCACTCGGCCACCATCTCAGCACCACACATGCACGCGTCCGCTCTCGAATCATTACTGCCCTACCTGAACGCCGGGTCCCGCGTGCTGGACATCGGCTCGGGCTCGGGCTATCTCACGGCGGTGCTCGCGGAGCTGGTGCAGCCCGGCGGCAGGGTGGTGGGCGTGGAGCATATTCGCGAGTTGAAGGAGTTGGGCGAGAGGAATCTGGGGAGGTCGCAGAGGGGAAGGGAACTCTTGAGCGATGGTACGGTGGAGTTTGTCGTGGGTGATGGGAGGAGGGGGTGGGTGGATAGAGGGGCGCCTGAGGGTGGGAAGGAGTATTGGGATGCGATTCATGTGGGAGCGGCGGCGGGGGAGGTGCATGGGGGCTTGGTGGAGCAGTTGAGGAGGCCGGGGAGGTGAGTTTGTGATTTTAGTTTCTGGTGTTTTCGTTCTTCAGAGAGAAGAGGGGGGGGGAGGGGGGGGCTCTTGACAATGTTTTGGCTGGGTGGGTGGTGAGTGAGCATGATGCTGATTCATCATTAGGATGTTCATACCAGTTGAAGATACCTCGGGCCTGGACCAGTACATTTGGCTTGTGGACAAGGACAAGGAGGGGAATGTTAACAAGAAGAAGTTGTATGGGGTACGATATGTGCCGTTGACGGACCCGCCAAGGTAAACAGGGGCGGCTCTTGAGTCAGGGACGAGGCTGAGGAGTTGGCAGTATATCTTGCTTATGGACAAGGATGAGGAGGGGAATGTTAAGAAGAAGCTTTATGGGGTGTGATAAGTGCCATTGACGGATCAGGGGCTTTTGAGTCAGGGACATAAGGCTGAGGATGGGCGTTTGTGAGGATCGATTCTGATATAGGTATAATATGCTATAGCTACCGCAATATACCTCCCGCTCCGAGACACACAACTGCGCACGCCATTGCACGTACCTATGCATCTACCTTGATCTATGCTTCCGAAGATCACAAGCAAAACCAAACAAACGCCCATCTCCTTTCTCATTTCCATGGCTCTCCCTCGATTAGTGGAGGAGAGGCGCATGTTGGGCAGCTTAAAAACCTTCTCACTCCTAATTTCCCATTACATATCGGGCCCCTACAAAAAGTGCCCCTCCATGCCATTCATTCCATCCCACGCCAACCTGAGGCAAGAATCTCCCCAAGCTCTCCGCTCAACCATCTACCTTAAACTTACTTATACCAACACTGTCCAAGCCTACCAATTCGGTAAACTTCGCACCATTGGCGTCCCCTCGTCATCATCCCGCCCGCAGCGAATGACCGCGTCGCAGGAGCTGCGGGCCGGCACTGGGGCACCGCGCCCAACAAACCGCGGATGCTTCATTCATTCATCATGCAATCAATCGCCATCTCCGAAGCGCTGCCCTCGGGGGCTCGAAAGAAGGAACACGCCGTTGATGTTGAGGTCTAGAACGCCATCGACCGGTCATGATCCCGTTGTTGTTGCTTGCCTTGTTTTTTACGCTTGAGGTCTCTCTCTCTCGGGGATAGATAGGCCCAAGGAGGCTCTTGACTTGATTGGATACGGGCTTTTGAGTTTGGCGTTGTGCTACGGAGCGTTAAGTAGCATCAGAGCTTAAAAGCGATAGCCTCATCGCTTGCTTGCCTTTCTTCCCCCCCACGGGCCGCGACGTGCCTCGTTGCGAGCAGTTCGTTCGTTCCACCCCTCAGCCAAGTTTCTATTGGTGATGACGGGGCCCAGCACCCGTGGAATGTCCGCGGCTCATGCGAAAAATAATGGATGAATAGCAGATGACACCGGATTGCGGGTTGGGGATCTTGCCGCTCGGGTCTCTCTCTCGCTCTCGCTCTGCGCTCCGTCTCCTGCTTTTGCTTATGCCCTGCCCGGCCTTGCCCGGCCTGGTCTGCTTTTTTTTTTTGCTTGTCGGCTTACTTGCTTGCTTGCTTACTGACATGCTCCGCTAACATGCTCGAGGGAAACCACGGTTCGGAGCAGAGCTATAGCAACTCCACCCCTAAGGCTGTTTCTTCTGGGTCCTAAGACATTCGCGGACGATATGATCATATATCGGTGTACGTAACCCCTGAAAAGGGGGATCATAAACAAGCCCTTTACCCCTCGTCCCCTTGGCGTCTTGGTCAAGAGGAGAACAGGACCAGGACCAGGACCTGGACGAAAAGAGAAGCCCCTATCAGAATTTAGAAGCGGAAGCGGATTTTTTTTTGGGATCGGGATTGGGTTGGCACTTGAAAACTGGTAAAGAAGAAAGAGAGGACTTAGAGGGAGAGACGAATTATCATCACCTTGGGAATGATTTGCTCCCCTGGGCTTCCTTCTTTGATGTGCCAACAACAGACCCCCAGATTATGCCTCCCCTAAGAACGCTGCCCCCCGCCAAAGCAGTCAAGGTACGCCGCCCGCCTCCTCTCTCTTGTCTTGTTTTGTCTTGTCTTCTCTTCCCCTCTCTCCTCCCTTCACTCCCCCTTTTGCTGGTGCTGCCAGGACTGACCCGGCGGGTAGACCGAACGCACGCATGAGGAGAACCAAGAGCGCGCATATATCGCCGCGTCAAGGAGAAGCGACCGCAGTCTGGAAGCGCGCCTCGAGTCCGCCAAGCGCGCGTCCGACATCCACCGCAAACGCACCGGGCGGTCGCTGCGCGTCACGGAGCAAGACGTCGTCAACGAGGAGATGTACGAGGAGGAGGACGATGACCTGCCCATGCAGTACCAGCGTCTGACGGCCCATCTGCAGACCAGCTCGGCCGACTTCAACCGCCGGCTCTCCGAATACCTCACGACGCAGGTCGCCATGAGAAGCGCGCTGGCCAATTCCTATTCGCAGCAGTACAACAACGCGCGCGGCTTTCCCAACCCCTCCATGTCCATGTTCCCGTCGCCCATGCTGGCCCATCAACAACAGCAGCAGATGCCGCCGGCCTTGCAGAGACCCATCAGCCCGTCCATGTTCCGCCAGGCCCCCTATCCCGCCCCGCGCCCCCCGCCGCAGCTCTATCAGCCGTCGCCCCACCACCGCGCCGCCTCCATGGCCACGCTGCAATCCCTCTCCGAGATGTCGCAGAAGGACAGCCCCGGCCTGCCATCCCCCGACATCCGGCGTTCCTCCGCCCCCGCCCCGCCCCCGCTCCCGCCGGTCCGCCCGTCACCATCGCGCCCGACCAGATCTCCGCCGCTCCGCCGCTCTCCTCCAGCACCAGCCTCTCCTCCTCCAACGCCAGCACCCCCCGACGCAAACCTTCCTTCCCTCAAGGCACATTCTCGCAATTCACCCCCCAAGCAACGCCGCCCTCGCAGCCCCAATCCCAAGCCCAATACTACCCTCCCCTAAACCCCTCTCTCCCCTCCGCCGCCCAACCCTTCGCCAACAACCCCTGCTACACGCCCTTCAGCACCGCCCTCCCCCTCGAATCCCAGATGTTCCTCAGTTCCAAGCTGGACCCCGCCGACCCGCTCACCCCGCTCTTCATGCCCGATTCCGACGCCATCCCCGCGCTCCCCTGCGACTTCACCATCACCCTCCCGCCGGGGGGCGGCGCTCCGCTCGGGAAACCGGACCTGGACGCCGCCGCCGCCGCGCCCTTGGAATCCGAGGATGAGCCCGATGACGAAGATGTCAATGGCGAGACCTGGAATAGCTTCATCGATACGGAGAATTGGGATTTAAACCCTCCTTCGCAATAGGAAGGGGCGGGACGATATTGATTGAAATCTCCCCCCCTTTTCCCCCCCTTTTAAAATCAACAAATCAACACAGAACATAACAACACAAAGAAAGAACATAACAACAAACCAAAGAAATACAAACACAAACAGACACTACAAAAAGCATCCCATACCTACCTACCTATCTATCTCTCCGCGCCCTCGCGCGCGCACGAGAGAGCAAACCCTCGCAACCTCTTTAAAAGAAAAAGTCTTCGCATAATACCCCCCCTAGCCAGCCAGCCAGCCAGAATCTCCTATTCTCAGAGAGAGAGGCCCTGGCTTTTCTCAGTCGTTTTTTGTCGTGCTTTTTATTTTTATATTTTACTTTTACATTTATATGATACCACAACACTTGCCGTGATTGAATATTCTCCCCTGGGAGGGGAGGGAGGGGAATTGGGATTGGATTGGGAATAGAATGGGATAGAATGGGGATAGAATGGGGATAGAATGGGGATTAGATGGGATGGGATTGGGAATTGGGAGGAATGGGATAATTATGGCATGTATATATGATACACACCTTATATATATAAAGCAGGAGCACACACACACACACACACACACGTGCACAACAACAACAACAAGAAAAGAACAAAAGAGAAAATAATGATTAATGAAATATAAAGGATAACAAGAGAAGAGATGAGGAAATGCGATATGAAAACTGGGAAATGAATGGGAAATGGGATGGATGGGATGGGATGGGGTATGTTTTGTCTACCTAGTTCTTGTCTTGTCTTGTCTTGTATGTATGTATCTATGTATGTATGTATGTATGTGTAAAGAGAGGAACGAGGAGCGAGACAGGAAGGAGGAAGGAGAGAGATCAATCAGTCTCATGCTTGGCTATCTACTACCTATTGGTTAATTGGTTGGTGCATACCTACCTACCTACGCCATCCATTTAATTCAAACAGCTAAGCTACCGGTAAGCAAAAAGTATATTGGTAACCTCTCTCCCATTCCTAAGGTACCACCTTACTTTACTTAGCTATGTGCTCTAGCCTATGATTGATTGATTGATAGCCCCATCCATCCATCCTCATCCTCATCTCATCATCATCACAATCATCATCATCTAGCCCAGCCGGAAATTCTTATTGTATGCATTTCGCTATAGTGATGATTGAATCACCACCCCATCCATCCATCCCAATATGAACGAACAAAACAGCAAGGGACGCGAGCTAGCTAAACACCCAACACTCCGCACTCCACGCTCCAAGCCAGTATCTCAAACCGCACTAAGCTGCATGCAATATCCGCCGGTCAACGCGGTGCTGAAGCTATCCTCCCTCTCTCTCATCTCCGTGTTTTCTTTTTTTAGAAGAAGAGATTCTTGTACTCATACATCCTAGCCTTGTGTTGTGGATTGTGCAACAGATCAATCCCATCTCTTGCCGTTCGCATCGAATTCGCTCATGCTAGCTGCATCCCAACCAGGTGCCCAGTTCGCTGCTGCGGCTGCGGCGTCGGGTTTAGGGAGGAGCGGGCGAGGAGCGGCGGTGGTGGTTGCGTGTTCGATGTGTCGGGTGTCGTCGCCGTGCGTGTCCATAACGATGGCCTCATCGAGATGATCCGCCCAGGGGCCGGCGACATCGGACATCTCGACTTCGTCCTTGACTTCGCGGACGACGGCGTCGACGAGGTTCTTCCGGTCGGCGCTGCGGACGTAGGCAAGGTAGTAGGGGGTGCCGCCGGCTTGGGAGGAGTGGTCGAAGATGCGGCGGCGGTCTTTGACCTCGGTCACGTACTCGTCGTTGTACTCGCGCCAGATGTCGTTGTCGAAGTCGTAGATGTAGATCCAGTAGTGGCCGCCGCCAGATTCGCCGCGGTGGATGAATACCGTCTGGAGCTGGTATTCGTATTGGCGCAGGTCCGCGAATTGATCATTGAGCTTCTGCTTCAGAGCAGCGATCTTGTGGTTGATATCCTCGAGCTCATTGGCTACTTCGTGGAAGCGTTCTTCCAGGGCTTCGGGAAGGATGGGGCTGATTTCCACGCCCTCGATCTCGTTTTCTTGGAGCTGGCTGATAAAATCCTTTGCTGCAAGTAGAGCTTCCGGAAGGGAGGCATCTACTTCGGTCTTTTTGAGAACCGTTTGTCTGGCCTCAAGCACTCGAAGCTGATTCTTCCACTCCCAAGCTTCTCGGCGTCGACGCATCAAAGCTGGGTCATCAGAATCCATATACCTATCAAGATAGATGGTCTCCGGGAAGATGACCGGGTTCCTGTTCTTCCAAGGTAATTGTCTTACAGGATCAAACGCTGTGCGCTGGATTTGGATCTGTAAGATTGGGGGTAGCTTGTTGATGGAAGCATATTGCGGCGTCAAGGTATTCGCAATATCGACCTTTTGCTCGTCGAAGACCACATCCAGGGCCTCGTAGATATCGCGAGATCCGGTCTGTGGCGGGAACACGATGAGATTCGCCCAAGGTTCAACTTTCCTCTCGAGGCTCCGAGACTTTTGCGTATAAACTGCATTCGCGCCGAAGAAAGTATCTCGGATATCGTCTATCTGCTCTTCTGAAGTCTGGTCGATACTGTTTGCCTTTATAGCACACTGCAATCGCCACACTACATTTCCAATCACCTCTGTGACATCTTGCTGCGAGCCAAATCTCCACAGATCATCTTCAGAGATGTGATCTCGAGTATCGGTTTGAATACTGAGTCCCGACTTGTTACGGGGCGGTACTGGAGGCGGCTTTTCTGGCACTGAAACAATAGTCTCTGTGTTGACACCATTGACCATAACGGAATCGATATCGTTTTGGAAGGGGTCGTTCTTCTCGTCTTGGGGAAAGTGGGAATCGATGTGATCTATAATATGATCATAGGGGGGAGGAGGAGCGGAGGGGAGTGTATCCGTTTCGACGAGAGTTGATTCGCTACTATTGTCGCTAATTTCAGGTTTGTCTCCAGGGAGGTCGCTCATCTCGACATCGTCAGCCGGTGTTGGCGAAGGCCGTAATGGTACAGGCGGCGGCGGGCCTTCAGGGCCATAAACAGGAGCAGTGGGATTTAGAATCGATGCGAGGTTTGGTGCATTCGGACTACTGATCGATTTGCTACGAAAGTTTGCCTCTGCTTGAGAGCTGAAAATCGTCAACTCGGCAAGTTCCTTGGTAGGCCTCACTGATCGTGTTGACGCTGTTCTCAGATTTTCAAACAGATTGTGAAGCTCATCCACAACTATCAATAGTCAGAAATGTCCAGCACGGAATATTCGGACTTACACTTCTGTGCCTTTACAACTTCGGATCTGACAACCTTTCGGCCCCCGACGCGTTTCTTCTTGATATCCTCATCAGTTTTAGGATCATTGAGATCCATGCGATGTTTGTCGAAGTTCATGACGACCTCTCTGACTGTTCTGATAGTATAATAAAACTGGAGGAGACTGTTGAGATAGCATGTATTGCCAATATTGTCGAGACCAACAGGCTCATTTGCTGTAGAGCGCACGACTTGAACATCTGCATTAGGATCAAGGAGCTTTCTCAATAGGAGGTTACTCTGTCGATCTAACGCGATGACCCGTAAAGCCTCAGCATAACTTTCCTGTGACCCAGCAGGGGCTCCACTCGAGAGGCTCTGGTAATATGCCAAGACAGTCTCATCTGGCGCGTTGCGCTCTGTGATCTGAAGTCGATTATAGGCTTCGCCAATATCCAGTATTGTCTCTTCTGAGCTGGATTCCATAGATGCCGCAGCACGTTGCAGAGTGAAGTCATTGCCGCGTCGATTCGCGATAACTCGTAAAGCAGATGCAACTCTCGTCTTGTCTGCCTCGGTAGCCTCCAAAAAGTTCAGTCAAGGTTCCCTACAAAAGGTGAAAGGAAGAGGCTAATATACTCACCATAGCTACAGCTGCCGCCTCAATACTGTCTGACTGGGTATCTTCTGTCACATTCAAAAACTCTAACGCTTCTTCGAAAGACATCGTCTTATCGTTCGCAACAGCTTCGATCTTTTGACTATTTCTGGCTTTGGCGATCACGCGTAGACAGTTTCTAGCTTCATCCTTCTGTCGTGGTGCTGACTCAATTCTGGAATTATAGACACCAATGATATAGTCATCGCCATCCTTTGTGTTTGGGTCTATCGCAAAGAACTTGTAGGCATTCTCAATTTCGTTCAAACCTAGTTCGCCCGCGGAAGCAGCCATTGCCACTTTCAGTTCTAATTCAGAGCTTTTACGACCGTTCGCGATACCGGATAAACAATCCAGATAGTATGGTCTGTTTCGCGGATCGCATTCACATTGCCGCTCGTAAGCCCAGATCAGGTGATTATCCGTGAAATTATCCACAGCTCCTAAGCTTGCGTAGTGTGGATGCTCTTGTTTCGAGAGGTCGACAGTTCGGGATCTAGTTGGATAGTTGTGATAGCCAAGGCTTCTTTCAATGTCCTTTAACGCGCTCATAGGCATGTTGAGTACCTGGACTTTGGCGGCCCGTTGCTCCTCTTGAGGTCTGTTTGCTATTAATACATCAAGCTCGGTCAGAACGTCATTGATGAATTCTCTATTAGTGTCTGATATGACAGGAAGCTGCCAAAAGTAGCTCGGCTCGCCCTTGAGACAAATGTTAGCTTAGTACAAGTGTTGCCGCATCTATGCAGGATAATCTAGAATAAAGAAGTAGATAATACTCACATCCGGCTCAGGGCTATCCTCCTTTATAAGGGTGAAATCCAAGTAGTTGAAGAGACTGGCACAATCATTCGCAAAGGCAAGCATGAACTTCTTATTACGTGCTGCAATGCGTTTGAGCTCGCTCTTGTCTTTTGCTGCCTTTGCATCTACGAGGTATGTTCGAAGATTGCTCAAAATTTGCGGTACGGCCAAGGGTCCTAAGCCACTATATCGATCTGGTTCCTCTGCGATGACCCTTTTCCCACGGGCCTGAACCCTTTCAGGCGATGTAATCTGAGAGAGGAGTTTCTTATCAAGCCGGGGCGGAGATATGTTGATTTCAAGCGTGAGGGGACAACCTGCTCCGGAGCAGACCCATCGATGGCATTCAATGAAATTGTTGTATTTGTTTAGCACATTTTCCCCCAGGTCTTCCTTCGAATACACTGACTCCACAAGCCGTAGATGATGCAGAGGATTCGTTTCATCAGACAGCCTACAGGGGGCTTGTCCCGTATGCTGATGACAGAAGTCCGCCGTGATTTCATAATGAAGCCTGCAATTCATACAGTACGCTGCCACAACATATTTGGTTGACCCACTAGGTTGCTCGTCGTCTGATACAGGGGCTTTTGTTCGTAGCTTCTTCATCAAACTATGTCTGCAGTCTGATTCATCCCTTCGCAGATAGAAGACATCTTGCCTGAATAGCGGAGCAGGATCTGCGAGCAGGTTCCAGCCATTTGCACCCCGCGATTCTGGATTGTAGTCGAGCAGGTCGTCGATCAGCCTTGGAGGGGTCTTTCCTACAAGAGCGATACGGATCAGCTTTCTGTCTTGCATTTGAAAACAAAGATGCAACAATAAGGAAGATGGAAGGTGAAGCTAGAGCAGAAAACAGACCTGGTCCTGGGGTGAATGCGCGGTCATCCATCACAGCTTTGGGTGCCCGCAAGTCCAACCGTCTACGTAGGTATTTCTGCAGACTCAGCTCCCTTGGTCCTCACAAACGCGGTCTTATCTCTTGAAACTGTGGTTCTCTCTGCTTGGAAGGCCGCTTCTGACGTAGGTAATGCAGAAAAGAGTCCACTTCAAGGCCACTTTTTTCAGAGAGTACCAAGGTGAGCTTGGGGATTTTCGCTGAACTGTACGTCGCGGAGGCTGAAGCAAACAGGTATGGATGGGGCCTTTACATGGCAAGCCTGGTTTTGAACGGGCACCACGCGTGAATCGTGACAATCAAAGAATCCTGCTGAGTAAATATCGGAATCTGGAGCTGTATGCGCCACCATGAGCCTTCGAACAGCTCTGCCTAATTTCTCAGAGCTCCAGAAGGCTGTTTAGTTAATCCACCAGATATTCCACAGCAAAATCTGCTTATGTAAGCCACGTGCCGACTCAGCTGTACCTGGTTAGGAGCTCTGTCTACCGACCTCAAAGTTAACGACGCCGCTCGGCCCTCTGGGATCTCAAAGTGGACGACTCTGCGACTTCAATTCCAACTTCTTCTGCCACAGCAATCAATATGGCATCCGGGGACCATACATACCATCCGCAAGATGCCGTCAAGGCTGGTATCCAGGGCGCCCTGGTCACGGGTGCGGCCGGTACCCTCGTTTCCGCAGTTCAGAATACCTTGGCCAAGAGGAATGTGAGCGCTTGGGGGGTCTTCACAAGGACTGGAGGCACAATCGCTATCTTCGGTGCGTTGGACAACCGTTTTGCTCTTATTTCAGAGCTGAGCTGACAATTCTACAGCCGCAATGGGTGGTACATACGAGTTCACAAGGCTTGCGTCGGCGAATCTACGAGAGAAAGAGGATAGCTGGAATACTGCACTCGGAGGATTCTTGGCCGGATCTTTGATAGGCTTGAAGCGTGAGTGACTGCATCGGATGTTGTTGACCGTGCTGCCCGTGCTAATTCGATGAATAGATGGCAAGCCTCCCGCTGTCATCGGATTCGGCGCTTTAAGTGCAATCGTGCTGGGTGTATACGATTATACTGGGGGATCTTTGACGGGATTCAAGAAGGATCGAGATGTGGACGAGTTTGAGCGAAAAGAATACTTGAGAAAGAACCGAAGAAGGCCGATAGAGGAGACCATCTCGGAATTGGGAGAGGGCCGAGGCACGTTCCCCTGATCATTTCTATACACAGCTACTGATTAGTATTCGCAGGAATTTATGCTCCAGGTTACGCAGAGCGAAGAAGAGAAAGGCTCAAGGAGAAGTATGGTATCGATGTACCAGCAAACGCATAAGCCAAAGACTCCTTATATAAATCTTTCATATGTTGGACAACAGAGGCGCTTTTCGAATGTACATATGTCAGGCCTCCCTTCGTGTACCAGAATTGACCAATACAACAACTCCATTCGTGGAAGACATCGATTCTGGGTGCCAGATATGCGGCTACTTTACGTTTTGATAATATGAATGAAACATTCTGCTTTTGAGGGCATGGTAATCGCCCGTTACGTGAATACTTTCCTTCAGCCAAGGTTCATGATAATCATGCATTGCATACTAGCTCTGGGACTAAATTTGATTTCATTTTGCAGTACAATATCGTCAGAAGTGCCACCCGAGCGCCGAGCGAGGATGAGCATAAAGGACGACATGAGGATAGGTTGGAGCCACAGTCCCTCTTTTCATCCCCTATTTAAGCTTCCCCGCCGCAATATTCGATATGAACTGTTTGATCCCCTCCGCCATTTGGCTATTGGCGATTGGACCTTTCGGTGGACGATGCACCCCTTCGTACGTGCAAGTGCTGGCGCGGGCCTGGTCGCAGAGATCCTTCATCAGCATGCACTCACTCGTCCAATGGTCCTGCGTTCCCGTGATATGTAATGTGGGCATCTGGATGATCTCCCCGAGGTCATCGGCACTGGCGACCTTCATCACCATCGGGTCCTTCAGCAAGCCCGCGGGATCGATCGGCCGGGGCGTGGCGGCAAAGATGGCGCATCGGAAGGGAGGTTTCGCCGCGGGATCCGTCTGCCGTTGGGCATGCTCGATCAGATAAGAGGCCGCCAGCGTCCCGCCTTGCGACCAGCCAAACACGCCGTCGAATGGCCCTTGTGCGTCTATCGTCCCTTGCACCAGATCGTGCGCCTCGTGAAGCTCGTCGGCATCCAGATCGGCCTTGTTCATATCCCACGAGAACCAGTTGTAGAACGGGCCGTCGTAGATGTCCTTGATGTCGGATGCGGGCCGCCCCGTCTCGACGTTGGCTTCGAGGAAGACCAGCTGCGCGTATTTGTCCTTCTCCAGCTCGTACCGCAGCATTGCTACAACACATCCGTCAGCATGGATGCGATTGATCTGACTGATTTGTCTTCACATACCAAACTGCGCGGCAAAGATCTACTCGAAGGCGAGTTCTACGTTAGAATATCCTCACTGCCTTCTGCTGAGCATCCAGACTTGGTGACTGACTTACCTCCGCATTTGCGCCAGCGCCTTGCAGGCACAGAAGCCGGAAAGGCGTCTTTGGAGGGGTTGGTGAGCTCATTTAGGTGTACGAAAGGTCAAAACAGGATGAAGAAAAACGTTCGAGAATCCGTCGAGATCGACGAGTTGTTTCGCGGTTCCGAAGGACGAGCTGTTCCCTAGGGAAGTAGGTCCTCACAGATGGATCACCGTGACACGGGCATCATTATTTGGAGTTGCAGATTGCTGCCGTAGCGGCTTATGGGAGCGTTGATCATTGCTAATCTTGAAGTATCACGATTCAAGGTCCTGATCGTCGAGGAGATGCAAGACATTGATGTGGCTTGCAAAACTATTGAAGCTGCAGTCTGCATGTTGCCCCACGAAGGGAACATGGGGGAGTAGTAATCCACCTCCAGGCTCCCGGTGGGGTCTCCTCTGATTTATATGTTCATTTTTGCGACTGTTTTGTCTTCATATTTGTTGTCTTATCTCTCTCCCAGTTCTCTTTTCTACAAAGCGCTCAGTTGTTATTTTACCACCATGGCAGATCTCACGATGGAGCGCATCAGGCCAAGTGCTGTGGTTAGCCCAGAAGTCATCGCACTGAGTCCAATTGATCAGATCATGCCACGCCTGTACACCCGATTCGTGCTCTGCTTTTCACTTGCCCCTGATGCAGACCACAAGAAGGTTGCTTCAGACCTCAAAGCAGGTCTCGCTGCTACGCTGACGGAAATTCCTTTCCTTGCTGGGGATATTGTTGCAGAGGAAGGAGGTAGAGAGAAAGTCCAGCTTGAAATCGGGGAGGACGCTGGTGTCGATTTCACTGTCCGAGACTACACGCTTCCTGAGACTCGGGGACTGTGGACGACTGGATCATACAAAGAATTGGAAGCAGCTCATTTTCCAATCACCAGTCTTACCGACTCGCTGCTTTCACCTACTGGAATGATTCCTATGGCGCCCAGAAACCCAGTGATCGCGGTACAGGCCAACTTTATCGATGGCGGATTGTTACTGGTCTTCAGCAAACACCACTCGGGGACTGATGGCACCGGGAACATGGTCATGCTCAAATCCTGGGCAAGAAATACGGCCCTGGCGGCTGCTGGACAGAAAGTTACACCTACTGCTCTGCCAAAAGAAGCCTTCGACAGATCTGTGCTGATGGAGGGAACACCAGGACAAGACATCAAGGACTGGCCCAACTGGAGCAAGATTGTGAAGACAGAAACTGATCTTCATGGCTTCAAGACTAGAGGCCTCAAGTTTGATGGAGATGGGAAGTTGGAAGCGCAGCAGAAAATGGCGGTGCCTAGTCTAAAGAGTGGATTTTGGCATTTCTCTCCCTCAAAGCTCGCGGCGTTGAAAGAAGCCGCATCTACGAAGATCCCAGGTGATCCTTGGATTTCGACCAACGATGCCCTTTGCGCGCTGATTTGGCGTCAAGTGACTCTTGCTCGCGATCTCAAAGCAAGGGAGATGCCCTCATCGAACCTTATGGTTGCTGCCAATCTACGCTCCCGTATGTCTCCTCCGTTGTATGAGAAATACTTAGGAAATGCTGCCACAAACGCCTGGCAAAACAGCAGCGTGGATGTTCTTTGTGACCCTTCCCGGGCCGCATTGCAGCGAACTGCAATCTCTATCCGTAAAGCTGTTGATTCTCTCAATGAGACCACGGTTCGTGGGTTGATTGGATTGATTGATTCTATGCCCACGGTTACATCAATGACCCCGAATTGCAAGAATCTCCTGGGCCCTGATATCACCATCACTAACATCTCTACTTCCGGATGGTACACCTTCGACTGGGGCCAAGATCTCGGAAAAATTGACAGAGCCAGGATGCCTACCGTTGCCTTTGATGGCGTGTGTGTCGTGTTTCCTAAACTGCGAGATGGAAGCATTGAACTTCTCACTATGTTCGAGGAGTCAGTGATGGAAAGGCTCAAGGCTGACAAGGCGTTCACCGAGTTTGCGGAGTGGAGATGCAGTTAGTTCACGAGTTGTATAGGAAGCTGTTCAATGTTCCTTTTCTATTCCTCGTCCGTACCACGTTTGAGCTAGCTTGCTTTCTCCAAAATCCATCTGCTTTGGTTTTTGCACTCGTCGCCTCGGATCTGCGCATCGTTTGCTGGTGATTTCAAACTGCTGTATCAAGTCTATCGAGGTTCATTCACAACGCACTGGCAAGGCTTGTGCTGGAATATAGATCACTGTTCAGAGGTCATTTCTTGCTGTCCTCCGTATCCACAAGTAACTCGACTCTACAGACTGCATTTGCACTTCCGGAATAGATTGCTTTGGACTGAAATCCTCACCAATTGAAACTTGCTGATACCTTGTCTTTGCTAACACAACCAATATCTGCCGACTCCAGCAGAATCTGTGGGTCTGGCAATGCCAATTGATCCTCCACTGTTCTTGAAATGTTATTGAAATTTTCACATCACAAGAATGTTTGCTTCAGCATTGCTCGGGTTTGCTAGTTTGTTCTACACAGGCACCCAGTCTGCCATGAGCCCCCACGCAACCCACAGCGCTATGCCCAAAATCCATTCAATCTCAACCCAGGATTCTGCTATTGGAATACCTCCAATGCCATTACATCTGCGCTTCTCATATCCACAGGCTATGTATGTGTCCAATCATACAAGCAACTGGAGCTTGTTCTTGTACGGTGCTATCTGGGCGAGTTGAATTGACCGGGACCAAAACGTCGAGGGCGGAGGAGGAGGATGTGACGGAGCGCACTTTCGGAAATGAGTGGGAGGACCGGGCGGTAAAAACGCTGAGATCTACCCTAGCTCGCCCATTTGAGAGGATATGTCGACGGACTTCTTACGTGGCCATTATATTGAAAGCGAGAGGAGCAACTGCAAGAACGCATCTTGTTTACTAGGATAAGTATCAAGACTTGGACTACTTCACACTTCTTTGGTTTGTACGGCGATATTCGATATGCTTTGCCCCTCCCCAAGCAGCGAAAATCTTTCTATTTTCACCTGCTCGACTACAAAGTAAGCATATCCGCGCTGCACTTTTAAGATTAAGCCTGCCAACTGTACATGAATCGATATCTCGGAGATCGGAGGCCCCTACTACTAATAAAAGCTTATGCTAGTTAGCCTTCCGGAACCAACAGCACTACCGCCCGGTCGAATCGCGACAAAAGAAACAGATCCAGAAACAGGGGGAAGGAAAGGCGTAGACGTCATAGAAACTCTAAACTATTGAGATAGAAAGCTAGGACGCTCCTGCATGGGCGGCTTTGATTGGCTGAGAAAAGCTTGGTCGAAGCAAAGGTTAACAAGAGGTGCTTTTAAGGCTCGCGCCGCTCGAAGGGGTTGGAAGCTATAATGCCAACTTAAAACAAGGTTAAAATAACTTCAGATAACGATTTATCGTATTTGTGAGACTTCCTTTTAAGTCGGCATAAGGGTACGTAGATTAGAATCCAGGTGTCAAGATCTTCCCCTATTGGGACGAGTATCCTGGCCACGATTTAGCAATCCCTGGGGTCGATATAGCCAATGCGGTTCTAGATTTAGTTGGAGTAAACTTTAGATACATAAATACACACCCCAATTTTGGATCCACCTACCTAGGTAGGTACACAACAAGCCGAAGCTCGACAAGCTTTCTATGTTTATTAACGTCCATTCGACTACTTTACAGGGTACTGTACAGTGGGTATGCAATTATTTGCTCAAGCCACCACGTGGAATTCAGGGACGGGAGGACCGCCCTAAATCCTCAGGGAGTCAGGGACGCGTTGATGATAGTGTGATCGACCTAAACACAACAGGTACAAGGTGCCCGCCCAATTTTGCCTTAGCCGACACCCTGCATTGTCACAGAAGACACGATTCATGCTCCGTTGAGCAAAACAAACACGCCCTGAGGCGCAATTCCAATGGCAGATGAGGAGGGCTTTCTCCATGAGAGTCATAAGCAACGGATGCAATCCAGTGATTGGTCATCTGCAGGGTCTGGTTAAGCAGGCGTTTCAACTATCAGTTTTGACTTCGCAGAGTCCGTGGATTGAAGGGAGGAACAGACTACTCCTTACTACTGTAGTCTGTATTCATCCTGACTCTATTTGGGTCTCCATGAGTACCAAGTAGTACAGACTTGAGGGCTTTGGTGTTAGCTTACGAATGTTAATGTCACCCTTAACCATTGTGGACAGGGAGGTCTTGTCCTGCAGGTCTCGACCAGCGGATCTTGGTCTTCCATGACAGACCGGGCAGATCTGAGGAACATCTAGAGATACATACAGTGTATATATCTCATTCTGTAACCCCTGTGGTTCTGGCAGAACAGCTCCCAGCTTCCTTGGTGCAGATCATATGCAAAGTCGCAGATCTCAGTATTAGGAGCTGAGGAGATATTATAGGTGGGGCATAGTTATAGCAATACAGACGCCTCTTCTGGAGCTACACTTCCTCTGAATCTCAAATTGGACGGTCTTCCTACCTCTTACCTTCTTTCTTCCTGTCCATGTTTGGAGTGACCCCTCCAGTCACAACTGAAACGTTTTCAACAGCCTTTCAGTATCAACTCCTTCGAATTCTTCAACAATGGCAACACATCAAAATGACCACGACATACCCATAGCGGTGGTGGGTATGGGCTGCCGCTTCCCAGGAGGCTCGACGAGCCCAGAGAAATTCTGGGATCTCTTGTCGAAAGGCCGAAGTGCCTGGTCTAAGGTTCCTGCAAAACGATTCAACCAGGAGGCCTTCTATCATCCAGCAACTGAAACGCCTGGCGCGGTACGTCCCAATTCATCTTTGCTAAAGCTCAACCTATCATTACTTACAATTTGGCTCCGATGTCCAGTTTAATTCCAAAGGTGGACATTTTTTGAAAGAAGATATCGCTGCGTTTGACGCACCCTTTTTTAATATAAGCCCTCTGGAAGCCAAGGTATGTATGTCTATTCCAGAAATGAGCACCGCCCCTGACACTTAAGCACTACAGGCAATGGATCCCCAGCAAAGGCTACAACTCGAAACCGCCTACGAAGCACTTGAAAATGGTATGTTTCACTGCCATAGTGGGAATATAGTTTCTGAAGTTTTGGAAAATAGCTGGACTACCTATGGATACTGTCATCGGAAGTAACACCGCCGTTTATGTTGGGATCTTCAACGGCGATTACGAGCGAATTCTGCACAGAGATCCCGAACGAATGCCCTTCTACCAGGCAACTGGGACAGGTGCAGCCGTCTTATCAAATCGAATATCTTACTTTTTCGATCTGAAAGGTCCAAGCATGACCATTGATACCGGTTGTTCTGGGAGCATGGTCGCTCTGCACCTGGCTTGCCAGAGTTTGCGTACTGGTGAATCCAGACAAGCCATCGTTGGTGGCTCTAATCTTATTCTTGATCCTTCACAAATGATACCCATGAGTTATTTAAAGTATCTTCTCCGTCCTGTCTCTCAGAGACCTGGTGGCCTGACGTGAGTACGCAGATTTTTCTCGGATGAAGGCCGATGCTACACGTACGACAAACGCGGGGCCGGATATGGTCGAGGTGAAGGTGCGGCCGCTGTTATCCTGAAGAGATTGGATGATGCACTTAGAGACGGCGATCCGATTCGCGCCGTGATCCGGAATACGGCCGTCAACCAGGACGGCAAAACCCCTGGATTGACCATGCCCGGTCGTGCTGCTCAGGAGAGCATGATCCGAAGCGCTTACGAGAATGCCCACCTCAACATGAAGGACACCGGTTATTTTGAGGCTCATGGTACAGGGACGCCGGCCGGAGATCCAATCGAAGCGGGGGCTATAGCAGCAACACTTGGAAGGGCTAGACCCCCCGGAAATCCAATAATCGTTGGCTCAGTCAAGACGAATATCGGTCACCTGGAGAGTAGTAGTGGTATTGCCAGCCTGATCAAGACGATCTTAATCCTGGAAAAGGGCATGATTCCCCCTAATTTTAATTTTCAAGAACCCAATGACAAGATACCTCTTGAAGAATGGAGGATCCGCGTTCCACAACGGCTTGAGCAATGGCCAACCACTGGCCTGCGACGAGCTTCAGTTAACAGTTTTGGATATGGCGGCACCAACGCACACGTGATTCTTGATGATGCATACCATTATCTCTCCTCTCGGGGGCTGGATGGCTTAAATAGCACAACTGTGCTTGATCACCCCAACGGAAGGTGTCCCGTCAATGGATCTCGCGGCCTCAATGGGTTTCATGGCACCAATGGACATGGAACTATCTCTGGCCTCCCAGTAAACTCTACCACCACTGGACGGAAGAGAGTCTTTGTATTGAGCACACGACACAGCAAATCAACAAGGACATTAGCATACAATTTGAAGACGTACGTCAGCCAGAACACAAGTATAGAGCAGGAGCAATTTCTCGATGACATGGCCCACACGCTTTTCGCGCGACGCTCTACCTTGGAATGGAGGTCTTCTATCACGGCAGATAGCTCTTCCACTTTGATCTCCGCTCTGGATGACGACGGACTAGAACCTCGCATGGCACTGAGGAACCCTAAGCTTGGATTTGTGTTCACGGGACAAGGAGCACAGTGGTATGGTATGGGCCGCGAGCTTATACAAGCCTACCCAGTATTTGCAAATTCTCTTGCCAATGCCGAGAAGTATTTCACCAGCTTTGGTGCTCCGTGGCTACTTCTGAGTAAGTGATTCGGGTTGAGTCGCTGTTACATATGCTGATAGATTGCAGATGAATTATTGCTGTCAGAACAGTCGTCTCGCGTTTCAAAGGCTTCAATAGGACAACCTCTCTGCACTGCAATTCAGCTTGCACTCGTAGATTTACTGGCATCATGGAACATTAAGCCTTCTGCGGTGACCGGTCACTCTAGCGGCGAAATCGCGGCAGCCTATGCGTCTGGCGCATTGGATTTCAAGGACGCTTTGAAGGTTTCGTTTTACCGTGGACAGCTGGCGAACACGATTCCTGAAAAGGCTTCTCATCTGAAAGGAGCCATGTTGGCTGTTGGGTTGTCAGAGGAGAAAGCAAGAAGAATCATTAACCAGTTGGAGGGTAAAGGGGGCAAAATGGTGGTAGCATGTGTGAACAGTCCTTCGAGCGTCACTGTCTCTGGCGACGAAACTGCCATTATCGAATTACAGGACATACTGGAGGCACGAATGATCTTCAATCGCAGACTAGTCGTCGACACTGCATACCACTCCCATCATATGGAAGTCATCGCTCGGGAGTATCTGGCTTCACTCTCTGACATACAGCCACAGAAGACTTCAGAGTTCGTGCGTTTCGTTTCTTCAGTCACTGGCCGGCAAATGGCAGGCAACGAACTGGATGCGGCGTACTGGGTTCGGAACATGGTCTCCCAAGTACGTTTTTCAATGGCCCTTGAATGCATGTGCATTCGGCCTGCCGAAAAGCAACTCGGTCAAAGCTGGTCAAAATACGCAGTGGATAGTATCGTCGAGATTGGACCGCATTCTGCACTGGCAGGACCAATCAAGCAAACACTGAAATCAGACAAATTGCAGGATGCGAGAATCAGGTACCTCTCTGCTCTAGTTCGAGGAAAGGATGCTTGTACGACAGCTTTGGACGTGGCTGGGACGCTGTTCACCGAAGGCTTCTCAGTCGATCTGACCTCAGTCAATTTCCCGCATGGCAGAGGTAAGAGAAATGTTCTTGTGGATCTGCCATCCTACCCCTGGAATCATGGAACGAAGTACTGGGATGAATCTCGCCTTAGCTCTGAGTACCGCTTGCGAAAGCACCCTCGTCATCCTCTTTTAGGTGTACCTGCTCCAGACTACAACCCGCTGGAACCCAGATGGCGGAACGTCATCCGTCTATCAGAATTTCCCTGGCTTAGAGGGCATGTTGTACAGTCGAGTATTGTGTACCCAGCAGCGGGATATGTTGCCATGGTAATCGAAGCAGCTAAACAACGACATGTTGGAAGTGGACGTAAGGATCACATCCTCAAGTATGGATTTCGCGATGTCAACGTTGGCAAAGCTCTCGTGATACCCGACACCCCAGAAGGCGTCGAATTAATGTTGAGCATACGGCCATACGCACGCACAGCCCGTGATTCTTCTGACACATGGGACGAATTTCGCATCTTCTCATTTGCAGAGAAGGAAGGCTGGAGCGAGCACTGTCGAGGTCTTATCTCGCTGCAATTCAAGGCTGGTTCTGCTGACTTCGAAGGCGACCGCGAGACGCATTTCGCTGCCATGAAACATGCGGATAAGTTTTCGAAGGCAGAAGCGCACTGCAAAGCGGTTTTGGAACCGAAAGAACTTTATGAAGGGTTGGCGAATCTTGGTCTCGAATACAGCGGTGTCTTCACCGGCGTTGTGAGCATACGAGCTCAGCCAAACGAGTCACTTGTTGTTGTGCAGATTCCTGATACCAAGAGCATGCTGCCTGGAAACTTTGAACAACCTCATGTCTTGCATCCTGCAACATTAGATGCTTGCTTTCAGACCATATTCTGTGCGATGATGAAAGGGGTCGGGATTACTGACACATTAGTGCCCACATTCATCGAGGAATTATCTGTCTCTGGGAATATCATCAGCAAGCCAGGTCACGAATTCAAAGTCTTGTCTTCCACTACTGCCTCAGGGTTGCGTGGACTCAAGGCAGACCTTGTTGTCGCAAACGTCTGTTCCACAGGGCTACCACTCATCAGTATACAAGGACTGAAATGTACCGCTCTTCTCGGAGGAGGGCCAAATGAAACCCTTCCTACCAGCCAAGAGAAACGAATGTGCCATAAGCTCAAATGGCTACCAGATCTGGAATTTCTAGAAGCAACGCAGATTAAAGAGCTGTGCAAGAAGAACTTGTCAGATGAATCACACGCAGATATGCTCTGGGTGCTCAACGCAGTTACAGATCTCGCGATCCGGGATACACTCAAGTCACTTGAAGGATGGGACAAGACTCTGTTATCACTACACCATAAGCACATGTACGAGTGGATGACAAAGTACGCCAACGAGTCACCAGCACACCCCGGGTCTAAAGCTTGTGATTTACGAAGACGTGCAGAGACATTTGGATCTCATGGTGAAATGACCCTGCGCATCGGTGACAATCTCACTGCCATCCTCAAAGGGGAAATTGATCCCTTATCTGTGATGATGGAAAAGAACCTTCTTTATCAAGTCTACGCAGATGAGAGCTCACGCCGCTGCCACGTCCAGATGATTGAATATGTGGACATGTTAGCACATAAACACCCTGATATGAAGGTCCTCGAGATCGGTGCGGGCACCGGCGGGACAACATTGCCTATTTTGAAGGCTTTCGGAGGGGGATCGCCTGGAAGCGGCCCTGCCCGTCTGGGTCATTTTGACTTCACTGATATATCGAGCGGCTTTTTCGAGAAAGCAGAAGAGCTATTGAAGCCGTGGGAGGGGCTTGTCAGTTTCAAAAAACTAGATATCGAGAAGGACACCAAGGCTCAGGGTTTTGAGGACGCCTCCTACGACTTGATTGTCGCTAGTAACGTCCTTCATGCCACAGCAGTAATGGATGTCACCATGTCGAATGTCAGGAGACTTCTCAAACCAGGTGGGAAACTGATGCTCTCAGAGATTACACGACCAACCCCATACATCGGCCTTGTCTTCGGCACCCTCCCAGGCTGGTGGCTGGGCGCTCCGGATGGACGAGTCGATTCGCCGCTCATGAACGAGGAAACCTGGGAGGCCACTCTGCTCCGGAACGGTCTCACTGGACTTGATCTTTGCCTGCAAGATTATCCTGCAGAAAACTGCAAATACGCCGTTACGAGCGTGATCGTCTCGTCTGCTAAGCCGGTCACTCCTCAGCCTGCTTTTTCACCTGTTGAGTTGATCTATGGACAAAGGTCTGCTTCAATCAGTATTCCCTTGGCGAAGCTTCTCAACGCCAACCTGACGACACTAGAAGAAACATCTGCTACTGGAAAAGTGTGCGTGGTCTTACCAGAAATGCATGAACATATCCTAAGCTCCGGTAGCCCATCTCAATTTGGGGCTATTAAAAACATGCTTTCGACCGCCAAAGGTGTGCTCTGGGTCACACAAGGAGCTGCTATGGACTGTACAGCTCCCGATAACAGCCTTATCACTGGTCTTGCTCGGACAGTGAGAAATGACAATGAGGCTCTTAGACTCGTTACACTCGACCTGGACCCTGACAGCGGACGTTCCGACGCTGAAACCGCTGAGATTATCTACAATATCTACAAATCCGCTTTCAATGACGCTACGCAATGCGAGAGTCAAGATTCGGAATTTGCTGAGCGTGGTGGTAAAGTTTTCATTCCTCGACTGGTCGAGGATTCGGAACTGAACACCTATTTGAAAGCGAGCACTACTGTCCGGGATCCAGAAGTTCAGCCTTTCTTCCAAGAGGGACGAGCTCTGCATCTTGAGGTTGGCCAACCCGGTCTTCTTGACAGTCTACGATGGGTAGATGATGAGACAGTCCTGCTTCCACTTGCTCCGGACGAGATAAGGTTGGAGCTCAGAGCAGCAGGTATCAACTTCCGTGACATAATGATTTCACTTGGACAGCTCGAAGGGACATCGAGGATGGGCGGAGAGTGTGCCGGTGTTGTGACGGATGTCGGAAGCAACATGACCAAGAAGTTCAAGGTCGGTGACCGTGTCTGTAGCTGGGGAGCAGGTGCTTATGCCAGCTCTGCTCGTGTCCATGGCCCAAGTGCGCAGCATATCCCTGATGATATGAGCTTTGAAACTGCCGCCTCGTTGCCGATTGTCTACACCACAGTCTATTACTCCCTGGTTTACCTTGCTCGTCTGCAAAAGGGAGAAACGATCCTGATTCACTCCGCCGCTGGAGGAGTTGGCCAAGCAGCGATCATGCTGTCGCAACATATTGGTGCCAAGGCGTTCGTCACAGTTGGTAGTGAGGAGAAGAAACGTTTCCTCATGGACAACTACCATGTCCCCGAGGAACGCATCTTTTCCAGCCGACAGACCACATTTGGTGAAGGTATTAAGCGGTTGACGGGTGGGAAAGGGGTTGATGTCGTGCTCAACTCCCTCACTGGTGAGGGATTCAGGGAGACGTGCAACTGCGTAGCCTACTTTGGCCGCTTCATTGAGATAGGCAAACGAGATGTGCTTATGAATGCACGCATGGACATGGCCCTTTTTGATAAGAACGTTACGTTCTCTTCCGTTGATCTGACGAAAGTTTGCGATCACGACGTCAACCTTGCTGGGAGATTATTCAAAGAGGTGTTTGACTTGATACGGCAAGGTTCGGTTGGAGCTGTAAAGCCAGTTACCATTCTACCCCTGTCTGAGATCGAGACTGCTTTCCGCCAGATCCAGGCTGGCAAGCATATGGGTAAGATCGTGCTTCAGGCTCAGCCAGATGTTCAAGTCAAAGTGAGCGATTCCAACCTTTCAATGATCCCTGCAAGAATACTAACCATTGTCAGGTCATTCCTCGCTCCCCTGCGTCCGTGAAGTTTGACGACAACGCTTCCTACTTAATCGTTGGTGGCCTTGGTGGTCTAGGCCGGGTTATCTGCAAATGGATGGCCAGCCTGGGTGCAAAGAACATCATCATCCTTAGTCGATCAGGAGTGAAGGGTTCTGCTTCTGTTACTGTCGCAAAAGAGCTGAAGGAGGCCGGCGTCAACTTGGCCGTACACGCCTGCGATATTGGTGATTATGCTCAAGTCAAAGCTGCTTTGGATATCTGCGCAAAGAATATGCCACCGATCCGTGGTGTGATCCAAGCAGCCATGGTTCTGAAGGTAAGGATAACATTAGCAACATAAGTAAGGTCTTCATTAACATAAGGATATAGGATTCAACGCTTGAGAACATGACCTACGAGGATCTGCACACTGCTCTTCGGCCCAAAGTTCAAGGAACCCTGAACATCCACAATCTCGTACCCCAAAAGCTCGACTTCTTCATCACGCTCTCCTCAGGCGCCGGCATCGTTGGCAACCATGGCCAAGGCAACTACGCCGCAGGTTCAACGTTCCAAGACGCTTTCGCCCGCCAACAAGCCGGCAAGGGTCTCCCCGTCCGCTCCATCGATCTCGGGATGGTCGAGGGCGCCGGCTACGTCAGCGAGAACCTCACCTCGATGACCTTCCTCCAGAACCAAGGTTTCGTCCCCGTCGCCCTCAGCGAGCTCCTCGCGACCTTAAACTACGCCATCACCAGCCCCCCTTCAGACATCGACTCCTCCCAGCTAATCGTCGGGCTCCAACGTCCCGACGCCGCCACCGCCGATTCCACGAGCCTCTTCTCCCGCGATCTCAAATTCTCGCAATTCGTAACCCTCGCCTCCTCGGGCCCCAGTAGCCCCTCCAACACCAGCTCTCAAACCTTCGACGTCCAGAAAGCTCTCAAGGAAGCCTGCTCCCAGCAGAGCGCCGGCGACATCATCGCCAACGCCATCCTCGCCAAGCTCTCCAAGGTGCTGGCCGTGCCGCTCCAAGATCTCAGCGCCGCGCAGTCCATCGCGCACTACGGCGCCGACTCCCTCGTCGCGGTCGAGCTCCGCAATTGGTTCGCGAGGACCCTGGAGGTGAATATTCGGATCCTGGATCTGTTGAGCGCGACGCCGATTAATGAGCTGGCGGCCAACATGGCGACGCAGTCGAAATTGGTGGATCCGGCTTTGTTCGTTAAGGCGGCTTGTTAGTACAGTAGTGAGTGGGGTGGGCTGGAGTAGCGGGTTTGTGAGTCTATGGATGATGATGATGAATTTAGATGGCGAGGGTTAGTTAGTTAGTTGGAGCAGTTTTCTTAGTAGGTAGATGTTGTATGATAGGTAGAGATTGGGTAATTATGCTAGGTGCGGATATTATGGGAGTTAAGTAATGTCTAGTTTTATTCTATTCCAGGGCTTCGATTTAGGTAGCAACTACTCCATATATGCATGTTTGTTTTCAAGATGAAGAAGAAGCGTTCACATAATAAATAATCCATCCGATCCTAAGAATCGAGCCTAATAAGGAAAGTTTTCGTGTTTTATTGAATCTTTCGAATCTATATGATCTTCTCCTTTCACGTCGAACTCTGCCCCCTTTCGATATTCGCTCACCATCCCCTCTATACGCCACGCTCCCTCAACACAGCAATTTCACACGTTAAGCACAGCACTTCAGTCTTCATGTGCTCGCTTTTTACCTGTCAAATAACACTCAATTTAGCCATCCGACCAACACACGTCTACTCACGCAAAAAAACTAGCAAGCAAGCAGGCAGAAGTAACAAGCAACAACAACGCAGCAGCAACAACAACAACGCAAGGTATCTAACTCTTAACCAGTAGACTGCGGCCAGTCATCTCTTCGGGTTGCTGCAGGCCCATAGCTTCGAGGATCGTTGGCGCGACGTCGCCGAGGACGCCGTCGTCTGACTTCTTGAGGCTCCAGCCTTTAGGCGCGTTGGCCATGACGAAGGGAACCTTGTTGGTTGTGTGAGAGGTCTTGGGCTTGCCGTCTTCGAATTTCATTTCTTCGGCGTTACTGAATTGAATGTTAGTGAGCGTTTCAGGGGAGTTATGGAGAAGAGGACTAACCCGTGATCAGAGGTGACGAAGAGGATGTAGCCTTCCTTCTTGCAGGTCTCGTAGATCTCTCCAATGGCCTTGTCAGTAGCAGCTACACCAACGATAGCAGCCTCGTATACACCGGTGTGTCCCACCATGTCAGGTGGTGCAAAGTTGTTCATGACGAATTCGAATTTACCCTCTGAGATACGCTTGCTGACTTGCTTTGCAACACCTGCAGCGCTCATCTCGGGTGCTTTGTCATAGGTAGGGACACTCTTGTTAGATGGGACAAGATCTTGCTTCTCGTCTCTGGTCTCAAGAGGGAAGACCTTCTCCACGCCTCCGTTGAAGAAGAATGTCACGTGGGCATACTTCTCGGTCTCGGCGACGTGAACTTGGTTCACGCCCTGTTTTCCAAGAGTCTCTGCAAGAACGTTGCCCATGTGCTGTGGTTTGAAAGCAATTTCGAAAGGATAGTCGAGCTTGTATTGGGTCATGGTTGTGAGAGTGATGTTCTTTGGGTAAGGGAAGTTCTCCAATGGGGAACGGTCAACATCTCCAAGAAGCTGAGTGATCTCTCGAACACGGTCAGAGCGGTAGTTGAAGAAGAATACCTGGTCACCATCTGGAGGGCTTAGTTAGGAAATCTTCAATAGGAGGAAAGGGTTTCTGGCTTACCTTTGACACGGGCCTCCTTGCCGCCCAGAATAATTGGCTTCAAGAATTCATCGTTCTCGCCCTTGGCGTATCTCTCCTTGATGGTCTTGACTGGGTCAGTACTCTCCTCTCCGTCACCGACGCACATGCCATTCAAGGCAACCTCGATTCTGTCCCAACGCTTATCACGGTCCATGGCGTAGTATCGTCCGACAACAGTCGCAACTTGACCGATACCAATCTCCTTGATTTTATCCAGAAGGCCCTCCATGTATCCAGCACCGGATTTGGGGTCGGTGTCGCGTCCATCACCGAAGAAGTGGATGTAGACATGAGGGACTTCGAGCTCCTTGGCAACCTTCAATAGAGAGTAGAGGTGATCTTGCTTGGAGTGCTGTTGAACGCGTTAGCTCCATCTCTGACATTTCGTGCGATTCTACTTACGACCCCTCCATCAGAGATCAAACCAGCCAAGTGAAGGCGTCCAGTGCCCTCCTTAGCTGCCTTGAAAGCCTTCACAATAACATCGTTCTTGTTCAGCTCTCCCTTCTTGATCGTCTGATCAATGCGAACCACATCCTGCCACACCACTCGTCCGGCTCCGATGTTCAGATGTCCGACCTCAGAGTTTCCCATCAAACCCTCTGGCAGCCCGACAGCGAGCGAGGAGGCCTCGAGTTCGGTATAACCCTCTGCGTTGGTCTTGAAGCCGTCCATCACAGGAGTCTCGGCCGCCGCGATTGCATCTCCATCCTTCGGAGATGACTCGCTAGGGATTCCCCAGCCATCAATTACAACTGCGCCAGACGACCACGATTAGCCACGACAGTTCCAGGTATACGAGGCATATGAGAAGGATGAGGATCCAGTCAGGTTTCTTCAGCGATGGCATGGCGATTCTGGCACCGACCGGAAGCGCAGGAAGCAGAGAGATTGGGGGCCGTAGAGGAGGAGGAATTTCGCTGCCCGCTGTTTGGTCCATGAGGGAATAGATATGAAAGAAACGTGGAGTTGTATCTTACTGAGGACAGCTTTGTTCTCGACTTTGACCATTTTAAGCGGTGTTTCGTCTGTTGCGGAGGCCTGTAACAGCAGCGTTAATCAGACAAACGGTTCCAAGGACTGAACAAAGGAACAAAAGCAAAGCACTCACGATAAAGCACAGAGAGCCTGGAGACTTCCTGAGTAGAGCAGAGTATTTGCTGAAGGGATTCCTAACCTTGAATGCTGGTGGTTGAAGGAAGAAGAAAGGTGTGCGATTCGTATGTATGTAGTGGGGCAAGCGTGGGGTCAACCAAGTTCTCAACTGACGTCCCAGCTTCGCGCCGGTCAATGACGGTCCATTCAACCCCGTACCTCTCCTTTGGCCGCCCTCGCAGTCCAATCACCGACCTCAATCAGATCACAGGCCAGAGATCCATATCTCCAGAGCCGGCACAAACTCTGGCAAAGACGTGAAAAACCCGCGATGGCATCAACACCCTCGCAGTCGACCCCACAACCGCCCTCCGCATTCGTCCTGCCTGAAGGCCTCTCCGCCGACTCCATCGACACCATCCCGGTTCTCTCCGCCATCCTCTCGCGCCTGCAGAGCCTCTCCGCCAGCCCCGCGGCCAACGCTGCCTCGCCGCCCGCCGCGTCTCCGGCCCAGATTGGCAGCGGCACTGGCCCGCTCACCATCAAGGACATCCCTACCGCGACAGATGATCTGAAGCATAAGCTGCAGAGGGCGAGGGCGCAGGTGAAGGAGCTGCCGGATATCGACCGGAGCGTTGCCGAGCAGGAAGAGGAGATTCGGGAATTGGAGGAGAGGATTAGGAGGCAGAGGGAAGTGCTCGAACAGCTGAAGGACGCGGGCTTAAAGGCTTTGGGAGAACTTGGAGGCGCTGCGAAGAATCCGGATGCTATGGAAACTTGAGGTTGAGTCTCAGGCTGGCACTGTTGAACTGCGAATGTTTTGAAGTGGCACGACGACACGCGGAGTCACCACGGAGCTATGAAGACATATAGGGGATATCTAGCACGGCGGGATGGTCTGCAGAGTTTAGCAGTCAACTCGCCATGGACGAAGTTCGTGGAATTTCTGGAGAACGGCAGACACTGCGGAAAATTGCCTCTCCCATAAGAAAGCAGCATGGGCTTTTACGAGTGTACGGAGTCATTTGAGAATTGAGATACAAATTGATACCCTTTTGAACAAGTTACAAATAATTAACGCCACCAAATGCTGCCTCAACCACTGATCCAACTCCAGTGCTCTTGCTATGGGTATAGTGATTTTGAATCCATGAACAACGTTTCATCCATTTCCCAGGCAACAACTACATTTTTATTGTTTGACAATACCGACCCTTTCCAAAATATCATCAGGTCCAACCCCTGGCCCACCTGGAACGACGTTTGTCCAGATATCTTCCTGGAGTCTCTGACCTTCTGGAAGGATGCTCCAATTGGGACTGGGCTCTGCTTTGAGCCATTTGAAATCATCAACCTGATCCCACTGGTTCTGGACTGGCTCCTGTGAAGCAATAGCCTATATACATCTTAGCTTTATATAAGTCATGTATCATTCGGTGTGAACTCACATGGCATGCTGGAATGGGGGCAAAGCGAACGTTTCGACAATCTTCGATGATAGGCCGACTTGAACAATGTAGATATATATCCACATTGTTGCAATCATGCATTCGGACTTGTCTGGAAGCCACGACGATAATGCTATCTTGAACTGCGGTTATGTGAGCGGCACCAGCCACATGGCCGACTATGATCAGTGAGTTCTTGATATCCTTCAAGGCAAGGCCAGCGAAAGGGGCACCATCCGCGGTTGGAACAGATGTATCGACAATACACCTGTTTAGCTTCGTAAGAGAGCCGGATGAAGTGGCTCGAGAAGCAGATACAGGAAGGATGATATGCAGGCCTGTATGACCCGAAATATTGATATCAGTTGCTCGCGAGAAACTCGGCGTCCGAGTAGACCCAGATCCTCCCGCCGTGATTTTACTGTTGTAGTTCTTTACAGATGATGTATCTCTGGTCTCAACCTCGCTCGGGTTTGCCGGTGTGGTAGCCATTGAGGACTCAGTTGACGAAGAAAACCCTGGTCTGAGGGCCGGATGTTGGAGACGCTGTTGTTTTGCGAGCTCTGCTGCATCACTCAAGGAGATGGCGGAGTTATTCTTATTCGTCGTCTTGAACTTAAACCTACTCTTGGGTGCGAACTTGGCTCGCGTCTCGTCTAGCTTTTCCTTGAGGGCTTGGATGGCCTAACCACCTTAGTAAATTACTGGATATTCATTATGAGCCTCAATTTACCTGTGAATACGTTCGTTGGTCATAAGCCGGAATGAAATCCGTCGCATCCGTGACCTCATTTGAAAGTCTGGAAATACGAGCAATGCAGTTGTCTATGGCATCTTGTCTTTCTCCTCCAGCCAGAGCATGGCTTCCCAGTTGGCTTATCTGTTCTTGGAGCTCTGGCTGAGGTCAGAAGGAAACCCTGGGAATAGGAATAGAAGCCATACCTGTCACTTCTTCCTGAAAGTAACGATAGAACCGCTCTTTGGCATTGGGTTGATGGAACGCCGACTGGTTGAACGGAGCACGAGGCCCCTCTTTAGTATTATTGTCCATTTGCCCACTGCCACTCGTCTACTATTTGAGATGGTGAGCTAGCGGCGTGTATTATTGAAATCGGGGTAAGTTGGTGATAGTAGACGGCAAGGCGGGCTTCCACACAGGCCTATCACGTAGGAGAGCAATTCACAACAGCTGAGACGATACAACGTAGACTTATGCAGGCTTGCGGGTGGTTAATAGTGACCAGATGCAGGGCTATGTGGCAGGCTTGGAACGGGTCGTGCCGTGCGTTGACCAGAGAATCGAACGGGACAGACAACCTTTTTCTCGTCGCAATGTAGGTGTAGAGGATCAAAATACGCTGTCCTGATGGACACCTACCACTCGAGGCGTATCAAAAACCTGTCATGATGTACGCTTGATGTGGTGGTAGAGGAGTTAGGTCAGTACTTACGGTGATAGTGGACATGCACCCTCGCGCTGAGGTTGGCAGAAAGAGAGTGAGGCGCTGGGGTTCTGCGAGGGGGATGAGTAAGCGAACGTCATGACTAGTGGCGTAAGCGGCACGAGAATTTACCAGTCGTATCCCCGGCCTTCCCTCCTCGACCCCAGGTCTGGTCCCGGATCGCCCCACCCCGCGAGGCTCGACACAATACTCGATCCGAAACTCAATCTCGACGCGGTCCCAACGCTCGACACGCCGCTCGGGTACTTGCTCGCGAAGGGCTCGTTGCTGGTGATGCGCGGCTGCGTGCCCTGGCTGTCTGTGTGGCCGCCGGTGGCTACGCAACTTGCGTGCGGGGAACTCATGCGTAGGGGATCGGGATAGAGAAATGTGCCATCGCGGCTCAAGGCCCGGTTGGATGTGCCGATGGTGTTCTGGTTCGTAGGGTACCGTAGTTCAGGGCGCTCTAAATCGAAGGGATCGGACCGCCCTTTTCCGCTCCGTGCGTTGACTGAGAAGGATGACGAGAGGGTGTCTCGTAGGCGGCTATCCCGACTCAGGGCGATTCCCGATGAATAACGAGAGCTGAGTCCACTACTTCTGAGTTGGGAGTACGTGGTGCTGTGATTATTTGCCGTGTCGATGGATTGGCCGCGTGACCGGCGAGTATTCGCCATATATGTGTTTGTTTTCTGGATGGATGGTTGAGGCTGGGTTATAGGGTCTGCGAATGGATTGACGATGTTTGGTCCGACGTCAGTGGCGGGTGAAGCCCATGGCTTATCTTGAGCTGCCGGAGGAGCTGCCAGGACCGGGTCGGCAAAGGGATTGTTGGTCTCGAAGTTAACTTCCAAGCTCCCGACATTCGGGACAGATGATCCCAGATCATTGCCTGCCGGTAGGGAAGCACTCCGACGTTCGGATGGGAATTGCACACCACGATCGTCCATATTGAGGAGTTTGGAGAAGTCGGGTGTGCCACTAATATTGGCTTGCTTTTCAGTCAATCCGCGTGCGGTAGCAAATGGATCCACAGGAGGCTCTCTCTTCTGTCTCCTCAAAAGCCAACTGAAGCTGATCTTTTCTCGGAGCCGCTCCCAGAGGTCGTTCAACCGATCGTTAGTCGTACGTTGCCCACAGTTGTTTGACAGAAGCGATTGATTCCGGCTATGTTGGGGTATAGGCCCGTCGAAGAATTGAGAGTTGCCTCTGTCCAGGTTGACACTTGGAATATCGCTTCGAGCGCCCACTACTACAGACTTGAGGGACGCTCCTAACCATACAGCGGCACCTCTCACTCTGCCTATCTGATGTTTGAATTGTGCCCCAACTCTGATGCCGAGCTTTGTCAGACCTACTGACCCATTACCAACCTCAGAAGAACTCGTCCCTCTCCCAGCGTCCAAGGGAGTGAGCAATGAATCCCTTTGATCTCTCCGCCGCCTCCTCAAATACCAGAAGAGGAACGCAATAATTCCAATAAGAGCAATACCGCCAACAACTCCACCTACAACAGGGCCAGGAGCAACTCGCAGATTTGATGATATGCCGGCAGAAGCCGATACTTGTGTGGGGTGGGTAGGATTCGAAGCGGCAGTAGGAGGAGGGAAACTAGTTGGCCCGGTACCAGTTGGGAAATCGTTCGGGTCATTAGACGTAGTTACTGATGGGTAACTTATTTCGCTTTCAGCAATAGGCGCGGAGGTGGCAGAAGCGCTGGTCTCGGCCGTCCCTGTTGAGACAGGTACGGCTATCGAGGGATTGGAAGGAACTTCAGTCGTCGAAGGATTAGGGGAAGCCTCAGATGTTGAAATGCTGAGAGCTACGGCAGAACCACTTGTTGCTATTGGAGAAGCCTGAGAATTGCTTGATATTATTGGGATAGTCTGAGGGATACTGGTTGTAGACGTTGCTGCTCCCGTAGAAGTGACCGAGTCTCCTGAGTTAAATGCCGCACCTTGAACCTGAGCACTCGGTGCTATCGCTTCCGTTATTATTGAAGTTGATGATGAAGATAATGTATTTGTCGTTACAGAGGCAGCTCCTACGGATGTACTTGTTGCAGCGCTTCCTGGAATGGTAGTCAGGGTGCGTGGAACAGCCGTACACCGTTTTCCATTGATCGATGTAATAAAGTATCCTGCCGGCAGGGTCGCGCTCGTCGACATGATGGGAAAAAGGAAAAGCGAGACCAGTCGCTGTGCTGAATGTAATGAATCAACCTTCAAGGGAAAGTGATAACAGAGGCTCCTAGGCCATCAACTTGTCGCCTCAGCCATAATATTGGCGATGGTATCAAAGGAAGGAAGAGCATGAGTGAGTACGGAGTCGAAGGAGAGAGCCCTAGCGACGGCGTGGTGGCGGTCCGGGAAGAATACATTGATCGGCGACCCTCAAACGTAAACGCCCTGACGAGTCTGGAGTGACTCTGGTACTCGTGAGAGGCAGCAAGTAGAAGGACAGAGTAGGGACAGTATGTTTGAAGACCGGGGTCGTGATTGGGAGGGCTGCTTGGAGGGCGGTTGAAGATGTCGCAGCCCCTTGCACTGACACGACCGGCGAAGCACATTGCTCCAAGCGACGAGCGTGTAAGGGCAACTTGCAAGGGGATTTGAAATCTTCTTTTTAAATAGCCTTTTAACGCGCACGTCGCTTGACGTGTTAATCATGAAATGCCTGAGTAATGGAAAAGAACAGAGGTGATAGAAGATAGAAATACAGCCACTTCGCCATACTGTATAGCCATGGCCACAGCGGTGCCTCCGCAGAGCGGTATAGGGCGATACATGTGAGCGATACATATAATAGACACGATAGATGCCAGAGGTCGCAATCAATCGTGAATCGCTTCGATACACCGTATACATGATGCGTACTTGAGATATTGTATAGTACAGTGAGGCATCTGGCGTGTAAGGTGTTCTTGTAGGGAGCCCATCACGGGCAAATCGCGAGTGAACTGAGGAGCATTGGTCATTGCTTAGTAATACAGTTTAAGAATATTTCCTTTTTCCTTATTTCGGGGTATTATTGGCATATTCGGAACATTTCTCGCCGTTTATCAGGGCCCTTTTAAGCTGCCTTGATTGGACGAGGGATCACACAAAGACGAAGAAAGACGAAGCGTTAAATGGAATCAAATCTGTATAAAACAAAAAAGAAAAAAAAGATGTGCCACCCCCCCGCAATACGTAGCCATCTTATATATGGAGATATAACACGAGGCCGTTATATATCATCCCTTTATATGGTGGGACCCCGGGCGACTCCACCTGTTCGCACACACGAGCCGAGCCGGGCGGGATTTAAACACATTAATTATCGACAACATCAATCAATCAGATATCAATCCGTCAATCAACCACCAAAACCGCTGAACCCCCACCAGGACACCCCGCACTGACTGGTGTCGTCACTGATATCCGCATCGATGGTCTGGCTGTGACAATCTGCTTGATTTGCTGCGTATCATCAACGTGTGGAAGAGGATCTGAGTAGACGTCGGCCGCGCCACCAGCGTCGTCCGTCACCATGTTTGCAGGCGTTGGGCTCCTAGGTAAGCAAATATCAAGTCTCCTCTTAATGTATTTCTTCCTGAGGGCATGTCAGCTGCGCTCCCCAATTTCAGCTCTTGTTCGCCATTCTATACGACCCAATAGCTAGCTACCTCTCTTCGTCTGCTCTGATGCTCGTCGTTCGTTCTGTCTTGGCTGCCTTCTTGCTTGCAATAGAGCATTGGAGGAACCGTTCAGACGATATGATGACTGCCGTATTGCAACGTTGCCATAGTTACCATTGGCTCAACGCTGCCCTCTCTATCTTGTCTCTATGTTTCCGATGCCGATCTTCGCTGTAAAAAAAGACAGCTTGGCGCCCTCTCCAGTTCTTGATATCGGAGGTTTATTGGAGTCCACATCTCTTACGCGTGTTTCTGTGCAGCTCCTTTTCAGACCCCAACTTCAGCAGATGGCACACCAAGGAAGGTTCCGCCTCCAACGCCGGTCAGATTCCCCCAATGCACCCCACAAACGGAAGACAGGCCTCTATCGAGCAAGGTGCCATTGCCCACGTTGTTGCAGACTATCCATAGACCAGCGGATCTTCAACTATCACACTTCGAAGCTCTGGGAGTCCACGTGATCCCCGATGCTTCCCCACGAGACATTATTCCGGACCCTAGCTTCCTACCGCCTTTCGAGGAATGGCTAGCCATACCTCCAGAGGAGCTGGAAGAGAAGACCATTGCGAGCAAGAAACGCCTCAGCAATGGCAACCTATCACCTGGCATCCAAACCTATATTGAGCGCCGCAATGAGTTATCCATAGACAACACCCCGGCCTTTCGCACAATTCGACGAATTCCGCCACCTCCTGGTGAAGCAGCCGTCCGCCTGGGAAACGCATACGAGTTCTTCAGGAACCTCGAGCTGTTCTCAGGGTACTGGCCGGATACCTCCCTCCCAACAAAACCAGATGAACCGTCCTCAGACCCCGGGCCTTCTTCCGATGATGGAAAGGGGAAAGAAGAATCAGCACTACACCTCCAAACCCATCATCTCATAGGAACAGGATCACAAACTCCCGCAGAATACCGTCAGCAACTGCTCACGGCCTTTATCAAGCTGGTCGCCTACGATTTTGGCTGCAATGTCTCCTTCTCCCGCTGCGAGCCGCGTCTACACCTCACACCCCCATCGCCATCGCCGCCATCCCATTTCAACTCCGCTGTGGCATTCATCTACCGCACGCCCACCGACCGCGCATCCGCTCGCTCTGGTATCGTCGAAGGACCTCTCGCCGCAGTATCCTGCCGGCCCACCACCGGCTTCACCACGCCGAACGAAGAGCGGCTCGACCTCGCCCGCGAAGTCGTCGCCGTCCTCCTCACAGCTCAACAGCGCGCCCGCGAGGGCAAATCCGAGAAGCGCTTCGGCGAGGGCAAGTGGTGGACATCTACGCCACGCTGGGGCGGCGGCCCCGGTGGCCCCATCGGCAGCGAAGCCGACCGGACGGAGGAACCGATCCTGGAGCTCGGCCCGGGCGCAGAGAAACTGCCCAGCAGCATCAGCGAGATGAAGCGGGCCATCGGCGGCATCGGCGGGTCGAGCTCGAGCAAGCGCAGCAAAAAAGGGACCGCGCAGATCTATGAGAATTATCGCAAACTGCTTCCCCCGAGCAGCACGTGGGATCGCAAGGCAAGGTATTCGGCGATTGGGAAACCAAAGGATGTGGGCGCGGACGACGTGTTCTTAGTCAGTACGCTCAACCACCATGTCTGCATCGTGCGAGCTCGAGTCCCGGAGTCTCTCCTCAGAGTCCTAGATGGGGAGGAGATCGAGTGGGAACGTATGGTGATGTGGAGAAGTCGATGGTTTGATCTCTTCCTAAAGGAAGACCGGATTCAGGGCATGGAATTGATCTGGGGCATGATGGCATGGTTGATGAGGAGTGAGAGTCCTGCTGATACTGACAAAATGGATGTTAGTAGGTAGTTATGGTGCTGGAGAGTGGGTTGGGATATCGAAACGAAATGAAATTGCATGCACAGTTGGATGATAGGTTTAGAATGGCGATGATGTTTAGGATTCAAAGATAATGCAATGCAATTCATGAGTGAGCACTTCTTAGCAAGCTAACCAGGATATAAACGCAGAAGAAATAGAAAAGTTGATGAGTGAGCTCTTCTTAGCAAGTTATCCAGGATATAAACGCAAAAGAAATAGAAAAGTTTTCATCTCCAACAGTCTCATCCATCCCTCCCTCTCCCTCCCTGTCCCTCTCCCCTCCAGATCCTCTATCAAAATCCTCTAATATCCGAATATTCACCTTCCCCCTAAACCCAACAACAATAGGTAGTACCTACAACAGTGAATAGCACCACCACCAAGCGAACTTCCTATTGTCTCCCTCCCCAGTTCTATTCAACTCCCATCCTATTGTCGTCCTATCCTCGTATAATTTCCCACAACATGTCCCTCCCTCTCTTCCTCTCTCTCTCTTCCTTGATCCATCTCTCACTCAATCACCCACTTTCACAAAATTCCTCAATTACTCTCACTCACTCACACATACTCTCACTCACACACATACCACACACACCACACACCAAACACAAACACAAACACACCACACATACCACCTACTTTTCAGGACAGACAATACAAAATGTCCCAAGATCTGCAGCTCATCAGCCCAGCTCGCTACTACAAGATCCCACTAATCATGAGGCCGGCTTATGAGGAGTGGAGGCCAGCAAGGCTGGCGTGGATGATTGAGAGGGAGGCGGAGAGGAGGAGGAGGTATAGAGGGAGGTTGTATGGGGGTGTTAGGTGAGTCCCTTTCTTTCTCTTTCTTTTTCTTGATTAAGTTCTTTTTGTGTTTTGTTGTGTCTTGAGGGGACTTGGATGGCTGATTCAAGAGATAATAGGAGAGGGAAGGGGAAGGGGAAGGGAGTGAAGAGGATGAGGAATGAAAAGGGACAGTTTTGTTAGAGTGTGGTATGTCTTGAATCTTCCTTTCTTCCTTCCTTCTTCTGGATAGCTGACTGACTGGTCGGGAAATAGGATGGGATGGCGGTGGGGGAGAGAGTTTGGGGGGAGGAGGGGTGGTGTTGGGGGTTCTAGGGGTGGGAGTTCTTGGTGTTTATAGGGAAGAGATAGAATAGAATGATCACTTGCTTTGCTCTGATCTGATTTTCCTCGTGAATACTATATATTTATGGTGCTGTAGATGAGACCAATGTGAGGAAGTTCTTGGTGTTTATAGAGACGGGACAGAATAGAATGATCACTTGCATTGCCCATCTGAATTTCCTCGTTTTCCTCGTGAATGCTGTGAATTTGTGATGTTGTAGATTAATGCTAGTGAATATAGAGCTATCGATATTCACAACGATACTAGAACATTGACAACGAGAGGAGAAGGGGACGAGAGGTAAAAAGGTAAAAATCGAGCTTCACAACGGTTATACGTCGTAATTCGGTAGAAAAGGATCGAGGGTTTAGTGAAGTCCCTCTGCACGTATCCGGTAACGGGAACTCTTAAGACAAATCTCACTAACCCCCCAGACAGAATTTGCCCTATGCTCGGACAGGACAAGGATAATGGTTCTCGAGCGTTGGGAATCGTCCTTGAGTTCTGTCAAGTCAAGATACCTCGCTTCTCTAGCGCAGGGCCTCTTTCGCCGTCGACACGTCAGGGATGCACAATCGAGGACCCCTCTCGAGCACGCTCAAATCCTAAAAATCAAACAGAACATCAGACAGAGGAGGAGATAGAGGGTGGGGAGTCAATCGTAGAGAGCTTGAATCCAACAACCTTGCTTTATGTACATTTTTGGTGTTGTTCAGCCTCGCTTATGTAATGTGACGAGGAAACGCCTTAGCACGAATACGTAGATTTAACGACTTTAACCGTGTGACTTTTTTCCTCATCTCGACAACGTGCTTTGAACAACATGGCGGATTCTAATAAGAGAAAGCAGGCGCCAGGACAGGACCGAGACAGGAGGGGTCCGAAGAGGAGCAAGGTATGTCGTTCCACCTGTCGATGATCAGCTGTGTTTCCTTGCAATGCGAATTTGTGGATTGGCCGCTCTCAGTACGAGGGCTCAAGACGAGACTTTCTCCTGTGAACTTTGGAAACAGCATTCATTATACTTTCTAAATATATGAGAATCTTCCCTTTTCCAGTCGTCGGATTACATGGGGTTATGGGAATTGGCCCAGGACCGGGGCCGAGTTTTGCCGTTCTCTTGCGAGGGGTCATTTACCGTGATCGGCCAACCTCTGCAACAAAAAAACTCTCCTATAATTTTGCACCGTGCGTTTTGTCTCCAAGTATAGACCTGACTATACCACAGGGCGGTTCTGGTGGGAAGTGGCAGACTCCACATCAAAAGGCAAAACTTGCCGCTTCACAAGGAAGTGGAAAGATAGAGCCTGGCGATGTTGGTATCTGGGCTACCTGTGCGAAGAACCAGGAGAACAGAGCCAGAGAAGAACTCCTCAGCATGTTTGAGGATGTCAGTATCACCCATGCATCCTACTTGAACTCGGGGTAACCAATATCATCGATAGTGTGCAGAACGGTTCTATGGAATCGTAGCAAGATCCGTTGAAAATGATGAAGAGGACTCCGTGGATGATATCGAGTCCTCGATTCAGAAGGAACTCGAGTCCCTGGGCAACAAGAAGGGAAAACCACAGCTGTTCTCTCCTGTACCAATCGATCTGCCGTGTGTTATATTTTTCAAGACTCAGTCCCCGATAGATCCGGTCGACTTTGTCCACAAGATCTGTGTGGAAATCGTCTCGAAGCCCGGTATCCGGAGGATGCGATACGTCAACAGACTGACGCCAATGGAATTTACTGGGAAAGCAACTGAGAAAGGCCTCGAGGAAGTAGGAAGGACGGTGCTGGGAAAGCACTTCCGGCTTGCAGGAGAAACATCAAAGGGGGATGAAGAGGGAACGACCCCTTCGACGGTCAGTACAAGTCCTTTCTGACACTGCTTTGCGCCTCAATACCTCCTATAGTGGCTCTGTGTAGGCCTCTAACCCGATGACTCCGCTGGATCTATGGTGGGGACAGAGGAAGAAGACACCAGATACGCCTTCCTTCGATGCTGATAAAGCTGCGACATATTTCATGATGGTTACTGACGCATGATGGAATACTAACCCTTTATAGTATGCAATCCGACCTACCATACGCAATCATCATACTCTTACGCGCGACGTGGCCATCAAGCAGACTGCAGCACTGGTAGACGAGGCACATAAAGTCGATCTCACTAAGCCCGACAAAGTCATAATAATCGAGGTATTTCAGGTAAGAACCCCCGCTCTGTCCCATTTATGTGCATCCACGGAGTATTCAATGCAATGCAATGCAACGAGCCGCGAAACACGTCTATATATTCTTCTTCTTCCTGTCTTCTGACGCTCGCATGTTAGACGGTGTGTGGGATGAGTGTTTTAGGAAGCGACTGGGAGAAGCTTAAACGCTTTAACCTCGCGGAGCTTTACCCATCTGCACCAAAAGCCGGGGCTACCAGCCAGTTTAAGGCTGAGGCTATACCGGAAAGCGTAACCAGAGACGAAGCTCGCCTGGAAGGTCATCAGCCTACCAGTACCGACGAGCCGGATTCCACGACTTAGCCAGCTCTGAACAACAATTGGACAATCGCAATTATTATTGTCAAGCTGTCAACAAAACAACGTCCGCTCTCCACCCCGTCCATCCCGCTCCGTACCACTTCGGAGTAGCCGCGCGGGGCTTGTCGGTCGCTTAAGATTGGCTCACAATCGCTCTCCGGCGTCTTCGCTACAGTAGTTATACAGTCTTACGCCCGGAGTTGGTCTCTTACAGCAATTCGTCCGAGTAAGTAGTAGCGGAATATAGAAATTGAAACACTTCGTTACGTGGAAACGGCCTTGGGCGGGAATGGCGAAAAGGGCTCCGTTCAATTTCAGCCTGACCATACGCTACGGGAGATATGTCCGGGTTCTGCGACATGACTGAGGTATCTGGCGCTGACCAGCCATTCCTAACCACCAGAATCCTCTCGGTCTCTCATTGACAAATGCGCTGTTGGGCGTCTCAGGAATATAAATCTCATCAATGCATTATCGAATGTTTCTCACAGACTCCGTACAGCTGTACCATCGTTCAAGACTTCAAGTTTTGTGTGTGACCCCGCCAGGGCTCGGCTGCTCCACTGCTCCACTGCTCCAGCCTCCAGCCTCCAGCCTCCAGCAGCCATGATCCATGCAGAGAACAACATGAAACGTCCAAACTCTCCACCCTCGTCAAAACATCCGCAGATCTCGCTACTGCCCCTCCAATCGGGAAAAATTCGACGATCACTCACGCCTTACCAGATCGGTAGAAAATTAACGAACCGTTCGTGATATTCGATCGCCGCGCAGAAGATTGTAACTTGTGGAAGAGTTATGAGTAGCTTATGGCATTGACCTGTTGATTCTTGATGGGCAACAGGCTGGGCTTTTCTTTTAAGCTTTTGACGTGTTGTGTACTGAAACTATCCCGCCCTCTCTTCAGCCACTACTCCGTACATCCGCCATGTTGATAGCAAGCCGTGTCGAGATCCGTGCGAGTCTAGAATCCCGCCGTCGGGAAACAGTGGGAAGAAGCCCACCTCCGATCTGACAGGTAGCCATGCCGCCAAACTTAATCTTACTCTATACAACAGTGATATCGGGAATCCGAGCTTGGCTGTTGGCCGGCTGGTCTGAGCTAGAGAAACAACATCCCGAAGAGTAGTAAGCTCATCTTGACAAGATTCCCTGGAATCCCTGGAAACCCGAAGGCTGTCCGCGGAGAAGATAATTCTCATTCCAGTACCCAGGGTGTGAGTGATGGATACATCAGTCGAGGTAATGTCGTAACGGTGTCGAATTTGGCATTGCTAAACTCTTCGAATCTCAGATTCGGACTCGTATGCTACATCATTTCGATTGCAAGAGCCCAAACGGGCCAAACTCCTGTTTAGGGCAGACAAGCGCAAGCCGGCGCCGAAGATCCAAACGTCACAGCTTCTTTCCAGAACATGTGGAGCCCAGCATGACATCGCATCTCGCCTCCTGGGACAGCTAAGGGCAGGGCGGATCTGACACAGCCGCCCCCTGAACTTGAAGGAAGGATTCGAAGCTTCCAAAGTAGTTCCACAGCGCTTCGATGCAGAATCACGGACAGTGACCTTCCCAGCCTGTCCGCTCTTCCGAAGCGCCTGTCCATTCGCGTAAAGGGGCCAGTCGGAGAGTTTGCTTTCTCTCGCCCTGAACAGCTTCTCACCTCGCTCCCCTTTTGCCCCCCTTTCGCTCCCCCTTCGCTCCCCACAACAACCCACCACTACCCCCCCAAGGCCCGAACTGACTACAGAGCCGTGACGCCGTCGGAAGTATGGACCCAGAACCCTCGCGTCCATCGGCCAATGCCCGCAGCCCAGTCGACGACGCCCGAACGGCGAACGCTCTCTGCGTCCAGCGCGCTCCCGTGAGACGGTGGGACGGTCGATTATTACGAGTAGCTCTCAGCAAGGCATGCGGACACGCTTCTCTCCCTTCTACCTCTCGTCTGTTCTAGCCAATCGGTCGTATTCTTCTTTTGGGTGTTAAATAATGCCCCCGAGCCTCACTTCCCAAGGTATGCTGGATCCGGGAAGGTACGACGTCAATTTGCATCTCCCAGGTACGCAGAGCCGTCTTGAGCTCCGGCCAGGCCTATGTAGGTATGTTCTCCAAAGCTTAACGTACGGAGAGTGCCACGCTCTGATAGTATATATCCATTCCATTACAAATATTGGCCAGTTTACTTTCTTAGTGTTCCTGCGTCTGACTCCCTTTCTGACGGATGCTTGTCCTTAAATCTTTCCTATTATACTATACACGTTCATTCGTTCAGTGTTCACCCTCCTTTTGGAAACGAGCTGCTCCAATTCCACTACTGTCTGTCTCTGTCTCTCCTGAATATACGTACTCCTCCTCGGCCACGGTTTAAAGCATCTGGTGGTTCGGTTGTTAATGTCCCGTTCCCCTTTTCAACTTCGGTAGATAAATACGTCGTGTCATCCGGTGCTTCAGATAGGCAGCCTCCATGTCTTGCTCACAGAATGCTATCTATTCCCGCCCTCATCTAACCTCTCTTATGCACGCCCTGCCCGTTCGACGATTGAAGGATATACTCAGTCACGTCGTTCCGGATGCAACTCTGGGCCCCGTCGAGGAGCTACCATCAACACAGCTCCCACGGCTCTATAACCTCAACATGTCAGACGGCAGGAAGTTGCTCCTCTCGTTTGCCCCAAGTGTAGCCGTACGATTGCTGAGGCACGAGGCCACGATGCTGTCCTCAGAAGCAACGCTCGTATATTTCATCGCAGGGACGGATCGACAGGTTGAAGCAGGAGGATCGTCACAAAATCAGATCAAGCCCGTTCCGCGCTCCACAGAGCTATTTGGGCTGGTCCCAAAGCTGCTCAAACATTCCTCGAACAGCAAGGAAATGGCTTACCCCTATAGCATCTTCGAACCAACCGCTGGCGCTCCTCTCTCCACTCTCTCCATCTATCTCACATTACCGGAGCGCCGTCTTGTTGACAAGCAGATTGGCTCCATGGCTCGCAGCCTTGCTTCTTTAACGTCACCATCTGGGGCTTTTGGAACAGTCAGCCGAGTCCTCCCCGATCCCTTCACACCGGTATCGTCGACAGCCGCCGAGCAGAGGAAAGGTTCAAAGACATGGTCCGAGGCATTCAACTTGCTCCTCGAGAACATCCTGAGAGATGGCGAGGACATGGCGGTCCTGCTGCCTTACGAAATCATTCGAGCACACAGCCGGAGACTCTCCTGGCACCTGGACGCCGTCACAACGCCTCGACTCGTGGTCCTGGATGCCGGCACCGAAACGAACGTGATGGTCGAGCGGGGCCCCGAAGCCGGGCCATCTGCCGCTGCCGCCAACAACCACCCGAGACTAACGGGCCTCCGGAGCTGGAGCAACGGCGTCTTCGGAGACCCCTTGATCTCCAGCTGCTTCAAGGATCCGAGCGATGGGTTTTTGGAGGGCTGGCGCGGAGGTGGGGAGGATATCATTGAAGATGCGGAGAATGCGAGACTCAGATTACTGCTCTACCAATGCTACCGAGCGCTTGTCGGCATCGTCGCCGAGTACTATCGGCCGCATGCCGATAGCAGTAGGAAAGAACTAGAGGGCCGGAGGGAATTGACCGCCACACTAGCGGAGTTGGATAAAGCGGACATCACCGTGAGCGACACGGCGAAGAGAGAAAGAAGCGCATCGAGAGCGGGCGGACAAGCATAAAGGGAGAGAGAGAGAAGGCATATGCAATGACGGTGTTTGGGGTTGGCACATGATACTGTAGAGAGATACCCGAACTTACGAGCGAGCATTAATGAAATGATCTTGATTTTTGTTGACGTCTCTTGGGGCCATTTTTAGCTTTTCTTCCCAGCTGGTTTTCCATCGTCCTCATCTCGAGGCAATTGCATCCCCATCATGCCCAGGAGATTCCCTCCTGGCCCCGCCATACCTGCTTGGCTCTTGAAGCTCTCGAGCAGGTTCTGAGCCAGGTTGAAATCAATATCGACTTCCCCGTCGCTTTCCTCCTCCTCTTCCTGTATTGTCATCTTCGAGGCATCATTTTCCTTGCCTGCTGCTGGGACCTTCCCCTGGTGCGCTGTTGTGAGCTTTTTCGGGGCCGGGTCTAGATTAAGCGCCCCTTCTTCCTTCAATTCGAGTTCCATCCTCTGCATCACCTTCCTGATCTCCGCCTCTTCCTCCTCTTCTTCGGCTGCTTCTTCCTCGTCGCTGTCTATTTCTTCTACCCTGCGGCGACCTTTCTCGAGAATTCGAGTAGTCGTCGTGCCGAGTGATGCTTCCTCGCCGGCCTCGTCGGGTTCTTCGGATGGCATTCCCATCATCTCCCTCATCATCCTCGCGAATTCCTTCTCGTCAAAGCTGACATCCTTATCCTCGTCCTCGCTGTCGTCATCGATGTCCTCGTCATCATCGTCCATGTCCATGTCGTCCAGCTCCACACCCTCGGGACCTGCACTCTCATCGTTCATGAAAGCCTCGAATCGCTCAACCATCTTTTTCAGGTCCGCTTGAGTCTTCGCATCTCCGAAGCCTGGCGGTCGTTCTGGTCCAAAAGCTCCTGGAACTCCAGTCGACGCCTTGTCCTGACTTTTCCCTTGCAGTTCTCTTTCAAAATCCTCAAAGTTGATATCAAGCCATGTTTCGTCATCCTCTCTGGTCACATCCTTCCATTTTGCAATATCTTGATCGGTGGGTAAATCTGCATTGTTGTCCGCCTCTAGATCATCGAGTATGATCTTTATCTCCCTCACCATACGGTTATCGGCATTCTTGGTGTCACTTAATAGCATCTCGAATCCAGACGTAACTTTCATTCCCATCTCGACTTGTGTGTACTTCTTTGTCGTCGGAGAGTCCGATGTGGCACTATTCTTTGACTGTACAAGGATATCCTTCCATGCTGGCGGGGCTGAAAACTGTTGCGACTTTAGCTGCGCGTAGAGAACCTTTGTAAAGCGGGTTGAGACGGTCACAAGGTCCTCTGGCGGAAATACTAGGTCCGACGAAGCTTTTTGAAGAGTCTTGAGTGCGATTGGATCGCGAAGGTAGAAAGCTTCAACTGCCGGCGCTATGGATGCTGGCCGATCATGTAAAATGTAGGCTAGCTTTCTCGGAATTGTTATAGGGGAATGATGTAAAGAGGCTGTAATTTGAGATGGGTAGTTTTGGAGACGATAAAAGGCTTCAGCTTCAATGAGGGGTGAATGTATGAGAATTTCAGGAGTTGAGGAGATTGTCTCGAGTGCCTCCTCGAGGTTAAGGGATCGCGAGACTGGGATGGTTTGAGTAGTTGAGGAAGTAGAAGCGGCGCTGAGTGGGATAATGCGAAGGTGACCGCCATGAATCCAAACCTGCAGCATGTCAGCATGCGCATCCATACGGTGCACCAATGTCGAGTTGCCTACCCTATTGTCTGCGATCTCCGGATTCAGCCATCGAGGCAACGCATTGGCAGCTTCAATCAGTAAGAATTCGCCATCTGTGTCCACGACCTTCACCCATATTTCTGGAAATCGGTTGCTTAATTCCTGAAGAATATATACAATGAGCCATTCATCTTCGACCGAATCTCCGTAATTTGTAAGGCCATGAAGGCGCATCACTCCTGAAGTCGAGGTCAGCCTCGTCTCTCTGTAGCTTCATTGCATGGGGCATACCCTTCCCACTCTCAACCTGTAAGCTGAATCCATCGCGCTGCCATATATAATCCTTCAATAGACTGCTCGTAAGCTTCTGAGCCTCTCTGCGCACGGCTTCAAGACGTGCGAGCAGCTCCTTTTGCGAACTCAGCTTGGAATCGACGATGAAAATAGTATATTCGACACTGTCGTCTGGCAGATGCTTCGGAAACCCTTCGAAGTTTTCTCCAAACCCCTGGAATTCGTTTTTGATACTCTCCATGGCGGCATGAGGTTGATGGGGTCGTTCCTAGGCGGGGTTCTTGCAAGGCTGATGGAGTTCGTCGAGAGGCGATTGATTCTAAGAAGCTTTGACGTCTTCCCGCTTACAGGGGTATGAACACGCTAGCCTCAATGGGTTGGAAGTAAACAGCACACGCAGAAACCGCGTCTCGAGATCCACGCCTCGACATCACGATCAATACCTATTGCATTGCATTTGCTTCGGAGTTAAATGGCTGCGACTGGGCCTTTTGCATATTCACGACCTTGAACGCCATTTCTATTTTCCAAATTCATCTGAGCTGCTATAGCTCATCCCCTCCACGAGATGGTGCAAGCCGGAATTGGAGGGCTCGATACTCCACGAACGAATGTAGGGGATGCAACTTTTCTCACGAACCAGCAGCTTGATTTCGATATATCGCAAGAGCAGTCGTTCCAATCGCCCTCGAAAGACAACAATAACCTCATCCAACAACTACAAAATGGTCGACGCGGCGCGATCAACCTCAAAACACCCCGAAGTCGCGTTGCATTCAGTGACAGGCGGAATCTGCCAGGTTCACTTGCTGGCGGAGAATTTACTCCGTTGCTGAAGAGCGCTACCAGGAATAGTGCTCTGAGGAATGGCAAAGAGAATGCTCTTGGAACACCAGGGTTTGGGAAGGCGGGGGGTCTGGACAACATCCCGGAGGATTTCAGCCCATTACCACAGATGGGCAGTTCGATATACGGTCAAGACTCGAGAAATGGCTCATATGTGGCGGGGACGCCAATGCCGCAAATTGATAGCAGTAGTGCGGCATCCACGCCTATGGCTTTGCTTCCGAGACGAAACGAAGGGCCCGGAGTTGTGCAAGATGGCAATCAACTATCTCTGCGGGAGCAGGAAAACGTTATCGACAAGATTGAGAAGGAGAACTTTGGCCTAAAATTGAAGATACATTTCCTCGAAGAAGCATTAAGAAAGGCGGGGCCGGGTTTCAGTGAGGCTGCACTAAAAGAAAACACGGAACTCAAAGTCGATAAAGTTACTATGCAGAAGGAGTTGCATCGATATCGGAAAACCCTGACTGCTGCTGAACGCGATGTGGAGCTCTACCGACAACAGATTCTGGAGATGCAAGATAAGATTCAGACAAAACATGCCGACGAGGGCCAGCGAGAAGAACTAGACAATCTCCGTCGACTTCTAGAAGAAAGGGAGGTCGAGCTAAGCCAACTGAAAAGCCAAGAGGGCCAAGTTGACGATCTAGAGGACAAAATCCATGACCTCGAAGCCGATTTGCGCGAGAAAGATCGCGTTATCAACGACCGTGAAGACGAAGTTGACAACCTCAAGGATGAGGTCGAGAAGCACGTTGCTACCATCTCAGAACTAGAGGAAGCAGCCAAGAAGGCTCAGCGTCGGGCTGTGGAATTGGAGGAAAAGGCTCAGTCCAGCGAAGAGCTCGCCGACGCCAAGGAGGCAATCGAGGAGTTAGAACGTGGCTTAGAACGCCTCAAGCAGGAACTTGAAGATGCCAAGGAAGATCGACAAGAAGCTATGAGGGAAAAGGAGCGCGCTGAGGCTGATCTTGAGGAACTCCAGGATGAGCTGGCGAATAAATCTATCACGACAAAGGGATTGAGTCGGCAAATCGAGGAAAAGGCGAACCGCTTACAGGATGATCTCGAGGATCTTCGGGAAAACCACCTAGCCCTCCAAGAGCAACATGCAGACAAGATTCGCGAAATCAAGAAACTGCAAGATGAAATCGAGGAGCTTAAGCAGGATAGCGAGGTTCGGGAGCAAAAGCTGAAGGACAAGCTTGATATTGTGGAGAACGAAAAACAGAGCATGGTTCGTGAGCGTGGTAACTTATCCATGAAACTCGATGAGCTGCAAAAAGATCTCCAGGACAAAGGAGACGAAAAAGACCTGCTGCAAAGGCGTCATGATGCTCTCACTGCAGAGTCGGCCGGTCTTCAGAAGGAATTGGAAAGAACCCACAAAACTATCGAGGATCTCGAGGACAAGCTGGAACACGAGAAAACACTGTCACTCAATAACGAGCGTGAAGTTCGCGATCAGTACAAAGCGGAGATTGATCGACTAAACGACGAAATCGAAGATCTCCGAGCCGAAGTACGTCAAAAGGAGCGCCTGTACGACGATGATAGTGATAAATGGGACAGCGAACGTCGGGATCTTGAGCTGCAAAGAGATCGGGCCCAAGAGCAGGCTGCTGGATTACAACGAACCATTGACAGATTGCAGGAAGCTGAAGGCGCCCTCTCTAGCAAGGAGATGAAGCTTCAACAAGCTCTGGAAAGTGAGAAGGAACGACATGAAAACCAAGAAGCTCTGCTCAATCGTCAAATCACTGAGCTCAACGAGGATCTGCAAAACCGTAGAAAATCCTTGGATGAAGTGAAATCAGAGCTTTCAAACGTCCGAGAAGAACTTCGATTAACCCAACGAGAACAAAAGTCGCTGTTGGAAAAGATTGAAGGGCTTGAGGATGAGGTCGAAATTCTTCAGACTAGTCTCGATGACGAGACCGATCGGTCAAACCAAGAGATTTCAGCTGCGAAGCAAGAGTCCGAAAACTTACGGAGACAATTGCAAGCCTTGAAGCAAGACCTCGCAAAGGCCGAGTCTGCTGCTGCGGATGCGAGAGCAGAAATTGAAGCTTTCCAGGGTGATCTGCAATCTGGAGAGGGCAGTAAAGAGCAGTTGAACTCGAGGTTGAGAGACGTCGAGACTCAGCTTGTCAAGGTTAGGCAAGAAAAGCAAGGCCTAAAAGACCAGCTCACAAGTTTGAACATCGAGATCCACTCCGTCCGTGCCTCGAAAGCCGATGTTGAAGCCGAACGAGATGAAATTCAGAGCCAACTGCGAGCAATGAAGCAACACGAGGAAGAGACGTTCCGCCTGGATCAAGAGAGGGTTGACCTCCGAACAGCCAAAATGAAGCTCGACGGTGAAGTACGTCGTCTTCGGGAAGAGAACAGAGTCATTGCAGCACGACACGAGACTGTAGAGAAAGAGCTTCAACAAGAAATCGACAGAGCCAGCACGGAGGAAACTCTATTAAAAACAGAGCTCCACGACTTACAGCGGATACTCAGGGGTTCGTCTGAAAAGAAGGAACTAGCAGCAGCCAAGAAGACCATCCAGCACCTGGAAGAACGGATCCGGGACTTAGAAAAGCAAGTTGAGTCGGGTGATGGTGGCTCTGAAACAACAAATGAGCTCTCTATGATGCGTCGTGATCTCTCTGCCGCACGTCAGAAAGAGACCGAGTACCTTCAGAGAGAAGCCGCCCAGAAAGATGTGGTGCGGAATCTCAAACGCCAAATCTCTGATCTTGAGCGTAAGAATCACGAAGCTGAAATCTCTCGCCTTGCAGTTCCATCCCCTCAGTCTTCCGCTGGTGGCTCCGCTCGCAAATCGGAAATCATCGAAGTCCGGCATCAACTTGCAGCAGCTCATCAGACCCTTAGAGATCTCCGCGCTCAACTGAAGGATGTTGAAAAGGATGCTGCTCGTAAACTCAAAGAAGCCAACATCGACCTCCAGGCCAAGGCCCAAGCTTGGGAGTTGGAGAAGGATCAGCTTGAGCGTTCACTAGACGACGCCCTCTTAAAAAGAGATGAACTCACAGCTAAGAACAACACCTCCGAAGCTACCATCAGCAGACTCCGTGGGAAAATCGACCGTCTCGAGAAAGCACTTCAAGCGGAGCGTTTGAACAGTGGCGAAGATCGCACAATGGCCCTTGAGCGCCGTGACCTTCACGAAATGCTACGGGACACCCAAGTGCAACTTGAGTCTCTGGAAATCACTGTCAAGGAACGCGAAAACACGATTGCAGCAATCACAGCCACTCAGGAAGATCTCCGCGCTCACCTGAAGCGAGTCCGTGACGAGCGGGCATTGCAACGCTCAAGAGCAGCATCAGCACAGGAAGAGCTCGAAGACTTAGAACATAGATTCAAGAAGGCACAGGAGTCCTGGGAGATGGAGAGGAAGGCTCTCACTCGCGGCGTGCGGTTTGCGAATATGTCTCTGTCCATGAATGACGAATCGGAAATCCAAGCACTGAAGTACGAAGCTGAAGAGAGGGAGAAGCGGCACGTGAAGGAGCTGAGAGGCCTGACGATGCAGATCGAGTGGTTCCGAGCGAGATGTAAGCGGGAGGAAGGGTTCCGGGCCGCGGCTGCGTATGCAAAGAAATACATGGAGTTGCGGATCGATCTCTTCGAAGCTTGGTATGTTCTTTTTGTTTCCCCATCAGGCCCCTCCTTCCCACTTGAATCACACACTAACATCCTCTGCCTACAGCAACAAAGCAGACCTCGAACTCCTCCGCAGCACGGGGATCAAACTACCCCCGCGCCCGATCAAGGAGAAGAAAGCCACGTTCCGCACCGTAGCCTTCATGATCCGAGCCACGGTGCGCATGCGGAAGGGCGCCGAGCAGTGGGCCAAGAGCCGCAAGATCCACGAGGCGTTGGTCGCCAAGGTGGAGTCGATGAAGAAGAAGGAAGCGGAGGCTAAGAAGAAGGAGAGTGAGGGCTTGAAGAGGAAGGGGAGTAGGAAGAGTATCACTTATTAGGTAGGATCTTTGTAGCGTGATTGTTTGGTGTGGGTGCAGATGCCTTGGTGTAATGATGGGAGTTTTGTTCAATTACAACTTGTTAAGAGCAAGTATGCATGCATGGGCATTGGATGGAGCGTTTCTGGGTTTCTTCTTTTTTCAACACGCACGGAATGGATAAGAGGTCGGGGATTCTGGCTGTCATAGGTTATATATTCTAGATGGTTGTAGCCTGAAAAGGTTTGGTTTCTCGTAAATACATGAATTGTTTCTCTTTTTCTTCTATCTAAAGGAAGGTGTGTGTGTGTGTGTGTGAATCATGACATTACATAAATGCGTACGTAGTAGGTACCTTACTTAGGTAAGTTGTCAAGCTTTCAGGCCGCCCTCCCTCCTCCCAATGACCCATCCATCCATCCAATCCATCCATCCAATCCATCCATCTGTCGGGAGAACCCCGAACTGAACTGAAATGGAGAGATCCTGCCTGATTCTCTCTCTCTCTGCTTTTCCCCGGATATGGATATGGATATGATATGATATGATATGCACAAGAAACGCCGAGTATGATGAGGAATAATTTCTTTCTTTTCTAATTTACATGACGAAGAGGAGGTTGGTGTCTATGAGGGGAGGGGTTAGTTAGGTAGGGGTTGTGGTATGTATGAATGGGGGGGAGGGAAGGAGGGGGCTTACTCAGTGGATGACTGCAACTCAGCTGTGGTTTCTGGGTGTACTTGGTAGCGAGCTCGTCACGGATGCTGTTGAGCAGTTGGACGTAGCTCTGCTGAGGGTTCTTCTTCATGGCGGTGATGAAGGCCCAGGACATGGCGCCGGTGGCTTGGGCGGCGATGGTTGCGTCGGCCCTGTGGTGTTTGTCGTTAGCTTGGGACTGACTGACTGGATCGGTGAAGGGGAAAGAAGGCGGGAGCATGGCGGGAGATAGGTCGAGTGACCCAACGCGCCTCGCAGCCCCAAGCCTATGCCTCAGCCGCACTTCGGCAATGGCGTTGGCTTGGAGCTCTCAAATATTTGTACATGTACATAAGCAGATGCATTACAAATGACCAGGGTCTCGCCCAGTAGCCATGTGGTGTCCCAACTCCGACGCTAGAATCACAGATGTCCCGCCTCCCCCCAATTTTTATGCATAACGAGGTACGAAAGGGTATACATACGAAGTTTGGTCGTCCTTGCTACCAGACCACATGATAACATCGGCTGGCGATGTCTTAGTCGCAAGGCTTCTGTTATATGCATCATCACCAGATGTTGCTTTCTTGAAGAATCCAAATAGGTTGTTCGCAACACCGCTGAGATCACCATGGCTATAAGAAGAGATAGCACTGAGAAGACCAAGTCCGGCCTCCTTTGCAAGGTTCGGCTCCTTGAGAACACCTTGGGTGGAGTAAATGTACGGCAGGTCGAGCGCGGTTCCTGAATGACAAGAATCGAAGATTGCGGTCAGTCGCACACCGGGTTGTAATGGCCGAACCATGATTCTGTGCATCTCATCATCGACAATATGCCCGACTTGGCGGAAATCTACAGGGTAGATGACCTCGTCGTACCCATCCTCTTCGTCTCCGTCGAGGTCCTTGGTTTGACCTCCGTGACCTAGAGAAAGTCAGTAAACTTAGTCTTAGGGGAAAGGAGGGGAGATCAATCACCAGAATAGTGGAAGAAGAGGGAATCATTTGGCTGAGCATCTTTCACTAGCCAATGCATTGCGCGCAGTATGTTCTGCTTTGTCGGCTGACTCATCGGGTTTTGCTGATCGTCCGTGAGAATGACCATGTCATCTCGTTGGTAGCCAAAATTCTGGTTCAGAAAAGCGGACATGTTCTTCACATCGTTGATGCATCCCCGTAGTTGTCCTCTCTGTCCAAAGTAGTTGATTCCGATCAGAAGCGCCTTTCGCTTCCCAGTACAGGCTGAATATTGGAAAGCATAGCTTTGGGGCGCACCACCTCCAAATGCTTGTGGTGTTTGAGGGGGCGGGGCGGGGGCCTGGGGGTTGCCATTCACGTAGGCGTTGGACTGGACTGAGGGCATTCCTGGTAAAATCAATCCATGAGTAAACGCAGCACATTCGCGCCCAAATATTCCACCTACCTGGTCGGTTGAATTGCTGCGCATTGTGCGGTCGACCATCATAGCCACCATATTGTTGTGGAGGGGGCTGACGGGAAAGTTAGCTACGGGTTCGCTCCAAGCCCAAGGTCAGGCCTTACATGAGAGTATCCATATGGTTGCGGGGGAGGGGGAGGTTGCTGATAGCCGTAACCACCTTGAGGGGGTGGTGGACCATAGCCGTGAGGTCTGCGGGAGAGTTAACATTTGCTATGAACAGTTTGGAAGCCTCGTGTCCTACGGGTAGTAGTTTGGCTGGGGCGAATACTGCTGTGGTGGTGGTGGACCTCCATATCCCCCCTGGTAGCCAGGACCACCTTGATATCCCGACATGTCTCTCGGGGGGTAGATTATAGTGAAGAAGGGCGGGAGAGGGAAGAAAGGGTGTTTGTTATCGGCTTGACGCCGAGGCGCTCCCGTGGATGAATAATGGTGTTTCTGCTGGCGCTGAAGGGTCGGCCTTGAACGAACTTTTGAGCTCGACTACTCTTGTGGTCCTGAGACAAAAGTTCGCAGACGGGAGATCAACAGGAATCTTTATACCGGAGCTTGGGTATCCTGGGCAATGGCAGACACCGTGGGGCAGGTGGGCTAGGATCAGAGGGACCGGGGCGGGCAGCTCGGACGGAGGACACGCAGCGGACGAGGGACGAGGGACGGGGAGAGGGAGAGCAGCAGCAGCGCGTAGACGGGTATTCCAACTGGGCGCTCAGCGAGAGTGTGACGGTTCGGAGGACGGTGCCCAAAGCAGCGGGGCTGATGTGCGAGAGGGATAGAGGACGGCCGTCTGGTCGCGGGAAGCAGGGAAAAGATAGATTGCCGATATTCGAGGGGCGACGGAAGAAGAGAAGGACGGAGAGATTCGGGATATTAGGATCCAGTAGCACGGCGCCGTGTTGTGCTATGTGTTTCGTGATTATTGTAGATGAGAGGTCTTGATATGAGGAGCAAGGGAATAATAAGCCCCGGATGCACTGGATTGGGCCGGTCGCTTATTGCTGATTATTATACGTGGTGCGGGTGCAATCCGCTACCACGTAATACTCGAGGGTACGGGAAGGTACATAATCCAAGGCGGGTCGCTCCATATTATGCAAGGTACTTCAAAGTATTATAAAGTACTGCAAAGTACCATGATGTCCTCCCTCACAAACCCCCCCCTCTGTACAGGATCGGTCGATCGCTGTTCATTTCACTTCACGGCCATTGGCACTTCCCCCACCCCATGTCTGTGTCTGCTTGCATCGTCGACTCGATTCGATTCGACATCAACACACAGACGGTACGCCGATATCCATGACCACCTGGTTGGATCCGCCAATGTTCTCCTCGACGGCCCGATCGGCCATCAGGCCCAGCTGCCCGCCACGGATCTGTTCCCCCCGTCTGGTCTAAACACTCCTAACAATCATTACTGTGTTCGCCTTCTCAGCGTCAATCAGGTTCAGCTGCCCTTGCATGCAACCGTGAGACATCGTCCCAAACCAATGCATCTTCTTCTCCTTCGGACAAGCCCCCCCGTGTGCCATCATCCATGCCTCAAGTCAATACACTGCCGGGACCCCCATCTCCATCCCCTGCACACCTGAATGCCATCGTCCCGCCGTGCGTCTAGCTGTCACTAGAGCGTTCGATGGCTTCATGTATGCCTCTGCCCCGGCCCCCTTGCCTCTTCTTGGCCTCATCGACGACTCAAGACAGGCACGCACTACTGTACTGTCCAAGGCGCTCCCCACAACCCTATTCGTCTCCAGTACGATGGCATGCATACTCCCAGATCCCGCTCCCAAGGGTCCGGAAGCCCCGCAGAGGATGCGTACCGATCCATGTCACTTACCATGTGGTCGTCGATGGGGCTCAGAGCCAGCCAGATGCACATCATTCACGGTTCTTCTCTCTGTTTAGAGCTCCAGGACAATATCGAGGCCAGAAACTACTCGGGTCATACTGCCACCCGTAACACATTGTACATGTCTCAGAAACGGGGATCGTGGAATCCCCTTTGGGCCCGAAGATCGTCTTCTGCTCTTAAAATGTCGAATCATTCGAGTCTCGTATTGGGTAGTGGACTAAGCAGGACACTCCCGTATGACTACTGAGGATTCCTCCTCCCCCCGTCCAGCCCCCCAATTCCACGATTCGAGCGTGGCTGGGATAGACTGGTGATCGTTGCATCAACTTTGCAACAGTAGGGTCCGAAAATTCGCGTTCCCCGAACGAGGTCGATAAAAATATCATTCGACGAGAGCTGCGGAGTGCATTGGATGTCAGAATGAAGCAGATCAGACTTTTCTATACGTACTGACGGAGTGCCCGAATATCTTGCTTGAGCTTGCAACTGCCAGCTGAGTCGCTAACAGAGAGTTGCAGTGCAAGCCACGCGCTAATCCCTCATCGGAAAGGTTTCAGCCGCTGTGACCAGCCACAGCGAGTCTAAACCGCTTTGAGAACGACAACCACACCTCCAACCAGAGGGACTGGATCGCTACATACATAGGTACGGATCAATATACAGTTGCTCAATCGCTCACCCCAGATTACTACCCCTTACGCCGCGCCTTTCTCCGCTCTTATAATAAAGTGCCGAGTTTGGACTGCCAGGGACTGGTTCACCCTTCCCAGAGCGGAATCTAGGTTCGAACCGCATGACTTCTAGACGGTTGACCTGTCTTCTACACTACCGTATCCTCACCGTATCTATCTTGCATTTAGATGCATTGATATACGTTGATATGTGTACTTGACTTTCCATCCTCAGTATCGTTCTCTGACCGCCCGCCAATTGAGGCCGTGCCCAATTCCTCACGCTGCTCGGGCTATCAAGAGAAACCTCACCGGCGGATCTGTGGGCCATCTAGGGATCTAATGCAGACGTTTCAAACCTGAAAAGGACTGGAGGACCAAAGTCTCGCTTGTATGGGACAACCTGCCGCCACTCGTCTCCACGAAACCGGGATGAATCCTGTTGCCCCAGATCTCTCGGCAGAAAGCATAGACATTTCTTGCTTGAGTATCCTGCACAGACATGAGACAGGATTCAAGAAGCTGATAGCCACGGACTCGTTGGTCTCTTCATACATTAGCTATCTTCAAGGACTTCAGGACACTCCTGGCCCCCAGGTCCATTGATCTTCAGGTAGTCTAATCCCACATTCCATTTACTTTCCAATATTTCCATTCACCTTCCAATCTCTACCTCCCAGCCCTACCTTTGCGTAGCGCTCGTTCTCAAAACCACTAAGGATATCATTTGTCATATTTCCAAGTCATTATGCTCGAAGTATACATCATTATGACAATGAGCACTACTTGGGCCGCGATTCGACTCCCCATTTTAGAAATCTTTGCTCGTTGCCTGATATACTTCACCAAGACACAATGTTTTATGCAAGCCTTCTCCAGCTCTTCTAAGCTACATTGCAAGCTACTTGAATCTCTGGCTGTCTATTCAAGGCAGAGATAACTTTGGTTGATACTCATTCGTTTAATTTGCCCGCCACATGGTGCAGGGACCGTAAGCTTTGGAATGTTTAATGCCGTTTTTGTCTCTTCGCTACTCTCTATCCTTTGGATCATTAGTATTTCGAGATAGATGGTTTGTACTATCTTGATCTTTCTCTTCATGATAGAAATAGGTAACCCCCCCCCCCCCTTTTTTTTTTCTTAAAATCTTATATCTTTCAAAGCCATATGTGTATCAAGTGTTATCCTAAATTCTTATATTTAACATTACTTACTCCACGATTAATCAAAGCCCTAGAACTATCTATGACTCGACAAAGAGAAATCAGCAAGAAAGGTTCTATCCAAAAGGGATTAAATTTCATAATCTCATCTAAGTCCTCGCCCCTTTTCTACCGAGTTATTTCCAACAACGTATAACCGTTGTGAAGCTCGAATTTCGTATTTTCCCCCCCCTCTCGTCCTCTTTTTTCTCTCATTGTCAATATTCTAGCATCGTTGTGAATATTAATAGCTCCGTATTCACTAGCTGTATACCCAAGTAACAAGGTTAGGAGGTAGCGAGTAGTGAGTGCATCCTTATTGAAATTATTCACGAAAGCATAGGTACCTAAAGTAGATCAGGAATGAGTCCTTTTCTAGGACTTGATTGTAGCATTCTTTTATTCGCATCATACTAATTTTCGATCGGCTTAAATAGTGGGTGGGTTTGTATTCTCGAAGTTCTTACTCATTACTGAGGGAGGGTGGGTTCAGTTGTTGATAAGCCGGGGTAATTCCGTGGGGAAGTCAATGGGGTTAGTGGTACCTACCTAAGGTAAACAAATCGTGAATTCCAAAGGTAAGGCGGGGAGTAGGCGTATAATGCAAAAATGATTCAGGGGCTTGGCAGGAGATATCATGGTGGTTCGAGTCACTCAATCGAATCATGGGGCTGTAGAAGCTATTTTGTTCGGAGTGCGTTGCATTCCATTCCTATAGCTAATGTCCCTAGCTATGTATGTGTAATCACTGATCAGGGGCTGCGGTCGCCGTCGACCGCTCGGGCCCAGGTTGAATCTGGGTATACGTTGCTCGCGGTATTCCATAAGAGTGCAAAGCCGCCACGGCTAGACTCGTCATATCAATCCCCTTGGACACGCGGTTGACCCGCATCCCTTTTGAATATACGTCCAATGAGTAGCTTTTCTCATCGTACCTTTCAGCCTCTGCGTTTGCTGGCTTGTCAATTGTAATCGACTGTTACCTCATGCCTCACCCACTTTTCAACTCTTGAAAGTATGGCTCTTCCCGGCCCTCTCCGTCTGCACCCTACGCATACCCTTTGGTGCATCAGCAACTTTTGCATACGGGTCAAAGGGCTTTTTGCGTTTCGGTCCTCCTTGCTCTTGGCTCTTTCTCTTTCCATGAAGCACAGAATCGGCTTTACTGTAATCAAAGGGCTCTTCCTCATCTTCTTCTTCCGCATCTGCCACCCGAGCTTCTTCTTCTGCTTGCTGTCGCTGTTTTTGCCTTAGTCTCTTCGCTGCCTTTTTCTCGGCTCTCCGCGCGGCCTTTTCAAGCGCTGCCTGATCTTCGGTATCATTTGGGGAGGTGTCATTGGAGCCAGTTGTGGCTTCTGGCTCGGATATGGTATCACCCTTTCGCTCTGCACCACGTTTTAGAACAAAGGGCTCGTCTACTTCCTCCTGCACCGGTACATCTGGCTCTATAGGTTCAGGCTGGGCCTTGATGTTCTCCACTGACCGGTCTGGTAAGCCATTGAACGTGGAGAATATCTCAGAGGACAGCTGAGGTAATGGTACCGCGAGTCGCAAACCATCATCCTTCTTGCTGAACGTAGGAGTGTCCCAAACACTGCTACCGAAAGCACCACCCCAGAAGGAGGATTGCCCGCTAACAAGCTCGCTGTCGTCTACGACAGCTACCAGAGTTGGGGTTGTCGATTTAGCAGTTACTGGGGGTAGATTGGCTTTCGCAGCGGCATCAACTGGATCGGAGCGAAGCACATCCATCATGCTTGGACCGTCCTTTCCTCGGGCCTTCGCTGCCTTGATGAGATCTAATAACTCCCCGGAACGAGATTTCACACTATGCGAAATAGGATGAACAACTGAGAGGAGGGCGACCATGTCCATTGGCATCAGCTTAGCAATACTGAAAATAACGTGGTTCGGCATCACGAAAGAAGTGCTGTCGTCATCGATTCGTGCGATCTTGTCTCGCCATGCATGGACAGCTCTAAATACCGCAAACTGCTCATTATTGAGAAGAGATGGCGTTTTAACCAGAAGTTGGAACCATCCACCTGGTCCTTTACCAGTTTCCTCGTTATAGATTTGACGCTCAAATCGCAAAAGAGAGGTCTCCTTTGACTTCTCAATGACTGTCTCAATACAATTCTCCTCGCCATCTTCGGGATTAGTTCTATCGATTAGCTCATTTCGCATGTTATCATAGATGTAAAGTAGAAAATGTGTATCAGCCCTTGCATAGAAGAACATCTCATCCGGTAGGGGTCTGGCTGCAAGTTAGCGGACTAAAGGGAAATTTGCAACTAGAAATCTTACCGTATCCTCCAATCTGCCATCTGGTACTTCTTGTCGGCGTCGAAATTGATAAACTTCTTCAGCAAGAAAGCGAGACTTCCTCCGGGATACCCTAAAGCTCGACTCGCATGATGGGTATCAAAAAGTCCAACAACATAAAGACCAAGGTCTCGTTGAAGCCACACAATATCCATGTATGCGCCGTGGAAAACCTGTTTCGTTAGATTATAGCTAATATATGGTGATGGTGATATATACCTTGACGATGCGCGGATCAGCGAAGACTTCGTTGAGCACTTGCAGACTCTGTCTCCAAGGCTTAAGAGTGTCTACAATCCAATCCTTGTTGCGAGTGCTAATTTGCATTAGTGAGACAAGACCCACGTACGACCTAGCGTCGTGGTGTTCGAGATCAACAGCAATTTCGGTCGCCGCCTTGAGCTCTTCCAGCATCTCCAATACACCCTCTAGAGTGTCAACGAAGATGGCTGAAGTGGACTCTACTGGCAGGTAAGGGATTGGATCAGCCTTCTTATATACGGTTTCTGGATACCTCAATTGCGAGATCTCGGTTTCGTACGGGTGTCGGTATCTAGAAAAATATGTCAGCGTTTCCAATAGTCCTTTCCATCTTCCTGAATCGCGCTTCATAATCTTTTGCGCATTTTTCTCTGTGGCTTGCTTAAGCCTTCAGTTTTGGTCGACACTGGTGGTGACATGAGTAGTTGTAGGGGAGTGGAGCTGTCATACTGCTGCTGATCGAAATCATTCGTGAATGTGCTGAGACTCTCCTCCAGTGGTTGTATGGCATGGGGCTTCGTTGTAAGAAGTGGTTTCCAGGTTGAGGTATCATTGTTGTCCGGTTTGACCTCGAAGGCAAGTTGGGGCTTGACGAGATTTTGGGTTCGGAACGCACTACCCAACGAGTAGGTGTTTTTCTTGGGTTTGGGAGATGCCTGGGAGAAATTTAGCCTCGCCGCTCTTCGTAAACAAGATTGAATCTCCAACCTGTTCAGCGGTCGTCTTGCGCTTGATCAATCCAGTATATTCGTCCAGGCAGGTGTCCGTCTTTTCCAACAGGGAGTCTACCACATCTACCACGCCGCGCCAATGATTGTCCACATCATCCACATCCTCCAAGACTGGTACGTGAAGTTCCGCTATAGAAGCCGCAGACTTGAGCAACCCGCGTGACAATTCGAGGAGGCGCGCAGTTTGTTCGTCGAGAGCGGTACCAACTTCGGGGTTCAGGGACCGTTGGAATCCAAGATCCTGCGAGGAGAGCTGACCCGAAACCCGAGTTGTCGCCAGCAGGGCAGGCTGGATCTGGTCCTGCAAAGACTTGAAGTCTTGCGCTTGATCCATTCTCAGGTCGTGGTGTTCATGCTCGAAGAAGCGGCGTTGGAAGTTGAAGTTGAGGCTCGTCTCTTTTCTTTCAGAAAATGTTGGAAGAATCCCTGTCTGGATCGGCGATAATAAGGCCCGACATCCTGGTCTGCGGCTAATTGATTACATAAGATACGTACGGTACCTTTATTACCTACTCTGTAGAGAGGTGAAGAAAGTACACTCAAACCCATCTGTTAGGCCAGCAATTCATCTGCGAAATCTTTGGTTGCAATTCTCGAATTTTTGATGTCCCTATCTGACTTTGTCCTTGAGCAAGATTGAAGAAAATATTGCTCGAGGTAGCTACAAGTATAGAAAGGCTCGCCTTGGCAAGTGCCGGACCTGAATTTAGCCACCCTCGACATCTTTATTTACCTTACAGTAGCGTGAGCGTCCCAGCTTTGAACCCGTGTCTCCACAAAGCTTCATCCACAAGACAGTCCAAAATGTCAGCATCACTGGCTCCTGAATGTGACGGGGTCAAAGAGTACGTATTCTTATGCATGTCTGGATTCCGCTTTGCTTACTTTCTCCAGACGCTATGACACCTGCTTTCTGAAGTGGTACAGCGAGAGTTCGTCCTTCGCCCCCCTCGCTTTGGACTTCGAGGCTAACCTCTCCAGAATACCTCCGGGGAAAAGGCACGGAAGATGAATGTGCGGCTTTGTTCAAAGACTACAAGAAGTGCTTGACTGTCAGTGGCCGCTCTCCCTGAAAAGCTACCTATGTGAAGACTGACAAGAGTAGAGCGCTCTGAAGGAAAGGGGTATCGACCAGATGTTGGAGGAGGCCCGGGCAGATCACAAGGAGAGTGACGAGGCTCACATGCGTCGAAGTTGTAGGTTCAACCTAAGAGAGTGAGTGGGCTAAAACTGACAGACTCGTAGAAGCTGCTCGGACTATGTAAAAATATGAAGTTGATTCAGCGGCATTGGAACGGCGTTAGGAACAGGGAGCTCTACTCTTGCTCTAAATTGAAGCACTTTGTCTCTCGCCCTCGTTGCACTCTCCTTCCCTCTTCCCCCTCTCCCCTCTGCTACCTGCTCCCCATGCATGCAACCGTATTGACTGACAACCTGCGCGTGAACCTTACTGAGTCTCGGAGGGAGTTCTGCTTATTCGATTGGTCCCGGAGCTTCGTCGAGGGCCGAATCTCGAATTCTATATACCCAACACCTGAAAAGGATAGCATTACTCTGCCATTGTATTATGAGGATTCCGGGTCTCCAAGCTGTACCTAGATCAGGCCGCAGAGCTCCCAGGCACGGCAGATATCCTAACACGGTTCATCACGTGATAAACCTTAAACAGGCAAAAGCTTAATTTGGGGACCAACAGAACCCCTGCGCGTAGTGACATCTCAGTAGGATCGTGCAGCCAAATGCCGCCTGTAATAACAAAACTCTGAACTCTTTACCGTCCGACTCGTCCACTGGAACATGTCCTGCTGCTTTTGCCTCTTCTCTCTCTCCATATTAGCCATGCGGGAATCGTCGACTTTTTAATCCGATCATCTCATTGCAACACGACTGGCCTTCCCAATCTCCCAATCTCCCAAGGATCCACCACCTCCTCCTCAACATACCGTACCAGTTCTACCCCTCTGGCCTTCTTCTAACAACACGGTGATGCTTCAGCGATAGGAAGAGATTCATGCACCCCTTCTCTATCCTTACCCTTGCGATATTCGTAGCCGGCTACATCACTGCGCGGTGGGATCTGGTTACTCGGCTCTATGAGCTTGCAATCTTCGCCTGGGATCACGGAGTTGTGGTAGGGCTTGCTCTGAGGACAGTCTCATATGCTTGCTAACAGTGATTCTATAGACACGAACCGCCAAAGGATTCGCTATCCTCTCGATTTTCTTCTTCCTGTTCATAATTCCAGTAGAGAGACTCGCTTCAAGGGAGACGGAATTGGTAGGAGAAGTATCCTCCTCGGCGCATTGAATTCAGCTAAACCCTTCTATAGCACCCGAGATCTGGAAATTCCGGGATTTCAGCGCGAGAACAATTGAGACGACGAGGATCATTCTAGTGAACTGCGAAGATCGAATCTGACATGCCAGAGCATGATGGGCTTATGAGAGTATTTTGGCCATTAGACGCACCAAGAACCGATTCGCCTGGCATAATAGTGGGTTGGCGGAATTCAGGGCTTGACGTCTTTGTCGTGGCAATATTGGAGGATGTTGATGTGAGTGGTGGAAATGAAATAGAAACAGCCTGACTGACCCTGAGCCAGGCACGGAACGTGGAGAATGCCCTGAAGATTGGAACGTTATTTCGAAATGCCAGTCACCCCATAGAACGAATATACCAACTATGTGGGCAGTCCTCAATGCATGTCCTGGGCCTGGCGAACACCCCCGAAGCCGACGTCGAGCCCCTCCAAATGCACGCGACCACGGGGCCAGGACTCAGAGAGCCTCAAATATCCTGCGCCAGAGCTGCAACGATACAGATCATAATGTTTGAGAGACCTCTCCCGAACAGAATGCAATACATATCCTTAGACCCGATCTCGTTAGCTTTGGGGGATCAGGCTGAAAAGACAGTTCATGCTCCAGGAAGCGTAGATGCGGAAGAGGAGAAGGAAGAGATGAGAAACAAGGAAAGGAAGAGAGCGCTGGTTGAGAAGTTAAAGTTGCACACCGTGATTAAACATCCACGCTCACAGAAGGAGCTTGCCCTCTCCAGGATTGTCAATCAGATCAATTGCTCTTGGGAGCTACACAAGCTGCTACAGCAGAACATATCACTCGTTGGGACACGTTCACGGCGGAGCTTAAGCGTCTCAGAGAGGGTGGTTGAGTCTGCAACGAGCATGCGCGACTTCGTGGTGATGGCAATTCTGCAACTAATTACTGTCTACATATATCCAACTGTGCGACGAGCCTTTATTATCGGTCTTCTGGGTCATCGGGTTGCCGCTGAAGCGCTTCTACTAGTGCTTGAGTGGAGGGCAAGGCCGGACTATGCAGCTCTGAAGGACATATCGGCAACAGCCCAACAAGTTGAAATACGGCTGCAGCAATTCTGTTACTGGCCAATGCAGTATGTAACCCTACGGAAACGTAAGGACGACTGGGAGAGTGTTACGACTAGCCACGCAGATTATATCAGGTTCTATAATAGTCTCTGGTTAGTCGCCAATGATGTGATAATCGGTATTGCCCTTGGGTCGTACATTATCGATAATTCAGCATGGGTGGCCGAGTCTATCAGCGGAGTTCTAAGCACATATTCTATTGCCGCCTTACAGAGAACGATATCTTGGTTGATGGACTGGCCAGCTGGGCTAAAGCTGAACAATGAGTTGGCCGCTTTCCTTGGTGACCTCTTCCTATGGGTCATTGATCACTGGTCAAGTGCGTATAATCCTTTATTGATAGACAAATTTTCTGACTCCCTTAGGCTGTATCGAAACTCTGCGTCCCGCTCTACCTCACCTCATTTGGTTCATCGGATTCTCAAGCTTTGCGGGTGCCAGTATGCCGATTGCCGTCTTCTCGGATCTCGTCTCGATATTGACCATACACATATATTCGTTCTACATGGCCTCAGCCCGAATCTTCAACTGGCAGTATACCATACTCATCTCCCTATTCCAACTCTTTCGAGGAAAGAAGCACAATGTGCTCCGGAAACGAATTGACTCATGCGATTACGATCTCGACCAACTGCTCCTGGGCACAATCTTGTTCACACTACTCTTCTTCTTACTACCGACGGTGGTTGTATTTTACCTCACGTTTGCATGCTCACGCATGGCGATTATCTGCTTAAAGGCCATTTTAGATACATTGCTAGCTTGCCTGAACCATTTCCCACTTTTTGCTCTTATGCTACGAATTAAAGACTCGCAACGACTGCCAGGTTGGTCCTATATATCGTGGAAGGGTGGCAGCGCTGACAATAACAGGTGGCATTCGTTTTGAACTTCGAGATACCCAACAATTCGCGAGTCCTTCTGATAATGCACTCCCAACCTCATATATATACCTCAAGGTGCTTTACTACCCTCCTCCCTCCCATATATTCGCCGTACTAACAAAAATACAAGTCCGTCCCGCTCACGTTTCGCGCTATGTTCCAACAATATTTTCAGCTCGGCCACCGCATCCGCAACCACTACCTCTCCCCGCGCGTTCTTTGGTGTCTTGCCACTGGCCAGTTCGTACCGCCGATCCACCGCAAGAATCTCTATAGTCTGCAATACAGCATGTTGCCTGCGCGCCGAGCAGGCATTTGGGATATGTGGAATGCGTTAGTTAAAACTCCCCCAAAGCAGAAACAAAAACCATCAGGTTGGGAGGGGCGGGCGAATGGGAATGGGAGACGGCTTAATGGTAACGGCAGAAGATACATGCATCATTAGGACTTGCAATAGAAAAGAAGATACTTGTATAGATATTTGTGTGCTAATAATACGTAATTACTGGATATCATCTGGTGATAAATTGCCAGTCTTCCCCGTCTCACTAACTAACAGGTACCTATATATACCTTACCTATACTGGGCATCATAAATTTTAAGCAAGACTTTAGGTATATCTGCGAAAGCAAGAAGATACTCCAATAGCGAAGAACAGAAGGCTTTAGCTGTGCATCACGATGTCTAAAAATGCGAGCAGCTTAATTGATTAGAGTGATTGACATTCTTAACAAAAGCGCGTAGATGTAGATGATGAGAATGTTCAGCTGGGGGGGTTGATTCCGGAATGCACGATGGATTGTGGGCAATAAATGAAGAAATTCGGCAGTTTCTAAGAACAGTTAAGGTTGTATAGTGTAGCGGTTAGCACGTGGGATTTTGACATATCAGAATCATGATTTCCCGAATCCCCGGTTCGAGCCCGGGTACGACCTAATCTATCAGCTTTAGATTTTTTTATTTTTATTTTATTTTTAATCTTTTTCTTCTTTTTATTGCGGCAGCGTGAAGGTTTAATTGATTGAGAAACAGGACAGTGTGGACATTTAAGAATATTTTAGAGTACTTGAGTGTGAATGATATTTCTAGATAGCCAACTGTTAATATTCGAGTTGCTGGGAATATTCAAGCAATTAGGGAGCATCTTAATTGTTGATATCTTAGAATATCCGGAAGATTCAACTTTTTTCTTGGGAGATACTAGTAAAATTAACTTGTACAACTCATCTATTTAATACAAGTTGCAGTTATTTCATCCTGATTCTGATTTCATAGCAAGCACATCTAATCACCGTCACCACCTCTGCCCAAATCCCTCCTCACTCTCCAAACCCTCGCGCCTATGCCGCGGCCCTGCGAGCCCTTAAGCTTCTCCACCCAAGGTGCATCTTGAGACCCAATCCCCACGTCACTCTTGCCCTTCAACTCTCTCCCACCGTCCAAGATTTCCTCATCAAGCCCCTCCAAGTCCGCCTCACCACCTCCTTCTACATTCCCTTTCCGACTCTCCTTCTCAGCCACATCTTTCTGCACCAGTTCCTCGATATACGCCCAACCCGGCGTGTCGAATTTCCCACTAACCAATACAATTGTCTTCCCTTCTTCGTTGATTTCTTGAATCGCTTTGGGGGAAATGGGAGTAAGGACTTGTAGTCTCTGACGAGGGATGTCGATCCCTCGGACGAGAGCCAGACCGAGACAATGTGAGTGTGTGGGGGAGAGAGAAATTGTGTTGAGGGGGTTGAAATAAGGCAGATTCTCTTTGGGGGTACGGACGATAAGCGGGGTCTGCATTCTTTGGATCGGAGGCTCGATCGTTGATGGCTCGAGATCTGGGGATTCCTCGTTCGTGGCATCTTGGTTTTCAGCCTCCCAGCCTGGGATGGCGGCCATATCATCCACCACGACAACAGCGACGAGGGAGCCGTTGATAGCTTCTAGGAGCAAGGGCGGCGGTGGCTGCTCGCCGTAGCACATTATACCAAGAATACCAGCACCTTCGCCGGAGTATTTGATTTCCCAGGGAGGGATGGATGTCAGCGGTCGACCGTCCCAAGTTAATTCTTTCCGATTTTCAGACTTAAGATGGAAGTAAGACATGGCCTGCATGGTCCTCAGATGCGCGGGAGTTCGAGTTGTGTACTCGCTGGCCTGTGAAGGGAGAGTAAGAACGGGAGTAGCCTTCGCTGCCTCGCGAAGACTCTCGACAACTTCTTGAGGCCCATCTTGAGACATATAGACTACGTCCGTAGGTCGGAATTTGGTGATCAATTCCATGAGAATCTCTAATCCAGTTCCTAATATCCAGCCGGGAGTATTGATAACGAGGGGACAATCAGGAACCATGGTCAGGAGGTTACGGTAGTATATAAAAAGATCAAGTGCACAGTTTATGTACAAAGTCGGATCCATGGAAGGCGTTATTGCTCCGATCGTATGTGCACGAATTATTCGACTCTGGTTGCCTGGAATCGGATGCGTGAACGGTGGACCAAAATTCGGTTCCTGGAGGTGTATGAGACTTAATTGCCCTTGTGAGGAGTATTCAGGCTGTCCTGGATCGAGGTCCAATATAGCTACACCCTTGGACTTGCCAAGACGTGAGATGTGATTTGGGTTGCTCTCAGCGGCTGGAGAAAGCAGTCTATTTGTAAGGAGTTTCGCAAATGTTGATTTCCCTGATCCTTTTGGGCCACAGATCAAAATACTCGGAGTCTTTTTGTTAGTTTGTGTCGTGAATTTTGACAAAAACTGATTCCACTCCGGAGGAGAGACGACAGGTTGCAAGTAAGCTTTTTGTGGACTATCTTTGGAAGAGAATAGCTTATATATGTTAGCCTAGATCGTAAGGACGGGGGCAGAGAACATACAATTTGAAAAGAGCTCTTTTTATCGTCCTTCAAAAGAGCACTGTATTCTGAGCCCAATGGACCTGAATCGTCATTCCATAGCTTGCCGAAAAGAGAAGACAAAGGCCTCAAAAGCCCCAGCCCGCTATTGCACTGACGGACTTTGATTTCAGCATCATTGATATCGGTTGTCAAACATCTTATGACCGGCAGTGAGTGCGTTGAAGGAGCAAAGACTCGATAAATAGTATTAGAGGGCCCGAGTGTTGCGCCCAGCAGCGTGATCTGACCCTTTCGTATAGTAAGATCATATTCTCCCAATATTACTAGCCGCTTGACGGTATTAGAAAATGTCTATCTGTAGGGAAATAAATACCAGACCTCTCCAGGGGCTATTTTCAAGGTTAAGGAGCCACTTCCAGCTGCTTTCACGTTCCTTTCATTCGGCCTGAAGGTGGATAATACTATTGCTGGTTCTTGACGGATAACTTCAGGGGATACAGCACGTGATTGAAAACTGCTTGAAAGTCAGAGACCGAGAAAGATCTTCTATATGATGATTTGAGTAATACGAAGAATTCGGCGCATCCTCTTCAGAATCGAGGGCTTTTTCAACATGATCAGATCCTCTCTCGATGTCTTCAATCTGCAAGGTAGGCGCTGTAGAAGCAGCATCTTGAAGAGCCGATTTGCCTAGAATATCATTCGACGGCGAAGGTACTCCAGTCGAGACCGTGGGTGTCTCTCTAACTTCCACGTCTTGGGTGTTGCTCCTTATACTGGGAGTGCTCTTCTCAGTTTTTAAGCTTCTTCTCGCGGCAAAAGCACTGAGTTCTAGGGCGACTCAGCAGGGATCTTCCCATTGGCATTTTAGCTTGACTTACGAGGAGGGGTATCATTTAATTTCCTTCTTTTGTTTGAAGACATTTTGTCTTTTCCATGAATTGATGCGGTTGTGTTGAGCAATGTCCAATAGCAAAAGTTAAGGGACAAGGCTGGGGCGATTCAAAGTGGAGCCGATGTTTTCCCGAAGAGCTGTAAAAAAAAAGTTCCCGACTTCCAAATCTTTGGAACGTAAACCTCGACCAGTGCCGCATCCAGTCGTACTTCATACAGCTACGCTCGGAGCCATGCCTTCTGCTAAAGACGTGGCCAAGGAGGCCAAGAAGGCCAAGGATAAGAAACCGGCTGTATCCAAGATGCCCGCGAAAAAAGCTCCGCCACCAAGCAAATTGAGTACTGAGTACGTCCAAGACAGTGATTCCGACGCCAATTCGACCAGCGATGACGGCTCTCTACCAGACAATCCAGCTGCAGCCAAAGCAAAAGCCAGTGGCAAAGCAAAAAATGCAGTTGCCGACAGCAGCTCAAGTGGAAGCGGAAGTGGAAGTGAGAGTGAGAGTGGTAGTGAGAGCAGCGCAAATGAGAGTAGTAGTGAAGAGGACGAGGACGAGGACGAGGATGGATCAAGTGAGGAAGAGGAAGAGGAAACCAATAGCCCAGTGGTTTCCAAACCTAAGTAAGTTTCTTCACGTCTAATATTGCATCTGCTAATCTAAGTTGCAGACAATCCTCGACACAATCGAGTACGAAAGCTGTGACTTTGCAAGAGCCCGCCCCTTACAGCCCTCCTACTGGATTCAAAAGCGCTTCTGTCAATGGTACCACGAAATCATCGCAGTTGTTCAAGGAGTCGAATCTGCAGGGAAAGCAAATCTGGTATATTACTGCGCCAGCATCAGCACCCCTCTCATCTATAGAGGAGCTCTCATTACTTGACATAAAAGAGCACAGGAAGGTATTGTCACACAAGGGTGATAATTATGGTTTCTTTGAAGATGAGAGTGAGGCAACAGCAATCACCAAGGTCTTGGTTCCGAGTAGCTCAGATGATGGTTATCGTTCTGGTAGGCAAACATACATTAACACAAGTTTTACCCCGCTAAGGCTCGTAGCAAAAACTCCCGTCAACAAGATACTACATCTTCAGCAAATTGTCCAACCACCAAGCCTCCCTCAAATTACGACTCCCGCCAAAAAGCCCGTTCGTCAGCAACCTCGCGGCTTGAAGATGCGTTTTCGCCCGATTGGTTTCAGCAATGGTGACATGGGAAGAATAGGTTCAAGCTCTTCATCGGAGGGCGAAAGCTCAGATCAGGAGATGCAAGATGCACCAGCTGCAAAGTTCCGCAAACCCGAGTCTCTATCAGCCACGGAATCCTCAGACGGATCTGAAGACGATGATTCTAGCTCTCACGCCAAGAAGACCAAAGCTCCACCGAAATCTTCAAAATCAAAAGCCCCTGCTGTTGAATCAAGCAAGAAAACCGATGGTTCATTGAAGAGAAAAAGTAGTGAGGGAGGCGACAAAAAATCAAAACACAGTTCGTCTACATCAACAAATGCAACTGACGACAGAAGGCTAAAAAGAATAAAGAGAAAACAGATAAAAAGTCAAAAGACCATAAACAGCCAATCAGTGCCAACTGAGGCTCGCAATACCGACTCGATGATGCTGCCTCCCAGAGCTCGAACGTCACTTACCCCTATTCCGCCCCCGACATCCAAGATCGCGAACTCGAAAGCCTCAATTGTACCTCCGTCACATTTACTAAATAGAATCACCCCAATTCCACCACCAATCTCGACGCAGATTTCCTCGCAGTCATCACACGTCTCACTGAGCCCTTCTAACCCTCGAACAGCCGTAAGCGAAGCCATATCGAAAGACTACTCACATTTAGACGAGCAGATCCGAGCAATCGATCCCGGTCTGACGAGAAAGGAGCGCAGGAATGAAATCAAGAGACTTAAAAGGAGCGAATCAAGCTATGACTCAAAAGACAAGCGTCGAGGATCGGTCCCTAGTTCAGCTGATATGGTTGTCGGGCCTGTGAAGAACACCTCTATTTCACCACCGCCTTCATCGAAACCTGTTCCATCTTCATCTACACCATCGAATCCAAAAGAGAAGGAGGAGAAGGAGGAGAAGGAGGATAAGGATAAGAAGAAGGAAGAAAAGAAGGCAAGAAAGGAAAAGAAACTGCGAAGGAAGGAGGGGAAAATGGCGAATGAGGTTCTTGACAAAGGAAATGAAACACAAAACTTCTCTCCGCCTCATTCAACATCCGCGATACTACCTCCAAGACATATGTCGAAGCGTTGATTGGCATTGAGATTGACCTCATCGATGTACAGAATATTGGCGGTCGCCTCGGGGTAATTTGGTAGTCGCTAGCGCCGTCGTGTGTTGCTTGTAATGATACCCTGATGAACTATCATTCGCAGAACTAGATCCTACCTATGTGCAAGCATGTGAGCAGAATTATATAGTCTACGATTAATACCGTACAACTAACCAAAAACCTCCCCCGTCTTTGTTTCCTAATTTCCTAACTTTGAACGACGAATACTAGCAGCCAACAGGTCTAAGACTTCCTGGGTTCAAGGTACCTCGACATACCCCTGATGGTGGTGGGAGCGCCTCTTGAGGAGGGGTGCTAATGAGGAGGGGTGGTGTAGACAGTTTATCGGATGTAGAAAATCTAATATTTTAATTGCTTTTGTTCATTATGCCAGTCATTACGACATACATCTCTGCGTGGCTCAAAGAATCATTGAATCATCCTCACTCATCAATACCCAGTCAATGCATCCCAGCCAACGCTATTCCAAGGCGCGAGCACGATTGCCGTTTGTGTATCCCCAACTCTCCCGGTTCCTGCGAAAGCCTCTGCAAGCTGACTAGCCTCCAGCTCACCTCGCGGAGGGACGACTTTCATAGCAGTCTTCAACGACATATCGGCCGCATACTCATCCCCTCCTATCTCGGCCAGACGGCCCCAGCCATGTGGTTGATTTGGATGCAAGAAAATATCAGTTTGTACCTCCGCCATTACCATCTGCTCGGGGTCGCCTTCGGATAATGCGGCGATTGCACGGAGGATCTCGCCTACATGGGTTTGTTCTCGATCTGTGAGGGTATGCGTGGCCCGCAAGTCTTGAAGGCTCGCAGTGACAGCCTCGAGACTTTCATCATCCTTGTCAAACACAGCGATGACACCGAGCAAGAGTACCGATTGCACGTGGTCGGGGTGGCTCTCAACACAGTCGAAAAGATATTCCTGAGCTTTGCCTCTCGACTCTTCGGTACCTATAGCCCACAGGACCTGCGCTAGCAGACATACAGCATCGGGGTTACCATTGGATTCCTCAAGAGCTGGTTGGAAGTATTCAAGGGCGGCTTTTGGATCATCAGAGTAATAATGTGCCAAGCCGACGGTGAGATGCGCGGAGAGCCTGCATTTCTGACGCGCCGTCGTGGAGAGGTCATTCCCTGCGTCTTCAGCACTGAGCTGTAAGGCTGTCTCTCCACTGTCGATAGCTTGGGAATAAAGACCAGCTGCCAGTTGTGATCGAGCAAGGTCTGCCTTTGCTAAAGCAAAACGGGAAAATGAGGCAGGCGATTCGGTAACTTCGTAGTCTGCCTCGACGGTGGTGCATATTTTTGACAGAGTCTCCACTGCCGATGAAATATTATCTATCCTCTCCAGAAAGAGAGTCGATAGATGTTGGTACACCAGATCATCAGGAGCCATAGATTGCAACTGATTTAGAGCAAAGAGTGGTTGTACAAGATCTGTGATGCTTGAACCTTCTTTTGATGCAAGTATTTGGTCGAATACCGACTGACAGTATTGTCTCTTTGTGATCAATGAGGAAGAATCTGATATTTCCATGGCATGAGTAAAGAGAAGTTCGGCTTCTTTCGGATTATCTGTCATAAGAGCAATGAGCCCCTGTCCGACCCAAGCGTGCGCAAAGTCTGGATCCGTTGATTGAGCCCTGGTAAATGCATCATTTGCGAGCTGAATGTCATTTTGTATCAAGTAGAGTGCCCCTAAGTTACTCCAGGTTTGGGCGCTCCTTTCATTCAAGAACAGAGACCGTACAAATGAATGTTGTGCTACCTTTGGATTCATCTCACTGGTAACAACACCAAGCGCGTTCCAGAATTCAGAATTACCCGCCTCCAATTCGATGGCTCTTTTGAAACAACGTACGGCTGCTTTCAAATATCTAGTAGATCTCTTCTTCAGCCCCGCAGATAGACAGACGTGCGCTCGATGCTCCATCCAGCCAAGATTGTAGTATGCAACTGCTTGGGCATGCATATCGTGAGCCGAGGCGTGTATGGCTCTTTTGTGGGATAATATTGCAGCATGCAAGCAGCGTGTCAAGTTTAGCCCATGCTGTTCATCGTCTGGAAAGAGTCCTTTGGCACGAACAAGGTCGAGACCGACACCATCAACATCAGTAAATATATTATAGGCATCGTCTGCATCTCCGGCCAGTAGCAATTGCTCCATATTACTAAATGGAAAGGCCGAAATGCGGTTCGGAACCCACGAGAAGACTGCACAAGCATCTCCGACGGCTCTCCAAAGATTGAAAGCAGTTGCCGTAGTTTTAGCCAGTATGAGAGCCGCATCAATAGTTTCGGTTGCACGTTGAGCTGCGTGTCCAAAGAGGCCTTTATCGATTCCATCCCAGGCGCTGTCAACAAGAGTCTGAATCAAGGCGATGGAAACACCGTATTCCCCTGGACGGCCTTGAAGAACTGACTGGTATCCTTGGATAGCATCGTCATAATCACCAAGCTCTCGCTTGACGTTTGCAAGCATGTACTTTGCAAACCAAGTTTCACCAGACTTTTGTTGCTCGATTTCATGCTCGAACTTCTCTGCATGCTGGAAAGCTTTCGTGGCGGCAATATACCTCCCAGAATTGTGATAGCTTTCACCAAGACCAACCCATGAATGATAATCATTGGGCGTAATTCGTAGTGCGGACTGGAATGACACGATGCTCTTTGCATAGTCCTGCTTGTTCAGCTCCGCCACCCCAAGCGCAGCAAAGGGCCAGCTGACGCCTTTTTTCTTGGAACCAGGTGCGGGCTTGACCTTTCCAGAGTCGACTACTCGTTGTGCAACAGCTTCAACAAGTTCCCATTCACCTTGTTCGGCAAACAATCTGGCCAACCGCTCCGCAGCTTCCACCTCGGATGACGAAAGCTCGAACGCCTTTTGAAAGCACTTCCGTGATCGTTTTTTGTCCTTTGCATAATCGGCATAAAATATCCCCAGACTAGTATAGGCTGGTGCAAAGTTCAAGTTACTCCTCAATGCAGCCATAAAAAGGGAGTAAGCTCCATCTCTAGCTTTCCTGGCAGCCTTGGAAGTATCGATATTCCACATGCAGACTCCTACCCGGTATTGTGTCTGAGCTAGTAGATCACGAGATCGAAGGTCTTTGGGATCAATTTTAGGAAGGCAAGCCTCCAAGTCGTGTTTGCCTTTAGCGTAATCGCCGCCGAGTGCTCTAACCCAAGCAGCCTCAGCCTTGATACGAACGTTGCTTGGATCTCTTTCGAGTGCCCGTTCTAGGAAATCAATAGCCGCAGGATAGTCTTCTTCTTCCTCATAGATCAAACCAATACCTATCAAAGCGGGAGTTGAAGTAGGATTTCTAGTCAGAAGTCCTTCGAATAGAGCTTTCGCCTCTGGGTGGTTCTTTGGTGACTGATAGAAAACCAGTGCAGTCCCGAGGAGTGAAGTGATTGCTTCAGAAGAGTGCTCAAACGGCACTCCAGTTTTATTCGATTCATCCATAACCAGTCGTCGCGCATTGCGCATCAGCTCTACAACACTCTCATGCTCATCCAGAAACTGATAGTATTCCCCCATCAACCGGTGGGCAAGTATTGACTTCGGCGCGTCAGACATGCCTTCAGTCATCACCAGAAGGCGCTCTTCGCCGATCAATGGAGCATCTAGAGCAACTCCTCCACCATCTTCGTCTTCATCTTCACTCTCATCTGACGCTGGTTCAATTCGAGCTTGGGGTTGGGCGGGCGGTGGTGGAGGAAATGGAGATATCTCGCTCGTCATGAATCCACGCAACACTTGAGCAAGACCACTTGTTGGAAAAAACGCGATGTATTCACGTAAGATATTCGCGTCCAGGTCTTGAATGTTTTCCACATCCTTCCATTCAATTGCAATGTCCCACGCTAACTTGTAGGGATGTTTGATTATCACCATGTCATTAGCCAACTTGAGTACTTTAGCACGCTTCTCCTTCTTCTCCTGATTTGGTGGAAGAACCGTTAAAGCGTCAAGGCATCGCTGAAGAAGCTTCTCCTCATATTGACGACGAACTTCGTCGTCATTGCTCCAGTCTATGATCTTGGCGTACAAGTCCTCCAGATCACTATCTCGTAATACTTCGCGTTTGACTTCTATTGTGACCTGACCGACCTTTGCACCTAATCTCGTTCTTCGTTCGCCAATCTCTTTATTTATGCGTTCCTTCTCGTCAAATTCTGTAAGTTGGGCCATCATTTGATACGTTTGTGCTGGGTGCGGAATGCTTCCTTCCAGGAACTCGTATATCGGACTAGTTGGTAAGACGATCTCATATGCGTGTTTGTGTTGCATACGCGTGCCTTGGTTCTTTGCGAACGCAAGAAACTTGTCCACAACATCCTGGGCTTTGTATCTATCGTCCAGATTTTGATAGATCTCAGCCAACTTTAATGCAGCAACCTGGTACCGAGAAAGCGTATCACCACCTTGTTTCTCATACAACTGAATAAGGCCTTGCCAAGCCTGAGGGTCAGAATCTTTGATTTTGGTTGCTGCATCGTATGCGGTCTCGGCTTCGGCATATTTGGCCTGTTTGTCGAGGGCGAATCCAAGAAATATCAACCTATATAGGCGGTTAGCAGGAACCCACAGCTCAAGGTCAAATAGCCAAGTGGCCAATTCTGCGCGGCTTCTACTTACGCGTGGTAGCTTTTGGGATCTGATGCAAGTAAGTTCCGGGATTGCTGTACCGCTTCGTCGTAGTTCTGAGCCTTGATGGCTGCGCCGATGGCTTTCAGCGCGGTCTTTGACGATGACATAGCTTAGCAGATGCTTCACCAGCGGTCATATCTGCATTAGATGTGAAATTGTATGGATGGTAAGGATTGTATGGAAAGTCTTCTGTCGCTTGTGAGGGGCTTTTGAATTCAATTCTGTATTTCCGACAGCCTTGTGCAGGTAAAGTCGGTATCTAGCGTGTCAGTGCCGGCAATCCTTGTCAGCCCCGCTTGATACTGTACGTCGTCGTTGTTCCACCCTGGTTCGGCGATTGTGACGACGACATCATTCATCCACCCGATCTCCCTGCTGTGTATGAATCCCGACAATCCTCTGAATTCCCTGTGCATGGTTGAGCTAATCCTGAATGCTGAAGACGAAGAATTTGCCCATTTCTAATTCCATCATTGATAACTCTCCCGGCTCACCGTTGAGCCTCGGGGGTTACATCCCTCTCGAGCTTGATCCGTAGTACGCTCCTCCTCCAGGCCTGAGGAGTTTCTGGAGGCTTCCAGTCTTCGGGCTCGAGAAGTACGCAGTATGGCTCCTCTGAGACTCACGATTGAGGACGGCCTCTTCCGCGATTCGCATGGGCGTCAAGTAACTCTTCGGGGAATCAATGTGGCTGGAGATGCCAAGTATCCCAGCAGTCCGAGTCAACCCTCCCACGTCTCAGAGAACTTCTTCGATGGAGACAACGTAAACTTTCATTCTCGACCCTTCCCTCCAGAGGATGCACATATCCACTTCTCCCGACTGAAACGCTGGGGTTACAATACTATTCGATATGTATTTACCTGGGAGGCCATCGAGTCCGCCGGGCCAGGTATATATGACGAAGAATGGATTCAACATACAATTGGAATCCTGAGGCTGGCAAGAGATTACGGATTCTATATATTTATGGATCCGCATCAGGATGTTGTACGTCTTCCCCTTCAACGACCAAAGTCCCTGTGCTGATGGATCTTCAATAGTGGTCTAGGTTTTCCGGGGGCTCCGGGGCACCAATGTGGACTCTCTATGCCTGTGGTTTTAACCCCCAAAGCTTCGCAGCGACCGAAGCTGCATTGGTGCACAATACCTATCCCGAGCCCGAGAATTTCCCCAAGATGATTTGGTCGACGAACTACAACCGGCTAGCATGTTCAACCATATTCACCCTCTTCTTTGCTGGACGTGACTTTGCTCCTAAATGCATCATCGATGGGAAGAACATACAAGATTACTTGCAGGATCATTTTGTCAATGCTTGTGCACACCTGGCGAAACGAATCCACGAGGCTGGTGACATCGAGGACGAAATAGTTATTGGATGGGAAAGCATGAATGAACCGAATCACGGATTGGTAGGCTTACCAGACATATCAGCTATTCCAAGTGAACAAAAACTGCAAAAGGGCACATCCCCGACAGCGTGGCAGGGCATGCTGACCGGGTCCGGAAGGGCATGCGAGATTGATACCTGGGAATTTGGAGGTATGGGGCCATATAAATCTGGCCGCGTCCTCGTAGATCCACAAGGTGAAACTGCATGGCTTCCAGCAGACTATGACGATTCTAGATATGGATACAAACGAGATCCAGGTTGGAAGCTTGGAGAATGCATCTGGGCGCAGCACGGGGTCTGGGATCCTAGCAGTGATAGGCTCTTGAAGAAGGATTATTTCAAAAGGAATCCCCGCACTGGCAAACTTCTGACCTACGAGGAGTTTACGAATTCTTATTACATGGACCATTATCGCAAATACAGAGATGCAATTCGCACACATCACAAGAATTCGATCCTCTTCTGCCAACCTCCGGTTCTGGAGATCCCCCCGTCAATAAAGGGCACCGCAGATGATGATCCGAAGATGGTCTACGCACCACATTACTATGATGGTATCACTCTTATGACTAAGAAGTGGAATCGGTACTGGAACGTTGACGTTTTTGGTGTCTTGCGAGGTCGTTATCTGACCCCAGCATTCGCTGTCAGGCTTGGAGAGACTGCGATTAGGAACTGCTTCAGAGATCAATTATTAGCGATCAAAAAGGAGGGTGAAGATTATATGGGGAATCATCCCTGTGTCTTGACAGAATTCGGCATTCCTTATGACATGGACAATAAGTATGCTTATAAGACAGGGGACTATTCAAGTCAAATTGGCGCCATGGATGCAAATCACTTTGCCGTCGAATCTAGTTCTATGGCCGGATATACCTTGTGGCTCTATATGTGTGAGGTAAGTCGATATTTGCTCCCTATATAATCGAGTCTCCGCTAACAAGAGGCAGAACAAGCACTCCTTAGGTGATCAATGGAACGGAGAGGACCTGTCGATTTTCTCTCTTGATGATCAACCCTTGCCCCTTTCTCCCATGCCGACACCACCCAATGGATCAACATCATCATTGATCCCAAAAGCGGGATCTAACACAAAGACAGAGAATTTTGACGAATCCGGTGTGAACCCTGGAAATCTAAAAGATAAATTGAGAACACCTTCTATTTCGTCAAAAATGACAGATGCACCCGAATTAACCAATGCTCCCGGATTCAGAGCTGCGGAAGCCTACGTACGACCAGCGCCCATCGAAACTGTTGGCAAGATTATCAATTACGGATTTGATCTTCGCAATTGCATCTTTACACTCCGGCTTCAAGCCCCTAAAGCCGGATCAGAAGACCAACCTACAGAAATCTTCCTTCCGGAATTTCACTTTCCCAAGGACAAATGTGAGGTGGAGGTTAGCTCCGGAAAATGGACTATTAGCACGGACGATGAAGATGGTGGCTTGATCCAAAAGTTAAGATGGTGGCACGTCGAGGGCGAGCACTCTATCCAAGTCACTGGCGTGCGGAGAAGTCAAAACACGATGCTGGGGAGAGAAGACGAGGAAGGTTACTTGGACCAGTGCCAGCCGAGCAAGTGCAATGTGATGTAGGGAGCAATGGAGTTACGCGTGATGGTATGCTTTTATTTGGGCGCAATGGCATTTAACATCAGAAGGTCTATCGTTAGGGAACCGGATTGATTTGGAACTGTTGAGAAGCCTTCTTTTGATGGGGAGCGTACAGTTACCGTAGGACTGCTGTTAATGAGTTAATATGTCCCCATACTGAAAGATCTTTGCCTGCGCATTTGCCTTTAGTGAATAGACAGACTTGAAGAGTAAATTGAAACTTCTCTAGAACTCGGTACTTTACAGCGTCGTTGAGGAACGCAGCGTAAACATCACATTTGATTGGCGCTCCGAGGAAGTTTTGGTTTACAAGGCTAATGAGCCTTGTTCCTCTCGGATCCACACCCGCAGGATCCTTTCAGCCTTCTTTCTATGAACCGGTACGCAGCGACTGAAGAAACCTTCAATTCTTTGCACATTATTTGCACATAATTTGCACATTGATAGCACTTGGTGCTCCTTAAAAAAGACCTTTTCGGTAACCCAAACTTCATCTCACCTATACCGTCTACAGAAGAATCCTTTGACCGCCAAGAATTCACGCATAGGACGAGACGTCAGGCAGACAGCTGGGTGACCGTCCTCTCACCTGTAACCAAATCCGCTAGACACTCACTTCTCCCCTAATTATCCGATTCGAAGCTTGTTGGGGTTTGGGACGTCGTTATGGACGGCTCCACGAATGGCCATAACACGGTCGGCGTGGAGGCTCGACCTGGGGAACAAACCAACGGAGGTAGCACAACCTTGCTACCCCGAATTCACGAAGCTCTCGAGCTTGTCCACAGCCCATACTCATCGAATGAATCACGCCGGCAAGCTTCGCTGTTCCTGGAAGAAGTCAAAGCGAATGACGAGGCTCCTTACCATGGCTTCACACTGGCATCCGACAAGAGCCAGCAGCCAGTGGTACGCCACTATGCTCTCTCCCTCCTCGAGCACGGCATAAGACATAAATGGGGGGAATACTCGGAGGTACAAGCGACGGCGCTACGGGAATGGGTTCTTCAGCTGTCACAGAGCATCGTGCCGGACGACCCTCTCTATCTACGAAATAAGACCGCACAACTATGGGTTGAAATTGCAAAGAGGAGCTGGGGCGCAGAGTGGAATGATATGGATGAACTCCTTGTACGGCTGTGGGAGCTGCCTGGCTCTATAGTGCATAAAGAATTTGTGCTTTTTGTCCTTGAAACACTGTCGGATGAAGTTTTCAATGGAGAAGATACCGTTGCTATCCTACGAGAAGGTGCACTAAGCAAAGCCTGTGTGGAAATATTTACACCAGCGACCGTACTTGCTGAGGCCTTCCCAAATCGCCAAATCGGAACAAGTGTTAGATATGGAGATGAAGGTTGGTTGGTAAGGCTGGGGGAGCTGCTAAACCACTGTTTAGGGGCAGATACGTCTCAAAATGTCCAGTACCAAACATGTGCTGTGAAGACGCTGGCTGTTTACAAATCTGTCATGCCATGGGCGGTACCTCGAGCAATAGCTAGCGCATCGTGTGTGCAGCATATGTGCGCAAGTCTTGCAGCTTCCAGCGTGCCCGTGCAGCTAGTAAGTTGCCGGCAGATGCTCCCAAATTGCAACATTCTTAAACTAACTAATCTAGGCATCAGTCGAGGCGCTTCATGCTTTGTATTCCCGTTTGCATTTCTCGGATGAGGAATTCTTAGCTCTTGTGTGCCCAATGTACACAAGTCAAATTGTCAACCTTCTTCGAAATTTGTTCGAATGGTCCGTGGTTGACCCTCACGATATAGACGATGAGAAATACCTTTTTGCTAAAAAGTTCTCTGAGGTTCGATTATGCCCTCCTGACCCTGGTTTGAATTTACTGACCTATATGCAGATGGTGTCGAATCTTGGCAGCTTTATAGAACAGAAGATCTCAGTTATACCCGAAAACTGTGATCTGCCTAATCTGTTGAATCTTTTCCTTGCTATCACCCAAAGTCAAAGTTTTGTCATCTCGATACCCGTCCTCGTTACTTGGACAAGATTGTTACGTTCTGATACTATTGGCCGATCTCAGACCATTAATCCCTTAATTGCCCCTCTCCTTGAACTGTGCAATTCACGACTCATACGCTATGAAAATATGCCAGAAGATTCAGACGATCCCTCCTTGGTTTTTTTGCTTGAAGACATTGATACAATACCTGAACGACACGCTTTTCTTGGAAATTATCGACGTTTTTCAGTACAAATCATTGAGCTTATAGTTCGCCAAAAGCAGTCCGAAGCATTCTACCATATTCTAACCCAGGTTGACCAAGCAATGCAGCATCTATATGATGGCCAGCCTCCATTTTCCGGTTTGTCACCTCAGAGTCAAACTATGTGAACAAAGCTAACCAATATTAAGTCGAAACGTATTCGAAGAATTCGATACCGATCTTGAGGGTCGATGCCCAGTTCACCGTGATTGAGGCGGCACTGAAAGGATATATGAAATGGCGAGCATCGCATGGCTCGGAACCTCAGCAAGACGTAAAATAAGCTCCTCCCGCACAACGTACCTTGAAGTTAATTTTCCTCAAGGAACAGGAACGCATAACTATGGAACTGAACCTCGAAGCTTGGTGTGAACGGTTACTGGAAAGTAACTTCGAGGTAATTTTAATATACCCATTCGGCTTGGAGCGGGACTGACCGCATAATGTCAGGATCCAATGATACGGAAGAGAATCCTCCAACTTGCTGTTGCATTCTCGACAACGGCTCTAGACAAGAAAGTGGATTTTATGCTCAAGGTTCTTCAGCATATCCTCATGAGCAGGCCTGTTGAACATCCAGAGCATGCTGCTTATTCAGATGCTGTGAAAGAGTTGCAAGCGGACGGCATGTATGAATTGCATCGATTAGCTACCAAGATGCCAGATCAACTATTAGTAAGCTCCTTTGTTCTTCCAAAAGAAGAAATGTTAACGTTCTTCCTAGGATGTCTACCCCCAGCTGGAAGCAAAAGTCAACGAGACTATTGCCTCGGGCACAATTGATGCGAAGCGTCAAGTTTCTTACCAGACCTTTCTCTTCACGATCATGTAAGTGGCGCAGATTAATCTAGCCAATCTAGAAATCCGGATTTCTCTCTTGACATTAGTATTAATGAACTGTAGTCATCGCTCCACGAAAATTGATGTAGACAGCCAGCTACAGAAACTACGGGATTTCATAAACCCGGTCCAACAGCTTTGGCAGAATCCTCAAATGGGTGAAGCCATTTCATCTTTTGGTGGGTTCTGCGAACTTCTGGGGCTGGGTAAAGTCAGCGACTATCTCGTATCTCGACGCGTTCACGAAATACAGGATTGGGGATTATATCAGCTTGATGCAGAGGGACAGGCTATTCAGAAGGATCTGGATGAACGAGTGAAGGTAGATAAAGCCAGCCCCTTTCTGCACATCCAACTAATAAGTCACCCAGGCCTTGCCATTGAGGACTACCAAATCTTTCTTTGGGTGCACGACGGAAAAGATCGAGAAGGATACTCCCGCATACGAAGTAACACGCGTTTTATGGCGTGATGCGCTGCCCCTGATACTTCCAAATTTACTAAAATTTCTAAGGTGAGTTCGTACTCCTGAAGTCATTGCCAGACATACTAAATATATAGCCACGCACATGCGTTTCACAATCCGGCAAATTGGACTGGGCTTCCCACGGATATGCGATCAACTGTCAGTCGCATCTTAACAGACCGGTTTTGGCAAGCTGGCATATCCGTAGGCAGCAAGGACGATTTTTATGCCCGTGTCAGTAGCACTAAATCTACAATGGAGGGATTTGCTTCGTCGATTCGTGGCGCTGTCCGCACTGTTCGGGAAGCTTGCTATTCGATTCTCTGGTGCATGAGCAGATTGGATGTTGACTTCTATGGTTTCAACGAGCTTCCTGGGCCACTTGCACACGCGCTCTTTGCAGATGCCCATTGCCTATCATCTCATCAGCTTATTGCGCTTCTCAATGTCGTCCGGTTAATAGTCGATGACTGTCCTGTCGAGCTTCGGAGCCATTTTGTGCCCCCAATATTGGCAAGCTGCTTTGCTCAGATGGACACCAAATGTAGCACAGAGTGGGAAAAGCTGGCTCATAAGCAAGTAGCTCCGACAGAAGGCGAGGATTTGACCGACGAGATGAAGGAGGAAAGCATTTTACGCCAGTTGACCCACGCTGCTGTAATGATGATTGGCGGATTTCTCGATCCAGCAAGACCAAGTAAGAACATACGTTTGTCCCTTTTGCATATATATTAACATATTTGTAGATGTCCCAAGCGGCCCTGTAACGGCCAAAGATGCGTCCAGCTATGCACCTGGGAACAATCCCTCTGCGTATCCATCCATGCGGAAATTCTGTCTGACCTCCTCCATCATTCTTGAGCCACTGCTTCTTTTCTGCACCCATGCAATCCGTATGCGAGATGGTCGTTGCTGCGGCGTGGTCTTGCGAGTGCTTCGCTCCATGGTTCCCGATTTCGCATCCGACCAAAACCCCCTATCTCCCTCTATCCGCGAGTTTATTAGCACGGACGTCCTCAAAGCTTGTATTTCCTCTCTCAACGAGCCATACTTCGTTGACCTACATAAGGATCTTGCTCAGCTCATAGCGTCGATTCTCATCTACTACTCGCCCCTTACAAACACCCCCAGACAAATACTATTAAGCTTGCCGGGTATTGAAGAGAAGGCAGTGGATAAGTGCATTGACTACATCATGCGCCAGGGAATGCAACAACGCCAGCAACGAGCTTTGGTGTTGGATCTCTTACGCGATCTAAAAGGGGTAAGCATAAGTGAACAAGGTCGTATTACGAAGCCAGCATCTGTGGTACGAAAGGAGCGCAGCAAGATGCAACAAGAGTTCATGAAAGAACAGCCGGAGAAGAGGCGACCAAGTCCTAGTCTCGAAGGTGTTGCTGGAATGTTTAATGAGCAATAAGCCGATGTCCCCTTGGGCAGTTGCCCTGTTCCGTTCCGGAGCACTTTGCAGTGTGCTGAGATCCCGAGGATATGGATGACGGATGAGATGGCCTAATGGAAAAGTTCTTTTTTTCCTTTGCCTTTTCTTTTGCTTGCCGCCAGTATTGCGGTGGGGTCCTGGGGAAGGCGTTGTTGATCAGAATGGAGCGCTCTTCATATAAAGCGCACCAACGGCCAAGGTTGTGAGCTAGGGGTAACAGTAGACAAAGTTAGCATAGCATCAATGCAAAGAAGAGATCAGTAGACGGTCTTAATTTGAGATCGCGCGAAGTAAATGAAATGCCGATAGCCTACTGTCATTGGGAAGCTTTCACTGGCAATAGCTGGGTTTCTCTGGAACTCTCTCCGTGTATCACCTGCACTGCTGCCCTTTAACCTGCGCAATATATAACTTATCTAGCCCCCCTGGCTCCACTTCTACTTCGAAATGAGACTTTTACCGTCAACGTAGCCTTGAATGGTACCTAGTTCCCAGAAGCTGCTAACACTTCCCCCCCCCCCCCCCCCCCCCTTCTGATTTCCCCTAATGCTTGAGAGGTCTCCCCATTTCCATATTGAAACTGCATTGCTCAGAAGAGGATTCAGGGCTTACGGGGTTAAAACCACTTCCCACTAAAACTCTCTTGCAGCATTTATTGGAGAAACTGGTGAGCATTGGAGACAATGGTATTCAATGGTATTATCATTGGATATGTAACGCAAGCCCCGGGGTATTCCTATTGGCATGTTCTTGACAAGTCCAATATCAAATGACAGATGTGCTTCGTAACCATCATAAACTCACTAGCACTTGTGAGTGCTTGGAATGTATGCATTTATCCCCTTCGTCCATCCCAATCGCAAGACGGTATTTATGTTCATCCTAATCATTAAACGCAAAAGAGCAAAGCAAAAACACGCCTCTGTCCCATTCTATGACTGACGTTCTATGATAAAATAACCACATAGCCGCACAGTCAAGGGGATAGAGTTCAACGTAAGGCGAAGAGAAGACAACTAGCTAGGCATGGTGGTTCCCTGGTGACTACTACTTTGCATTGGTGCTTCAGGAGCTTCGTGTATACCTGAAAAGAGTTAAAAAGATAGAGATCCAGAGGCGGCGGCGCCGTCTTATTAATTAGATATCACTCACGGTTTTCTGGCTTCAGCTTTCCCCTGTTCAGGAGGGGGCTGTTTGTTCCACAGGCGACTTTTGTATTCAGGCCAGGTACTCAAGTTCCAGGCCTTAACTAAGAAGCCCTGTGTCGAGTCCACATAGCTCTCAGTGTTGACATCCTTGACGCCAACCTTCACGCCGTCCTTTGTAAAGACCACGTTCTTGGATTGCATCTTGTCGTTGGCGGCAGCGGATATCTTTTGGAAGGATCGATATAGGTGATAGCCGATGAAGGCGAACACGAAGAGAGTAACGAACAGCACGATCAAGGGGACAAGCTTACTGTATATTTGTCAGTTCAGTGCAATTACGACTGGGTTTATGGGGGCAACGCGATATACCTACCTCAAGGCTGAGCGGGGTGGAGGGGGCGCTTTTGGTGTCCGTCCCCAAGACATGATTGGCAGATGCAGATGAAGATGCAGATGCAGATGTGGTTCTAGTTGAGATAAACTCGAGATGTTACTGGGAGAGTTTATATGTGCTTTTGCCAATATAAACTGCAGATATCAGATGCGCGGTGTTTTGATCTCCCCAGCCAAGCTCCCCAGCCTCCCAGCCGCACTCGTGATTCGCGGTCACGTTAAGCGGGTCGGTGAGCGTGCGCCCGCCCAATACGGAAAGGCGACCAGCCAGATTTCAGCGATTCAGATGGAACTTTGGAACGAGCTTCATCTGTGCTGGAGTAGACCAGCTTTCTCAACCACCATTGCACCGAACCGTCACGCCTAGAGGAGCCAGACCCAAGGTCATGAATATCCTCGTTGCAAATCTAGCGCCATCTATCGACTTCTGAGGGCATTTCGCGACAGTTACGAGTCGACAGAGTAAGGGATTCCCGCAACGTGTTCCTTGAATTACCTTAGACACCCATTTAACATCGCGGGCAGGCGATCCCCCGGTCTCCACTTACAAACAACATCCCCAGCGTCGGTCTCCCACCGCGAGGCTTTGTGCGAATCTCCAAACTTCTGGGCTTTGAATTGCCTACAGGTCTCGAGCAGAATCAAGCATGGCGGCTCCGCAAGAAGGCTATCCAGGCCAGGGCTATCCCCCCGCGGATCCATATGCCCAACAGGGTCCCGTCCAGCCAGGCTACGTAGCTGCTGCATCTCCTCCGCCTCCCGCTACACACCACGAGACGGAGGGCGGGAAGAAGAAGAAGAGAGGGTATGCCGCGCAGGCTTATGATTTCGGGGCCGGTGCCAACGCGGCTTTGGGGGGGCAGCCGCAGGGAGGAGTCTTCCAGCCTGTTCAAGCTCCTGCTTATGGCGGATACCCACCACAGCCAGAACTGCAGCCGGCATACGGTGCACCTCAGTATGGCGCTTCTGTTGGGGCGCCTGCTCCTGGTCAAACTGCCCAGAGCTTTGGAGTTGCCGCACCGTATGGTAGCGGTGTAGGGGGATATCAACCTCCTGATGCTGGATACCCAGGTCCTGGAGCACCGGTAGCTGCTGGTGTTGCGGGAATCACGCAGGGCATGGGGCAGATGGGAATCGGTGGTGGAGCACAACCGGCACAACCACAAGCTGCTGTCCGGCCAGTTTTCAATCAGCTTTATCCGACAGATCTCCTTAACCAGCCTTTCAACCCTGCCGAACTGGAATTACCTCCTCCTCCTATTCTTTTGCCTCCCAACGTAAGTTTATCCCCGTGCTAATCCGGGCTACTTTTACTGATATGCCTCTAGTCCAGCGTTACCCCTTCGCCTGATGCCAACTGTCCCCCAAAGTACGTCCGTTCGACTCTCAATGCCGTTCCAACTACACATTCGCTCCTCAAAAAATCGAAGCTTCCTTTTGCGCTTGTTATCCAGCCATATACCTCTCTTCACGATGTGGACGACCCAGTACCCATTGTCCAGGACCAAGTTATTTCACGTTGCCGGAGATGTCGGTCTTACATAAATCCCTACGTTACGTTCCTCGATCAGGGGCACAGATGGAGATGCAACATGTGCAACCTCACAAACGATGTCCCACAAGCTTTCGACTGGGATGCAGCTGCTCAGAAGAGCGTGGATCGATGGCAAAGACATGAACTCAACCATGCCGTGGTGGAATTTGTTGCACCTCAAGAATATATGGTCCGGCCCCCACAGCCTCTCGTGTATCTTTTCCTGTTCGATGTTAGCTATGCTTCCGTTTCTTGTGGTCTGTTGGCTACAAGTGCGAGAACGATCTTGGACAGCCTTAACCGAATACCGAACGCAGACAGAAGGACCCGAGTTGGTTTCATGGCCGTGGATTCTAGCCTGCACTACTTTGCGGTCCCAAGGGATAACGAGGAGAATGGCGAGACCCAGATGCTTGTTGTCAGCGACCTTGATGAGCCCTTCTTGCCAATTCCTCAAGAATTGCTTGTTCCCTTATCGGAAAGCAGATTGAGCGTCGAGAAATTCCTCATGTCACTACCACAAATGTTCCAGACCAACCAGAACAACGGGTCATGTATGGGATCCGCCCTACGGGCAGGTCACAAACTGATCGCCCCTCTTGGTGGCAAGATCGTTGTGATTTCGGCTTCTCTGCCAAACGTTGGGTACGGCAAGCTGGATATGCGCGAAGACAAGAAATTGCTGGGTACCTCGAAAGAGAGCAGTCTTCTTCAGACGGCCAGCAGTTTCTACAAGAGCTTTGCAGTAGAGTGTTCAAAGAACCAGGTTTCGATCGACATGTTCTTGTTTTCTTCCCAATATCAAGATGTTGCGTCTCTCAGCAACCTGCCCAGATACACGGGTGGACAGACATACTTCTATCCTGGTTGGAATGCTGGAAGGAGTGAGGATGCGATTAAGTTTGCTACAGAATTCAGTGATTACCTTTCTGCCGAGATTGGGCTTGAAGCTGTTCTCCGCGTCCGTGCAACAACGGGCCTTCGCATGAGCACATTCTACGGTAACTTCTTTAACCGAAGTTCAGATCTCTGTGCATTCCCGGCTTTCCCACGCGACCAGAGTTACGTGGTCGAGGTTGCTATTGATGAGAGTCTGTCGAAGAACTTCGTCTGCATGCAAACTGCCGTCTTGCATACTACTAGCAACGGCGAACGGCGAATTCGAGTCATGACGCTAGCGCTGCCAACCACAACGAATGTTGCGGATGTCTACGCTTCCGCTGACCAGTGTGCGATCACGGCCTACTTCAGCCACAAAGCTGTTGAGCGAGCACTCAGCAGTGGTCTGGAGCCAGCACGCGAAGCCCTACAATCTAAGCTGATTGAGCTGCTTCAAACATTCAAGAAGGAGCTTGCTGGTGGCAACATGGGAGGTGGTGGATTGCAATTCCCAGCAAATCTTCGTGGGCTTCCTGCGTTGTTCCTTGGCCTCATTAAAAATGTTGGTTTGAGAAAATCTGCACAGATCCCATCGGATCTTCGATCTGCAGCGCTCTGCCAACTATCGACCCTACCTCTTCCTCTTCTTGTGCAATACATTTACCCGCGACTCTATTCCTTACATGATATGCCCGACAGCGCTGGCATTCCCGACCCAGAGACAGGTGCTATTGTTCTACCACCCGTGCTCAATCTGTCCTCGGAGCGACTCGTACCTTATGGCCTCTATCTCATAGATGACGGTCAAACGCAATTCCTCTGGGTCGGCAGGGATGCGGTGCCTCAACTACTTGCCGATGTCTTCGGCGTTAGTGAGAGGAGTAAAGTCAAGGTTGGCAAAAGCTCATTGCCAGAATTGGATAACGACTTCAGCGAGCGAATCCGAGCTGTACTCCAGAAGAGCCGCGACTACAAATCTCGTGGCGTGGGCAGCATCATCGTACCGCACTTGTATGTCGTTCGGGAAGATGGCGACCCAAGCTTGAAGTTGTGGGCGCAGACCTTGTTGCTGGAGGATCGGGCAGATCAGGGAATGAGTTTCAAACAGTGGATGGGCGTGCTGAGGGAGAAGGTAAGCTGATGTTAATGTTGCATTGGTACGCTAAGCGGAGTCAATGGCCTCATGCTGACGCGGTTATTTTCTACAGGTGGTTCAGTGAAAGGAGCGAGCTCCCATTAGGGAGGAAAAAGCAAGTGTCTGTAGCAACATAGAGAACAAAGAATATCTTAGTGAAGTATTGGCCTCAGTAGTTGCAGAATAGATGTCTTCTTGGGCGGATATTCATCCCATGTTGAACGAACCCATGTCTGACCAATCCCTGCTTGTCTTAACCCGCAGCGATTGTCCAGGATTCCTGAGTGAGGGGCCTGAGTACTGAGGCGCCAGAGCCCCGGGGGTCCATGTGCCAGTACAGTACGGTACGGCCCATTATCGCACTGATGTGAATCCAGAGACCCTCGTTCCAGCCAGACCGATTATTTACTGTGAGCGACTGACGGAATGAATACAGAAGGTCAATACTGTGCAATACCTTTGCGACAGCCCACGAGCCATGACAGGGATAAGATGACTATATTTGGCGCTCGTATCGGGGTTCGGGAGCCGGGACAGGAAACACTTTGAGACAAAGGCAAACGGAGCATCAAACACGGCCCAAACAACGGGCTCCTTCGCTCCTTATGATTCGGGGTCTCTCGGTAGCACGTCAGGACGAACGCATTTCGGGGTATTTGTTTTGAAGTTGTAGAATCTAGCCTTCTTGCGTGCAGAGTTTGGGGGCTCTCTCTCGTGGAGTGTTAAAGCCGTGGTCTACTACTCTGCCGTCCGATGGCACTTCCATCCAATCAGGGGCCGCTTCGTATAGGGAATGGCGGTCTTGCGATCTGATCTATCAAGGACGGCGTATGGATCTTCGGCGTCCAGAGAGCGGCAGGCATGCGGGAAGATCAAGTCACAACGTCACATAGGGCTCAGGTAGGTTGGCATGAAGTTTGAACTTTGAAGGGGCGCATAGGGGGGTTTGTCTGGGAGGAGCAATGCGATTGATCTTGCACGGTGACCAAGTCGGATGCTGTAGAGGATCAGGTCAGTTCAATCGGGGGGAGAGAGAGGCCATCATACTGCAGAGGATACAGTGTATAGATGGCATATACTCGGTAGTGCTGTATAAGGTATACCACGTATCGCAAAGTGTAGGCCACATTGTTCGGGCCCGTGGTGAAACGAAACGGGCATGGCTGCGTGAAACAGGCGCTCTCGCGATGTTCCAGCGACTTCGATGTGATGGATGGTGATGCCGGTGATGGAGATACGTGGGCGCGTAGAGGGAGCTCTCCCACCTACCACTGGACTCCCACTGCCACCAGCGACGACGGCTCCACGAGGGGTCGGCAAGCCCTTCGCGCGCGCTGATTGGCCATTGGCGGGTTCGCTAGACGAGGCACGACCCCTCGGGCCCCAGGGCGCGCTAGGCCCGAAGCAGCAGCGCTCAGTTACAGCCGGAGTTCAGACATCGTGACCTGGCACTTGGCTTCCATTCCATTGTCCCTCCATCGTCTATCGTCCCGTCCATGTTCCATTATTCATTCCTTCACTCCCCCCCACTCAACATCCCCACCTCCCCTCGTCCAGAGCCATTCTATCTCCTTGCGATTCCTTGATTTCTTGATTCCATCTCCATCCCAGACGCTGCCCTCGACGACGAACTCCCGCGCACCAGGAAGCATTTGGGAAAGGCCCGCCGTATCCTTGTAGCGGGGCTGTGTGTGGGCGTCAACCGGGAACTTACATCTGGGAACTACAGGTATGGCAATGTTTCCTCGCACAACAAAGAACATGGGACGGAGTGTCTGAACCTCTGCTCTGCATTGCGCACTTGCTACGAGCCAGCTTTGAGACGTCGAGAGGACCTTGGCTCCCAGCGGCTGAAACGGAGCATAAAGAACCCATTGGGAGCACTTTGACTCGTGCAAGTTTATGTACTGATCTCGGGGCCTCAGTTAGTTAGAAGAATATCCCTCCCCACCAGCCGACGGATCGCAATAGTCGAATATCCTCCCCCGCGACTGGTTTTCCCAGCAGAGAATCAGAGGCTCTGACGATCGGAGTCTCCTCTTGATAGGGCCGAAGCGCAAGATTTCTAGTTGTGGTAACGAGGGAGATTATCCTCAGCTCAAAAAATAGAGCAACGATCGAGGAAAATAACCCCTATCGATATCTGGATACAGAATCGTTGTGCTTCGCAGAAGTAAATAGGGGGCCAAGGATTCGACTATACCTATATCTCGCAGACTAAGCTGCTGGGATTCATTCTGCGAGGCTCTGACGACCCTAACGAATTCGACTCACCTCTTACTCCTCGACCTTCCTTTTCCATTCATCACATTTTCCTTCGCATAAGCATATCCCGTGTATTTGAACACCTAGGATATAACTCTTTCCGCCAGAACCGACAAAATGTCTCGCGCGCCAAATCCCACGGGCTCGCGCAAAATCTCCTTCAATGTCTCCGAGCAGTACGACATTCAAGATGTCGTGGGAGAGGGTGCGTACGGTGTTGTTTGGTAAGTTGCCGCGGTGGCAGCATGCTTGCTATTGCTCTACCTTTCAAGCAGAGTATAACGCATGCTAATACACTTGTCTGCATAGCTCCGCGCTTCACAAACCCAGCGGCCAAAAAGTAGCGATCAAGAAGATAACTCCGTTCGACCACTCCATGTTCTGCTTGCGAACTCTACGTGAGATGAAACTGCTACGGTACTTCAACCATGAGAACATCATCTCGATCCTTGATATCCAGAAACCCCGCAGCTACGAGACATTCACCGAGGTCTACCTCATCCAGGTATGTTGTATCTGCTCCTCCTTGTGGCTTCATGTCGTCTACAGCTCGCTGACACATAAAAGGAGCTTATGGAAACTGATATGCACCGCGTTATTCGTACACAAGACCTCTCAGATGACCACTGTCAATACTTCATCTATCAGACGCTGCGCGCTCTAAAAGCTATGCACTCCGCCAATGTTCTGCACAGAGATCTCAAGCCCTCGAACTTGCTGTTGAACGCCAACTGTGACCTGAAAGTGTGCGATTTCGGCCTCGCCCGTTCTGCTGCATCTCAAGAGGACAATTCGGGTTTCATGACAGAATATGTCGCAACTCGATGGTACCGTGCTCCAGAAATCATGTTGACCTTCAAGGAGTACACCAAGGCGATTGACGTTTGGTCTGTTGGCTGCATCCTCGCTGAGATGTTAAGTGGCAAGCCGCTTTTCCCGGGCAAGGACTGTAAGTTTACTTTATGCTAGAGTCCGTGTCCGAAAATGCTGACCTCCCTCATCTTAGACCACCATCAACTCACCTTGATCCTGGATGTTCTCGGCACTCCGACCATGGAAGATTACTACGGTATCAAGTCACGCCGAGCTCGCGAGTACATCCGCTCCCTCCCATTCAAGAAGAAGGTCCCGTTCAAGGGAATGTTCCCAAAGACCTCGGACCTTGCTCTCGATCTCCTGGAAAAGCTCCTGGCTTTCAACCCCGTCAAGCGCATTACTGTCGAGGAGGCCCTCCAACACCCGTACTTGGAACCATACCATGATCCAGAGGATGAGCCAACAGCCGCCCCGATCCCGGAGGAGTTTTTCGATTTCGACAAGAACAAGGACAATCTAACCAAGGAGCAGCTGAAGCAGTTGATCTACAACGAGATCATGCGATAGGCAATTTTTGCTTTCTGCATGAATCGCTCGTTGCGCGATCCGCTCATCTTCTGGTGTTCTGGTTGGAAACATGTTTCTCGAATACAGTGACATATGTCTCGCGAGCGATTCCCTCGATTTTGCTCCTGCATGCGGACTGCACTTATTTCGCTCAATGTTCCTCCCCTGATTCCAAGAACGACCACAAGAAGTTTCCTGGCTATGGCAACATGTTACTGTGTGATGTTTCTGACTTGCATATGGATGATAGCGTCTCATGGGAGATATCGATGGATAGGATGATTTGTGGTAGCGTGCTCAATCGAGTTGACGAATGAATATGCGATGATAGGATACGAGACACGAGACCATGTTCTATTGCTGCGTTAGGTTGTTAGTTCATTACAGCGGGCTGTCTCAATCTCTGGGCTGACTTGCCTTGTATCTCAAAACGGATAGACCTCACTGATTTTCATCTGGTACAATGTGTGACCGTTTACTGGTGAAATTGGTTTTCATCTGCTCAGGTAGGGGGTAGGAGATGCAGATGAGAAACTCCAGTCCAACCTATCCCGTAACAGATGGCCCACTTGTAAGATTCCCCCGCCCAAAACTCCCAGAACGTATCATTTGAACGCCATATCCTCTCTGTATCTATCCTCAGTCATTATTCCGATCCCTCCCAGCACCAACCGCATCTCTCAGCGCCTTCTCCCTCCCCTCTCTCCAACTCTTATCCAGCGCCTCAATCTTGCCTCCTAACACCAGCACCGATCCCGGCTCCATCAGCACCAAACCTCTCGCAACCTTTGCCCCCTTCTTCAACATAATCTTACATCCGATATTCATCGTTGGCGGATAGCCCACCTTATCCACCCTCTTCAACTCAAACCCATAAACAGTCTGGCCTTTCATATCCTGAAGCAGTAATTTAAACGGGCCATTTGATTTTGCAGCCCCGGCATTCTGATTCGCATTTCCCTGAGTATTTGATGTTGTCTCAGGCGAGGCGGCGGTGCCCGAGATAATATCACCATCAGGCTGCGTCGGCACAGCTCTAATGACCTGTCTCCCCTTAGTCGTCTCGCCCTTCCTCTCCATCTCCAAGGCCTCGACCTGTTCCCAGCGGCTCCTGCTCAGATCCTGAATATCCAAGACCTGGACGGGGACGTCGGCGGTCAGGACGCGGGACACGACGCGCACGTCTGCGATCCCCGGAGGCAGACACAGCGTCTTGGAAGGATCGAGGATGTGCGGCTGCGTGAGGTCGGCGTTCAGAAGGCGCAGTTTGGCGGTCGCGGCGAGTGCGGGCATGGGAGGTGCTGTGCGTTGCGAGGTCCCGGGGCTTAGGATCGGGGTCAGGAAGAGTGGGTGCGGTGCTGGGAGGCCTTGGGTGGTGAGGGCCTGGGTTAGTTGGGGGATGGAGGGGGTTGTCATCTTGATTGAGAGGGGTTAAGGGTCGGGAGTTTGTGCAGGTTAGAGGTTGGAGAGGGATTGTAATGGTGGGAAGATCTTCATAGTGTCTTTTATAAAAGGCATTGAGGAATCGTAAGCTGTGAGGGGCGATGTACAGAAGTCGTTGCAAGACGGGCTGATGGATGTCGGAAGAAGTTGTGAAGCCTCGCTTCAGCCTTGCCAAGCGAGCCAGCCTTCTTTCGAAAGACGACGTTGCTCGACACCGTATCTTACAAGTTACATACAGCTCGAGCAACATCCAAATCGCTTCTCCTTTCACCATTACGATGTCCAGACTTTCCAAATAAGAAGCCAGTTCTGCGTATTCTGTTGATAATCATTAATTGATACCCCGACCATGTCTACAATCGCCAGCCCCCGTGACAGCTCCGTCAATGGGCGCCGCGTCCCTATCATCGCAACACCCACCTCCTCCTCACGGCCCAGTCTCGAGACGCCGCGATCCAGCGAGCCCTCTCCCAACCGCGCAGCGCAACCGCGCCGCAACCGTGCCGCGCTCCGCGAATACTACAATCTCAAGCGCGGGCAGGACGAGCCGCTGATAAACGACGCCGCGTCGGAAGTATCGTCGATCCACGACTTCAGCGAGGTGCAGGAGAGCGAGATGGACCGCGCGGGCTTCGACGCCGCGGCGTACATCAAGCAGGTGCTGGAGACGCAGAGCCTGGGCGAGCTGCTGCGGACGTACAACGGGGTGCTGGGCGATATCCGGGCGCTGGATGCCGAGCGGAAGGCGCTGGTCTATGATAATTATAGCAAGCTGATTGCGGCGACGGAGACGATTAGGAAGATGCGCACGAATATGGACCCGCTGAATCCGATGACGAGTACGCTGGACCCGGCGATTGCGAGTATTTATGAGAGGGCGGAGCGGATCAAGGGGGAGCTGAAGGCGAGTATGCCGGAGAGTAAGAGGAGGGAGATGGAGATGGGGGAGGAGGAGCGGAAGGCGTTGCGGGAGAAAAGAAGGGCGAGAGAGGTGGTCTTGAGGGTTTTGGATACGCCGGAGAAGTTGAGGGGGTTGGTGAAGGACGGTAGGGAGGATGAAGCTAAGAAAATTTGGGAGAAGACTCTGGCGTTGTTGGAGAGGTGGAAGGAAAGGGGTGTGGGTGGGGAGGATGTGCAAGCTTGTATTGACGATGGCGAGGCTGCGTTGAAAGGGGAGCCTCCCACTGAGAAGAGTTGGGTCAATGTGAAAGGGGCTAAAGAATTGAAGTCATGACTCATGCCAGTTGAACACCTGCCTATGCGTCAGGTAAATCCTCTATTTTACCAGCCGGTTTGACCGCTCGTGATAATCTCGTAGGGGTCCCTATCAGCCTCACTAACTGCGATATCGAAACCACCCACCAGTCCCCACTTCTCACGATCCACCATCTCATTAATCTCCTTCTCCTCAACCATCTTCTCAAGCTCGTTAATCAGTGCTGGCCTCATCCTGCTCTTCAAGAATTCTCTCTCCGTATTACTATGAAAAGCCGTGATCACACATTTCCCCTGCTCAATGGCAGCCAACGCTTCATGGTGGCTCAGCTCACCGGTGAATAACAGATCCACATCCAGACCATTCAGCATAGACCCTCCGGAACCAGCACAGATGCCTACAGAAGAGATCTGGATATTATACTTCTGTCCAGCCGGAACAGATTGGGGGACCGCTACCGAGAGGCCTGACAAGTCGCCCAGACCTTGGGTAACGCGTGACACGAGCAGTCCAAGGGGCTGTGGGCTCAGAAACCGTACGATACGGCCATAGCCCGCCTTCTCGAAGCCCTGGGGAGCTTGTTGGATGGGGGTGATCAAGGAGCGATCATGAGGCGAGGGTTGAACGCTGGGACTGGCTGGAGTCAGTAGTACTCTTGTTTTGCTGAACGCTCGACGTGGAGGATTCCCATACACACTCCTGTAGAATTGGCCGGTGATGATATCCGCTAACCAATCGTTAAGCCCCCCGGGAGCTGCATCTACAGCTGTATGAGGGCTATAGACACTTATACCTTCCTGAGCCAGACGCAGGAGAGAGTTTTGCTGCGAATTGGCCAATGTGAAGGATTTCAAGGGTCGGAAGATAATGGGATCTGGAGGATTGTTAGCCAAGTTGAGAAGTGGAATTTTTCCACTTCAAAACCTTACGATATGCAATAATGATAGAATCTCTCCTTGCAATTGCCTCATCTGCTACGGCTTTCGTGAGGTCGATGGTCAAGAGAGCGGAATTCCTGAGGTGACCTGGCCGGAGAGGTGCCTCTAAGAGGACTTTTGCATTGTCATTAACATGAACTCGATGCAAGGGAATGGAGATGGCACATACGTCCAGTATTATCGAAACTCTTGTCTGCAAGAGCCTCTGGATACCTGTATCGAGAGTTAGTTGAATTCTCTCGAGAGCACGCACGGGATGCCTCACAGCCTCTTCACGGCACCAACCACGGTTTGGGTAAACGGCGAGACTTTTGCAGTGGAATTAGACATTGTTGATATAGACCTCTTTAGAACTTTTGATACGTTCATGGCATTGCGGAATTATATCCTGTTCCAAGGTCACGTTGATATAAACTGCCTGATAAACATACCCCGTAATGCATTTAATTACCCGGGGCGCGGCCGCTCCCTAGCCATGTTTGCAGCGTTTGCTCTTCCTTGGGTAGGTAGAATCCCAGATTTCATTTCGCATTAATCGATATTGCTCCAACCGGTCTGCACGACGCACTCCCCCTTCGATCAAACGGTCGCGCGCATATTCGCCATGGCAGACGCAAGCGGGATCACCGAAGCCAGTCTTCGAAGCAAGCTATTAGAGGCCCTGCAAGCAACCTATGTCGAGATCGAGGACATGTCAGGTAAATAAATTATTGGATTTCAGCCCCACCAAACCCCTCCTCACTCTTCGCGCACAAAAAAACGCAAAAAAGAAAAACAGAGAACGCTCCCCGAATTAACAAAGCTCGCGAGCAGGCGGTTGCGGACAGGCATTCTCGGCCGTGATCGTATCGCCGCAGTTCGAGAAGAAGACGGCGCTGGCGCGAAATCGGCTGGTGAATTCGGCGCTCAAGAGCGAAATCGCCGCCATTCATGCGTGGAGCTCGAAATGCTATACGCCCGACCAGTGGGAGAAGTTGAGGCAGGAAGGGAACCAGGTCGTGGCTCCGGGTAGGGATACTACGGGTGAGGTGGTTTCCGGGACGAGAGAGTGAAGAGATAACGCGACTCGGTCTGGTCTTGGGGGGAGGACGAGAGGAAGTACTTCGAGTATATATATATATATATGTATGCCCTGAGGGCGTCGAAAAGGAGTGCGGTGGGTCGGGGGTCATGAACACCGATACGATATATCAGCCATAGAGAGAACATCTCGGTCAATAGAGGGTTGCTGGCAACAGAGTTCTATAAGGGCTCGTGGTCTGCCAAGGCTGTGGTACTTTTTATCTTTTGAATAGAGATACAAAGATGCCTTTCACGCTATCATGTTCAAACCCTCTTTATAAGTCTTTGGACTTGTAAGTTATGGCTTTCTACTCTTTTCCTGTCTGGTCCAGGATCCGTTTTCTACAGTAATTTTTGAGCCACGATTCATCAGTACTTCGATATAGTTTGTAGCAAGAGAAGGTCCGTTTCAAAGGTTCGAGTCCCAGAAATCCAAACTCTCAATTCCCCGCCTCTTGTCCTCCTGCTTGAGTTCATTATGCCTTCCGAAAGGCCTTTCGAGATACGTGGGTTAGTCAGGAGTGCTATCTGAGCAATCTGCGCTGGTCATCGTCGCTCAAGATTCCGGACTGCAGTTGTCACCTCAAGCATTGCTGTCCCGATTACCGTTCTCGACCCAATTGATCAGTTGAGCTATATTGCCTTCCGACACTTAGCCACAGGAGGAAACATCCTCATTATGAGGAAGGTGGGGAGAGATGACTATGATATGGGGAAAGAGACTATGGAGGGCATTGGATACCTTACATGAAGAATGGGGGAAATATGGAGACATCCAGCAGCACCTGCTCAAAGTGATGCAAAACCAGTTGAAGATCAGTAACACCTCCCGTACGTTGTTAAAAGGATTCAGTTTCACCGCAGAAGGTGGAGAAGGATATGAAGTTGGCGGAGATCATAAAATCGGTGTAATTAAACCATGTAATGTCTGGATACTTCAATTCCAACCGTCGTAGTACTCTGCTTGGTTTAACCACTGCCCAGTCCTTCTTGGTCAACGCCTTCAGTCATTCCATGCCATCCCTCTGCCAATAGCCAGGCCTGGAAGGCCTCGTTCACTTGCGACGCTAATGGCAGCCTCGAGGATCTACGGCGTAGACATCTACCACAACAAAAGGCGGCTCTCTCTGCCTTCATCTGAAAGGTGGCGAAAGATACCGTGAGAGGCGAGATCTGATACCAGGAGATATCTCTAATCGTTCGAAGCGTCGCAGGCTCATAAAGTTGGGCTCAAGTTTCTGAGTCCGTAGGAGATTGCAAGGCTTTGCGATCCCCTTGTCTCCCCAAGAGACTTCTCCCCAGCACGGTCAAAGATGTTTGGTCATAAATCAACCTTGCTCATTCGCTGCGCCACGAGACTAAAAACCGCAACAGAAGACATGAACAACACGATATTGTAGAACTGTAGCTTATCAGTCAGGCCCCCTTATAATTGACCACTGCTATTTCACATACCGCGTTCCTTGAGTATGCGCTCTCTTCAGCATCGGTACGAGCTTCGACGAAGAGTCGTCGGAGATTCGGGAGGTTTGCCTTGGAAGCCTCAATTAGATTCATGGCTATGGAGCGAAGAGCATGAACTCTTGTTTCTTACCATCTTATCTTTGAAGCCCCCGAGAAATGGAAAGTTTCAAGTCACATGAACTTGCCAGGGGAGGTATTATATTAATAGGGACTTGGAGGAGAGAGGTAAACCCCCTTGTTGATCTCGGCAAGCGAACTTCAAGCGCACCAGACCAGCCGGTACTTCATAGGTGGACCAGGCTGACAGCAAATGCCCTCCTGTGTGCCTCCTGTACATCACCACAATACTCGCATCTACCAATTCAACGTCTTCGCATTGTCCACGGTCCTTCACGCGCCCGCAGAAGTGTCGTCTCTATCTCCCTGAAGGCGGCTGTCCCCCACGTGTTCCCTGGACGCTCGATCGCATCAAGCTTGCGCTTCACCGTGCCACCACAGGAGCCGTGGGCGTATGAGGGGCACAACCTCGAATCGCCATCTGTGTGAGCGATGGCGGTGAGCAGGATCAAAGGGGTCTTCCAAGCACCCAGGAAAGGAGAAACGTTTGAGCTGAGAGCCGGCCTGGTGTCGCAATATGCATACGAGCGCAAGGAGGCGATTCAAAAGACCATCATGTCCATGACCCTGGGCAAGGATGTGTCTGCATTGTTCCCAGATGTTCTGAAGAACATTGCCACCTCGGATCTGGACCAGAAGAAGCTGGTGTATCTCTATTTGATGTAAGGGCCCTTCTCGTGAAAGACCTTTGGGTATGTTGTGCTGATATCGCCCCCCTTTCAGGAACTACGCCAAGTCACATCCAGACCTATGTATCCTGGCGGTCAATACGTTTGTTCAAGATTCAGAGGATCCAAATCCATTAGTGCGAGCGCTGGCGATACGGACAATGGGATGCATTAGGGTGGACAAGATGGTAGACTACATGGAGGAACCACTTCGAAAGACATTACGGGACGAATCTCCTTACGTGCGAAAAACAGCTGCGATATGTGTCGCGAAGCTTTTCGACCTAAACCCCACGATGTGCATTGAGAATGGGTTTCTGGAAACCCTGCAGGAGCTTATTGGAGATCCAAATCCGATGGTGGTGGCCAATTCTGTGACAGCGCTCGTGGAGATCAACGAAACCGCGCCAGAGACCAAAGCACTACGTGTTACTCCGGCTACTCTGAAGAGGCTACTCATGGCCCTCACCGAATGCACGGAATGGGGACGAGTGACGATCCTATCGACCTTGGCAGATTACAAAACTACAGATGTAAAGGAGTCTGAACACATCTGCGAACGAGTTTCGCCTCAATTCCAACACGTCAATTCAAGTGTGGTACTGGCAGCTGTGAAGGTCGTATTCCTCCACATGAAGAATATCAACTCGGATTTGGCAAAGCAGTACCTGAAGAAGATGGCACCTCCGCTCGGTATGTTAACACCTGTCCCCTATTTGATGCTAAAGCTGATTTATTCCAAGTGACACTGGTTGCTTCCGCACCTGAAGTCCAGTACGTTGCGCTACGAAACATCGACTTACTCCTGCAAGCGAAGCCAGATATTCTGAGCAAGGAGCTGAGGGTGTTTTTCTGCAAGTACAATGACCCTCCGTATGTCAAGCTGCAGAAGTTGGAGATTATGGTGCGAATAGCAAACGACAAGAATGTGGATCAATTACTGTCCGAGTTGAAAGAATACGCTCTTGAAGTTGACATGGATTTTGTCAGGAGAGCCGTCAAGGCTATTGGACAAGCAGCAATCAAGATTGAGAGTGCCAGCGAAAAGTGTGTTAACACACTCCTCGACCTCATTGCTACCAAAGTCAACTACGTTGTCCAAGAAGCCATTGTGGTCATCAAAGATATTTTCCGAAAATATCCAGGATACGAAGGCATCATCCCCACCCTCTGCAAATACATCGATGAACTGGACGAGCCAGAGGCCCGCGGCGCGTTAATCTGGATAGTTGGCGAGTATGCAGAAAAGATTAGCAACGCTGATGAGATCCTTGCCGGCTTTGTCGAAGGCTTCATGGAAGAATTCACACAAGTTCAGCTGCAAATATTAACTGCGGTTGTGAAGCTATTCTTGAAGAAGCCAGACAACAACCAGGGTCTCGTTCAAAAGGTTCTGCAGGCAGCAACGGCCGAGAACGATAATCCAGATATCAGAGATAGAGCATACGTGTACTGGCGATTGCTCTCAGGCGACCTTCAAATAGCAAAGGTGAGCATCAACGCCATTATGCATTCTAAACAATACTAACAGAATCAGAATATCATCCTCTCCGACAAACCCGCTATCACCACAACAATGACCTCCCTTCCCCCAGTCCTCCTTGAACAACTCCTCAATGAGATCTCAACTCTAGCCTCTGTCTACCACAAACCACCGGAAACATTCGTCGGTCATGGCCGTTTCGGTGCCGATGCCATCCAACACGCAGCCATCCAAGAACAGCGCCAAGAGGCAGCTGACAACCCAATCGCCGCAGCCTCCATGGTTAACGCCCAAAACGGCACACCAAACAACGATAATCTGCTCGACATCGACTTTGATGGCGCTGCCCCCGCATCTGCTGAAATTCCTCCCGGAGCTGGAGCTTCTGGCTTAGAAGGACTGGCAGGCACGCCCCAGAGAGTTGCAAGCCCGGCAGCGGGTGCACCAGCCCCTGCGAGTAGCATGAATGATATGATGGGTTTGTTTGATATGGATGGTCCAAGCGTAGGGGCTGCCCCTGCGCAGAATGATGTGATAAATGGATTTGCAGGTCTGGATCTAGGCGGTGCGAGTCAGCCTCCCCCGGCTCAGACGCAGTTGCAGGAGGGCGGCAAGAAGACGAATGAGGATTTGCTTGGGATGTTTTAGATGTAAGGCAGCGGGCAAAAAGACATGGCATTTTGGGGTCTATTGACCGATGCGTTATTATGAATCGAATGAAGAATACTTTTCAATTCCATTTTCAGATGACTTAGGTGACTCCGGCTTTTTGTGATGATACATTAATAAAGCAACAACTATCGTAACACGTGGGTATCTCGAGTCCGCCTCACTCGGCTTCAATTTGTTTGCCAGACCAATCAATCCCAGTTAATCAGAATCACTCTCCTCGTCCCCCAAGAATGCCAAGTCCTGCTTGGCTCTCGCAGCCTTGTTGCTGGGCTTCCCGCTCATAGTAGTCCGACTTTTGGTATTCCTTCCCTCGCTCTCCTCATCCACATCCACATCCTCATCTTCGTCGTCGACGGGAGACTCCTTCAAGCTCTTCCTCTGCCCTCTTGCCCTCCTTCCCGATTCCAAACCCCATTTACTCTCGCCCTCTTTCACGGCCTCTAAATCCGCCTGCAGCTCCCTTAGCTCCTTGATCTCCCTGGCCCTCTGCTCACTGAATCTACCGGTCATGCCAACATCCCTTAGCATGCTCTGCAAATGCTTGATTTTCTTCTTGCTATCATCGCCGAATTTCTTCAGCTCAATCCCCCAGATTTTGCGGACTCCGCATTTGGTTAGCTGCGTCTGTAGGGTCTTGATTTGCACTTCGTCAGGAGAGAGGTCTTTGGATTGTTTGGGCGCGGCTTTGGCTTTGGAGGACTTAGAGGACGAAGCTTCGGATTTGCTTTTGCTTCTGCGCTTTCGTTTGGGTTCTTCGTCGAGGACTATGGACATCTCAGAGGAATCGGAATCCTGGGCTTTGATATCGGCCTTCTCGTCTGCATCTTCAGGTGTCACAGAGGGCTTGGTTTCGGCTTTGATTGGAGACTTTTTGATGTTTTTGACCTCTTCTTCGGATTCCTCGTCGGATTTTATGGAGGCTTCGGCTTTAGCTTGGACTGGAGACTTTTTGATGCTTTTGTACTCCTCTTCAGACTCTTCATCGGATTCGATCTTGGGTTTCTTTGACTGCCTTCTGCTATGGGCTTCCTTCTTCACCTTCTTTGGGGCTGGTTTCACGTCGCTGTCCTCATCACTATCGAACTGTGGTTTACTGACATCGTCATCCCCTGATTCATCAGATTCGACCTTTGCTCTCTTCTTTGATTCGCGTTTGACTGGTGCTCTTGGCTTTGATTTGGCCTTTGTCTTGGGCTTCGGCGCCTCGCTAGCATCCGAATCATCAAGATCAGACGCGGGGCTCTCCTCCGCAGACAATTCGCTGATCTCGTCCTCTGATGGTGTCTCTTCCTTCTTCTGACGCTTTCTAGGTGGCGGTTTGTCGAACTTGGAAGCGCGTTTCGTCACTTTCTTAGCTGGGGGAGGCTTCTTGTCTGGTTCGGACTTGACTTCATCGCTGACTTCGTCGGCTTCTGCCTCGTTGATCAATTTGGCCTGTGCATGTGTGAGCGAGCAAGGACCTATGTATGAATTACGCGTTCCAATTGTGACTTACAGCCCAGTCCTTGATCAGGGTTTTGCTCCTATCTTTCCAATTCGGCGTCGCGAAGAATCCCTCGTCGAGCTTGAGCTCATGCTCTACTTTGTCGCGGATGAACCGCACCGTAAGCTGCTCCGGGTCGCTGTGATACACCTCCTCGACAGCTTTGCGCAGTTTCGCCTCGATGGCTTTGACCGATGGAGCCATTGCGCATAGATTGTTTTTGTAGTGTGCGATTGGATGCGAGTGGGAGGCTCTACATGTGGAGTATGCAGGAAAAAGCGCGAAGGGGGTCCCGAGGCTGAGGAAGCGCGTCGCGATTTATTAAGGTTCGAGGCGAGCTCTGTCTCGGGGACTTGGTTCTTTCTCACAAATGGCATTCCAAGCGCGAACTTCTATGACATGATAATCATTGTAGCCACAGGTCCATTCACACTACGAAGTGAACTTGAAAGTATCACGATAGCAAGGAATGACGACCCGCTTCAATCTGGGAATTGTTATATAGAAGCTTCAAGTGGGTTTCTGTTTAGCAACTCTTGAAACCCTATATATACATTGGTTGAAAAGTTATAAGCAGGTCCTTTTAGAATCAACAATGAGGTCCCATAATATTAAGCTCGGGATCAGTGACTATTTCAAGAGCACAAGTGGCTCCACCTGGAAGTTTTTGTTGTTAAGATAAACAGTGGCTTGACTGGAAATGTCTTTTTTAATTCCTGACTGCTTTGGTATCATAAACACAATGACAACGCCCTCATATTCATTCCCAACAACTCGCGCCAAACCTGCCCAGTATGCTAGAAATCCCGCTTTCATTCCCATTGATTTCCTTGTTCTTCCGTTGAATACCATGCGCGCCCGCTAGAGAAAAAGACAAATATGCAAACCGTGTTCAAATCCCCCGCACTGGTGGTGTTGTGATTTCCCAGATGATATCAGTACCTAGTACATCACATCCTCCAGAATGCTAATTTATTCCTTCGGAGACGTCTAAGTCCGAGTCCTCATCATCAGGAAAGACTCGATCCTTATCATCAGACTCCTTGGAATCATTGCAATCCATGTAGAAGCCTCGAATAGTCTCGTCGTCCCAAACCAGTGGTTTCTCAGCGCGCAGGCCAGGCAGACTGTTCATGATATCTTCCATGAAGTCGTCGTACTTCTTGGCTAACGGTATGTAGACTGAGGTGTCCTGCTCAGGGTTCGCGCACATGTTCTCGAGTACATATCTTCGCAAGGTAGATTCCTGGAACGATCGGTCGTAGATCAAGTCCACGTGCTCGAAGGGGATGGGCCGAAGAAGCGCAAGGTCACCGCGGATGTAGTTTTCGATTGCGGCGTCGAAGAGTGCGCGCCAGAGGATCTTCTCGGCTAGGAGGCAGAGGCGGAGGAGTGCGAGTTGGTGCTCTTCTGCAGCGGGAAGCGTGCTGTCCAAAGGCTGGGATCGAGGGATACCTTTGAGGAATTGACCGGCAGGTGTTGGATATTTGATGCTGCGTACCGAGCCGAAACCGCCGGGCTGTAGGCTCTGCTCTTCCGATGCGCTGGAGAAGTCTACGCGTGATTCACGTGTTGCAGCTACTACAGTTGCGGGATTATTGAGATCGTAGGTTCTGTTTGGGCCGAATAAGGGAGGGTTGGCGATCTGGGTGTCTCCAAGATTAAGACGAGCAAGACTGTCTGACGGGGGTGTAGTGTTTGCTTGACCTCCCTGGTTGACAGTATGGCCGTCAGTGCGCTGTGCTGATGCCAATGCAACACGAAGTCGAGTGGCTACATTATCAATGTGTGGAGTGGTGCCCTCTCGTGGTCCGACAGGTCCAAATAAAGTACCAGTACTCTGTGGCTGTCCACCCATTGAACCTATGCCCAGTGACGGTGGGGGGTTCCGAACGGCAGAAGGATTAACACCAGCACTCGATATCGGACCAAATAAACCCGCACGTGGTAGCTGGTGAGTGGTGGTCGAAGTAACAACACCATGAACCGGCGCCCCATGGCTGGCATGACGGTTGTATGCTCCTGGTGCTAAGTTAGCATTGGCGAACATACTTCGGTAGTTACTATTTAGCTTGTAGTCGGCCACGCGAAGTTCCTCCTGTGAGAACATATTGTACTGCGGGTGCTGCTGGAAACAGATATGTTGGAAGACATGACCATCGGTGGTTTGGGCGGCAGTGAAAGGGTAGTGAGTGCCATTGATGAGTTCTGCTTTAGGAACATCGACCTTGGGAATTGAAGATTGGGCCGTGGGCTTGATGAAAAGGCTGCCCTTGGTGCCGGTTCCAGGAATTACTCCACGATACAGGAATGCCACCAGAAGAGCGACAGCTGCGGGGTCATCCTCCTTCAGGTGGATCGAGTTTTCTTCGGCCTCCTTGAAGCCTCCGTTCAAAGCCTTGTCAAAGTAGTCTGACTGCGATACGAGCAGCTTCTTATGAACGACATAGTGAGTGCGCTCCGGACCAACATAGATGTGGGTGACCTCAGTGCCTAAGTCTCTGACAACAAAACAGCGTCAGCTTTCATCCTGAGACGGTTGCCATGGATGTTTCCACAGTACAGAAAGTTGAACTTACTCAGCAAAGGTGTGTTTGGGTGGCGCAGAAGCCATGATTGCAGATGTATTGAGTGATAGCAGTATCTGGCAATGTTTGTTGATTTCGTAAGAAAGGAGGAAGAAGATGGTGTTTTTGTTGATTGTGTCGCGCGGCAGTGCCTAAAAGACGAAGACAGAGCTGCGCGACAAGGCTGAACTTCAGCCAGGCGAGCGGGCGATAACAACATATAAGCTTATCTTAGCGTTCGCGCCAAAACACGTCGCGTACGCGACATTCGCGATCCACCCGAGGTACACGAACATGCTTTAACTTTAGTTCCTTTTTCATCTGTTGAAGACCTCCCTCTCATACTAAACTACAATCATGCCTCATTCTATCTCACCTGAAGATCTACCTGCCCCTGGTCAAGACCAAATGACTGCCGAAGCGGAAACACACGATGGGGAAGATCTGACAGCCGCAGACACCGTAACTGGAGAACCCGAGACAAATCATGGAATCAGCCAGGATGACGACGCTGCCGATCAGGATATGACTATGGCCAATGTAGGAATTGAGGGAGATAATGTGCCGGATATAAAGACAGAAAGCAAATCGGAGGTCAAGCTAGAGGACCTTTTTGCTGACATCGACTCCGACGAGGAGTTCGGAAGCGCGAAGGTTAAGAGTCAAGATATCAAGCCTTCGAGCTCTCCAGAAGCACCATCTTCTCCAGTGTAAGCTTCTTCATTGGCGTAGGGTAATCTTTGCTGACAATTCTTAGACATGTTGGGCCTTCATCTCGAGCCTCAGATCCGGAAGTGATGCGATCATTCTACCAGCGATTATTTCCATGGCGCTACCTTTTTCAATGGCTAAACCACTCTCCAACCCCCACCACGGATTTTGGACATCGCGAATTTGCTTTCACTTTACAAAATGATGCGTACCTCCGATACCAGTCATTCCCAACTTCTGACCTGTGAGTCGATATTGGCATTCACTATATGCACTGCTAAGATCGTACAGTCTCCGCAAAGATATTTTACGGCTTATGCCCTCGAGATTCGAAATTGGCCCCGTCTATAGCACCAATCCACGTGATCGAAAAACCCTTCGCAAATCCTCCGCTTTCAAGCCAATTGCTAAAGAGCTGTGTTTCGATATCGATTTGACAGATTACGACGACATCCGAACATGTTGTGATAAAGCCAATATCTGTAATAAATGTTGGCAGTTCATCACCATGGCTATCAAAGTTGTCGATGTAGCTCTACGAGAGGATTTCGGCTTCAAGCATATAATGTGGGTATACTCTGGAAGAAGAGGAGCTCACGCCTGGGTTTGTGACAAGAAAGCCCGGCACATGGATGATCAAAAGAGACGAGCAATTGCAGGATATTTAGAGGTCATTAAGGGAGGAGCGCAGAGTGGAAAGAAAGTCAACGTCAAGAGACCACTGCATCCACATGTTGCGTATGTCTCTTACTCCGCTAACTTGAAATTTTCTAACTATTGCCAGACGGAGTCTCGAAATCCTGAAATCCCATTTTCAGTCGGACATCCTCGAAGACCAAGATCCGTGGGAGACAGACGAGAAATTCGATCGTCTTCTTCAGCTTCTTCCAGACAAAACATTAAATGACGCATTAAGGAAAAAATGGAGTTCTGCCCCAGGTCGAGCTTCTACAGCGAAATGGGCAGATATTGATGCCCTCGCAAAGACTACACAGGGGCTCAACGCAACGGCATTACGTGAGGCAAAACAAGATGTCGTACTCGAGTATACTTACCCACGACTTGATATTGAAGTTAGCAAGCACCTCAACCATTTGCTTAAGAGTCCATTCGTTGTCCATCCCGGGACAGGCAGAGTCTGTGTCCCGATCAACACAAAACACCTCGAGGATTTTGACCCATTAGGCGTCCCAACTGTTACAGAGCTTCTTGGCGAGATTGATGAGTGGACAGCGCCTGAAGAGGGTGAGAAGGAAGGGAAGAGCATTGCGGATTGGGAGAAGACAAGTCTAAAGCCTTATGTGGAGTATTTCAGGTCATTCGTGGTATCACTGATGAGGGATGAAAACGATGTCAAGGTGAAGCGGGAACGGGAGGAGACAGATTCTATGGAGTTCTGAGTACCCAGACCCGAGGACTAGGCGTATGGAGTTATAAGCTTCACTGTTAGTAATGAGTCATGCGATACATGGATATGAGTATCAAGTCTCGGGGGCGACCACAGTTCTGTTTTGATTTTCGTTACTCTTTAGCAGTTCAGGGTATAAAGTCTGGTAAAGAGTGGCGATGTGATATCAGTCTAGGTACAATATAATGCTACTACTCACTTACGCCCCCCAGCAATAGGTTTGCTAGGACTGTTCGCATTGAAAGTTTCAGTACAGTATATTTCCGCTCCGTGCCGCCTCTCTCTATAAGTTGTCTTGAGGCAGAGTCCCGGTATTCGCTTGCCACTCAACCTGGCTTGCCACATCAATACGCTTATATACGGGGGTCTTTTTGTTTCCCTGGTTCTGCTTAGCCGACAGGTGCGACTAGAAGGTTTTGGAATTGATAGCTGATTAGTGAATCAAATTACAAATGGGTAAGGATGCCATGAGGCTCTCAGCCCCTTGTTTTTATATCACGTGCCCCCCGTTGGCGCAGCCTGGTCCTAGCCTCCTTCGCTAAACTCTAAAGCCAAAGTTTGAAGGCCTGTCCCGACATTTCAACATCACCTTAGATTTCCACGCACAAACATTCCAGTCTGCCTCTTCCACACCGCACCACAAACGATTGATTCCCATAATCAACTCTCCTACAACGAACAAGCCAGACGTCTGCCATACTTCCAGCAGAGTCTCCCCGATAACGTACCACGAGATCAATATCTGGGGCCCCGAATCTGCCCCTCCTACTTCCTGCCTGCAGCTCCTGCGCGCCTTCACCAAGCCACACTTGTCCAGATCTCCCACCTTATTCCGGATACCTCGATGCTAGCTTTGACTTCTTGCTGAGATTGATACGAGACTTTACGAATCGCGGCTCTTACTTTTGCTCTCTACATACCCAGTCCAACCTCCGTACACAACCTCCTCTCGCGACAGAAGAAACACTGAGTAACGATGGCCGACGCGCTAGCAAAACAAATGGAATCTACCAAGTTGAGGCAAGTCTCACCTCTTGTATACAATCTCTTCTCGAGTTTTGCTGACTCTGCACAGTGACAATGCTACGACAGACAACTGGAAGGCTGGCCTTAACCTTCCCGCTAAAGACACAAGACAGCAGACTGAGGTACTAACCGTTACCTTAACCCTCTGTATATTCATCTGCTAACGGCTTTGTTAGGATGTTACGGCTACCAAAGGCCTCGAATTTGAGGATTTTTCGATCAAGCGAGACCTGTTGATGGGTATCTTTGAAGCTGGATTCGAGAAACCATCACCTATTCAAGAGGAGGCAATCCCTGTTGCGCTTACAGGACGAGACATACTTGCTCGGGCGAAAAACGGTACTGGAAAGACTGCGGCTTTCGTCATCCCAGCCCTCGAACGAATCAATCCAAAAAGCTCCAAAATCCAATGTCTCATCTTAGTCCCGACCCGAGAATTGGCTTTACAAACGTCCCAAGTCTGCAAGACGTTGGGTAAACATCTCGGTATCAATGTTATGGTCACCACTGGCGGTACAACCTTGCGAGACGACATCGTTCGTCTGTCAGATCCCGTTCATATTATTGTTGGCACACCAGGAAGAATCCTCGACCTGGCAGGAAAGAATGTTGCCGACCTCAGCGAGTGTCCCATGTTTATCATGGACGAAGCTGATAAACTGCTCTCACCCGAATTCACACCAGTCATCGAACAGCTGCTGCAGTTCCACCCTAAAGACCGCCAAGTCATGCTTTTCAGCGCGACATTCCCCATTACCGTCAAGAACTTCTCCGACAAGAACATGGACAACCCTTATGAAATCAACCTCATGGATGAGCTTACTCTGCGTGGTATTACACAATACTACGCTTTTGTGGAAGAGAAGCAGAAAGTACACTGCCTTAATACCCTATTCTCCAAACTCCAAATCAACCAGTCGATCATCTTCTGCAATTCCACCAACCGCGTTGAGCTTCTTGCCAAGAAAATTACTGAGTTAGGCTATTCATGTTTCTACAGCCACGCTCGCATGCTTCAAGCAAACCGTAACCGCGTTTTCCATGATTTCCGCAATGGCGTCTGCCGAAATCTTGTCTGCTCTGACCTCCTCACCCGTGGTATTGATATCCAGGCGGTTAACGTCGTCATCAACTTTGACTTCCCAAAGAACGCTGAAACCTACCTGCATCGCATCGGCAGATCTGGCCGCTTTGGACATCTCGGTCTCGCCATCAACCTCATCAACTGGGACGATCGTTTCAATCTTTACAATATCGAGCGCGACCTTGGTACTGAGATCCAGCCTATCCCACAAACCATCGATAAGAATCTTTATGTTTATGACACCCCTGAGAGCATTCCCAGACCAATATCTAATTTCCAATCTAACCGACAACAAGCTGCTCGTGAACAGCAGCAGCAGCAGCAGCAGCAGCCTCAACAGCCTCAGCAGCAAGCTGGCAACCCGCGCTCTGGTGGAGCTGGCACCGGCAGCAATGGACGTACCAACCAAATTCAAGGTCATGGCCAAGGCAGCCAACGACAACCACAAGGTCAACGTCAAGGTCAAGGCTTTGGGCGAGGTAATGGTAGATATGACCAGAATCGTCGAGGCGGTGGCCAAGGCCAGCGACAGCCCGCCTACGATGGGCAGAGAGGCGGCCGTGGGCAACCCACGCCGGCTCAATAGTCTTGAACCTATACTGGAGGGGGGCGGAGTTTGACTTGTACATATTACTTTCTCATTTCCATTGCGATAGACTCGAAGGCCCGGCCGTCATGGGAGTTATTTTTCCTCGCATATCGTTTGCGGATCTCCCATCAACGGTATTGCAACGGGATCATGGTTGTCTCTTGGTTGGCGGCTTCCTTTGTTTGTATCATACGACTTTCTTTTCTTTCTTTTTCACTGGATGCCTGTCTCTGGTCGGATGATTAGCAGCGGACAGCAAAAATCAGATATCATGACCGGGTAGGCAGGCGTATGGGCGTTGCATTGGGGTTCCTCACACGAGTGATCTCCTAGGTCTGGGTGATGCTTTTGAGGAGGCATTGCCGGGTTGGCGTAGGTGGAGAGCTATATTTGCTTTTGCATCTGGTTCACATTTGGTGGGCCAATGGCGGATGGTTGGATGGATCGATCAGGGTCTGTTGGCGGGAGGCGCTGGGAATCCTTAATGACTCTGAGGCGACGGGGGTTAGGGGTTGAGGAGAGGTGGTGGTTGTGAGGACAATGATGGTTACTTGTCGTGCTGTTGTACGAACAGAAACGACAAGCTCTTACCTGATGGATGAGACGAAGTAAAGATAACCAGGAAAAAGAAAAAAGCAAAACAAAAAAACAAAAAAAATATCTGGGGAGGAGCGCAGGATGGAGGCATAGCTCGTATCGAACTTGGGTCGGTAGTTATGGTTCTTTTCTGGCAAATATACAACATTCTCTCCATGCCTCTGCTTACCAGACCGCGATTGTACCTTGTTGAAGACTACGTCCATGATTCACACTTGTCTCTGACTCTGACAATCAATAGGGGGTGCTCCTTGTAGGTTTGGAGCTTGTCGGACTGTAATTGTGAGAGCGGTGAAGAGGGGGTCCTCCTTTTACCTGCTTTATCTATTAATTTATTTTGATTGCTTTCTACTGTATCTGATTTGATATTCCGAGTTGAGGAGTTCTATCTTCTCTCTTTCATTCTTTCTGGTCCCCCACCTATGGCGTTGGGGTTCTGTTCGATCGATCCCGTAAATCCCGAGCTCTACATCTTTTCTCGTGACAGTCCCAGGACCAGAACCAGTCCCAGTCCCGCACCCCAACCACGCTCACCACCATCTCCGCCCAGAACACGGCGCGTGAGTACATCCCGCGCTCCCTCATCGCCTCAAACATCCTGCTGCGGAGGGATCCAATCATGACTTCCATTGTAAGAGCGATCCCCCCCCGATCACCCGCGCTGCCCCCCGTTGCGTTGTGTCTTGTCGTGTGTCGGACAGCTTCAAGCGCCCCACTGTGCCCTGCGCGCGTTTGCCCTTTGTCTCGTGGCGCAATGATCGCACACACGCGCGCAATCCCCAGAGACCCCAACAAGCGCTTGTGCTGACTTGTGTGTCTTTTGGTAGTTGTGTCTGGCCCATTATTGCGACACCCATGGGCCGACGCCCTTGATGGTGACCGAGGGTCTCCCGGTCCCTTGTGGATTATGTTCCGACGACGACGACGACGACGATCTCGACCTCGACCTCGGTCTGGGCACGCGGCGGTCTAGTTCGAGTTCGCCATCTGTGGCCTCAGATGTTCGACCGTCTCTAAGGCGCAGTGGAAGTGGGAGGAATCCTGTATCTTCGGACAAGGAGAATGCAAACCAGCTGGTGCTTCAGATACCGGGCATCAAGAATCCAAGCGCTACAGCCGGGACTGCGCCAGGAAGTCCTCGAGTTGTAGCTTTGCAGAATGGGCTGAACGTGAACAATCAACGGGATTCGAGCTTTCGAAAGACCTACGATGAGAACGACAAGAAGAGGGCCATCCCTTGCGAGAACTGCGCTCTCACACTGCCAAAGAAGACGAATGAGGGCTCGGATTCAAGTGGCCCCATGTTCACTAACAGCGGTCCTATTCTACGCACCCGTAAACCCTATGAGAGGGTGTTCACAGGCCCAGTGGAAGAAGCCTCGCCGCCCAAATCCGACTCATCAGAATCCGACGACTCGGAGACGGCGGTGACCTCAAATCCACGACCAAGCTCCTCGAGCAACTCCTCCTTCTCCTCCAGGATCTCACATACCCACTACATAGACTACACTTCTACACACGAACCTCTGGCTCCCAGCTCCTTCTCCATCGTCCGCCAGTCCTGCCTCCGCACCCTCTCCTGCGAGACCCTCCCTCCATCCTCCAACCAGTTCACCTCATCTCTTTCCTCCCCCTTCATCAACAGCCCCTTCTCCTCCGGCCCCACGGGCTCCACGTCCTCGGGCGGACCGATCTTCTTTGGCGATCCCCTGGCCGGCTACACCACCGCCTACATCCTCCGGATTCCCGACCCAACAGCCCGCGGCCGCCGCCGCGTCTACGCCCTCATGGCACTCTCGACGCACCGCGAGCGCCTCGCAATGCAGACCTTCTCCTTCCTCTCCGCCGCCTTCCGCGAACTCGCAGCCTGGATCCAAGATCTCGCAGAAGCAGAACTCGAGCGCCACGAGAGCAGTCCGCGGGCCGCGGACGAGCGGTCCCCGCCGGGAAACCACAGCACGCCGACGTCCTCGTTCCTGTCGGGCCGCAGCCGGCGGCCGGACGGCAAAGCTGGCATGAGTCTGCGGGCGCGCGGACTCGCGGAGCTGGTCGGGCTCCCGGACTTCTTCATCGAGCTGCACGCGCGCTTTGTGAGGCTGCTGGCTGAGCTGGGCTTGTTGCTTGGTCTGTAACTGCAAGACTTTCCCGCCCTCCTCACTCACTCCTCCCTCCCCTTTCTTACAGAAAGAACAACGGAGAGACCGGTGCTTAATCAGTTTGTAATACATACATACATAATCATTTCTTTCTCTTTTTTCTCCTCTTCTTCTTTTCTACCTCCCCCCTCCGCCTTCCCCCTACCTCATTCTTACTTGCTTTCTTTCTTCCTTAATAATAATGGTCGTTATATCATATCACCACGAAACAAGCACAGCCATGAGCGGGGTCGGGGTCGGGGTGGGTGGGGGAAGCTTCCGTTTTTTTCAGATTATCAAAGTGATAGCGTTTAGCGGTGTTGCGTTATGGCGTTTCAGGGACTTTCTTTTGAGTGGATTTGGTATGGTGTTGAAGATACCGTGGGTTGGTTGGTTGGTTGGCTGGCGATAGGGTAGGATGGTTGGATGGATGGATGGGTTGGTGAATGGGTGGATGGTTGGATGGGCGGTATGTGTGTATGTATGTAAGGTATGTGTACGTATGTATGTGTGTGTGTGTGTATGTAGGATGTTGTGGTGAGAATAGATTGATGGGTGGATGAATAAATGAAATCAATGAAATCAATGAAATCAATGAAATCAATGAGAGGATGAAAGGAATGTGTCTGTTTTAGATGTATTATATGTTGGGGGGAGGGGGGGTTGCTACTTTGAGAGCGAGGCTGAGGTTTAATTTAAGGGATTTACAGTTGTCGTATATCCCTCCGCTGTTCACTTTCTACCTAGGTAGACCCTCTTTACCACAGAGCGTAATTATTCGGTGCAAGCACGTCAGATGTCAATATGTGATGGCAGGCAGCAGAATCTATAAATTACAGTCCGACTATTCGTCCTGGTATGTTGTTGGTACACGTAAGAGAATATGCTGAATCACTGCTAGGGGGAATAGCGGTACTAATCCCCTTCCCCCCTTTTGCCATTTTCACCGCATAGATAGCCTCGCCTATCCCGGCAATCATCCTCTACCCCTTTTCATCACAATCTGGCCCGTTTACTTGTAGAAGTCAAATTTATCAGCGTCTGGATAGATATTATTAGCATCAACATCTTAGAGTCAGGGGAGGATAGCCTACCTTGTGTACTCTTAACCTGGCTGCTATACGCATCCTCCAAATCGGACTGGATAATGTTGTATCTGTTCTTCCGCACCGCCCGAAGACCAGCCTCTTGCATAATTGCAGCAATGACGGCACCACTCAGAGGATCATTTCTGACGATCAAACTATCTAGGTCAACCTCGGGAGCCAAAGACATCTTTGATGCAATCGTAGTGAAGATTAACCGCCTCTCTCTTCGGTCTCGGAGGTTAGGAAATTCAATCTTTCGGTCAAGACGTCCAGGACGTAGCAGAGCAGGGTCGAGAGTGTCAGCACGGTTGGTGGCCATGATAACCTTAACATTTGAGGTTTGGTCGAAACCGTCCATTTGGTTGAGGAGCTCCAGGAGAATACGTTGCACTTCACGATCGGCACCCGTCTGAGCATCGAACCGCTTGGTTGCAATGGCGTCGATTTCATCGATGAAAATGATGGATGGCGAGTTCTCGCGAGCCATTCGGAAAACATCTCTGACCATACGTGGTCCCTCTCCAAGGTATTTCTGCACGAATTCAGAGCCCACTACACGGATGAAGCTAGCGGTTGTCGAATTCGCAACAGCTTTGACCAACATGGTCTTGCCGGTTCCAGGGGGGCCATAGAGAAGTACACCTCTTGGTGGATCGATACCGATTTGCTTGTAGAGGTCGAAGTGTGTTAATGGAAGCTCAACAGCTTCTCGAATCTCTTGCTTTTGCATATCAAGACCTCCAACATCGGCATATGTTACATCTGGCTTTTCGTCTGCGCCAAGCATGGCAATCGAAGAATCGGCTTCGGGAGGGAGGATGTCGACTAGGGAGTTGGAGTGTCGGTGGAGTGCAACGGAGGATGATGGTTTAAGCTTCTCGCGGTCGAGAGTCGAGAGGATTCGGACGACATAGTTGGAGCCTGTTGATGATTGTACGATACCAGTGCTGTTGAAGATGTTAATGACGAACGAAAACCAAAACATTCGGCTGCTTGTCTCACTTCTGATCGATGGCTTCCATGAACTGCCCAATAACCAAAGGGACGCTCTGAATTCTCTTAATCTCTTCTTGTGCTCGCACCAACTCTCTCTTCAGACTCCTATAAGATGTCAGTGTCTGCTTCGACGCTGGGTACTGTGGTTGCCGACCTCTGTTCGTCCTTGATGTATTCTTCCTGCAGTTGGATATATCTGTTGTCTCTTAGCCGCGGTCCTGCCAAACCGTCGCTCAGGTAGCTTACTCCAGATGCCGTTGAAGCTTCTTCAGGGTAGAATATTCATCGCTTCCATCTGTTCCAAGACCTTCCAGCGAGTCTATATTCGGTATCGAAGATGGCAATTGCTTTCTCGGAGGCAACGCCTGGGCCGCCGCGTTTGCTACCGCAATGTCCCCCATCTTGATGCTGCGATCAGGAGGAGAGAGGAAGCTGTGTTGCGCTGTGGGAGGAAGAGGGTGGGTGGAGGGTGATGGAGGTGATGTGATGATGTTCGATGTTCGTTGATGAGGCGCGTGTCGATGGCAAGCCTAGAAGCGCAGCTGTAGCATCAGTAGCTTGCCTGACGAATCAGGCTAGACCGGTCGGATGGTCCTTGGATTCGCTAAGAATTTGTGCCTGACCGCCTGAGGCCGCCAATACCCGGCTTGTCTCCTGCGCTTTCCGCTTTGGGCCTAGGGCGTCTCCGCGGCTGCTCTCCCCGAATCGGAGTCACCTGACCCCGACGTGGGCCCGCAGCTCGGCTCCATTTGACTCAGCTTCCCTCCTGCAACGCTTCCACTGACAACAACGACATCCACCAACTCTCCACGAAACTGCAACGTCCACGACCGCTACGAGAAGTGCTTCTCGTGAAAGAGAAGAGTCGGATCTCCTTTCTTTTATTCGTGTCAACTTAAATAAATTAAATCAAATTTACTATGTCTTCCTCCATCACCATCCCCACCCGGTCGACGTACGGGGACAGTGGCAAGGCTGCTGCGAGCTCCAGCTCCTCTTCGTCCTATTCCACCTCCCCGCGCACACCGCAGAGCCAAACAACGTCATCTCCTGCTACTTACTCAAATACTAAATATGGCCACGATCGGAGGCCCAGTTTGCTCAGTGGGTTGATCCCTTCTCGGTTTCTTGTTCCGCCAGGGAGAGCAAACGGGCCCGAGCTGCTCCGCCCGTAGACCTTCGGCGGAGCGTCTGGCAGCATCAGGTGGGATACATTTATCGATGGCTAATTACGATCTAGGCTCCTCGCTGTCGAAGCAGGAACACACTGTCATTAATATTGGTGACCCGGATGGTGTTCCCCGCCTGGTGAGTCGTCCCCGTAAACCCGGGAGACCCCGCTGCCTGGATGCTTGCTGACTTTCGCTGTCCAGATTACTTGCGTGCGATCGTCACAGGGCTTTGATTGGAATCCAGGTTTGTTACAGCTATGCTTTAAGTGACGGACACTCAGTCTCTAACCTCAAGTCTAGAAATCTTCCTTCCCTCCTATGTCGAATGCGACTTTGAATCCCTCGAGCGAAAGCGCGACCCGGTCCACGAGATTCGGCTGAGTGACGAGGAGATTAAGAATATGTTTCCACAATAATCGGGAGTTTGTCGGATTGGTACGGGATAGAATGCCTTTGTCCCAGGCTTGGGAATACGGAATTTGCACATGCTGCTTGGCGCCGGGACTTGAACATATGATTCCCGTGATATCGAATATCGGAGTACTTATTATAGTTATGCTGGTCTATGGTTCGGATGATTAGATGGCGAGGCAACGAGAGTTGGGCGTTGGAGTCTGGGATTTCTAACACGACATAATATCAGGTCTGGGGGTTTGGGTTGGCGTCAGTCTCTTCTTGTCGGTCACTCCAATCATTTAATGTTCCAGTGTTTTCAGAGAAGTGATTGATTTGTGCGGACCCTGTTCTGTGATACCCTCCAATCCGGGCCGTTTGTGTTCAGCGCCATTTAACTGCAGTGACACTTCACATGAGAATATTATGGCGAGAGGTTTCCAGCAACCCCTGATTCAGGACAATCTCCACCTGAGCCTGAATACTCCATGCGTGGCAAAGTTATGCGTATGCTCCCAACTTCTCTGCTCCACCAACGTTCATAAATCGCGGCACAACCATCCGAACGCTCACCGCTCCCCACACCGGTCTTGTGGCACCAGCCACGACGTCTCCTCCCCTGTATAATCATCGAGTTACTCGCAAGAACCAAGTGCAAAGTTTGTATAGATGGCCGGCATCGACCGATGTTGCCACGACCGCATGCATTACCCGGAACAGTCCCCCGAGGACGCCATGTGGATATAGACACGAGGAGCCGCCGTCGTCCACCGACGTATCAGGACGGAGGGAAGAAGAGTTGGAAGATTGGGATCAATTGCTAGCAGTGCCTGGATGTTATTGAGAGTATACAACGTTGTTGTACAGTTATGGCTTGGGTGCCTTGGGGGTTCGGGTTCGGGTCTTGACGGAATACTAGTTTCAGGGTATTGATCTCATAGGTACCTAGGTACCTTGCACTCACAGGCCGCAGACGTGCAGACGATAGCCCCTCTGGCAAGCTATTGCGTGTATGTAAGGCTCTATTAGGGGCGGTGTTGATTTAGCTTTTGCTCTGCTTCTTCTGGCAATAGACAATACTTCACCTTGCCAAGTGGTTATTTGTAGGTCGCAGCATACCCTACCTGGTGAGGTAGGTAGAGTGACTTTACCCTGGACAGGGCAATCAGGACGCCCCACCCACCCCGCATTCACCAACTGATACATGTACCGAGGTACTTATCAGCCACGATAAGGTCCGATAAGGTTAGCGCGCGGCCGCATTTCTCCGACATCGAACTTCGGAAGTAAACAAGCATGGAAGTTCTCATAATCTCCAGCTCTCTCCAACACATCTGCCTCCCTTGGACCACGGCCCTACTCCACGGCCCAGGAATGAACTTGAAGATTGAAGGACAATGGCTGAATACCACCGGAAAATAGAACTCCAATCGCCGGATGACCTTCAGTACTTGATCGCGAACGTCCGACGCGCCGCGCATGAGAAAATTGACAGAGATTTACCGCCTATAGAAGGCGAGGACAAGATGCGACGACGGGTTGAGGAATTGGTTCAAGAAGTTTGTTCTACCCCCTTTTTTGTACCCTGGAGTGCTATTTATACCCTATCCCTCTCCCCCCCCCTTTTCCCCCTCCCCCCAAAAATGGGACGGGGTGGAAAAAAGGAAAAGGAAAAGAAAAACAAGAACAGTTCCCGCTGACGAGAGATTGTGAGAATAAACAGTACATCTCCCAGGTATTCCACAGCACGGCCCCAAACCTGACGATCAACGGGCTATCGCCGACCCGCGAGCAGCTAGATTCCATGCTCACGGCGCCGGGAAACACACGCAGCATCGAGGAATACGAGCCCTTCAACCCGAAGCTGTGGGAGCGGGCGAAGGAGCTGGCGCGGCAGGAAGAAGATCTGATTGAGGAGATAGCGGCGCTGAGGAGGAAGATGCCCGGGGTAGCGGTGGAGGGCGTGAAGAACGCGTTCAAGGAGGGGATGGAGGGGGATGAGAAGGTGTTGAGGGAGAGGTTGGAGGGGGTCAGGAAACGCGAGAGTGGGTCTGGATTGGGGGTGGGCAAGATGGAGAGGCAGGAGGAGGTGGAGAGGGGGTGGGAGAAGGGTGTTCAGGGTTTGGGACGTTTGAAGAGGACGATGCCGGAAATGGTGGCGAAGAAGGAGAGAGCGGATCGCGCAGAAGAGTATGTGCTGGAGACGAAATAGGGGGGGAAATGGGATAGATTGGGGTTGGAGTTGGATGGCGTTCAGGAAAGCGTGTCCTACGCTTAAAACAAGGTTTGATATCCAGGGCATTGTCTAGTATTCGAATTGCAAAAGTCTAAGGTTTGCAAGACTGGCTCATTTTCCATTCTTGAGATTCTCTAAGTTTGTGACGTGGCTACGTTAATTTGGTTCGTTAATACCTCTTACTTCATTGAACCTCCTCCCTGTTCTCAGGGCTTATCCCATCTTCCTCCTCATCCCCACTATCTCTCTCCTCCGTCGTAGCCTTGCTATCCACTGCACTCCCTTCCTTCTTAACTTTCAACTTGGCCTCCTTTCTCTTCGGAATCACACTTAGGAAGGCCTCCCCCCAATCCCCCGTCTCCAACCACTTCAGCATGATCTCCACCACGTGATTAACTGCTAGCACAGACCTGCTTTGCATGGTCATGTACTCGCCAATGGGAAGCTTGGCCGTGGCTATACCGCGCTCACAAGCTCGCTTGTAGCAGATTCCTTTGTGGCGGTTTTTGTCGACAATCCCACCGATTATGTAGCTCGTGTTGGGCGAGAGCCTCTCGAGCGTGTGTGGGGAGTCAGAGGTTAGGTACACGATTGAGGGTTCCTGCTTGGGTTGTGTGGATTCTAGAGACGTATTCTCAGCTGTAGTTGGCTCTTCTACCTCTGATTTGAGGCTCGAAGGTGCAGCAGGTTGTTCCACAGACTCAGATTTAACCGTGGATGGCTCCTCTGGAGTTGGTCCCTGCGATTCAGCACCTTTCTCAGTTGAGTGCTCTTCTGATTTGCTCTCTGAAAGATCCTCGAAACCTTCAGATAGAGCACCGGCCAACTTCCCTCCCTCGGGACCTCTCATAATCCCGTCTAGTTCTTTCGCAGCCGCAATGAAATCCTCTTCAAAAAATCTCATCCCCTTCCAAGAAAGGTGATTGTTGGTCAGCACAGTCTCAAACCTCGTCCTCAACTTCCCATTCCAGGAAGTAATGGCCATGTGAGACCTATACGGGGTAGTCTTATTATCCGAATAGCACCTGGTGAGTTGGGCCCCAAGAGAAATGAGTTCCTTCTCCGTCATGAGCTCATCGAAATCACAATCCATGATCAACGAGACCGGGACCTGAATAGGTCTTCGAGGCCGCGGCTTCTTTTCTGTGGTAGGCAAGACCTCTGAGGCTTCGGCTTCGCCATTGGCAATCTTCTCCTCAGCAGCGGCCCGCTGCGCGGCTTTGCGGGCTTGCTTTTCCTTGTGCTTTTCTCGCCGCTTGATTTTGCGGTATTCTTTCCCGGCTTCCCATTGCTCTCTCTTCCGGATTTTTTTTAACTGGCTCTTGGACAGAGCAGGTTTTTCGGCTGTTTCGCCTTGAGCGTCTGCTTGAGGTGTGCCATTCTCTCCATCCTCACGCTCTGGTAGACCGTTGAGTTCTTCGGACTCCTCCTTCTCGAGGCTGGCTGACCGGTTCTGATTGCGGTCTCTGAGATCCTCTGAAGGTTCCACTTTTCGAATCTTAGAAGGACGCTCTTCTATGTCAGACATTTTTGATTTCCTGGAATTGGATGCCCGGGTAAATTCTCGTGACCGAAGAAATCCGAGAAACTCGGCGCACATTGAGAAAAAAGTTATGGTACACCGCCTCGGCAGAATCGCGAAACACGGACAATTAGAGCCTAGCGTTCTTCACGTCGCGTCTCTCCTAATTAGATATCCGACGTGATTCCTGGGTGATACGTGATTACGAGTCCAAGATCATTATTTTCTACAGGAAACGGATACTCTGTTTGACAAGACCCCATGATAATTAATTAGTATTCAGACACGATGTCTTCACGTCCTGAACTTAAGGTAAGTCAATTTTCAATACCCGTCCACGCCACACTAACTCCCACAGGTTGACGATGAAGGCGGGTTCATCAGGTTTTTCAAGGCCCTTCCCACTAAGAGCGATGATACTGTCAGAGTCTTTGACCGTGGGGATTGGTATACCGCCCATGGAGAAGATGCAGCATTCATTGCACGAACAGTGAGCCTCTTCCCGAGTCACCATCTCCACAGTATTAACTCTTCAATAGGTCTACAAAACCACATCCGTTTTGCGTCAGCTAGGCAAAAATGATTCCACCGGCCTCCCGTCTGTCACGATGACCATCACGGTCTACAGAAACTTTCTGCGCGAAGCACTCTTTCGACTCGGGAAGCGAATCGAGGTGTGGGAGACCGAAGGCCGAGGACATTGGAAGGTTGCGAAGCAGGCATCACCCGGAAATTTACAAGATGTTGAAGAAGAACTGGGTGGTCAGTTCGATGGCGCACCAATTATATTGGCTGTCAAAGTATCGGCCAAGGCCTCAGAGGCGAGAAACGTTGGTGTTTGCTTCGCAGATGCGAGTGTGCGTGAGTTGGGCGTGAGCGAATTCCTCGATAACGATCTATATTCGAATTTTGAGTCACTGCTCATTCAACTGGGTGTCAAAGAGTGCCTGGTGCAGGTTGACAAGTCGGAGAAGGATGTTGAGCTAGCAAAGCTCAAAGCAATTATTGATTCATGTGGTATTGCTATCTCGGAACGGTCTGTGTCAGATTTTGCTACCAAGGATATCGATCAAGACTTGGCAAGAATTCTGAAAGACGAAAAGGCCACAGCAACTTTACCACAAACAGATCTGAAGCTTGCCATGGGATCAGCTGCAGCCCTGATCAAGTATCTTGGAGTTTTACATGATCCTTCGAATTTCGGCCAATATCAGCTTTACCAGCATGATCTCTCTCAGTTCATGAAGCTTGATGCTTCAGCCTTGAAGGCTCTCAATCTTATGCCTGGTCCCCGAGACGGCTCCAAAACCATGTCCCTCTATGGACTACTCAATCACTGCAAGACGCCTGTTGGAAGCAGGCTTCTATCACAATGGCTAAAGCAACCTCTGATGAGTCTAGAGGAGATTACAAAGAGACAACAACTTGTTGAGGCTTTCGTCGAGGATACCGAGTTACGCCAAACAATGCAAGAAGAGCACTTGCGGTCCATTCCAGACTTGTATCGACTCGCCAAGAGGTTCCAACGCAAATTAGCCAATCTTGAAGATGTGGTCAGAGCATATCAGGTTGTCATTCGCCTACCGGGCTTTATTGGGACGCTTGAGGGCGTTATGGATGAGAAATATCGAGATCCCCTCGATGAAGCGTACACCACAAAGTTGAGGGAGTATGCAGGCAGTCTTCAGAAGTTGGAGGAGATGGTCGAAACCACCGTGGATCTCGAAGCTATGGACAGACATGAGTATATCATCAAGCCCGAGTTTGACGATGGGCTCCGGATTATCAGGAAGAAGCTTGACAAGTTGAAGTATGAGATGGACCAAGAGCACAGACTTGCCAGCCAAGATCTCAACCAAGAGATGGACAAGAAGCTTTTCCTCGAGAACCACAAGGTGCACGGTTGGTGTATGCGTCTTACGAGGACCGAAGCTTCGTGTATTCGAAATAAGTCCAAGTATCAGGAGTGCTCTACGCAAAAGAACGGTGTCTTCTTCACGACCCAGAAGTTGCAAAGCATCCGGAGGGAATTCGATCAACTTTCAGAGAACTACAACCGCACTCAGGTCAGTTTGGTCAATGAAGTAGTCAGCGTCGCAGCGTCATACTGCCCAGTTATAGAGCAGCTGGCTGGTGTATTGGCACACCTAGATGTCATTGTGAGCTTTGCGCACTGTTCCGTCCACGCCCCAACGTCCTATGTCAGACCCAAGATGCATCCTCGTGGAGAAGGAAACACAATCCTAAAGGAGGCACGACATCCCTGCATGGAGATGCAAGACGATGTTCAATTCATCACCAATGATGTGACCCTCAAGCGAGGCAGCTCCGAATTCCTCATCATCACGGGACCTAATATGGGCGGCAAATCGACATACATTCGACAAATTGGTGTCATCGCCCTCATGGCTCAAATCGGTTGCTTCGTCCCTTGCTCCGAAGCAGAACTCACCATTTTCGATTGCATCCTTGCCCGAGTTGGCGCCAGCGACTCGCAACTGAAGGGCGTCTCGACATTCATGGCCGAAATGCTCGAAACCGCCAACATCCTGAAATCAGCAACTTCGGAATCCCTCATCATCATCGACGAGCTCGGCCGCGGGACCTCCACATATGACGGCTTCGGCCTCGCGTGGGCCATCTCTGAACACATCGTCAAGGAAATTGGATGTTTCTCGATGTTCGCCACTCACTTCCACGAGCTTACCGCGCTCGTGGATTCCTATCCCCAAGTGCAGAACTTGCACGTCGTAGCCCACATTGATGATCATGGCAAAGCGAAGAGGGAGGTGACGCTGCTGTACAAAGTGGAAGAGGGCGTCTGCGACCAGAGTTTCGGCATCCACGTCGCGGAACTGGTGCGGTTCCCCGAGAAGGTGGTGAACATGGCAAAGCGTAAGGCGGACGAGCTAGAGGATTTCACGGGCAAGCACGAGGGGACGCGTATTGAGCACAAGAAGGAGGATGTCGAGGAGGGTAGCATGTTGTTGAAGGAGGTGCTTGTCAAATGGAAGCAGGAGTGCGAGGGGAAGGGGTTGAGTCGGGACGAGATGGTGGCCAGCATGAGGCAGCTGGTGCAAAAGGACGAGCGACTATTGAAGAACCCATTCTTTCAGAGTATCAAGGCACTATAATCATATACTGTATGGGGGGTAGGATTGGGACAGGGGCGTTCCGGTATCGCGTTTTTAGGTGTGTTGGCTCCTTAAGGTACGACGCGAGACGAACATAGAAGAAATATCAAATACATATGGCATTAGAATGCAGAGACACAATATACATTGTTTTAAATATCCCCGCAAAAAAACTATACAATCACACATAATCAAGGTGTTGACGGTCCGAAGGAGGCATAGCCGCTCTGCCCCTCAAAAGCCCCTCGGCAGTCGGAGGCTCCGCGTATCGGCCTTCACGCCTTAAGAGGGATCCCCGCCAATCCCAACGAGGGGCAACCGTCCACCGCCTTGTGCTAGCTCAGTCGTCCCCACCAGGAAAACAGAAAAATTCACCCTCAATCAAAGCCAGTCATCTTACTCCGCACCTCCAGAGAGCTGTGTCTTCCATCATCTCTCTGCCTTCATCTCCGACCGTACTGGTTCTTCCTTTTCTATTTTCCCTTTTCTTACACATCTTCAATTACCTTCCAATCCTGCAATCATGGCCACTTACGCTCTACCTAAGTCCCACCAGGACGTGAGTCTGCAGAGCTCTCTCGTGCATCCACTCACTGACTCACCTCGCAGATGTTGGAGAAATCTTTGCTCGAGACCGATCCTGAGATCGCGGAGATCATGGTAAGCATCAGCTACTCCATTGTGCTCATTGTCTATAGAGGATCTTGTCTCTAACAACGGCCCTTCAGAAACTTGAGATCCAGCGTCAACGCGAATCCATCATCCTCATCGCATCCGAGAATGTTACCTCGCGCGCCGTCTTCGATGCTTTGGGGTCGCCCATGTCCAACAAATACTCCGAGGGTTACCCAGGCGCCAGATACTACGGTGGCAACCAGCACATCGATGCCATTGAGCTGACCTGCCAGTCTCGTGCTCTCAAGGCCTTCCACCTCGACCCCGAGAAATGGGGCGTCAACGTCCAATGCTTGAGTGGTAGCCCTGCAAACCTCCAGGTTTACCAGGCTATCATGAGACCCCATGAGAGATTGATGGGTCTTGACCTGCCCCACGGTGGACACTTGAGTCACGGTTACCAGACCCCTCAGCGGAAGTAAGCACTCAAGATCTCCAATGGAAAAACCTTAGCTGACGGAAAACCAAGGATCTCCGCGGTCTCGACCTACTTCGAGACCTTCCCGTACCGCGTCAACCTCGAGACTGGTCTCATTGACTACGACAAGCTTGAGGAGAATGCCTTGATGTACAGACCCAAGGTGCTTGTGGCTGGCACATCCGCGTACTGCCGTCTTATCGACTATGCTCGCATGCGCAAGATCGCAGACCTTGTCGGCGCATACCTCGTCGTCGACATGGCTCACATCTCTGGTCTCATTGCTGCTGGTGTCATCCCCAGCCCCTTTGAGTACGCCGACATTGTCACCACGACCACCCACAAGTCCCTCCGTGGCCCCCGCGGTGCTATGATCTTCTTCCGCAAGGGTGTTCGCAAGACCGATGCCAAGACTGGCAAGGAGATCCTGTACGACCTCGAAGGCCCCATCAACTTCTCCGTCTTCCCGGGTCACCAAGGTGGTCCCCACAACCACACCATTACCGCGCTTGCTGTTGCCCTCAAGCAGGCCACTACCCCCGAATTCAAGCAATACCAGGAGCAAGTCGTCAAGAACGCCAAGGCTCTGGAGACCGAGTTCAAGAAGCTCGGCTACAAGCTTGTCGCTGATGGAACCGACTCGCACATGGTCCTCCTCGACCTCCGCCCCCAGGGCCTTGACGGTGCTCGTGTTGAGGCGGTCCTGGAGCAGGTCAACATTGCCTGCAACAAGAACTCCATCCCCGGCGACAAGTCGGCCCTGACCCCCTGCGGTCTCCGCATCGGTACCCCGGCCATGACCAGCCGTGGCTTTGGCGAGGACGACTTCAAGAGGGTGGCCGCGTACATCGACCAGAGCATCAAGATCTGCCAGGAGGTGCAGGCGGCGCTGCCCAAGAGCGACAACAAGCTCAAGGACTTCAAGGCCAAGGTTGCCGGCGGGGAGGTTGCCAAGATCAACGAGATGAAGAAGGAGATTGCTAGCTGGGCTGGGGCCTTCCCGCTCCCCGTCGAGGGCTGGCGGCAATAGATTCGGACAGGACGGTTTTCCATTTTCGGTGTCTGGGAGTACATGGGAGGGACAAAACAAAAGCATCAACGTCTTTTGGGGGCGCTTACGTGAATGATTACTTCAACGTAGTCATCTAAGTAGTTATGGGCATGTTGGGGAGGGAACAAAAGGGAGTGGGGGTTATTCGACTCGGGAGGATAGATAGATAGATAGGTATCATATAGGTCGGGCTCGACTGTCTCGCGAAGACTGCAAATGCGACACAGTTCAACCTCTCACATGACCTGGACGTTTGATTGGTGGGGCTCGTGAGCACGTATGAGGCAGCTTTACCTTAACTACGTATTTAGACGGTAGCATAGTCTACGGGGGTTTGATGACTCGCTGGACAGATGATGTTGTACTTGACTGACTGAGAGCAAGACGCATTCCAGATTATATACAGATATCTACCTTGATAATTAAAAGCCTCACAAGGATCTCTCCATCTCTCCTCAGCACAGAGGTTCGTTTTCCCCTGTGAGCAAACGACACACGAGAGCACGCGTTCCTGAGCAAGAGCTGGGCTGGGCGGCATACGGCAGATCGGCCTGGACACACGATAGGCCGGTGTGGGAACGGGGGGTTGTGCAGGGATGGATGGGGTGGGCTGGGTCACGAGGGGTGTGGGATGGATGTTCTGGGGATGTCGGAGAGAGGAATGAATTGCTTGTAGACAGATAGATAGGTAGGTAAGGTTATATAGGGATAGGTCTCTTTGGTCTTTTATCTTATTTATCTTGTTTATCGTGTTTATCTCATCTATCTCATCTATCTTATCGCTCTTATTTATAGGAGCATGATGCGATGCCCGGCAACCGTAGCGGGCGGCCGTAGTGGGTACGGTAGCGCAGACGAGCCGAGGCAGCAAGGTGCCTGACGGGGGAACCAAAGCGTCATCATCATCGGTTCCCCAGTTCTCTCGTCTCTCGTCTCTCGTCTCTCGTCTCTCGTCTCTCGTCTCTCCTCCCGTCTCTCCTCCATCTCTCTTCCTCTCTCTTCATCCCTCTTCATCTCCCTCCCTCCCCCCTCCCTTCATCCCTCTCTCTTCTCATCAACAATCACCCGTTGTCCATCTATCACTTCCTTCAACTGCGACTCTAGGTACATCTCCCAACAGTCATCGCAACCATGAAGGGTGCTGTCTTCGCCGCAGCGACGCTGCTAGGCTCTGTGAGCGCAGGCATCCATAAGCTGCCTCTCAAGAAGGTTTCGCTGTCGGAGCAGCTCGCCGGCGCCAACATCGATACCCATGTGAAGCATCTGGGCCAGAAGTACATGGGCATCCGCCCCGAGGCCCACGCCGATGAGATGTTCAAGGATACCTCCATCCACGACGAGGGCGGCCACACCGTCCCCGTCAGCAACTTCTTGAATGCCCAGTGTAAGTCGGCCCATTTCCCTGATCTCACCCACCTCTTAACACGACTCCAGACTTCTCCGAGATCACCATCGGAACCCCCCCTCAAACCTTCAAGGTCGTCCTCGATACCGGAAGCTCCAACCTGTGGGTGCCCTCCTCCGAGTGTGGCTCGATCGCCTGTTTCCTTCACACAAAGTACGACTCCTCCTCTTCGTCGACCTACGCGAAGAACGGGTCGTCCTTCGCCATCCAGTACGGCTCTGGAAGCCTGAGCGGATTCGTTTCCCGCGATGTCATGTCCATTGGTGACCTCAAGGTCAAGGACCAACTCTTCGCCGAGGCCACCGAGGAGCCCGGTCTTGCCTTTGCCTTTGGTCGATTCGACGGCATCTTGGGTCTGGGATACGACACCATCTCCGTCAACAAGATCCCCCCTCCCTTCTACAACATGGTCGACCAAGGTCTTCTGGATGACGCGGTTTTCGCTTTCTACCTCGGTGATACTGAGTCCGAGTCCGAGGCCGTCTTCGGCGGGGCCGACGAGAGCCACTACACCGGCAAATTGATCGAGATCCCCTTGAGACGCAAGGCTTACTGGGAGGTTGACTTCAACTCGATCAGCTTCGGCGATTCGACTGCCGAGTTGGAGAACACCGGCGTCATTCTTGACACCGGAACCTCTCTCATTGCCCTCCCAGCAACGCTTGCTGAGCTCCTCAACAAGGAGATGGGTGCCAAGAAGAGCTACAACGGCCAGTACACCATTGACTGCGACAAGCGTGACAGCCTCCCAGATGTGACCTTCAACCTTGCTGGTTACAACTTCAGCATTACCGCTTACGACTACATCTTGGATGTTCAGGGTTCCTGCATCTCCACATTTATGGGAATGGTAAGTCCTGATCCTCTCTCCCGAGCAAGCTGATTACTGACGGAACCTCTTGTAGGACATCCCTCCCCCTGCTGGACCCCTTGCAATCTTGGGAGATGCGTTCCTCCGCAAGTGGTACTCTGTCTACGACCTCGGCAAGAACAGCGTTAGCCTTGCTGCTGCCAAATAGAGCATGACGGGAGGAGTTCAGCCAAGGAATGGCATAGGTTGGAGAGAGGATTCAGATGGCATCGGACACGGAGTTTCCCTAAATTGTAGTCTAGGATCACGTGAGGTATCCCCCTATTGGTATTTGCATTTGCGCAAGTTCTCTTTCTACAAGAGGCATGTTCTGCATCCTTGGATGATAATTACGGGGCGAGAAAGAACACGCGCGGCGGTTTTCCTTTTGTTAGGTTATACAAGATGGAATAAATACATACACCTCTGGTAAATGCATTCATTGTCTTTTATGTGATGGTGATGGTGATGGTGATATTGATAGTGATTTGTGGTGGATGCATAGGTAAGGTAGGTAGGTAGGTAGGTAGGTAGGTAGGTAGGTAGGTATTTATTCCTCTCAGTACTTATTATTACCCAGCTTTGAGATTTACAGTAGTTGGGTTTTGAGAAGGGCTGATATCGTTATTGGTTTTGGTTTTGGGGGGGGGGGGGGTGTAGAAAATATAAAAATAGAGCAGAGAATGAATAAAGTAACCAAACCTAAGTTCCAGTTTGAATGATATCTCCTGTTTCCACAATTCCCAGAAAAAAACAAAGCCATGCAGCTTTCAATTCTTGCTTCAATCCCCTATGCTGCCAAATTCCCAACGCGCCTTTCATTCATTCAAATCAATCAAATCAAATCAAATCAAATCAAATCAATACATCCCCCCCTCATACGGCACCCCCAGTCTCGGCGCACCCCTAAAATCATTCTTCCCATCCAAATACGCAATCCAGCCTTTTTCCATCCACTCCTTCAAATCAAGCCCTTCCTGTCCCGCATCCAGGGTCGCCGCATTCACACTCAAATAGCCCGTTCCTTCCTCCGCGCCCTCAATCCAACCCTCCGGATCCGGGGTCCACACCTCTCTCATCCCTCCCTCAATTTCCACATTTCTCCTAACGCCCTTTCCCCAGAACGCAAAACATCTCACACCGCATATCCCACAGAAATAAAAATGCAATTTTTTGCCCTCGCCAGAACATACGTAATCGGTAAGCCCGCTATTGGCAGAGCTTGGGTCGAGAGGATTGAGAAGTAGGAAATCAGAAGGGGAGTCCATGAGTCGGACGTGGAAAATTGACATCTTGTGACACGTCGTACAGTTGCATTTCCGGATTCGGAGGGTGGAGCGCGAGGATGGGGGGGTCGCGGTTGTGAGGGGCGGTGGGAGCGTTAGGTAGCTGATGTACCGGGTGTGCCCGCAGTGGCAGGAGCCGTGGTAGGGATGCCGGGTTGGGGTGGTCATGGGGTTTGGTTGATTGGAGAGTGATTTTGTTATGGTGGGTTGGAATTGATATTGTAGGTAGGTAGGTAGGTAGGCTACTTGCGAGGTAGGTATGTGGGATGAAGGTTGAGAGTTGTAGATGAGAGTCAGATCTGGTGCCTATCTACCTAATTTTAGCGACTTCCCGCACCTGATTACTATTCAAGTACTTGAGTACTTGACTCTCGAAATGGGCAAACTCAAGGTTTCCGTGGCCGGCTTCCTCAAGATTGATGTTGGTTGGTGGTTCTAAAAGGAGGGAGAACTTGGGTTTGGGATGGCCTGGATTGAAGGCAATCGAGGAATGGAACTAAGACAAGGGCAGGCGCTGGCTGATCATCTCTCAAGTACTTCAAATCTGTTCCCAAGTTGGCCATAAACCTTGGTAATATGTCAGGTACAGTTGTAAGTCATCTCCGCCATGATAACTCGGACTTAATATCGTATCTTACGTCATCAATCGTAAATCATTCATTAGATTAGTAAAATCAGAAGAGAATAAAACCTTGTTCATCAAGATCAGAGCAGCTTCAAGTTATGAAAAACCACCTTAGCAGGGAAAGTTGCAAAGTCTTGTGTCGTCCTAATCGTTGCTCAACCACTCTTTTGGATCAGCAGAGTCTTTGATAATAAACTGTACTCACCCTAAGCCAACTCAGAATTGACATCTTACCTGAAGCTTTTGCCTCGAGTTACCCTTCAGTAACAGCCTAATCAACGAGTATCTGTGGCATATGGGGTTCTGGCTCTTCAAAATGACTCTCCAGACATCTCCAACATAGAGTCTCAGGCGAAAGAACACCTACAGAGTGCCCCCTTTGCTGCTGTAGGAGAAGAACGACAGCCGCAAGGCGAACATACCAATTTCCATGAGCCCTCAAAATACCCATACGGCGGGGAGACAGGATTACGTCTTGCCATGAGTCGAGACATCTGATGTCCTTGTTGTCGGGCAGAAGTTTCGGTACAGCACACGAACAGTTTAGCGTGATACGAGTCACATCTTCTCTCTCGATGCGAAGCATATCCAAATCTGCTATATGTTTGCCATTGTCCCATAAGGAAACCACAGATTCAAGGTAGAATATGCCTTGGTTAGTAGTATCCCTGCCTACTGTAACAAGAGGAAGTCTTTCGCCCGTAAACCATAAATGTAATGAGCTTCCATGGAAGTGGTTCTCGCGCTTGGCATCAAAATTCGAGCGTGAAATCTTCTGGACTTGGTTGACTGGGCGGGATATTTTGAGCTCGCCGGCAGGAGCATGCATCAGATTCAGACCAGCGAACCCCACGTTGCCGACTATATGGCGGATGTTCTTGGCTGGAACAAGGTCATAAGGGTCGGAAAGCAGAGAAGACGCGACGAAGATCGAGTTGGAAGCACTCATAGCCACTACTTCCTTAAGGCTCTCTGGCTGGATATTCGACACTCCAGTTTCCATCATAGCTATACAGGAAAATAGCTCCTCGCGACCCATTTCTCGTAGCAGCTCCCCCGACCCGTGGAGCAGCTCCCTCTTTCTACGGGGCTGAACATTTGCGAGTCTTGTCACATTGTCGAGAGCGGTCCAATAACCTTCGCATAGAGGATAATCGAGCACCCCCAAGGAGATGGTCGCTCCGGGCAAACCTTTATATACCTCAGCAACTACACCCAAGAGTTCCAAAGAGCGGACCCATTGCCTTGGTGGTGGTGCAATTATATTATTCATCAGGTTTGCGGTGCGGCCGTGACTAAATTGCCAGTCCAGTCCATCCGGAGTTGGAACCCCCTCTCGCATGACTAGTTGTCGCTGAAGGTTTCTTCTAAACGGAATGGCAAGGCTCTGTATGTAGTCCCATACACGGTTGGGTTGTGGACAATGACTTTTCAGCCACTGTGAACCGTGAGAGGGTTGCTCAATCAAGCTTGTTGCCGCAATCAGTTTCCTGCCATAGCTAGAGCGTTGTGAACTCGTCGTAGTCGAAGTGGTTCTAATATATAGTTCAAAATAGTCTCGACGTTCTTCGGACTCCACTACCCGTGTGCCCAAGTATCGGGTGAAAGTAACATCAGGGGTCCTGGCCTCGTGGTCGAGGGGGGGAAGACCTTCGGGAATAGCCAAGCAAGTGCAAGGTTTGTCCGCAACACGGATGGATGTGGGCGAGTTGTTGCAAGTCCAATCGCTACGGAAAAGCGGGACTGAATGTTCCCATATCAAGAACTGAGCCTTTTTGTGTGGGCCTCCCGGGAGGGGGACGGTTTCTTCGTGCAATGAGCCTTCGCCCAATACGTAGCACGCCTCACCTCTGGCCTGTATCATATTCATACGATGATCTAGGTCAACCTCGCTGGCTTGGGTAGTCTCCTCCTTATGGCATTTATGTTGGCAGAACTCGTGTGCATTAACAGGGCCGCTCTTGGTTCCCAGCTTGATCCATCGAGCGTGACTGCTTCCGCCGAGAGGGTCTGAATGTGGCACGGCAGTACAATATTCATGATACTCACTACTCCTGTCCGAATAGCAGATGATTGCATCCTGATCCCTCAATCCCATGTTTTTCGCAAGCTGTCGTAATAGCTCGATACCTGCTTCAACGTCAAGTGGCTCTTGAAGAGCTGCCATGACCATTGGATTGCAGAGACCGAAATAAGGTTGGAGCGCCTGTATTTGCTGATCGTCATCTAATAGAAAATTTGTCCCCCAGTATTCTGCGTGGCCCAAAAAGTCTTGATATTGCTCCAGATCCGAGCCAGTAGCCGATAAGACAATATCTGCAGCCTCAGCAAGTCCAGCAAGCCAACTCGTGTGGCCAGAGGATCTCATCTCGGCTTGTGTTATTGGAGCTGTTCTCTGCAAATACGTCCAAAGTTCATGTATCCACCGGATTGCATCTAGACGCTCATGAATGCCTACTCGCCACGCTTCAAGGACAGAACCCAGGATAACGACTTGAAATTGAGAAATGGTCGCTCTAGTTCTATCTTCCACACTCTCGACCGATACAGGATCACCGTAGGACCTGAGGTGCGACAAAGCTAGAGACCAATGCGTGCCTCGATTTTCTTGAGTAGTCGCAACCTCAGTCAGGCCAAGCGTCATGGTTGCCGGCTTTGTGAAGAGCAAATCTGAAAATGCAACTTTTCTGACACCATCGCCAAAGTGTACGAGATCAGGATATAGATGCCAGGCAGAGATTGCGTATAGAACAGATCCATCGGAAATTTGTTGCGATATCCCTTTCAGGTGGTTCTCCAGCGCCGTCATCGCATTGGTCCATGCAGCAAGAACGTTCGGATATGGGTCTTTGGTATTCCCAGTCGACAGACTCACATTCTTTACAATCAGCAGATATTGATCGCGTTGCACCGTTAGTGCTCTATCTGCTTGACTGAGCCATGCTCTGGCACTCGCGTCCCACTCTTCGAGCTCCTTTCGAAGGAACTCCTGCTGAGCGGCGGCTTGCGATTCGATTGACACGCTGCCTTGACCAACGTTATTGAAAATTTCAAGACGCCTTTTCTCAACGAGTTCAGACCAAATGGCTGTCGCTGTCTGGGCATCCCAGGCTCTGGCTAGCATACAAGCGAGCAGATGTACACCAAGCGCAGGAAAACCGGAGGTTGCGGCAGCCCACAATGAGGTACAGTCAGCACCAACATACTCGCGGAAGGGACCATCAGCTTCTGACCCGGTAGGATTTATGCCAGGCTTTTGGAGAATTTCAGACACACGGCGACCATAGGCTTTTAGCAGTTCTGGGGTTTTGGGTATGACTTCTCCGAAGAGCCATCCGAGCTTCATCGCTGTTCTATGTGAAGCTCCTTTCTCCGCATTAAAGCGTCGATTGTTTGACATAGCCTGGCCAATTGTGCGATACTCGAGAGGAGCGTCGGTCTTCAGGAACGTAAAGTCAAAATTGAGCTGCACAAGAGAAAGGGAATTCTCTACCGAGGCTGATGCCAATGAATTCCAGATCTTGCCAATAGACATTATGATGGTTAATCGAGATACTTTTGATTTGGCAACTGCTATTCCGGGATGGTCTAAAAGACAAGAGCAGCTGAAAGGCCCGAAGCAATGTTGAAGGCCTTTTATTTGAGGGGTGAGGCTCTGAGGACTCCATGATGGGACACGCAGTCATCACTTGATGACACCCAGTGTGGCGGAGTCGAAAGTTCACTGGTTCGTTATAGCAAGGAGTTCTCGACGATAGGTTGGGCGCCGAGGCATACTACAACCTGCATGAGGACCTGCTATGGACCAGCCAAATCCTGAGGCACGAGGCATTCTGCTCGACAGTAGGTAGATAGAATCTCAGAAATCCAGCACTTCTTCGTCAAGGCTGGAGCTTGCTATATGAGATTTGTGTGCTCAACAAGATGAATGGAAGGGTTCAGGGAGAAGCAGTCCAACAGCGCTCTACAACATTGAAACCCGCAAATTCAATGCTCGTAGAGATCCTTGCTGCACCGGAATCAAGAACCAGAGCACTCCTCTGAATCAATCCTGTAGAACCGTAGATCTGATCCCGAACAATTACTCAAACAAATAATCATCTCTCAAGAAAAGGAAAATGGCCGGGGGGTGAAGTAAGGTTAGGTGAGGTACCTTACCTTACCTGAGATGCCTTAGGAAATACATCACGTGATATATCAAGAGTCTAGCCTCATCCATACTAGCACCAACTCCAATCAAACCGCACGAGGAGAAAAAATTCCCAGAGCTTGAAATGTGAAATTTCCCCGAGCTCAGTCTTTAACAACCAAACACCACACGTAGCGAACCAGGCTGCGAAATTGACTGTTGCGCGACCGTGGAAGCTTCGACAATCGTGCAGGCGTTAAAATACCGTTAGGATGGCTTCCATCGATTACCTGCTCCATGAGAGCTCGGTGGGGTACGCAATCTTTCAGGTTGTCCACCAGGCCGACACAATTGGAAACCGATTGAAGGAGGTTCAAGATGCAAACCAAGACCTTTCAAAGTTTGGCAAGATGGTCAAGTTGGTCAACTTTGCGCCATACAGGTATAGCCCACATTTCCGTGCTCAGGGACCAGATTTAACAATTATCCAGAGGTGCCGCCGAAGCTCTCGAGAACATTAACCTTGTCTCCGAGGGTGTCCTGTCCGAATATCTCAGATCAAACCTGGAACTGAACCTCCCAAAGCCGTCGAAGAAGAAGAAGGTCGTGCTGGGTGTGTCGGACAAGAACTTGGCTGGAAGCATCAAGGCCGCGTTCCCTGGTGTCGATTGCGAAACTGGCGAGACGTCCGAAGTGGTCGCAGACTTGCTCCGAGGGTTACGATTCCATGCACCGAAGTTGCTGAAGGGGTTGCAAGAAGGGGATGTTGAGAGAGCACAATTGGGTCTGGGCCACGCATACTCCCGCGCCAAGGTTAAGTTTTCGGTTCAAAAGAACGACAACCACATCATCCAAGCCATTGCGACATTGGATCATCTCGACAAGGCTATTAATACCTTCTCCATGCGTGTTCGAGAATGGTATGGCTGGCACTTCCCCGAACTCGTCCGAATCGTCTCGGATAACCACACATACGCCAAGCTCGCGCTTGCGATCGGGGACAAGAAGAGCCTGACGGACGAGTCATTACACGATATCGCTGCGATTGTGAACGATGACGGAGACATTGCGCAGGCGATCATCGATGCCGCACGAGTGAGTATGGGTCAGGACATCTCAGTCAATGATATGGAGAACGTCTCGGCCTTCGCAAACCGTGTGGTCAAGCTTGCCGAGTACAGAAGATCGCTGTTCCAATACCTGGTTAACAAGATGTCCATCGTCGCACCAAACTTGGCTACTCTGATCGGCGAGGTTGTTGCCGCCCGTTTGATTTCCCACGCCGGTTCCCTCACCAATCTTTCCAAGTACCCTGCATCTACCGTCCAAATTCTCGGTGCAGAGAAGGCTCTGTTCAGAGCTCTGAAGACTAAGGGCAACACTCCCAAATACGGTTTAATCTACCACTCAAGCTTCATCGGCCGAGCAGGCGCAAAGAACAAGGGCCGCATTTCGCGATTCTTGGCAAACAAGTGCAGTATTGCTAGCAGAATCGACAATTTCTCCGAAACGCCATCAACGAAATTTGGCGCTGCGTTAAGACAACTCGTCGAAGACAGATTAGACTTCTACGCCAATGGAAAGGCACCCATGAAGAACGAAGATGCTATGGTAAGAGAAACCCTACTCCGCCTATTATCGAGACTTCCCTAACCAGCCCTGATGCAGAAATCCGCCATGGATGCCGTCCTAGGCGATATCAACGTCGCGGAGCCCGATGGAGATGTCGACATGGCGGACATCACGCCCAAGAAGGAGAAGAAATCCAAGGACAAGAAGGACAAGAAAGAGAAGAAAGAGAAATCCAAAGACAAGGAGGAGAAGGAGCACAAGAAGGACAAGAAGCGGAAACACAGCGACGTCGGCGTCGAAGTGAGCGAGAAGAAGAAGAAGAAGAGCAAGTCCGAGTGATTGATTGATTGATCTCTCTCATGTTCCTTCTCTATTTCTGTATATCTGGGCTGGGTCTGGCGTAGGTACGTAAGTAGGTAGTGTCTTTGTGTGTTGTGTTGAAATACTCCTGGGCGTTACGTGGTCATCTCTTGCATAAAGTCTGGTGTCAGGAAAAATTCAAAAAGAAACAAGACTTGATATATACTCTACTATGTACCTATATGTGCAGTTGGCAGAGAGAGAGCTAGTAGATGGATATATATATTCACAACGTCGTTTTTCTTGTACGAGGTTCCTTCTCTGCATTCGCTACCTATCTTTTTATGTCATATGATTTGACTATCCTCTCTTGTGATGATAATCCAAAACCCCCAACCAAGCCTTGGGCTAAAGGGGGGCGATAATAAAAAAGAAAGCAAAAACGCCATAACTTCGCTATGCTAGCCCTACCATACTCCTACCATCTCATCTCATCATTCGATATATGACATCTACGAGGAGAGAAAAAGAAAGCCTTCCCCCCCAAGAAAAGAAAAAAACATGTGCCCGATCAAGCGCCTTCGCTCCCGAATTCATTCGTCCACTCCTCACTCCGCTTGATATCTTCCTGCGAGACGGTGGGTCGGGCGCCCTTGACGGCCTTGATGAAATCCCGTAGTTGCAATGGCGGTTCGAGGAGCTTGTCGGAATCGACTTCGGTCCATGTCATTTCCATGGCTCCTTTATCGCCTGGAGAGCAGGGCGTTAGCTTTTCGACGTCGCCGTCCATTACCTGGGGTATCGTTAGGGATCCTGTGATTTTCGGACTGGTTTTGTAGAGGGCACGGGTGATGTTGCTTACCTTTTTGTAATGCGTAGCGGTTTGGATCTTCCGCACTGGTTGCATGAGCGCATCTTGAACAGCGATGCTGATATCGCTTCCTGAGTAGCCCTCACTCAACTCTCCCAATTTCCTATAATCGGCTGATGTGAGTTCACACGGTGTGGTGCCTACACTCAGCTCGAACATCTTCGTCCGTGCAGGGAGATCTGGGAGAGAGATGTGTACGCGTCTTTGGAAACGTCGACGGATGGCAGCGTCTAATTGCCATGGGATGTTCGTTGCACCGAGAACCAGCACACCCTTACTGTCTTTGCCTACGCCGTCCATTTGCACCAGCATCTCGGTCTTGATACGGCGCGAGGCTTCGGATTCACCTTCTCCTCGAGGTCCGCACAATGCGTCAACTTCATCAATAAAAATGATAGAAGGTTTGTTCTCGCGGGCCATGGCGAAAAGTTGCTTCACTAATCTATGCACGAAACATGTTAGATGAGCTTCCATGACAGGAAGAATCAAGACTAACCTTTCACTCTCTCCCATCCACTTACTGACCAAGTCCGAACTGCTCACACTGAAGAACGTACTGTTTGCTTCCGTTGCAACGGCCTTCGCCAAATAACTCTTTCCTGTCCCCGGCGGTCCATACAATAAAATCCCCTTCCACGGCTGTCTCTTCCCAGTAAACAGATGCGGGAATTTTATGGGCAAGATAACCGCCTCCTTCAGCGCCTCCTTCGCGCCCTCCAAGCCTGCAACATCTTCCCACTTGATATTCGGCTTATCCTGCAATATCGCCCCCGCAAGCGCATTCCTTAATTTCTTGCTGTCCGGGTCCGCATCCTCGTCGCCGTCCTTGCCCTTACCCGCTCCACCTGTCGTACTCCCATTTGCGCCCACGAGGCCTGCCTTTTTCCGCTTCCCATCCATCTCTGCTAGATGCGTCTTCAACTTCTCCGCTCGCTCCATGTATTCGCCAGCCTTGGCTCTTATCATCTCCTTGGACTTGGCATTCTTCTCCCATTTCAGCGCCAGCATGAAGAGCTCCAGGGACTGATAGTAGAGTTGATATGCCTTTTCATATTCGGCCGCAGTATCGGCTTCGATGGCTTTCTTGACCACGTCAATTGCGCGGCCGAGGAAGTCGGTGTTGGACATCTTGGAGGGGTGGGGATTGTCGTGCGAGGGCGTCGTAAAGACAGGTATGAAGAAGGCAAAGGACCGGGGTATCAAGTAGTACTGCAAACAAGAAATTTCAACGGTTTGCCTGCCTCAAATGCTGCTCAAGCGCTTGTCTCCTCCAATGGACTTGGGGTGGGGGGGTCTTGGATCGGCTTGGGTAGCCAGTGACGACAATACCCTAGAATTATATTTGAGTGTGCGAGCCTCACACTCTCTATCCAGAGTACTGTCCTTGGAGGATACCAACAGAGGTTCAGTGAAAAGAGGGAAGACCTTCTCTGTTGTCTCGTGAGTTTGCAGGTGTTTATGACAACCCAGGTGTTTCGCTTGAGGGTTGCCCCAGGAGCCTGCCCCGCGATCACGCTAGCGAAGCGCGCTCTCCAGATTTCTGAGATCTGGATAGCTACAGGAGCCAGACAACGAACATCCATTCAAAGTCCTAATCCGAACAAACCCTGTCCTGGATTGTGATTTTGAAGGGTCTGTTGTCCCGTTCAAAGATCCTTTTACGACCACACTTTATCCTCTCCCCGTATCCCACGTCAAACCATGGCGGAACTACAGCAACGACTGCAGGCTCTGTCCGAAGAGTACCAGAAGGCTGAACAAGGTCGGTCTACCCCGCTGGTCCAGCAATCATGCGCGCTCGCTGACCTTTTTGAAATAGAATTGCAACAACATATACAGTCCCGGCAGCGACTCGAGGCGCAACTACAAGAGAACAAGCAAGTCAAAAAGGTTTGAACCAGCAACCCCCTCTATTCGTACTCCAACTAAGTCAGTCATATAGGAATTTTCGGGATTGGACGACGATGCTAATATCTACAAGCTAGTTGGCCCAGTCTTGTTGAAGCAGGACAGGAAGGAGTCGATGCTGGCGGTAGATGGTCGACTGGAATTTATCGACAAAGAGATGTGAGCTTTCTATGGCTGTGGGGTATGGTGCCCAGGACTGATACGGATATAGAAAGCGCTTCGAGAAACAGATCAAGGAAGCGCAGGAGAAGAGTGACAAACTCAAGATGGAGGTGAGTCGTCCTCCTGCTACGTATGGAAGTCCCGACACTGACAAAGAGCAAGATCATACAGGTCCAATCGCAAGCCCAGCCAGAGCAGGGAGCTCAGGCATAGGTTGCAGCATGAACGAATCTAGAGTGGAGATGGCGTTTGGCGGTGCATTGTAGGCGTTTGATACCAAAAGCAGACTCGTGGCCAAGTCGGTCAATTCCTAGATACACGCTGGATCAATTGAGTGTCGTTGATTTCATCCTATCTAAAATCGTGATGGGTGACTTGGGTTTTTTTTCTAGATGTGCCAGTAAAGTGAGGAATTCGAGCCTCTCTTTACACTTTTGATGAACTCGAGTGTTTGCGAATCCATGGTATGAGCTCATATTCACCTTCTCCTCTAGCCTATATGGGACAGGAATGATGTCTAGAGGAATCAGCCGCAGGGCACGAACTGTACTCTATTCAGTATGTCTCCGAACAAAGCTTGGCAAGATATGAACTATCTCTTTTGGGAAGCCCTCGAACTACAAATTCTCAAGAAGTCTTGACCAGAAACATTCAAAACCTAAGGGTTGTCTTTTGAGATGGGAAATCATCCGAACGGGTATTGTCACATCGGATCCCCTAAGCACTTTGTCTAGTGATTCAAGGTGCAATATTTACTTACCTAGATAGCGTCTTTATAAAGTGCTCTCTATTTTCCTTTTTATAAGTCTTACAGCAATCAACGATCTTTTGCCAAATAGTGCCCTTGGTTAACCTGCTGACCTCTCATTCTCAGTTAGAAGCTTGCCTTCTTCCCAGTCTTGATTCTTTAAAATCCTTATACTTAACATTCATCATTGACTTTCTTCGATAATATAAATGCCACCCGTCGGAAACATGAATCATAGAAGCTATGGGTTACAGGCTGTGAGTATTGGGCGATATGTCCTGGATAAGCATTCAGTCTCTGTCGAGGTCTTGACGACAATCACAATCTCTATACAGCGTCTTTTAGCCCTTTATCTATGTCGAGGTTCATGTCATGATCTAGAGGCACACCATACCAACTGATCAAGCAGTTTCCCAGGTACGTCTCTTTAGGCCAAGGAAGTCGGTCGGGAAGCAAATGGCCCAAGTGGATGTCTGGAACTCTTAAAGCGAAAGACCATAAATCAAATGTTAGCTGAGACCTGAGCGGCTATAGATAAAGAAAAGGAGGGGAAATCAAAAAGCCTTGCTCTAGTGGAATTAGGAGCTCGTCTTATACAATATTCAATATCTCTACAACTAATAGCAAGTCTCTGCATTTGTCCCTAAAGGAAGAACGAAACGGGAGGCATAGAGCGTTGATTTTGCATAACTCTTGATGCTCTTAGGATGGTTGTTTTTTATATGATAACTCTAAAGCTATATAGTATTTTCTAAAGACTTGACCCTGCATCACGAGAGCAACTCACCCGCTTCTCAGCTATACAAACATCAAGATAGCAACCATATTTTGACATTCAGAACCAAAACTCTGGCTCTTAATACTACTGTTGATATTCTAGAACTCAATATAATGAAGTCCTCAGAGACTTTCAACCTGCAGACTGCTACCTACCCGTCGATTGTATTTTCACGTGATGCTCCTCGCCTAACAGTCCTCCCCCCTATTCAGAGGCTCAGAAAATTCTCAAGGATAGCTAGAGGATCATCGTCGTAGATAACTTTGGCTTTTAAAAGCGTTTGGAGGCATATGGAGAGGACTTCTATAATAGGAATGGGATGAATGGAGCGAAGAATTTGGGGAAGAGGTAGATGAAGGATATGGAAGATTGATTATTTCGTCAGTCATCCCACAGCTCAGTTGCTCTTGCGCCAAAATACATAATATACAAGTAGCCCCATGATCGAACCCGAATCTGGATCCAGATCAGGTCTGTACAAGATGTTATGAAGTTCAAATATAGACGGCAATGAAAAAGGTGAACAGTCTACACCGTCTAATGGATACCAAGAGACATGGGACCATAGACCTCTTAGAATCAATGCCCCCCACATATCTACCATCTTCACCGCCTACATTACCACCTTCTGAATGGCTGACTCCATCCACAGCTTAGTGTACAATCTATGCAAGAACTCTATATGCGGTGGCATCGGAGGTCCATTCGCTTTTCCCAGTCCTTGGTAGAACACACTCTTCAACCTGAATTCCGCAACTCCCTCTTCTTTGTTCACCTTAGCAGCCATCTCAAAGAGTCCATCTGACTCTCTAACACCGGTCTTTAGAGGTGAGTCTCCACAGCGCACGATAATCGACTCCGGGGTCTTGGATACAACTTCGAAATGGTCTGTAATTTGGGTGCCGACGTCATATGTGTTGTTCTGAAGCTCTTGCCTTGACCACAGCTGGTGCTTCGTCGTGTCGTTTTCGTACTTCTTAGAGAGGTAGGATCGTTGATATGCGTATCCTATTCGATTACCAATAGATCAGCCTCTCTTCCCTCAGATTACCAAGCAATCAAAGGAGATGAAAAAATCAAGTAGGAGCTTACCCAAACCGCCCCAAACACCAGCGCAAAAGGCCTCGACAAGCTTTCCCTCCTTCTCCAACAGCTGGGGCTTGATTCTGTTCAGGGGTATCTTCCTCACGCATAGGTCCATCGTTTCGGGGTTGCGGTTGGGGTTGTAGCGCGCGTAGGCCGCAGAAGAGAAGATAGGATCATCATGGGTGATGGGCACGAATTGCGAGTTTCTGGTCCAGTAGGCAAAACCTGCGCCGGCGCCGGCGCCGCCAAATACGGCAGTTTTGAAGAGCTTGCTGATGATACCCATTGTTGGAGAATAGAGAGCTTTGATGAGGAGCTGTGAAGATGGCGAGATAGCTCCGAAAGGAGCTTGGGGATGGCTGGATTATCGGCACGTGATCACTTTGTCCATGGCTCGTGCCCCGACCTATCATTGGTGGGTAATAATTGCTTCGAGCCTCGGGGTATAATCTTCAGCGGCATGGGGACCAGCCCTGCCCGCTTGATCACAGACATACTTTACTGGACAAAGGTCAGTGTATTAGATGCTGAAAGATAGCACCCAAAGTTGGGTGCTCTTTCAGAAGTTGAGAAGTTGAGAAGCTGGGCGTGTACTCCGTATGGTACATGTACTATACCAAGCTCTCCATGAGTCCATGGCAAGGTCTGGCCCTGTTTAGTAAGAGAGCCAAGGTATCAGAATGCTCTCTGCATGTCATTCGTACCACCGTTTATCATCCCAGACTAGCTGTCCGGAGATGATTATGCTCTTGCAGAAGTCCTGCCGCACGGTGGGGAATTAGTGCAACATTTTCCCCCCTCCAAGACCCAAGACCCCTCCGTCTTCCTCACTTTCCCAATAATTGCTGCACCTTCTCACCTACTTTAGCTTCCCTCTCTGTGCAGTGTATGACTCGAAAGCCTTTTACGGAGTCGAGCCTCGATCAACGAACGCTTATGCGTACGGTGGTAGGTCAGCGCGTGTTTCCCGCAGCGACAATTCGACGAATAGTCCAGAAGAAGAGGCTTGCCGAGGATCTGCTTGGATAAGTTTCAGGAACCATGGCTGGTGATGGGGGAGCAATGTGATTTGCCAGCGGGGGGAACTGCTACCTCCGTACGGAATAGTGGCGTCGGGCCGCCCTGATAAGTTATAACTCGTGTCGATCCTCCCACGAATCCTGCCTCCCATGTGCTCTTCTGACAAGTGCGATACGGCTGTAAAGTCACCGGTGCAGCGGTGCCTGGGTCTTGGGGCAGACGAAGTACGAGAGCTTACTACTCTGTACTCCGTATTTCACCATATTCTTACTCCGTAGGTACGGAGATATATCTTGGTACGGAGTAAAAGAGCGGGTACTTTCAAGGACGCAAGACTGCCGAAGAAGAGATCCATAGCGGATTATTGTCGGTGTTTTGAGCGGTTTCTTCAAAGTTCAGAGTTTCAAGGCGCAAGCTTAGCTGCCCCGAGCCGTTTGGATCAAGCGTTTCCCAAGGTTCAAGTTGCGTTCCAGGGCGGAGTAGTTTCTGAACCTTATCTCTCGGCCGAGCGTTCCCTTATACAGTAGTACTGTGTGGACATGTACATGTACATGTGCCCAGCCCTGGATGTACTTTTAAAGTTTTAAGGGCTTGGATGGCGTGGATGGCTTTCCCATCTATTCCCGTTCTCATTACGGTTCCCATCTTTGTACGACGACGGCGAACAACGGCGTCTTGACCCCTGCTACTGCGGGTTAGCAGCAATCCCGTCCAATTGGCAGTGATAAAGCGGCCCTCGGCGCTGTCAGCCTGGCACTGCTGTCAGCGCTGTGCCTCATTTATCTCGGCTATTCCCAATTCCCAATTCCTGGTACAGTACATACTCCGGAATACTGGACGACCCTACGAGAGCCTTGGACCGACGGAGCCTGATTGTCTAATCCAACCCCCGCCAGTATACAAAGAAGTGGCATGTCCACCCACAGGACGTGCGGAGGACTGCATTCTCGATCGAAGTGCCTCTGAACACCTTTCCAGCCTCCGACGATACATACCATGGTGGAGTGGACTATCGATCGGGCTATCCATGCGGCGATTGCGTCTGGGAGGGTTCCCCCCTCCATTACGGCTGACTATCTATTTCAAAGTCGAGACACAGGAGCCAAAGTAGCTCTTCTTCTTGTCGGCGCACTTACAACCATTATCGTTGTATTGAGATGCATTTCTCGCTGGACTGCGAGACGTCTGGGTATTGATGATGCATTTGCTTGCTTATCTTCGGTGAGTACTGCCCGGAAACCCTCCCTTTTGAGGGGTCTTGATATTTGGGCCATGGCTGATGTCTGAACCCAGCTCCTTCACATTGCCTTCATTACCCTCTCAATGATCCTCATCGACCTCGGAACCGGCAGACATCTCCAGTATATCGAATATGTTATGACAACGCATCAGATTGATACGTCGGAAGTGCTGGATTTCACTGCCCATCTCATATACACTACCGCGCTCTTTATATGTCGACTTTCAGGTCTCTTTTTCTACCGTCGGCTTTGCGAGCTTCATAAGAATTTATCTCGGGCGATCAAAGTCGCACTTGTGCTCCTCATCGCGGCCTACATACCACAGATGGCCCTCATCGTCTTTCATTGCACACCAGTAACGGCGCTGTGGCCCTATTCATGGCAGTTAAGGTCGGTGGATTACACCTGTCTGACATGGGGACTAGTCTATACCGTCAATTCAGGCCTGTCGCTGGTTTGTGATATTTTTATGTTCGCGATTCCAATGGTTCTCATACAGACCATCAATCTTCCTACGAAGCAGAAGCTTCATTTATACCTTGTCCTTCTACCCGGAGTGCTGTAAGTCGTTTTCTTCCGTTTCCTTTTATTTCACGGCTCCCACTGTATTATTTTTCCGGAGTTATTATATGGGCTGACATAGCTATCTCAGTGTCATCCTGATCTCGATCTTTCGTCTCTATCTCGTCGTTGAGGGGCAGTGGCGGCCGGATAGCTCATGGAATTACAACCCCATGCTCGCGATCGAGAACGCAGAAATCGGCGGAACGCTCATTGCACTCTCGATACCTGGACTGAAGCCACTCTTTGATAGAGTGTCCTTCAAGATTTGCGGACCTTCCCGCAACCGACCTTCCTCCAGCGTCCTCGACCCCTCGATTATTTTTAGGAGCACCAGTGACGAAAAGACGCCCGTCACAGCGAGCACCAGTGATCGAAGGCCGACTCGCAATACGTGGATGGAACTGTATGAAGAGAATAATGCCGCGGGCTACAGAATAGATGCCGAAAGTATGGATCACCTACATGATGGACCCATTCCAATAAATCCACCAATAGCTGGAGGGATATCATGGGGAGCTTTGGATTTTACATTAGGGAGAGGGGCAGTGCCATGACCACGATTACGACATTACGATCTCATTTGTCTTTTGAAATTAGCGCATAAAAAGGGGCACTCAGGAGTTGGGGAGGTCATTTTCGGAGTTGGATATGGCAATAAGCCAGGTATTGGACGGAGATCCATACGGTCGGGATGTTATTTGGTTGTGTAAATACTGTGTACAGTACGGTCGAGGATCAAAACGAGAAATAAGGAGCGCTGGAGAAGGTTAGCGAAATACCCCCTATAAATACCTTACCTACGTACTGCAATGAACATGCGGGGCACTGTTGCTACAATAAATCCAGCGCCGACGATACTCCGCTACCCGCACAGAGTCCTTGCTGGAGTCGGCCAGTCATTCTCTTCAGATTCGAAATCTTGAGCGTTTTCAAAGCTCCAAGGACGACTGAGGGTTACCAAAGTGGTGCTGGGTTATATAGGATGGCCCCGTCCTCCAACAAGTGCTGTCGTGTCATGAACTGCTAACAAAGAAAGTGGGGGGGGGAAACAAAAGGCCCCGGACTTGCCAGGCCTTCTAACGGGTAATTATCTTCTTTTTTTTCTATCTTTCATATATTTACAAAGTTTGCTTTTTTTGTCGGGAGAAAGCAATATTCTCAGGAGCTCATAAAAATCATGATGCTATTCCCGAATCCCCTTTGCGCAGGGGCGATGCTGAATCGCGTTTCACACCTGCAAGGTTTCAGAATCATCCTTTGATTTCACACGAGGCGTATCAGAGAAATATATAATTGACGTCCCCAAGCATTGCTTTCCAATCGATGCACAATTCCCCTTTCTCCCTCTCTCTCGAAAGGAAATCTGGGGTTATAGCTAGATTACATGTTTTCAAATAAGATGTTGCGGCGGAGCCGCGTGCAAAGGCTCGTTGCCTTTGCCATTCGACCACTTCTACTCGCTGTCTGCGTGTCGTTGTTTTGCCGGGGTCGAAGGATTTTCTCATCCAGCACGCCTAACAACCCACACCCGCATATAGAGAAGGCGCTCGTGATAGCGTCGACCAGCTCCTCGAACCTGACCTGGCTACCGGCCGCCCACAGCGCGTATTGGACACCGCGCGTATACGTGACGGACGACCCGGCGGCGGAGTACCGCGTGCCGGTGAATAAGGGCAATGAGGCTATGGCGTACCTGACGTTCATCATCGACCATTACGCACATCTCCCGGACGTCATGTTCTTCCATCATGATCATTTGCAGGCTTGGCATCAGCTGTTCTCGTCTGAGTTCGAGCTTGCCCATCTTAATCCGGAGACGGTGCGGGAGCAGGGCTACGTGAGTCCGCGCTGCTTGCCGGGCTGCGAGAATATTATCGAGTTGTCGGGCGATGTGGTACCGTTAGCGGATTTGAAGGGTGCGAATCGAGATGTGCAGATCTCGACGGTGCTGCATGAGTTCTTGCGTGATGATCAGGGAAGGAAGATGGATGTCCCCGGGAAGATTGCAGCGCCGTGTTGTGCGCAGTTTGCAGTCAGTAGGGAGGCGGTGTTGAGGAGGCCGCTCGAGACATGGGTTGCGCTGAGGAAGTGGTTAATGGAGACGGAATTGGACTCAAGGAGTAGTGGGAGGGTGCTTGAGTATACTTGGCACTTGTGGCTTGGCATGGAGCCAGTTTTGTAAGTTCATTTTGATATTTAGATTTAGGGTTTTTGCTAACCTAAGCAGTTGTCCGAAGGAGGAGCAGTGTCTGTGTGATGTTTATGGGCTTGGGAACGCGTGCGTATAGTAGATGTTGCCCCGAAAAAGAGAACAATTTCCGATGAATAAGAGATCGCATCCTCACGAGCCTATACGGAGTTGTTAGGATTAGACGGCGGAAGTAGTTCAAGCCTTGAGAGATGATAGTCGTCTAATCAGACACACTTCTCAATTATGACGAGCGTGCTGCTCTAAGAAGCATGAAAATGAACAAGATCACGATCCTAAGCCTCATGGGTTTGAAGTTATATTTACATACCCCAGAACTACTGTGAACACGACCTTCCGAACTTCTCACGATACGTCGTGGACTCCGACTATGACCTCCCTCGGTGAACTCTCACCACGGGACCCCTACCATAAGTTCCTAGGGGCGAATTTCCATAATCACCTCCCACCATGCTTCTGAAAAGACAGACACTCGTCGAGGGCTGGGATTCCGTTATCAACGCCGACAGTGATCCGCAACCAGAAGACTTTAGCAAATACAGATCGAAAGAGAAGAATCGTTGACAACCTAGTCATCCAATTTTCCAAGAATATGCTCCCAACCTGACCCTCTACAAGCAGTTGACTTGACTGTTTGCACACTGCTATTAAGACGATGCTTAAAAACACTGAGAAGATGACGCCTAAGACCATAACTCAGTTCGGAACAGAAATAGATCCATGTACACTCGTTCAAGACAGACGCCCCAATTCTTTCCCACCTATATGTGCCAGTCATTATCCCACCTGCCGCAGGAGAGCATGGCTGTTGCAAACTGTCAATAGCTTAGATCTCAACTAGAGCACTCCCAATCAACTATTATCGCCGAATAACCATTTTCGGCACCAGTAGGAAATGGCTCCTGAGGACTCGTTGTAGGCGTTGTCCTGATCATGTTACTCTTCCGCTAAAAGTCTCCGAGGGTGAAGACAAGTCTGTACTTCGCAAGGACAAAAGGGAAGATACGACAGTAAAATCTTGGTTTCTGGGCTAGCAGGCTTTTGTGAATTTTCTGTATCGTGGCATCATTCAGATTTGGTTCGGTTTGGAATCCCTCGTCGAGCCCTTAAATTTATGACGCTATTGGCTAATCGTGCAGTCGAAGGGTACATAAGAAAATCTACATAGTGACCGTCATAATCTAGATTCAGTTGAAGCATGCAAAGAGAGGTCTCCAATCCTATAGAGGTGAGTTTCCCCATAAGGAAGTTCGCCTGAGGAGGTGACTTGAGCTCCATGTCATCAAAGCGCTGCATTGATTTGAGAGTTCCGTAGACACTTGTGATGCCTCTGATCAAAGCGCCATGTTCGGATTTGAGATAGTTTTCTGTGAAAACAGCCATACCGCTCGTAAGAGGGGTCTGAACTTGCACACCGAGGTTCTGTGGTGAAGCCGTGAAAGAACTCTTCTGCCAGGGAACTTGAACCTCAATGGCGGGTTCCTTACATCATCGCCCCTTTTCCTTGCATGATGACCCCGAACTTCATGTCAATTGTGAGCGAGTAGATTGAAATTGAACTCACAAATAGGGAGTCCACCGTCACAGGCATCGCCGCTGGACGCGCAAGTCAGACACTGGCGAGGTGGGAAGCCCATAGTAGCCATGCTGCGAAGAGCAAAAGGGTGACGAGGGCAATGATGAAAGCGAGTCGAGATAGGTCGCGTATTGAACCATCAAGAAGAAGGTTATAAAGAGCCACTCCAGCCTCACAAATTATCATGATTAATCTCTGCGAAATAACCTCTTACCTTATCATTGCTTACCAACTCCCTCCTATAGCGGAAGTACGTAGCCTTGAATTCCTGGTTCGTCCTTGGACCCTTAGCTTCACGAGTTAACAGACGTGGGACACTAGAGAAGTGACACCGTCGTGGACCAAAACCGTCGCTAGGATAGAAAAGCAAGTGAGCCTAATAAATCGCAAAGCGAGCCCTTTGCGAAGTCGGATGAAAACTTTTGAAGAGAAACACTGAGGCTCTCCAAATGACTTATTAACTGGCTCATCAGATGAGCTATTGGTCTGGGGTTTTCGAAATCTCCTAGGCGGTTTCGAAAGAACTCGAGAGAGCCCTGTGCACTCCTATGTACCCCAACATCCAGAAAATGTCGATGTCGATATTGCAACTGAGCAACTGAGCAAAAGAGTGCTTGTTTCCTACCAACCTTCCGGACTACTTTCTTTAAGAGCTCGGACAAAATCATATACTTCTTGAGCAGAAGCAACCTTAAAATGCCAGCAGCGTTGGATGATCTCTCCACACAATATTTCCGTCATATCGGGAAAGGTCTGAGCTCTGAAGCATTTTTTAACTTCATCGCTGTCTAGTTCCTCAAACGGAGGTCTACCGGTCATGATTGTGTAGATAGTAGAGCCTAGCGCATATAAATCTTCTTGAATCGAGGGCCCAAGACGGAATTCGTGGCTAGGTGGCAGAAATCGCGTCGATGCGCATGCTGCCGGTCGAGAGCCTTCGAGCGAGGAACCACTAAAGTCAGCAATCCTGAGGTTAAGGTCTCCGTCTAGTAGAAAGTTCTTAGGGCCGACATCGCAATGAAGCACTTGTGCAGAATGTAGTAGCTGAAGTCCTTCTGCCGCCTCTTGTGCCCAGCAGAGACGCTGTCCTGTAGATATCTCGTCGTTGTGCGCAGGAAGGTAATCTCTGAGGCAGCCGTTCGACATATACTCCATAGTGAGAACACAATCTTTAGCATCCCATGCGATTATCTTTACTAGGCGGGGGTGAGGACCTAGTATTTCATATATTCGATTCTCGAGTATCAATTCGTCACGGCACATGGTCTCTGATGAACCAGTCCATGGTGACTTGACAACATCGCCAGATGGCAAACGTTCCACAATCCCCGTTGTTCCAGCATCCAGCATCTCGCCTTTGCTGTTTCTTACGTTGTGTTCCACTTGTCCTATGAATCCTGTGAATGGTGTAGTTCCATCATGATTCTTGATGGCTTGGACCTTGTGCAGATAAATTAGCTTAGAATATTATGCCAGATAAAGAAGACTTACCTCAGTTTCTGTAGAGGCACTACTCTCTATGTCGTGTTCTGGGCTTGACTCTCCTTTCTGGCTGGGGAAGATTGCATTGCGGATGCGAAACAATAAACCTAACGGCCACCGTAGCCACGACCCCCACGGTGGCCAGGCAGAGAACCAGCGGGTAATGGAGAACATGAATGATAGGCAGGGCAAACTTTTCTGTAAAGAAGTAAACAATGACGAGAATTGTCGAGAGACGGCAGGCAAGATGCGTTGTGAACGATTGATTCGATTCAAGGGGCGTCGTGCTTAGGTAAGGTACCCATAAAGCGCGCGGGAAGGGCCGCACACGGCCTTAGCCATTGTTGCCTTAGGTTAATGCCTAGAACGAACCTTATTTTGGCGGGTATCAACCAAGACTGACATTCGATGACAAGTTTTCCTTCTTTTTATCATCATCATCATCGGTACCCCAAAACATACTGTACAACAAAAACATGCAAAACCAAAATAAATATAAAGCTCTGGGGGTCCCTTTTGAAGGGGCTGCAATAGTGAGGGCTATTACCTAGGTAGGTAATGTGCGACGCGCGATAAAAAAGTTGCTTCACGTGATCCAGGAGACAAGTACCCAAGGTACCTCCCTTCTAGGTAATGATAAAGGAGGTAGTTGGTGTGCCGGATCGACACTTCTCTCTACAAGCCCCATACTTTACTCGACCTCTTCTATCCGCTGGACTACGTCTATCTTGTGGATACGTCTTTCGGATGTGAACATTGATTCATTGAAGACCTGGCCGAAAGTCCTTCTGGAGGGGTATCCTATCCTGCTATTCGAATTCCCACCTCCTCTCTAGAGAAGCAGAGCAGAATACTGGAAGAATGGGTCTCGTTCATGTCCAAGACCTCCTTGCCTTTCCTCTGGGCGACAACAGCAGCGATACACTGATCCAGGGCATACATTGGAATCTCACTACTCTGAAGCATTGGAACTACTCTTATTATTCCAACCAGACACTCTCCAATGGCTCCCGCTGCTTTCTCCTATTCGAGCCTTACACGCCTTTCCTCCTCAAAAATGGAACATTCCTCAACAGCACATCGTGCTACTCCCCTATCCTACCTATAGGGGCACGCTCCACGCTTGGCCTGGCATTTGCCTGCTTCTTTGCTCTTAGCATTGCCTTCACGCTTGTCAACTTACGAAAACATGGAAACCTGCTTTTGCCAAGGGAGAAACACTTTCTCACGGTGGGCCGGAGGTGGCAGTGGTACTGGATGCTGGCCGTTGCTGCTTTCGCAGTTATAAGCGGCATGTCAAACATTGATGTGGATCGCTATTATCTCCCCGAGTTTCCCCTCGTCTTTTCGAATCTCTTCTGGTACTTGATGCTTCCGACTACAATGGCCGTGGTATGGGAGAGTGTTCGTCATTGGGGAAGTTGGCAGGAGAGACAGTTCATCGATTCAAACCCATTCGTGTTGCGGCAGGGTGACCGGAGAAGTAAAGTGGAATCATATTTACCTTTGCTGTTCTACTTCTGCTTTTGGATGGCAGGCTCTCATTACCCTTCTCTTCCCAATAATTGCTAACAGATGGAAGAATCTCTCCATGGCCATCCCTCGCTCCTGGACCAACATCGAAAGACAACGCTCCCCAGATCAAAGTGCCACATTTGCCCGACCGACCGCAACTGACGCCCGCTTTAATGTGGCCGCCATGTTCCTCTTCATCGGTTGGTTTACCACTGTTTACTCCCTAAGACACTCAATCAAACACTACAAGCCACACAATCTCCGCCCCTTCAAACTGACACTTGAATTTGCCACATACGCTCCCAAGAAATTTCTCCTCTCCATCCCTCTGGCTTTTGTTCTGGTATGCTACGAAGCGGCTTGCTCTTTTGACTTCTCCATCTCGCCTCTAAACATCAACGCGAACCTCGGCATGATGTACGGGATCGGCTGGGGTATGCCCGCTCTCATCCTCCTGGTTTACGAAATCTCAGGGTATTTCGACCCGAACGAAGACCAAGAATTGATTAAGCAGCGACGAATTCGCGGAGAGGAAGTTGACCGTCAGCAGGGTATTGTCAGAAAACCACTCTGGTGGCGCCGTCTGCACGGTGGTAACCAGCAGCTTAGTGTGCAGGAGCAGATTGCACGCAATTTCAGAGAAACAGATGGCGGCCGGCCGACGGCTCAGAACCTAGAGAACAGCTTCGAGATGGAAGATATGTCGGCTCCTGCGCGGGACGAGGGTCGACGCAACAGAAGAGAGCCAGATGTATCATGCAGCGCAGCTAGTCTTCGATTCCCGGTGAGTAATCAATTTGAAGATGCTCCCAGGGGCAGCAGTCCTGGAGATAGTAGACTAGGAGATGCAAGGGGACCATTGAGGCATGCCAGAGGAGTTAGTACAACTACTGGAGCTTCTGTTGATGGCCCATCGCAGCAGATCAGGTCGATGCTGGATGTTTGATGAGCTTGTCTACTCTGATACCGCGAGGTGTACAGGGTTGAGTCTGGATTTTGGAAAAGGGTCTGGCCTGGCTAAGCCTACAGTAGGCTGCCTGTAATACGGCATATGACATGGATGAAACAAAGGCATGCTATATATACCTTATGATGAGCTCATGACTGTATGTATAAAACCAGACATTCTATCACAAGAACTGCTACTCTCGCTTCTGGGCTTGTATACACAAATTGCCAACTCGGTATACAGGAACAGGTAGTTCGATATCGGAATCTCAACATAAACGTTTTCTATTTCTGTCTTTAGAAGCTATTATAGCCTAAGCCGTAGGTGAGCCAAACCTGAGCCAGGCTAAGCAAGTGAGCCAGCGGGGTAAGCCTACGGTACCTAAGATAGGGGCGACCCGTTTAGACTCCTCGGGTACGACCGCCGCCTGCTAAAATTCTACTAGAAAAAGTAAGGCAGTTTCCGCAGGTCTTTTCAGCCGCTTCATATTCAGGAATTCCCGTGTCGTCTTCCAGTGCCAAAGGACCCTCTGGCACCATCTGCACCAGAAGTCAAGGATACAGAGACGCCATCTGACCGCCGTAACTTTGGCGGATCGTCTCGACACCGACGCTGGTTAGGGGTAACCTGCCGCCCGCACTCCCTATATTACAGCTCCCTTACAGTAGTTATCCGAGAGGGTCGTCACTGACGGCGAGAACATAACACTCCTCCAATACCCCTTAGAGCGAATTAGACCGTCTAGTCACTGTCTTCAACAGCCATCCATGCAGATTGCCTCCTCCTGCTGTAGATTCGACATCCCCTGTAATCGGGCAATCATCGTCCGAGTAGTCTAAATTGTCTATCCACTCGTGTTCACGAATGGGCCTCTCCGCGACAGGAAAGCCATCCTCATCACGCAGCCAAGTGAAAATATTCCTCGTCACCATTTCCGAACAGTCGTCATCCTCGTTGTCAAGATTGTCGTAAGTGACGACAGAGATATTGCCGTCGCTTGGCTGCTGCCCGTTTTTGGTGCGTAAGGGAATTCTTCTAGGAATAGTGGTAGCTGTGCGCTGGCCATCACGACAGCGCCAGGTTAAACCTTGGTATTCGAGGCCGTGGCTTGTCTCACATCGTGCATGTTGACGAACGTCGATGTTGGTGTCTGTCATCGCTGTAGAACCGAACGGAGCGAATGGAAAGAGTGGAGGAACAGTGTAGGATTGGTCGTGGGACAAATACATCAATCGACATTCGTCAGCACGTGAGATTTCTTCTGTCTCAGGGGACAGTGTTGACACAGGCTCTTGTATAAAAGACATAAGCGTTCCGGTCCAAGCTGCCACATGAAGGTCGATTTTCCACCAGCCCTGACGAGCCTCTTGTAAAGCACGCGTCTGTGCTCCGGTGATGAAAGCACCAAGCCAGAGAAATCCCAGACTAGGATCCCGCTTCATCAAGACACGTAGGAGGATATGCTGGTCCTGCACGATCTCTGAGTCGAGAAATGCGAATGTCCCTTGCAACCATGCCCCACAGATATTGCATGCTACACCAGGTTCGAAGAAGACGCTGTTCAGAAGTGCTTTGGTCCCTACAGCGTTGCAGCTTAGAGTAAGGAGCCTGTCCAGTTGGTTGAGATTCTCGCTCCATGCCGGAGTCTTACAGATCGTCTCGTTGACTCGTTCTTTACGGCGAACTCGAGGGGTCGGTAACTGAACCCTTCTGTTGTCGTATCTGGCCACAGGGAGAAGTAATGTCGCAGCCAAAGCAGCATGGCTCTGCTCAGCCACTTGATGGAATTCGCGGTAGCTAGAAAGATAGCGCAAGGCGGTGGTGAATGATGCCGCACGATGCTGAGCCGGAAGGGGGCGAGATTTCGTGCCGCGTGAAAGAGTAAAGCGTTGTTCTGATACAAGCCTTGTATACCAGGGTGAGTGGAGGATGGGACCCCTATCACTTGGAATAGATGCGTTCCAACCCCCTTCCGGGGCGAGGACCGCTGCCCACCACCGAGCGGCGTCATCATCAATATCACCCAAATCTATAATCGCTGCAGTAGAATCAGTCGGGGCCCTTTCAGGTGGGAGGTTTTTGTCATCCCATTCGGCCTCGCAATTGCTGTATTCAGGCCCAGACGCTCCGGGAATGATCTCGGCCCACCGTGCAGAAAGGATGTAGGTCCAGGCAAGTATGAGCACAGTAATATGATCGTCGTCGTCCTCACTGAAGCTTCGCGGGAACACAGATGTAGACTGTTGCGGATCCGAATCCGAGATAGCGAGAATCGTAGGACGATCTGACGCGACTGGGATAAAGAACTCTTGATCAAAGGACGGTAAATCGCAGGGTCCCTGCGCCGCGGTTCTCCATGTAGATATCCCCGTTGCAATGACAGTATTCGAAAATGACGCGTCTACTGCAAGGCTTTCTGGGAAGGAAGGGTGGTCGGGAAATATATTCTCGAGCTGAAATGCACAATCCCACCAAGGAAGATGATGGGTTTTGGTGTCTGCAATTGTCATCTCGTAAAGACTGAACCAAGTGCGATAACCTCGCTCGTACATAGCCTTAAACGCCTGTTCAGTTGGACGGACCGCATCTTCCATGGCGTTAAAAGAGGTGCTGCGACTCGAAAGCTGCGAGCCATGTCTATGTTTAAGGTAGGTAGATGAGAGAGAAGAGGTAAAGCCGAGCTTTCACAAAGCGACGCCCAGCTTACCCGGGGGCTCCAAGCCCTGTGCTCCAGGCTTCGAGGCCCTGAAGCCATAGCCTACCTACCTAGGTAAAACGTAGTAAATAGCGCCCTAAAGTAAGACGCAGAAAAGGCTCTGATGTATAAAGGTACGTAGGCTAATAGTAAGAACATACTTAGGACCCTGAGTAGGCTAGGGAAGGGGGCTTTTTTAGACCCCTTTCTAAAAGTTAACGATGTCTACTAAGATAAGGTACCTTAAGTAAGGTAGCGCGAGATTACGTGAGCTTAATGAGGATTTCGGTCAGGAAACACCACGTCCGGACCCCAAGTTCAAATATAAACATCTAGTGTAAGAGAACCTTCTACTACCTGTTACGCCCTGTTCCATACATTGGTATATACCTATTCTTGCACCAATTTCCAATACTCGAACTCCTCCCCCTTGATATCCCAAAAATATACAGAACGCAGCAAGGTATCTTCGAAGACTGAATACATAAAGCAAAGGAATCACGGAAAATAATAATCGACTAGACGACCTTAAAAATGGGCGCGATAGTTACCGGCGAGAGGTCTTCCGAGCCCATCCTTTCCAGGCGGCCCATGGCTATGGGGTCATAATTCGCGGTCCTGGAATACTGTCAGTTGACCGGACCCATACTACAACCTATGGAGGGGACCAAATAAACAGTGTGGAAAAGAAACAGATACAGATAAAAAAATAAGGGGGCACATACCCTGGAATCTCCCCCGCGAGCTCTTCCAGCGTCTTCCGCTTCGTCTCCGGGACTAGAAAGCTGGTGATTAGACCACACAGCATAAAGAGCGCGAAGATCTGCATGACATGATTTAACCATGGACTCGCCGCAGCACCAGTCGCTCCAGGAGCGGCACCACGCGTGCGCAGAGGGCCGAATACACACTGTGCAATAATGGAGCCGAGCTTGCCAGCCGCGGCGGAGAGGCCGTGGGATGTCGCGCGGTAACGGGTCGGGAAGCACTCCGCGGGAAGGATGAACGTGGTAGAGTTTGGACCACAGTTGAAGAAGAACTGGGCGAGGACGTAGAGGGCGAGGAGTGCGCGGGGAGAGAGATGGTTATACGCAAAACCGATGATGACGAAGATGATCGTAAGAAGCGCGAAGCCGAGGATTTGGAGAGGTCTGCGCCCCAGGGTATCGATCACAGCGACGGAGGCCCAGTACCCGGGAATGGCGCCGGCACAGGTGAGGATCAGATTCCCCACGGCGGTGCGGTAGTAGATCTCATACATGTCGTTGCCGCCAGAGAAGCCGATAGTGGACAAGATGATGGAGTTGTTGAGCCCGAGGCCGTAGTAAGCAACGTCGAGGAAAAACCATGACCCTGCGGTGCCCAGGAGGACCTTTCCGTATCTCCATTGGCCGTAGTGCTGGATGAAGTCTTGGAAGGAGGCTTTAGGCACTGTGAACTCGGATGCGTTCTTAGCCATCGCAGTGACACGCCGAAGCTCGTCGGGATAGCCTTGGGATCGACCGTCCATGTAGGCGTTCACGTCCTCGCCTGCCTTCTCGACGTCACGGGCAACGTCGAAGGTATATCGGGGAGTTTCGGGGATGGTGAGACGGTAGTACAGGGCAATACATGCTGGGACAGCACCGAATCCGCTGTGCTTTGTTAGGGATAGATGAATAGGGGTTTGGATGGACTCACATGATCACTCGCCACATCTTGTCAACCGCGATTTGGCACACACCTGTACAGGTAGATGGGTTACTAGCGGTTATCAGGGACTTTTCGAATCCGGCTGTGACGATCAACGCGATCATGGCAGCGGTGAACTGCCCAAAACCCTGCATGGCGAAGACAGCGTTCATCATGGCACCTCTCCACTTCGTGCTTGCGAACTCCGAAGTGATGACAGAGGACAAGGGGTAATCGCCACCAATTCCAATCCCCTGATATTGATTAGCTGCAGGTTTCGAGATCGACGATACCCGTATTTACTCACCATGAGAACACGCCAGAAGATGATGAGCCCAACAATAGAGACAGCCTGTGAAGATGAGGAGAGAGCTTGCGCCAGAGTCGAAAATATGATAATGATTAACTCCAGCCCATACATACGCTTACGACCTACAACATCGGCAAGGTAACCGAAGAAAAGCTGGCCCAGCACCGTTCCACCAGACGTAGCAACCTTGATCGCCGTATCCGAGTTACTGGGAATAAAGCCCTGAGATGTGGAATTCTGCCAGAAAGAAACGCCCAACATAGCAGTGACCAAATTGATCGCGAAAATCTGGGCCGCTGGTTAGGTATTTAAGCAGAATGTAGGATAACGCAGGGTGGCTTACGTCGTATGAACCGGTGAAGAAGCCAATGCCGGCGACAACACACGCGCGCACATGATACCACCCAAACGGAGCTTCGTCAATCTGGGCCAGCGCGAGTCGCCGCCGCTCGTTCGGATCTTGGATATGCGTGAGGTCATTGTGGAAGTTGTGGAAGGCGGCGTTTCCACCTGCAGTCCTGGCTATGGCCATCGTGTACGAAGCGGTCAAAAGCAAAGCCGCAGCTTTCTTATAAAGCTAGACAACCTCTCAGAAGTCGGTTGGTGATAGCACTCCTGGTGAGGAGGACCCATGGTGAGCATTGAGGAGGTTTATACTCAGTTTGAGGGGCAACGATAGGATGTTATATGGGGTGTGTGGAAAGCGGGAAGCTGACGTTGACTGCTTGCAGGGATGGGGGGTTTATTCCTTTTGGGACCGAGACGGCAAGGCTGGGCACGGGAAAGAGGTATTTTCTCCAGATTGGCTGTTAGGATCTCCAGGTTACACTAACATGGAAGTTGTCTGGTTTACACTTACATGCACTGCAATATACGATATACTCGTCTGGATATCATTGTATACATTAATGCTGTTGTTGCTGGCAGGTAGCCACTGCTTGTGTCACGACTCACAAGTGCTACACTTTTTCTGGAGACTTATCCCACTACCTACATATATATGCTATATTCTGGCGATATTTCGAATTCCTCCTAGACAAGGGACAGTCGCAGCAAGCCGGCGTATACTGATTGCACCTGAGTTTACACCACTCATCCGCCTCTAAAGCAACCAGGCAGACCAAATTATGCCCTCTCCAAACGCCTTACAAGTATCGAATGATCGCCCAGAAGCGAATGCGTGCTAAAATGGGCGTTTCCCCCCGCGCGGGTCGGAAGCTTTGCCGGGGTCAAACCCTCTGGGTTTTGGCCAACCACTTGTGGTTGCTGAGGCACGCTGCTACATCCCTACCCGTATCTCGGGTGGTTAGTTTTGATAAGAGGACAGTGACAGCCACCGGACAATCCGACGGTCTCTGGGAAGCCCCCGCCCACAAACCCCCCGGCGTATCACGCACGTGCAATCAGGGAAATCTTGCGAGGCACCATAGGAAAACAGCGTCGACGGTCACAGGTGAATAATCATAGGCACGGTGGTGGAAGGTTTCCAGAAGCCTTGCATGTTAGTCATCTTCACTTCTCAGGGCTGAGCATCGCATAGGGCGTTCGAAGTTCAAACCGCCCACAGCCTTCGTGCTATGGAGGAATTCCTACCACATGATTGAGAAACGTGGTAGATGTGATGGCTATTCGTATTTGGGTGACGTGGAGAGAAGTTGAAAACCGCTTTGTGATCTTGGCTGAGGGAAAGGCGCCCGTTAGGCTGCTGATGTGCGATTTCTTAGTGTGTTCAACCTGCGATCTTGAGATACCAAGCCCGATGTAAGAGTGAAGTACGGAGTAGGAGGGAACGATCCAACACAGCTGGCCAGTGGAAATTGGAATCATTCATAACTTTTAGACAGAGGTAACTACAACACTTTCAAAATACCAACAACAGAAAGATATCTGCTGACCATTCTCAGATTCCGTAGCAGAACAACATCACGAAGCAGACAAGAGACTATTGCCTCACTCACATCGTCGTCCAAACTAGCCAATTAGATGTGGATAAATGACAACGTGCGGGAAGCCTTGGCCGTCTATTTAAGCGAGCCGACCCCCTGAAAAACGCCTCGCCTAGCCTTGATTTGTGGCTTTGCTGAAATTCAACATATGGACTACTGTAGGCGTTCGGTATACGGAGATAAGTTAGGTGCTCTATGGCTCTTAGGGAACGGATTCAAGATGTTGTGTAACAGTGAGCCTGGGCTGCTGCTATTGGTGGTGAGGAGGTATAACAGGCTAGTCCCAATTAGGTAATAGAGCCCCTGAGTGCCCCTGAATACCTACCTAGGTAGACATCTAATTCTGATAGCTACAGTATAGACAAGAAGCTAGCTCTCAAAAGTTAAGTGAAAAACTTTCTAGAATCTGATACTGAACTATCGCTGAGGGACTATGATGACTTCAGGAAGTCTCGTGGCGGCCATCGCTACTAGGTATTAGGTATCGTCTGCTACACTTCTCTACCTACCTAAAAAGAAATACAATATACCATGGCGATATAACACTTCTATTTATTTCAAGCCTATCATAGCCCGCGCTGACGTCCTCTTTTTGTCTTTATTAGTACGGCACGGCTATGTATCGACTACTACTCAGTACATCTAAGCTGCGCGGAAAGCCATGGGTCCCCACGAAATGGGTTGGGTACCCATCCCATGGGGTGGGTTATGGGTTTAGGGACCCATGGGTTGGGCCATATATATAGAAACCCAACCCATGGGGTCTCATTGCGCAGCCTAAGTACATCGACCTCGTTCCTAGCCGGCTCCTCTCGATTATCAAGAATGAATGTTCGCTACAGGATTGTTTCTAGGATACTTGGCTACTTGCTTGAGAATAAGATGTAGATGGCGAGATTGAGGGGGGGGGTGTTAAGGACCGCATAGGTAATATTGCTTGATGTTCGGGAGTTGGGAGTGGAGCAGGTATGCGAGCCGATCTCATTCAGTAGAGAATGAAGAAAAGGTATATGAGTATGTGTTCGTTTTCTTCGATATCAATAGGTGCTGGATCGCTGGCTGTACCTCCTTTAGGTGACATAGAGCGCTGGTTTACTTCTCTCCACCATTACAACTTACATGCCATGTACTCGAGTCACGAGTTGGCTACTTTCAGTTAGTTGACGCTGACGTTGACGTTGAAGATAAGACTTCTACGAGACAGAGACCTTCTGATTTTGTAGGTATCTATCAAGACCTTTTGCATTTTCAGGTGGTTATTAATACATTATATATAACCTCTTCTCCCCTCTCCCCTCCCCTTTCTCTCGGCCCAATTGTCCTAGATGGTATCAAAATGCTATAAGGATGGAGCCCTTTCCCGTTTCTGGCTAAAGGGTAGCAATGCAGTCGGGTATCTCAATCGACCTGGCGTCAAACTTCATCCAGGAGATATGCTAACAGTAGTACAACATCATTACTCCCCAGCCCGTCTCGAGCTTGCAGACAAGGCATGTGTATACCAAGCAAGCGCACATCAAAATCCCTCACTCTTGCCCCTCACGGCAACTCTGCCACCGTATTTGTCCTCTTGCCACTTCCTATCGGAGCTCCGTATAACTCTGGTGTATTATGACGCGTGCTTAACTCCGCCAACTTGATATCCGCCGGCTTCTCTACCGGCTCATCTAGAAATCTCTCCCTCACTACTTGTCTGTCTACTTCTCTCTCGGTGTACCCGCCCGCCGTTCGTCGACGTCTGTACCAGAACCAAAGTCCGCCTGCCACCAGGGCGACGAATGCAACGCCCCCGACGACCCCTCCGGCAATTGCGCCCGAGTGAGAGGATCCTCCCGAGCTTGCTTTCGACTGTGAGGTATTCGTTGCTGCACTCGCTATACTCGCTGCGCTCGCTGTACTCGCTGTACTCGTTGCGCTCGTTGCGCTCGTTGGCCCACTGCCCGTCAACAATATTGGACTCGCCCCTGTACTCGTGACCATTTCCGTAGTCACACTAATATCCGCACTCTCTTCCGTACTCGTGGTCCATGCCGCATCTCCTGTCGCGCTTGTGGTCGCCACGACGCTCGGAACTACATATGTCGTCGCAATACTGGCAATCTGCTTGGCAGAGACCGTCTCTGACGTCGGGTTGTCACAGGTTATGTTCCCATCGTCGTCGGCATTGCAGCATAGCCAAGCATCGAGTGTGGAATCGTAGGTTACGTCAAGCACGCTCAAGTCGTTGCAGCCAGGGTTGCAGTTTGGGTCTGAGAGTGTAGGGTCTGTGCAGCCGCCTACATAATCTTGGGTTGTTAGTTAGTTGTTTGTTGAGGGCAGGTGAGAGAGGGTTATACAGCCGGTAGCATTTGATCCTGGCGCGGGTGGATGGATATAATGGCATAATCCACCCTCAAGACATTGATCACCGACTGCACAACACGACATGAAGCCCTGATTTCGTTAATTTCCCGCTGCTAGAGATCGTGCGCGAAGAGAGAAAATACCGAGTCGGGCGCGACGACGCCACAAGGACCTCCAATAGGGTTCGTGGCATGTTCAACGTTCTCTAGTTTGTGGTAGCATTGCGTATTAAGTGATCGCACGCTCGTGAAGATATCCAAGAAAAAGATGGAAAAGAGGAAGAGAGAGTGTGTGCTTAATGGTGCCATATCCGCTGCAGTTCACCAAGATCAATAAGATCTTGCCGTACTTATTCATACAAGAATTTGACGTACTTCGTACAAGAAAAAGGGAGAACGAGGAGAGAGACGAGGAGACGATTAAGATTATGGGACTCGCCATTATGATTGCCCTAACAACCCCACTTGGGGAATAGCTTTCGGTTGCTAATACTGTATCGTACCCCGTACTGTATATTAGAGCCAGGTTTCACTCCCATGCTTGCTGACCGCTTCGACCTTGGAAGTGCCAGTCACTACTCCATACAGCTTAAGCGCCAGGGCAGTGACCGCGCCGTCCCGACCTTTTCGGGGATATCAACTTTGCGATTGGCTTATATAGTCAGGGGCGTAAGCTCGGTTACGCTTAATTCAGCCCCGAAACGTGCGATCTGCAGTGACTGCCCCGCGGCTGTGACAAGGATGACATTCGCGCGACGTGAAAATGAGTAGGATGGGGTAATTGCTGATGCAAATCCATACGTCCGTAATGGGTTTCATTTAGAAGATTCAATGAAAGGATCGAAAGTTTTGGTATCTGAAGTTTAACGAAACTTTTTGGGCATTTTTATTCAATTAGGAGGACTTCCTGAAAGAAAAGGACAAGAAAGAGCGAAAGAGGAAGAAAGCCAAAAGGTGGGGGTTGGATCTCGCAACCGCCTGGGACAGATGCTCATCCAATCAGAAATATCGAAGCTAAATCCGCTTGGACAGCTTTCGTATTCATTCATGATCCATCCATGAATCGAGACCGAGGATTGCTTGGCAACTGATAGCCCAGAGTCTGATAGTGCGTCCCGTTGTCTGTGCTTCATTCCTTCCCGTCGTCTGTGCTTTCCGTCGTCTCCACATGGAATACGCATGGACATTCGCCGGTTCTATCAGTACTTGTATCTGAAATAAACCTTTTATTGCGTCGAGCATCTCATATTCTGCCCCATCTATATGCGCGGGTCGAGAGACGAAATTGGGACAGACAGGACGTTCCATTTCCTAGGTGCTGAAATTAGATAGAAGAAGGCTCTTCGCTGCCCTCGAAGGAATGGCCGCCCGCATAGCTAGAAAAAGAAAAGGAAAGAAGAAAGCAAATGGACCTCGATTACGAGTTCGATGTTCTCGATGAAGCCTTCTGAGATCGATTCATTTGAGCGATACGGGTGAGAGCTACGTTTGAGATGTTCCTCGCAACCGTCTCGATCATTTTCGTGATTTGATTGAGTGTCTGCCATCAGGATGCTACCATGCATGTAGGTCCCCTCATGAAAGACTCGAGGCGCATAAGGTATCTCCATCTCCTGAAACGATAATTTCGATCCATCGAACAACCGTAACCCAAATGTAATGAGTCTCACAGCTTTGTGCTTGTCGTAAAATACGACCGGAACTTCATGTGCTGCAGTGTTGTTATGTCGAAGAGGATTCGGCGTCGAAGGCTGTCTGTGAAACTCTATGCCGCTTTGGATTTGTGGTCCTCAACTATGATCCGCCCTCGGTTCCCCGCACCTGACATCCATATCTATCAATATTCAAGCTCATCTGGGAAAATATCAACCGTTGAATTGCAACCTTGCAGGCGAAAATGATTTGATTATCAAGTCATATATCCAATCGCTAAGTTCCCAGAATAGGCAGAGGAAACTGATGCAAGTGGTGACAGGTAGTGTGGAAACCTGACCCCGCCTGTCATTGAACCTGTCATAAAGTTGAGGCATAACTTATCCTCTCTTGTTGACAGGGAAAGCAGATGGCGCAACTTACTTCGGTCTGTGCGGAGTCGGACGGACAGATGGATTCCAAATTGGCGAGAAATTATCAGAGATGGTGTCCCCTAGTCTTTCAAAATAGCTAGTTGAGGTATGCAGCACTGCAAAACATCTGAAGATAGTCAATATAGCCTTGTCAAGATGGAAGAGGACCTGACGTGATACAGGCGATAATCGCAGTTCCAATGTGGCCTACTTCGTTGGCCTAGTCGACGTCTTCAAAGAATAAAATGAGCAATTGATAGTTGCGCAGAGAAGCTTCGTTAACATGTGTTTCGTAGTCCGTTTGTTTGATAGATGAGGCAAATAGTGTTGAAGAATCCCGGGTTTCACGCAGGCAGCAGATGAGTATCCCGTTTTGGGGGTGCCATTGGCAATTTCAGGATTGACATCTGCCCGCCGCGTGTTGTTTGAAAGCTTTTTTCGCGAAGACAAATAATCAAGTGTTGTGTCTACACTCTCGAATCACCAAGAGAGGGGCAAGTAAAGGAAAAATAGATGTCGAGTCTACTAATATTTCCCGCACTTTTTATCTTATCTGATTTGATCTCTCGGCAATCATGTCTTCCTGTTCGAGTAATTTACACGAATTAATCTTACTAATCTCGGTTAGCCCAATCGTATAATTCCTACCCCTCCATTCACGACGAACTCTACTTCGTACAATCCACCCACTGAACGAATGCGGCGAAACTACCTTGAGGCGTTCATTTTGCATCAACATTGAAACAAAGGAATCCAATCGAATCTGGAAAAGACCCTGAACATCATGGTGCCTATTATGACGGGCAGTCAATGTAGCGAATCTCTGCATCCCGATAGTTCCCGGGCATCTGAATTGAGATTTGCTGCTCAAAGAACGTTCACAGTATTATTCGCAGGTCCGGCTTACAATAGTTACGTGATACTTGTTATTCCTTATTGTTGTGATTGTCTCCACAGTTCAATATACTAGGAAGTGAATTTTAGTTCCGCATATTTGAGGGACAATACTACGAAGTCGAGTGACTCGAGTCATAATCAATCGGGTTTACCTAGTCCTGATAAAGAAGAAACGAATCTGAGATCCCAGGATGTTACAGTGTCGCTTTCTCTTTCAATCTTTTCTTCTTTGTTGCAACTGTAGCGCTTTCCTTCGTACAGTCAAAGTTGGTGGTATCCAAAAGAAAACGCTTTGTTTGAATAATATGACGCTATTCACCAAGAATTTGGAGATCCTCCGAATTCGGAATTCCTCGATATATCCTTGAACTATTGTTGGCGGAATAAGTCACAATAAAGAAAAATTGATTGACAACGGTTCCATTGTCTGTTCAATAGAGGTAGACGAATAACTCCCGAGGCAATTCACTTCGGTATTCAAGTAACGCAGACTTGGAATATAGCAGACGACTCTTCACACAATCCCTAGACTCTCCACACACTTTCCACACACTTTCCACACACTTCCCACATACCTCTACGTACTCTCATAATTGTTGACAGAACCTTCGACAGAATCAGACGAAAATCTCAAGATGGAAAGTGCCAGCGGCAACGTTGAAGAAGTCAAGATGAATATCATCGAAAGAGAACCAGATTCGGCGAATACCGCAGGACCAGCCCTTCAAACCGACCAACCCAATCCTCAAATAGGAGGGGAGGATCTCCCTGACTACCGGGAGGATAGTCCCGATGAATTTGGAAGGATATCAATGGAATTGTCGGACGCAAAACTAAAATTGAAGCAAAGGGAGAGAGAGGTTGGTGATCTTACGAGGAGATGGATAGAAGTGAGCAGCGACCTGGATCGTACCCAAGATTTGCTAGTCGTTACCCAGAAACGGCTTCTAGAAGTAATGGAAGAGCGCGATGAATACGAGGACGAGAGAGATAGGCTCGAAGAAGATTTCCTCAATCATCGAGGAAGAGAAGCCGCTCTAAGAGAGGACGTCGCATCTTTTGAACAACGTCTTCGACAGACGCAGGCCGATCTCCAACAAGCACAGGATAGGGAAACTGAATTGGCTGGCCAACTTGAAGTCGAGCAAGAAGATAACCCTCTGGCAAGCGACTTGCAAGACGAGCTAAGCGCGCATCTCATCGAATCAGAGAAACTCAACGACGAACTACTTGCGGTTCGAGCAGAAAGGAACGTGGCGACCGAGAGGGTTGAGACGGCAAAGAGAGAAGTACGATATTTGAATGGTAAGCTCGAAGCAGCAGAGAAAGAAGTACGAGATTTGAAGGATAAGCTCGGAGCAGCAGAGAAAGAAGTACGAGATTTGAAGGATAAGCTCGGAACAGTTAGACGGGATGAAAGCAGCAACAACGCTGCGCAGGCACGGGTTGTGCAAGACAAGGACCGTCAAATCAAGGACTTGATTCAAGTTCGTGACAATCTGAGAGCCGAAGTCATCCTAAGGGGAGGAGACGTCGTTGGGAGCCTTGGGGAAGTCACGCGAGAGAGATACAATCCCGCACGGTGGGAAGAGGCTGGTCGACGGGAGAGAGAGGGTTTACAACGAATATTCAGAGAGGAATGGGGTCCCGAGGGATATGGAAATCTGCCAAGGGAAGAGTGGCCGCCAGAGTACCAGCCGGGAGTCCCACTACAAAACGACTTCAATTATCTTGCTGTGGTCGAAAAAACAAACAGGGGCGACACTGCGGAGAAGAAATTGGAAGAACTCACGATGAAAGTACACGAAACTTTCGAAAGCATAAATACTCTGTTTCCTGAACAAAAGTATACGGGAGAGGAAACCGTCACTGATCTGGATCATCTGGTGGAGTATTTTGCAAGCGCAAAAGCTCGAATTGATCAGGCCAATGAAGAAATCCAGGACTTGCGCAGAGCCAGCGATGGGGCTGTCTCCGGTGTTAAAGGATTGGTCGAAGCTGAGGTCCGTCACCTTGATGATCTCGAAGATCCAACCAACGTCAAGGTTGAAGGTGAACATGACCTAGAACCTAGCCCGCCTCCAACCCAAAAGCATGGTCGGTCAAAGTTAACCCCCGAGAATGAGTCTTCGGCCCAGCTTCCACTACCCTCTGATGATACAAGCCTACCAGGAGTTCAAAGTCTCGATGTTACTACACAAGACGAATACCCCCGAGAGGAAGGCCAATCTTCACAAGAAGGGGTTACTTCCGATGAAAATTTAGCCAGACGGGAAGATGACGCGCCGCCACAGGACAATGATCTGGTCGATAATATATCCAGCCCTCAGTCAGTCCACCAACCCCTAGAAACCCCGGGAACCAAGACTGGCCCCGATATGGCAGAACTTGAACCTTCCTATCCATCAATAACCGACAAGGCCCCAATCGAAAATGAATCCCTGGTTGCCCAACCCTCATTCCACGAACCAGATGATATCCCAGTGAAGGTACACTACAGGGATATAGGGACACAGTCTGATTTGAACGAGCTTAAGTCTCCATCAGGCCACGACGAAGCCGTGCCTCAAGAAAAGACCAAGGCAGGTATCCATCAAAGCGAAGCTCAACCTCCCCATATCCCAAAGTCTGTCGCTGCACTCGGAGAGGGGCAGTCTATATCCAGTGCAGGAGTTCCTCACCCGCCAGCTCGCCGCCGCACACGTCCAATAGGCACGGCTCCCACTCGCACAAGTACGAGAACGACTCGGAACCCAGCACCCGTCTATACCATCACTTCTCAAGGAAAGAAGAGGAAAGCCACTGAGAGCGCAGAAGGAGAGCCGTCGAAGAAGAAGTAAGATTTTGCAGGGACCTTATTATGAATTTGAACTTACGCTGGCGTGAGCTCTTGGGTTGCTGTTTTCGGGGGTGATATATGCGTATGCTTTGTAAACCAACCGAGGTGGGTATTTATAAGCTGCCTGGGAGGTTTTATGACAGGGGAATACGGACAGTTGATAGTTCATATGGAGGTCCATTACGGATTTCTTGATATAGAGAAAGCGGAGTTGAATAGGCCTGGTTGCCAATATACTCACATATCAATACTTACCTTCGTTCATGTCTACTGAGCACTTTCAAGCTGATTAGAGACGATCTCCTCCCCGTTCATCTTTTACTAACACTAGGAACTCCTAGAATAGTTAAGTACTGACAATAACTCCAGACGAGCATTACTGTCAGAGTATCACATCTTAAGAACATCTCCTCTCGTGAAATCTAGGGGCCCAGCCCAGGGAGTGTAAATAAGCAATGATACTATGTACATCACACACACTCATCCTATCATTACTCTACAGTCTCCTTTCATAGGTTCTCATCCTCATTCCTCACCCTCATTCCTCAGTCCCGAATCCTGATACTGAAATCGAAACCCCCGAAGTCATCATCAATCCTTTATGTTTTCCATTATCAAGATTTGAAAAAAGAATGAAAATTCAAAGCCCGGGGCTAAAGACTAAAAGTACTCTTCTTTGTTCAAGAGTCCGGATCTAGAAAAGGAATGTTATGTGTTGCCTTGTTTCTTGACATTCATTGACATTCCTTGGTAGAAAGAGATATGTATGTAAGAATAGCTGGTATAGGGTAGGTAGGTAGGTAAGCTGAGGGGTTTTGAGAATGGGGTATATAATAGGTAGAACGCACCTTCTAGATTTCCTACTTCGTACATATCATATTCAATCTTCACAACGTCAAACATCAAACATCTACTCAAACCCAATCCAAATCAAACACCAACCAAGACCAAACCCGCCGAATTACAAGGGGAAAAATCAAATAAATAACAATGCACCCCCCAACAACTCCAACTCCAATCCCAACCCCTCCCAAACCGCCAATCTCTCACACTCCAGGAATCAAAACACATGCGTGTATGATCTGTTGTCAATGTGGAGCTTCGACGACGATTGGCTGGATCGAGTATCCGCCGTGCGATAGCTGTGGTCATGATCAGTGTGCGGATTGTGGGGTTGCGTAGGAGGAGTTGAAGTTGAAGGGGTGTGGAGAGGATTGGAAAATAGGAGAGAGGGGAGGAGGGAGGGAGGGAGAAAATGTGGAGAGGGAAGGGAAGGGATGGAGATGGAGATGGATATAAAGAAAATAAAACATAAAATGAAGTGGTAGGCAGCCTTATCCTATCGATCCACCCATCCACCTCCTTCACCCTAGAGACGAAGCCTGGACTGGATTTCGCTTTTAAATATATATTATCGAATCTCTATCTCTTTGAATTCAAGAGAGATGTTAGAATCAACCCCTATTACCCAATGAGCGCGTGTAAAATTAAAAGGTTATGTGAATGTGAGAGAGGAGTTGAGATAGGATAAAGGAATCGAGTCTTGACATGGTACACCAGACTCAGTACTTCGAGAGTTTCTTTCATCTTCATTAACTCATCCCATCATTTCCATCCCAGCCTCCAAAAGCAACAATTCACAGATCAAGTCCTCCACCCAATCCCCCAGCTCACAAACTAAACTCCAACCTATTCCCCGCATAATCTCTCGCAAAGAACCTCTTCGGATACTCCACACCTTTCGCGCCAGAATTCTGTTCGCCAGGTCTATCCACCTCCAACGGACTCGCTGCATCCTGCCTCTCAAAATGCTCTACGATACGTTCTTGCAACGCTTTCAAGTCCTCTAGACTCCCGACTTTAAAACATGGATGTCGCGAGGATTTGGGATCGTTGGGTGTCCCGAACGCGATGTGGATTTGTTGGCCGTGCGGCGTGATGTCGAACCTAGGGGTTTGCGGTTAGGCGGGGGGAAGGGGGGGGGGGAGGAGAGGATTGGATCGGACCAGGCTAATGTGTCTTTTTGCAAGACGGGAACGGGGACAGATGTGAAGCCTAACGTGGTGCCGTAGAATAAGAAGGCCTGCTCGAGGGTCCCCGGGGGAACAGTTAGGTTGACGTGCGCGATTCCGGTTATCATGTTTAGGTTTGTAACTTTGGAATTTTGTATAGGAGGATGGGAGAGATGATGGGGAAAGAGGGGAGAATTGAGGCGTGTTTGCTTATGAGCGGGGTAAAGAACTATCTTTGCCGATCACGACTTTTTGAAGAGAAATTCGTAAATTCTAAGTCTTGTACAAAGATGGAAATAAGGAATGTACATTATTATCACAAGATATTGATAGATTACTTACTTACTTGTCCCTGATTTGGTACGGTACGTATATTCTTTATCTATAGAATTCTTATTCGAAAAGCAAAACCATGAAATGTATATCAAAGATACGAGAGTTAATGAGAACTATTACAAACGTCCCCTCATACCTACACCAACTGTAAACCTCTTCAAAACGACAGACATCAAACCCCCCTAAACCAATTCATCAGTGCTGAATCTCTCAGATTAAAGAAAGAGATTGTAAAAATCTCTCCCCCCCACCCATAACTTCAAGCATATGGGGAGCATGGCCCATCCCGTCAATTACCGTTGAATACCGCATCGCATGGCTCTGATCCATCTCCGAGATCCACGTTTCTTTCCTATTTCCCAAAAGCTTCGATATTATCCCTCCTAACTAACTGATCTGTAATACCTCAAATCTCAAATCTCAAATCTCATCATTCATCACCCATTATTCAAAAACATTCCCGATTTTCCATCTGGACATTACTAGACCCGGACCCATGCGCTGCCCAAGCGACGTGCCCTAATCATCATAACAAGCTATATCAGACTATCTCTTCTTCAAGAACTGTACGTACGTATAGAGATCCAAATCCTATTTCTTTCTTTCCTTCTGGAATGATTTACTTACTTACTTACAACCGACTACATAGTTTAGTCTAGTCTAGTTATACGAACGAGCTGGATCAGAAAGCATCTAGTATCTAGCATCTAGTATCCAGCAGCGAGAAGTTGTGATTAGGAGTGATGATGCTCGTCAGATCAAGCTAGGCTAAACAAATCGACGTGCTTGCTCCTCTCCTCTCTTTTTATTCATGACATACCTTACATGACATACATGACCCTGCCAATTAAATAAGTAAATAAAGTAGACAGTAAGTAACGAAAATACGACAATCGGTCTATCTATCTATCGTCGAATTTACCTGCCTGCCAAGGCGTATTCATTCGTTCCTACATATCGGATTCTTTTCTAGACACCTTCCTGATTCCTGAATCTTCTTTGAATAAAGTTCCCTTACTTCTGTCTGTCTGTCTGTCAGTACCTTATAAATTTAGGATCCATCCATCCATCCATCCATCACTCACTCACTCACTCACTCACTCACGATCCCGTATACCTAACCTACCTACCTAACCTACCTACCTATTATCAAGAAGACCCTGACTCGTGCACACGCCTTCCTATCCTGTTCCTGCGCCGGGCGATCCAGCTTTCTTTCGGATCCTTAATTAAGTCTCACTATCTCGCTCGCTGGCACGCATCTAAAACAAAACAAAACAAAATAAGCTCTCTATTATTCCATTCATTCGTGAATCGAGATTAAGCTTGTTTGCTTTGCTTTGCTATTTATAGAATCATATCATGCTCGCTACGCGCCCGCCTAAGTTCGCGAATCTACGTCGCTCAGAAATCGTATACCTTAAGGTACTTTGGTTTGAGCTGCCACGGGACATATGAAAGAGAGATGCGCTCGCGAATTGTGGCTTCCATTTATTACGTGCCTCATCCGCAGTACGCGCCGCTTTATATTAGAACCTGCATTGCATTGCATTGCAACAGTCGGCGGTTTCGAGGTTTGCCGCATGGCTCCTTGATTCGTGGGAACGAGAGTTAGTTGGCTCCCGGCTCGCGACTCGCTACTCGCTACTCGGTCTACTAAAGCCATTGCAAGGTAGGTAGGTGTTGTATAGTTCAAGTAGCTTACCGTTACGACGTCTCAGTTACTCGTCTACATCTAAATAGGCTATCTGTCACTTAGAACGAAGGATGGGAACTAATTGAGGGTGATTGAAGATCTAACGAAAGGCGTGTAAAGGGAGAGCGAGAGGGAGGTAGCGTAAGCCTCGAATAACAGTAGTTGCTATACCTACCTACCTAGGTAGGTAGTGATTCCTGTTCACGTGACACTACCCAATGAAGCTCTCAGCTCAGATTCACTCCCCTCTGCCATCACTTGCGTCATCCAAGACACTGAGCGCCCTGTCATAGTCGCCGTTTTCTTTCAAAACTTGAGCTGCATCCTCAATCCTCCGTTGGTCTGAAACACCCCACGACGAGCGCTCCTTGCACCAAATGAACAGCTCACCAAGTGCAAATGCGTCGTTTTTGTACTCCGGTGCCAGATCGCCAAAATCAACCAAGACCAGACGAGACTGTCCTTGAAATCCCTCCGCTGAGGCTGCTGCTTCATGAGGTTTTATAAGTGTATTCCGCTCGTTGATGTCGCCATGCACAACTCCTGCTTGCGCCAATTCGCGAACACCACACGCCAGATCTCGTAACTGCTCTCGTGTGATGCCGAGATCTATGAGACCAGGTAGGGAAGCAGCAGATTTTGATCCGGATTCGGACAAGGATTCCAGACTAGGACCGCCAAAAGGCATCAGAATGCCCACGACCTCGTGATTATCAACGTCCTTCTCGGTGATGACAACAGCTAGAATTGGTACAACATTGAATCGCTGCGCCATGATCTTGTTGGCTTCGCAGTGAGGACTCAAAGCTGCCAGCAATTTTTCCCTGCTCTTGATTTCTCGGTCAATACCCCCGACATCGCAATCGAACTCGATCCGTTTGAATGCACAGTCTTGGCCTTTCCAACGGCATCTGTCAACGGCACGGCCTAAGTAGACTTTGTCTACCAACTGATCAAAAGAAACAATAGGGATGGAAGTCTCCCCCCTGGGATAGAACTGGCACTTTTCACGGATCGGTCTGGCGATAATGTGATTAGGCTGTATCTCGAACTCTACTGGACCGTCCTCTCGTGTTGCGTTTATAACGTTGAATGGGGTCTGCTTCCCGAAACTGTGGTAATATGTTGATATGTGGTTTTCAACGATGTTTGCCATCCACTCCTCATCATAGGCATCTGTATTGACATTGATCTGATACCATCTGCGGTTTGCTAGATCGTATGCTTGCCCTGAGCAACGTATTCCTGGAGTGATGACACCGCCGTAGATGACGACTTCTGGTTCGTGCCAAATGCGATTTAGTTCCATCTCTTCCATGATGATATCTTGTCTGAGAGAGGCACCAGACAGAGAGTTCCTCTTGCTTGTGCAACTTTGCTGCTAGGAAGGCTGTACCTCGTTTGCATAGTGATAGAAATCATAGAATGCCCAGAAGAAGCCACAGATGTCAACGATCTCAAGATTGGTATTGCAGTCTTTGTACCTCGAAACTATAGCGAATCATTTGTCGTCAGCCATTTCAGAGAGCGATATGCACATTGAGTGCAGATACTTGTAGCAGAGAAGTTAAACAAGTGCTGAACAATTTGAGTTTGAACAATCCTGCAGTGTGACGTTCGGTAAATTGTGAGGCTGAACTACAAGTCACGTGTTGCCAGGGCAGAGGGGATCCAGAATGGCTCCTCATGAAATTCTTTACCTACCGCATGCTAACCTGCTTTGCGTCTTGAGCTCAGGCTTGCTCGCCTTAACTCACTCAATGATGCCGACAAAGCAGCCCTGCTCACCTTTATGACAGAAGCAGATTTCGTTTAGGTTAGGATTCGGGGATGCTACATTGATAACCTTCTGTAACTTAATCTTTCTCGGGGCTTGGCATCGATGGTTTATCAGATCACCACAGAAGCGGCTGCGATCCGGCGGGCCAGGCCGCTCGGTTCAGGCGCTAAGACGAGACTAGCACCCCCCTGGGTCCACCAGCCACCCAATAACCAGCCTCATCGGATCGTGGTCATGAAACCGTGCAGTATCCGAGGTGAGAGGAAGTGCCAATAATAGCACGGGAGAGATCATTGTCCTGATTAACTCACGTCAAGTCATACAATGCCGATGAGAAACCGCCTGCCCTTGCATGACTCGCACCTGTCTGTCCCTGCTTGCAGGACGCTAAGAAGCCGATCTTCTTCAGATCCAGTTGCCTTGGTATCGATAATCCGTTCTAGCTCTTCCCCAGATGCGGCTTTCCCGCCTTGGAGGCCCTGTTCCTGGAGATACGAAGTGTCGAAGTATGCAAGGCACACGCTGAGATTCTGGGGGATTCGAAAAGGAATGCTATATATAGAGTATTAGCTCAGGTCAAGACCTACAATATTCACCGGAAACGGCCTCCGTCGCATCTCTAAGAAGCTGGTCTTCTTCAACACTGACAGACTCATCTACCGCTGTATCGTAAACCATGTAGGCTTTTCCTGAACGCGACTTCTCAGCTTGTCCCTACTACCCAGGCACGGAGTATACGAGCCACAAAACAAGGGATCCCTTTCTTGGGATTCCGGGAACTTGGACAGGGAGTGCTATATATAGAGCAATGGCGTTTGCTGGGTCGAATTCGTATCGGAATAGATTCCGAGTTGTCCTGTACAATGTGTCAATGTAGGAGGAATGCTCTAAAGTTGATCTAGATGCAGATCCGGGGGAATAGTATGCACGTAGGGGCGTGGGGCTGGAAGTGCGTTGTGAGGATGGGCTAGATCTGCTTGTAGATTGTGGGTGAAGAGTTAGGGAGTACCAGAAATGCCTCCAATACTGGGTGATCCTGAGTGTTGTAATCCTAGTGGCAGGCTTGACAGAATTCATGGCATCGTATTTTCCACCCACGTGAATCTCATAGATTGTCGTATCTACCACCGAGAGTCAGCAATGCCGAGCCTATCAGAATCCACGACGTCGTGGGAGGCGTACAACTCTTCCATAGACTCCGAAGGGTATTCCGTGAAAAGATCTCTTGATACTGGCTCCGAGTGATTCCCTTCCTTACAGTTATACAGGAGAGACTGTAGAGTTGGTGAGATATAGAAGCAGATTCTGTCCAGAACTTCCCGTACTCTGTAATAAAATAACAAAGACGTACATGCAATCTTTTCTTTTCGTTCTTGATGCATGTATAATTGTTAAAGCAATGTCCTATAATACTTTGGATCCTTTCGGTATAGTAGATCGAGGTGTGGGAGTTTACCATCCGAGCTTGATCGGAAGTCCGTTTTGTAAACCGGGCTGCCAGGAGCGCCAATCAAGGGTCCCCCGGATACGAATACTTCTGGCATTTTTTGATTGCGCAGCTTCCCTGAGCAGCCGCCCAGGCGTTTAGTAAGCCTGGGGTAGTGACAGAACAACTGCCGTCCTCCCCATAACTTGGCAGGAGTTCCCAGGGACCAAGAGCTTATGTCACCAATTCATATGAACCTTTCACGGTCTAGTAAAGAATAAGCGCTTATCCTATCCCATCCTTTATCTTGTTTTGCAGTGAAGTGTTCAAGTTAACTATAACCATTTGGGTTTTGGATGAAGTGTTTAATGTTAACTTTAACTTGATATTCAAAAGCGATGACTGAATAAAATAATAAGGGTCGACTTGTCAAGTTTATGTCTGGAAAGTGACTGCAGACAACAGGAATGAAAATGACGATAGCAAGGGTCGGGAAATATATTTTGGCTATGATGTAGGAGAGTGCCTCAGCGTCCAGACTTTGCACTGCCGACGGACGAATGATCTCTCGAATCTCGTCTCGGACTTTCAAAGGACGGGCACCGAAGACTGGGCAGGAGAGAACGTAGCGTCGTCCATAACACATCGAAGGGTCTGGCCCAAGTCGAGGTTGGAAGAAGAGACATTTGCATCTGGGATGGCTGCCCTCCGTCCATAATCACGATCACGATCGCTGGGCCCGTGACGTAGCGGAGCGTACCTGAATGGGACCCAGCGATCGGCGGGTTCGCGTAGGGAACCACAGAACGAAGGGTCAGGTCATGAGAAAAGGGAGGGATGGGGGGGTGTTGGAGAGACGGGGCATTATTGGACGGATGGAGAGAGGGGAGAGAGGGGGGATGAGTTGATGGCTCAACTCGAGTATCATCTGCTCACCCTCATCCCTTTCATCCAGGAACCCGACCAGGCACGAGGGACACATGCGGTACGTCGATGGGAACGTTGACGGGTGGCGTGAATGTATGGATGCTTGGATAGATAAAATGGTATATAGGAAATAAGATGTAGGGAATATATACATATATATGATATATTTTGAATAGCCAGAAGATAGTTGTAACAGAGGGGGAGAGAGAGAGATGCTGTCGAGAATAATCGGATCCCTGATCAGCACCTGACCGATGGGCGGGCCGCCGCACTGGAGCGCTGTTGATCTCCGGAGTAGAAATGCTCTCCCAACCAGAATTCTTCACGCGGTGTGCCTTGCATTTCTGCCGCATCCGCCTGGTCTGGGCAAGGAGGTGGAGGATGGAGGATGTAGGATGTATGTAAGATGTAGGAGGTTGGTGGAATTTGCGGGCGGGCGGCTGAGCAGACCGGGAAGCGTGATGCGCCCGCTGCGCTGCGCTGCGCTGCCTCGAGTAAGGAATTCCTCCCCGAGAAGAGCACCCCGTACTGTATACAGCGACTCGGTACGAAGCTCTTGGATTGGACAGAAAAACGGCAGGACAAGGCCAGTACTCGGCAGAGACCAATGTACGTACATGGCCAGAGACCAGAACATGCTTGGAGTTGTGCCTGTATGATGTATCAGTTACGAGATAACCCTTGCATAGGGGATGGCGTCTGCCCGAGTCCGACCGTCGACCGCGCAGCAAATGATAGCAGACGATAGCAGACGATAGCAGCGGCCTTAACCGCAAAGAAGATTAGAGTCGACTCGATCTACAGGACTTGCATGCTTCTCGTGCTGGGCGCCGGGGCTACTGCTACTAAGGCTGGGAGCTGTCCTCTACGATACTGTGGCATGGTTTAGATGTTATTGTCTGCGACTTGAAGACAAGAGAAGTCAGAAATAAATGGATGAATGAATAAATCATCAAAAATAACAAAGGGAGAAAACCAGAGGTACCTCCATCCGAGGGGGCCCTCTTCGTTTCCGGGAAATATCGAGGCTGGATATCCACAACTCGGGTCCCCTACGTGATGGATTACGGCAAGACCAAGGGGAGAGGAACAGGACCAGAGAGTCGTCGACACTGGATAGACCCTATTGTACGTTATTGCATATTAAATATTGCATCCAAAGGTCCAAAGGTCAGCGTGTTTAGAGAGGTGCAAGGCCCCAACAATCCTCCTCCGAACGAACCCCACGACGCGGCATCATTGATCCAGTGAACCAACCCCATTGCACCCGCGAACATATATCTCTCTCTCTTTGTCTCTCTGATCTCTCTCCCTCTCACCTCTCACCTCTCACCTCTTCTCTCTCACATGTCCCTCGACAGGCCCTCTCGCTGATGCAATTCGTAAGCCGGTCGCCTCGCTTATCGCCGCAACGACTAGTTCGACCTGTAATCCATCATCCTTCTCAGATCGCCCTTCTCTCCCCTCTCCCCCTCCAGTGCAAAACCCGCTGCAGATCTCCCATCGTCGTCTTCGCCCTCGCCACAGTTCCCGTCCTGGCCGTCAACCACTCGACGACTTCTCTCCATCGTCCGTTGCTTCTGCTCTCCCCTCCGCCCCTCGCCCTTCGCCCCCCCATATCAGCCCTGTTGCCGCTGGTCGAGCTGGCCTTTCGCCTACCGAAGGGTTGATCCTTGTCGTCCAGTCCACTCCGTCACAGCTTCTCCCGGTCGCATAGCCGCCCCGCCATCCTCTTATCGATCAACTCTCTCCAGTGCCCGCATCGATAACGCCCGCCTTCGCAAGATCTGAAGGGGCTTCATCTGTTCCATCTCTCCATCTCTCCATCTCTCTCGAAGCAGAGACCTGGTCGACACTGCTGCCGGTCAAACGGTGTCATCGCGGGTTCCCCTGTTGACTGACGCCGCCAGCATCCTCGTTTCCGGCGCCTCATCTCTACCTGCGGAGCACCCCCTCGTCCACCAGCCTTCGCCCGACATCAGCTCCATCCACCCTCATATGTCGGCCTTGATGCGGTAGTCCTGCCATCTCTCGCCATATCCCCACCCTCTTGCATCCGCCTCTATCGACCCCTCCACCTGCGAACTTCGCATTTCGCATTTCGCCTCGACCGTCCCCTCCCAGCCTCCTCCGCCCGCTCCCCTCTTATACCTCGATCCAACAACCCTTTCTCAACACCACAATGGCCGCCTTTCGCCCCGTCAATCCTGCCCTCTCTCCCGATTCCTCCTTTGCCCGTCCCAGCGAAGAGGCACGCCCTGCGACTCCGCGCCCGAGTACGGCTCCTCAGCCACAGCCGACTCATCGGACAGATGATCCAACCACTCCCACCAGGGCCAACTTTGGCGCCTTAGCAAACCAGAGGCCGCTCCCGGCACAACCCTTTTCTGCGGCCGTGTCCGTGGCAGAGAATGCTCAGGCGGAGAAGGATCCGGCCCACCGTGGCGAATCTCAGAATACGGCAAAGTCTCGGGACGGCGAGGATGTTGATATGGATGGGTCCGATGATGGCGAGGAGGGATCCGACGAGGAGAGCGTCAACGCAGATGGCACACGATCAAAGAAGAAGAAGTCTCAGAGATTTTACTGCACCGACTACCCACCTTGCAATCTGAGCTTCACCCGGAGTGAGCATTTGGCAAGGCACATCCGGTAGGCTACATCTCCGGGTCCTTTTGCCACACTGCTAATCTTTTGCAGAAAACACACCGGCGAACGCCCATTCCAGTGCCATTGTTCACGCCGATTCTCGCGACTTGATAATCTACGGCAGCATGCCCAGACCGTTCACGTCAACGAAGAAATACCTACAGACTCATTGGCGGCTACAGGCACAAGATTTCAAAGACAAGTTCGGACTGATAGGGTCCGACCACCTGGCAGTCGATCGAGAGCGGCGACAGCAGGGAGCCAGTCGGGCCCGATGCGTGGTCATCACCGAAACTCCCTCTCGGCATCCAGTATCAGCTCCATCACCTCGGCCTACAGCGTGAGGGAGGATGCCCGAAGACGTCCACCGCCGTTGGTCATGGCCGGGGGGAACCCACGAATGTCAGGCGAGATCATGTACCGCCCTGAGAGCCCCAACTCCTATCAATACCGCCCTCATTCTCCGGGAGGCTTCAGCACCCCGACCTCTTCTACGTTCTCCACGGGCCAAAACAGTCCGCGATGGAGTTCGGGGATACAATCGCCAGCTTCGTCCCATTCTCGAACGCATAGCTTATATACCGAACATCGGACCCCTGGACGGCGGTTATCAGTCCCGTCGGCCGGGAATCCCTTCCAATCTCCACACAGCGGCTCGTACGGCCAACCCCCGGTCGGCAGTATAAACTCTTCAAATGTGGGGACCTTCCCACCGACGGGTATGCTCGCGAGCCCTCCTAGCTCATCAAGTGGATCGACCTGGTCGAGACGAGAATCTGGAGCGTCTGCTGCAGATGAAGCCTGGAGACGAAGAACATGGGCTCACCCGGAATACTACTCGTCCAACTTTACAAGCAGGCTCCAGAACTCGGTATCGGTCAACCAGTACCCATCAGGCCCACCTCCCCAGGTGCCTGTTGTCCCGAGCAATGCTCCACCTCTGAATCCAAACTCAACACGTCTGCCTGGTATCGAAAGCTTTGATCCCATCCCTCGGCCGACCACTCCTGTCCGCCGTCAACCTAGTCCCATGATGATTGACACTCCAACCCGAGTGCCCATGACCCCGGCTGAATCATACCGAGACGAAAGACGCGGTAGTCAGCACTGGGAGATGGGCATGAATCGCACCATGAATCGATTGGATATCGCCCAAAGCAGCCCTTTCGAGACGGCAGGGTCGTGGGCTTCAGATGCCAATCGAGCCGTCCAAGCACAGGCTGAACAAGTTCGTGCCCAACACCCTAACCAAGTCCGATTTGAAGATTCGTCATACCCACCCAGATCTCAACCGAGTGCGTACCAGCACCAGAGTGCCCCACCAGTCACCCCAAGGCACGCGAAGCGCCAGGGATGGTACCACGGTCCCGTCTCCGTCCAACACCCGCCGCTTGATCCCCAACTCCAACGGACATCCCCGGAGGACTCGAGCAGCTCCGATGGCGTCCCAGGGACTCCAAGCAGTGCCACCACTATTGGAGATGTGAATCCAAGTATCATGCATTCGAACGGCCATGTGGAGAATCGACATGACCCGCATGTCTACGATCCGAGGATCGTCCCGTCGAATGGTACAAATGGATATACGAATTATCATCCACCTCCGAATGGCGAGCCGGGATACACATATGGGCACGGTCAGCATGCTCCACCGGGCCAACCCCAACACCAGGCTCCCAAGGGAACGGATAGTAACATGTTGAGACTGGAGGCCCTGGTAGCTGTTGCTACAAGTGAGGAGAATGTCGCAGCCGCGGCGTACTAAGCGCTTTCGATTCTGGTTCTCGCTATGGACGAACGGTCCATATTTCGAGATGGACGAAAGCGGGCGGAAGGGGAATGGAGGCGAGAAGAGATTTACGGTGTAGTGTACATATGCACCCTTCATTCATACGATACCCGCGTAGTTTTACATACGCCACGACGTTACGACAACCTTACGACAGACGACAGGCTTACACATCTTGAACCGCTCCCATTCCAAGGGATATGATATGAACTGGGAACGGGGCGGCGATGGGTGTTGTTGGCAATACATGGGACGGCGCTAGATATTACTGTTTTCCTCTCACTCTTCTGCTTCGGATCATGTCTTACTTTTGCCATTGAAGCCGCTGAGTCCAGACCATAGGACTGTTATTATTCCTTTCTTATTACTCTCCTTTCTTCTTTCGACTCCTGGATACAGGGTGAGCGGTAATATTTGGGTATTGAGAGGGAGAACACAAGGGATTCAACTTTTTTATATCATGCTCCCTTTCTGGCTTTTTATTTCGGGATTGGTAGTGCCGGGATTCTTTGGGATCGGGGTTTTATATGACGGACGGACGTGGCAGGGTGAGCATGTTGACCATGATATACCCGCTCACGATCGGATTTGGTACTGGGAGGCAGCGCACAATAGCGGCGATGGGATTGGAATTGGATTGAATTTGTACAGCACGGCGAACACAACAGCATTAATATCGGGCGATTACTTGGCTCTTGTTCTTGGCGCGAATGAATGTTTTATATATTAGAGAGTGGAATGTTTTTGTGTGCTTTGAGATTGTGCGAATGTGCCTTCTTTTTTCCTTCGGAAGAGCCGGAATCTCGAAGGACAGCAGCGTTTTTACTATTCGTATCTTTGAACCCTGTACTGAATGAAATGTAATCCCTCATTCTTTAAGAATGTCTTCTCCAGATCGCTCTCATCGACTCCATTCGTCCATATATGCGCACATTTCACCCCGCATAACCAAGTAGACAAGCCCGGCAAACAACCAGACCAGCGTATTCCAAAACCCCATCAGACAGACCCCAGACCTCCCACGCGTGGGATTTCACAAACACATCATATCATATCATAAGCGGAACTCGATCGAGTAAAGGGGGGGAAGAGAAGAATAGCCGACGTCATGAAAAGTTCCAGGCCCGTGCGTTCGGTTAACGGAAATGGGGATGTCATTGCTGATGAATGAGTGAGGGGGAGAGCTGCTACTACGCAAGAGCAAAGAAACTTGACTTTTGCAGGATCCAGAAGAAGAAAAAGGAAGAAAGAAAAAGAGAGAGCAGAAAAAAAAATCTTATCATCATCTTGCATTACCGCAAAACGCTTTTTAACTTTTACCCCGTTTTTCTAGTGAAGGATGGAGACTCCAAAGACGGATATCTCGTGCGTTTCTTTTCTTCCGTGTCCCCGGACCCTCCTACCTCCTCCCCGCATTATTTTGATGGGACAAGAAAGAGACTGATGAGAGATGGGGACGAAAACAGGCTCTATACGGCGAGCACGCCAAATGGACAGAAGATCTCCATCACGTTGGAGGAGCTGGGCCTCACGTACGAAACGGTGCATATCGATATCGCGAAGGGCGTGCAGAAGGAAGATTGGTTCTTGAGGATTAATCGTGTGTCGCCCCGGGCCTTTTCCTACCTACCTACCATTCCCAGTTGTGATTCTGGCCTCTCTCTCATACATATATATACCTGACCATTGGCTTTTTTGGGTTGGGGAATTGAATGTCTTGAGTTGAAGTTTGCTTAAAATTGCTCAGGTTCAGTTTGATAATGGCTTTGGCATTGCACTAACAGGATCATAGCCAACGGCCGCATCCCCGCGATCGTCGACCGCACGCCCCAGGAGACAGGTATGGGGCTTAAGAAGCGCGAAAAGGCGGTTTTTGAAGGGGCCGCCATCATGCTGTATCTGTGTCAGAAATACGACAAGAATCATAAGATCAGCTATCCTTTTGATACTGATAAGTGCGTCTCTCTTCCCCACTCCCCCATCTTCCTCAAGCAATGCAATTCATCATGCAAATGTGTATATAGCGGATATGAAAGAAGAAGACAGGAACAGTCCAAGATGAATAATAAATGCTAACAGACAGCAAATCTAGATATTGGGAAGTCGTCGAATGGCTAACATGGATGCAAAGCGGTCTCGGGCCCATGCAAGTCCGTCCCCCTACCTCCCTCCCCCTATCTTCCAAATTCCCCCTCCCCCTGCCTCCTTTCTAACCCCTTTCCCAGGGTCAAGCAAACCATTTCTACCGCTACGCGCCCGAGAAAATCCCCTACGCCATCCAACGCTACCAGACCGAAACCCGGCGTCTCTACCAAGTCATCGAGGACCGTCTGCGTACCCAACGCGAAGGCAACCACACCGTCGCCGGCACCGCAGCGTCGCACGCCGGGCCCGCGCACGCCTCGCAGGATCCAGGCCCTTGGCTCGTCGGTGATAAATGCACGATTGCTGACCTGGCGTGTTTCTCGTGGGTGAACTGGGCTGAGTGGGCGGGCGTTGATGCTGAGAGTTTTCCGTACGTCTTTCTCCCCACCCTTTCCTTCCCCTCCCCCTCCTTCCCCGAGAGCTAGCTAATTCCCAACCTAATATCTGACTGACTGACAATAAACAGAGAGATCAAAAACTGGCGCGATAGAATCAACGCCCGACCAGCTGTAAAACGCGGTCTAGACGTCCCTGAAAAATTTACAATGAAGGAGAAAATGATGAGTAAGGAGACGGCGGAGGAATATGCGAGGTTTCATTCGCAGTGGATTATGAAGGGGCAGGAGAAGGATCAGGAGGTGCATAAATAGATATGTGAGTGAGGGGGTGAGGGATGCGGATGAAATGAATGGATAGGGTGGATGTTATGTTGTTATATGCGGTTATGAACAGAGAGCTAGATAAATACAGAAAACAAGAGAAGAGAGTGATGAAACATTTCATTTTTTCCCCCTCTTTTCAATTAGTATTCATCCATCCATCCATCCATGGCATGCAATGCCATGCCATTCACTTACTCAGCCAGCTCAGTTCAGCTTTCTATATATTTCTTTCTTTATATTATAAACATCTAACCTTCTCTAACTACCTATGTAGGTATCTGTATCTTATATTTTTGTACATCCATCCATGAGTGATAGATAACCAATATCTCTCTCGTGTCTTGGAAGGAAGGAACTCGAAAACTATCTATCTATATAAATCCAAACCCAGCACTTGATATATTTCGCATCCGACGAATCTTTACTCACTTTCCTCCTCTATAGATATACATACCCAAGCCCAATGCATCAAATCAAATCACAGACTCCACTCCTCCTCCCTATCCCTCTTCTTCTTCCACTCCTGCACCAACTTCCTCAGCACCATCGTCGCTCCCTCCTCATTCTCATTCTCATTCTCCTGCATCTGCAGACCACCACCCCCCCTACCCCCATCCCCATCCCCTTCCCCTTCCCCTTCCTCCCTGATCTGCAACTCCAACTCCTTCTCGACGCCCCGCATCTCCGCATCCAGGGACTCGCTCGTGAACAAGCGAACGAGACAGCGCGCCAGGATCGCGCTCTTGTCATCATTATCCTGTTGTGCGAGGATCCGGCCTTTGCCGACGTCTTGCAGGATCGCGCGTTCCATGTCCCGGAGCGCGTTGCGGAAGCTGCGCAGGATGGAGGCTGGGCGCGGATACTGAGTGGTGTGTCCTTTGGGCACGGCGAGGTTGAGCCAACCGTCTATGCAGAGGATATCATTTTCGCCGTCGTCGTCGTTGGGCGTTTGGCTTTGGGGGGCGGCGGGCTCGCCGCCGAAGAGAGCTACCATCAGAGGGGAGACCTCGGTCGTGTCGCGGATGAAATGATCGCTGGTCTCGCCCGAGTGCGAGAGCGACGTGTAGGTCAGAAGCCGCTGTCGGATTCTCCAGAGTTGCTGTTCGGCTTTCGGTCGCCCGACCGTCTGGTTCACGGAGCTGGGGTGCACGAGCACGCCGATCTTCCCGGCCGTCGTGTAGAAGTTGGCGCTCTTGCGCACCGCCAGATGCGGGGAGAAGCCCGCTACGAGGAGCGCTTTGATTAACTCCTCGCTCTTGGAGAACTCGTTGAGTTGCGGGACGCCGTATTGTTTACCCCTGGCCGTGTCGTTCCGCGGGATGAGTCCTGTATCCTCGAGAATGCTTTCGATTTGAGCCGCGGCCGCGGCTATGTCTTTGAAGATCCCGGCACGAAGGTAGGAGTTGCTGGCAGAGGCCAGCATGGCGCGCTCACCGTCCGAATTCTGAACGTCTCGAAGATGCATAAATGCGTTGATGATGCCGATGTGATCACTGCGGGAGCCGGCCGCGAATTCCCACCTGGCACTTTCGGCTGCCTTTTTGAGTCCCGGTGGGTGCGTAAAGAGACTGCGATCCCCGCTTGCCGCAGCGAGGATGATCATTGGATCCAAACATCTGTAGATAATCCCCATGACGATCATCTTTCCAAGCCTAGGATGTACTGGTAGAGTTTCCAGGAGACGTCCGAGAGGTGTGAGCTCTTCGGATTTCGTAAGGGCGCCGAGATTCACCAACTCGTCAATCGCGGCATCAACTGCTGCGCTTGACGGAGGCTCAATAGAATCTGCAAGGAAGTCGCGGATAGGGGTCTCAAAGGCTTGCGCTTTGATAGAGAGGCATGTGTCCTGGAGATCTGTGCGAAGGAGTTCGGGGATCCCGACAGAGCGGAGCGAATCATGGCGGTCTTTCGAGAAGAGTGCGTAGTAGTGTCCATTCTGAACCCGACCTGCCCGACCAGCTCGCTGTTTTGCATTGGATTTGCTGATCCAGGTAGACTTCAGTTGGCTCATTCGCGTGACCTGATCATACGTATGCTCTCGATGCTTCCCTGCGTCCACGACGTATTGGACCTCTGGGATTGTGATGGAAGTCTCTGCAATATTCGTCGCCAGAATGATCTTCCGGCATCCTTCTGGCAATGGCCGAAAGACGTCCCTCTGGCCATCTGGGAGTAACGAGTGTAATAAGAAGAACTGATATTTCGCTCGATCTCGAAAGTCGACGCCGAGAATAACGGTCTCCTCCAACATAGTTCGAACCTTCATCATTTCCTCTAGGCCGGGCAGGAAAACAAGAATAGCTCCCCCTTTGCTAGAAGCTGCAATATGCGCGACCGTCATTGACACAAGAGAGAGAGGAACCTGTTCACTTTTTGCCTGATCGGCCTCTGGGAGTATTAGCGGAGCCGGTTTCTTCTTCTTCCAGTCGATAACCACCTCGCCGTTCTTCCATTGTATTATTGGCTCTTCTTCGCCTTGACACTCTGCTTTTGGTTCCTCCAAGAGCAGTTTGGCATACATACTTTCTGCCGCAAGGTACTCTCTGGTGGTTGCTTCTTGGTACATTCCATAGATCTGCTCGCGTCCGTATGTTTTTTCAAGGGTTTCTAGGATCTCGTCAAGAAATTGCTCTTTCACTGGGAATGTACGTCCCGGGATCATCAGAGTGGGACATTTGACTGAACCCCTTTGAGGATCGCTGATCTCAAAATAGGAAGAGAATAAATCTGAATCCATTGTGGCAGACATGAGAACAACCTTTGGTACTTGCTTTCCTAAGCTCAACCTCTCAGACACTGTTTTTTTCAGGACAGTCAGGAGAAAGTCGATTATCATGTCTCGTTCGTGAACCTCGTCAATAATCAGATGGGAATAGTTGTCGAATACATATTCTGGCGCATGCTGTAGTTGCTGCAGGAGTATTCCGGTCGTACAATATGTAATACTCCCTCCGTACCTCGGAGATTTATCATCCAGACGAATGTGATAGCCAACTTGAGTTTGGAGGGGTTGGCCACGTTCTTCAGCAACGCGCTTCGATACCGAGATTGCGGCGATCCTTCTTGGTTGGGTGCATATAATGTTGCAAAAGGCACCTTTTCTTGATTCTATAAAATGATCCAGGATAATCTGAGGCACCTGTGTTGTTTTGCCACTCCCAGTTGCGCCGATGATGATGCTGAAGGTATCATTTTCGACAAGGTCAAGAACTTCCGACGAGTGTTGGCTCATTGGAAGATTGGCTCTGGCGCTGCGCAACGCAGCCAAGTCAGGTCGCTGCTGGTATGAGCGGTAGAGCTTCAATAGGTATTTGGATCGTTCCTCAGCCTTCTTCAACGATAGATCTGGTCTCAAATATCCTTCTCTCGAACCCAGAAACTCTCCTGATTTCAGGTCTTCTCGTCTAGCGGTAGGGTCGGCTGCCTCTACAATTGTCAGGATGTGTTGAAGGAGAAGATAGTTGCTTCTATTCAGGACAATATCGACAGTCGGCTCACTAGGAAGCTCACTTGGTCCCACAGAGGGTTCGATATCAAAAAAATTGACTATTCGTTTTGGGTCTTCGTTGGCCATATGTACTGCAGCTGCTAGCCACGCTACCTGCGTCGCTCTTTCTGCAGAAACGCTCAAGCCAGATCCTATTTCAACTTTATTTGAAAATATTTGAACCCGGCAGAAATTGCCTTCCTCTTTCACAGAAACAGAGACATCTCCATCCTCCACATAGGATCTCACGAAAAGCTCTGCGTTGAAGACATTTAAAGGATTGGTCAAAGGTTTTGAGGCGGTCGGCTCTGCGTTTTTGGACGTAAAGAATTCTTTAGCCTTCTTATTGAACTCGGCGAAAGCAGTAATTTCCTGCAATCTACTCTGGTCGGTTGGAGCTCTCACGGACACGGAAATTCTTTCCCCTGGTAGCTCCACGTGCAGGATTGACGATGGCCGGTGATGATGACGAGAAATTCTCTCGAGTGTGACCTTCGGTGTGAATCCGTACATACCGCAATAGTTGTATGCCTCCATCAATGAGTTCTCCTGTTCTCTAGCGGTGTCCAAATCTAAGAGCTGGACGTAGTCTCCTGACATCTGAGCAGCTGATCTTGCACTCTTGAGGCCCGATTCCTGGATATCTTCGGAAGCATTTGGATCTATGCCAAAAACCCGTTCCAGCATCCCATCCTCATATAGTTTAGCAATGAGGTGCAAGTATGCAGCTGTTCTGGCACCTTTCTTTATTATATCAATATCCGACCAGCCAGTGTATTCGGAGGAAACTTACCCTGGAAGAGCCAGCTCCCAGTACTTCACATTGCGGGATTGTTGCAAAATTAAAGGAAAGACGACATATCCATTGAGCGCCAATGGACCTTTCATACGCCTCCACCGTCTCGTTAAAACAAGAAGCAGGCACAGAGTTGCCCTTCATCATGACTGGGAAGCTAAGCACCCCGCGATGGAAACACATTCTGAGTTTAGAGGGGGCTTCCTCGAAAGAAGGGAGTTTCATGTTCTGACAAATGTAGGCCTGGTCATATACCACGCGCTCGCCATCCGCTTGCACTTGTGCTGGCAGAGACTTAACCCCTCTGGCCGTCTGCTTCGCTGGTATCAGGCCCTCGATGCGGACACCAGGGGTCTCTGGGGAACCCTCCAGCTGCTGCTGTGAACGTCTCCATCGTATCACGTGACCCCGCGTTGAGCGCCGTACCCTAGCGCGAGAGGCCTGCGATGGTGAGTGAGGCACAGGAGAGGAGGGCATAAGACTTACAATTCTTCGAATCATCCCCTTGGTAATGTAGAGTGATCCAATGAGACGGGATAATGCATTTTCTCAGGATCAGATGGCGGTGGGATGGGCCATGGAAGGGAGGCTGAAGATGCGGCGGAGAAAAAGAGCGGTGGCCTCCTGACTACGGCGGACGTAAAGAACCGGGTGCGACATTTCCCTTCCCAGATCCTATCGAGCCTTTCTGGAGGACTAACTTGCTACTTTGGAGGGGATGTTTGCCAGGGAAATATTCTATTCGAGAAGTCCACTCTTAAAACAGTCAACTTCTCTGCCGCATACGGCTCGCGGAACAAAGACGACGACCCGAGATATTGGCGGGTCCTCTGTTCCCCAGAGTGTTTTCAACCAGGAGCAGTGGAATGCAGCACAGAAATAATCGCGCCATATATCAAAAATTGAGAACGATACTCTCGTCAATCCGAACCAATACATTATCAGCAAACAATTTATTTCATTTCACAAACAATCTATATCGGATTATCGGAATATGCAGGCAACTGCTCCTCATCAACATCCTGCACCGGCGCCTCCTCAATCAATGTTTTCTGCTCCTCCAGTTTAACAACCCACAGGGCTGACCCCGTTGCCGTCGTCAGTAAAAAGAACATGCTTAGGACGGGCACCAGCTGCAACAGCAGCGCGATCGTCCCAAACCAGGTATATTTCCACCTTCTCGTCCGGATCTCTGCGTTCCGTTCCTTCTTGGTTAGACCCCTCAGCTTGAAATATCTCCAATGATGTAAGGGCCCTGCTCGCGCGCCTGTGAGGACCAGAAATGCGGGAGTACCCACGAGGGGGATTAAGTTTAGAGGGAGGAAGAGGATGAATTCGGCAATTTGGCGGAAGGAAAAGGGGCTGTAGACTGCGCTTTCTGTCGGCTTGCCAAGCATCTTTACGGCATTCGGAGCATCTGGGAAAAGGACTCGGGACGGAGAGACGAGGGAGATTAGACCTTCGTTGATAAGAGTTGCCTGTGGGGGTGAACATGCGGTTAGTTACTGTTTGAAGGATAAGGCTTGGAGACGAGTGCAGGGGAGAGATGAAGGGAGAAAGGCGTACATCGAAAACGTTGACTAGAGTTTCGTCAACAAGGAAAGCTTCAAAGAGCATTGCAACCAAGGCCTGTCCTTCCCCGAGGACCAAGAAGGCCGCATTGAACCAAGCCAGATGTCCATGGAAAATGGCGAGAAAGGCGACCTGTGGAAGGTAAGTGAAAGTGAAGAGGAGACCCAGAACCACGATCGAAGTAACGGTTAATGGGATTAGATGTCGGCCGAAGAGAGGGTAGTAGGCGCGGTGGGTGCAGAAATAGTAGATTCCTTTGAATGGGTAGAGCCAGGATGCGCTGACGACGTTCCTGATGGGTCGTAAAGCTGCCACAGCATTGATGCGCGTGTCTGCCATGTTGGAGGAGAGGAGAGAGGGGCGGGGGTAGCTGGGAGAAGTGGGAGAGCTGAGCTGAGAGAGTGGATACAACTCAATGCCTTCCAAATCTTTCCCCAGCTTGGAAGAATTGAGGTTGTTGATGTCTGCGGAGGCAGCAGATGGAAGACTGCGGGTGAGGGGCGGGATGACGCACTTCCTAAATGCCCATGCAGGGGAGGGTCATGTATAGGATGCCTTGATTCCAGGGCACCAAGGCACTGTCTTTTCCTGACCGAGGGATTCAGATATCAAAGCGACAACCATCATCTGCATCCCCGATGAACAAGACACCATCCCTCGTAGTCTCCCGCAAGCTGCCGGTAACTGGATGGAAGAATGGTGAACTATCTTCGAATGCCTGCTCTATGTCAAAACTTTGGCCGACTACCGTCGTCAAACAAAGCATTCCATACATACACCCCAGTGATAATATATCTTCCTTCACAACCTCTGTCAAGATTGACGATTGGAAGCTTGAAATCATAACCTTGTGCTCCGGGAGATAACTGAGCTGTATTACTTGAATACACCGGCCGCACTGATCCTGCTGCGGATGGTCGAGCCTGGCTGTATTCCCAGGAGCCTCAACTTCCATTGCTTCTCCAAGTTTCGCAGCCACATAGCTGGTGATTAGAGCCAAAGCGGCTTTCAAGTTATTCTTCTATTCTTCTGGAACGGTGCCATGAGGCAAGAGGCCACTTGTGCCATTTGCAACCTCTCGTCCTGTGGAAGTGCCATGCTGCAATTCTGGGGGTGGAGCTACATGCTAGGTAGGCAATGTTCTTGTTTGAAATTATGGCATCCGTATCAGGGAGAATGAAGGAGAATATAACGAGAAAGGAAGGGAGAAAGACGGATCTTGTGTCGTCGAGATGATCGAATCCCTAGCCTTGCTGAGAGGAGATAGCTGCCTCTGGGACTCTCAGAGGACACCCCGAGCTTATTCTCTTAGAATGCGTCACTTGCATGGTCTTTTGTGCTTTTATATTATTACCAAGTTGCGAAATTTAGGCATTGCATGGCATGGCAGAGGATAGAGGTGAGTTCACTTCACGTGGCCTCGTCTATTTCCTTGCCCTCCCCTCGCGTCAACAAAGGCAGAGCCTCGTTGGACTTCCTTACATCTTCTTCACCCTCTGTCGACCTTCTTTTCTTCTTCTTTTTCTTCTTGCCCTTTCACCTCTGACCTTCTCGACTTCTCTTCACCCTTTCTTCTCACCTTCAATCCTCGGCCCTGCGTCGACAAACACCCTTGTTTACCAATCCCTTTCCCCACACTCATTTGAGAACCCCAGCCCTTCCTCGGACTTCTAGTACTGCGTACTCGAACTCCATTACACTCTCTAAACTTCCCAATTTTTTCCCTCGCCCTCCCCGAGTCCATCGTTGACAAACACAGACTGAACTCTTCAACATGCATGCCCCAGCCGTGTACGTCCTCGCGGGCGCGCTCGGCTTCACTGCTATTGCAACTGCAGCTCCTGCGCTGCCCTAGTAAGCTTTCTATCCCCATCCTCCATTTTGAGTGATGCTGATCTCCTGAGTTCCAGCACTGCCAGCAGCTGTGCGATCGGTAGTGCCACCACCGTCTTTGTGACTACCTCCAGCGAGCCGACCACGGTCTATGTCACAGTCCCTGCTGGCACCTCCGTTGTCGAGTTGAGCGCGTCTCCAACCTCGACCGTGACCCGTCTCGGGACTGTCTACAGTAGCGCCAGTTACACCCAAGTTGAGACAATCCCGGAGCCATCCGCCGCTATTGGGTCCTCCAATACGGCTGGAGCTGAAGCAACCGGAGCTCAATCATACGAGACCACCATCACCGAGACTGCTCTCTATACGGCCACACAAGCCTATGCTACATCTACTCCATCTGGACCTCCTATTAGCCCCAGCGATGCTGCCAATGAACCTCTCAGCTTCATTGTCGAAGATGGCACCACCATTTGGTTGAATGGTCCAGCCCCTGCTACGACCGAGTCCTATGTGGTTGTTACTAGCGCCGTCACTGTGCTCCCTGTTGCCGCTTCTGTTCCAGAGCATACGAGCACTTTGACTGTTCAAAGCACGATCTATGAGACCCAGCATCTCACTGTCACCGACTTTTTGAATACCGCAGCAAGCACTCCGCCTACGTCGACTTTCATTCCTGCTGGAACTGGTACAATCTTCACAGGAGTAGCACCCGGCGGGTGGAACGCGAGTTCTACAGCCAGTCGCGTCGATGACTATTCGGTCGTAACCCCCTCAACTACCAGCAGCGAGAACGTCATGTTCGCAGCTGATTCCACCTTTGACATCTATGAGACCTCCCATTCCACGATTTCATTATCTGCTATGTCTGCCAAGTCTGGCTTCAACGAACTTACCTACACAGTTTTGAGCCCTGCAACTACCAGCAGCGAGATTACCCTGTTAACAGCTGACTCAACCTTTGACATCTATCAGACCTCTCATTCCACGATTTCATTATCTGTCATGTCTGCCAAGTCCGGCTTCAATGAACTTACATACACAGTTTCAAGCCCTTCAACTTCGATCGCAGGTGGTGACTTAACTACTGCTGCTTCAACCTCTTCTGCAACTTCGACTGGCAATGGTGTGTGGACTACTGCTGTTATCAGTGGCCAGACCGTATCTTGGGGTGGTCCATCTACGCGTGTTGACAGTGCGTCTGTTACATCAAGCACGTCGTCAAAATACCAATCATATGATTCGTCTTCAACTTCTTCAGCTTCTGACCAATCCACCTTTGCGACTTCGCCATCAGTGACTAGCTCTGTTGGGGGAGTTTCAGCTTCATCCTCTGTAGCGACCACCTTTGTGTCTTCGACTACCACGCGCTATTCGACTGGTTATACTCGAATCCCTCCTTTCCACACCGCCAGCTCTACAGTGACGAATGTAACATCTTCTGCTGCCCCGGGTTATTCAACTGGTTCCACTCAAATCCCTCCTTTTCGTACCGCCAGCTCCTCTGTAGTAGTGAACTCACAATCTTCAGCTACCACGGGTTATTTAACTGGTTCTACTCAAATTTCGCCCTTTCATACAGCCAGTTCTTCTGTAGCAGCAAATTTCACATCCTCGACTAGCACTAGCACGGGTTATACAACTGGTTCTACCCAGATTCCCCCCTTTCATACCGCCAGCTCTGTAGGGGTGTATTCAACATCTTCGGCTGACACCGGTTATACGACTAGTCCTACTCAAATTTCCCCCTTTCATACAGCCAGCTCCTCTACAGTCGCAACCTCTGTCCCTTCGACTTTCACCAGCTCACATGTTCTACCTACTTCGACCCCTCTATATTTCAATTCTTCGTCAATCAAGCAGACAGCGACTTCCAGTACCGTGCCAACCTCGACTTCACCTACGGCATCTTCAACCCCAAGCTTGTGTGGAGAATACGGCGATTTTACTCTAAATGCATGTTCCCATCCCGTTTTTCCAGCGCGCTATACTAATCCTCGACAGTTTGATGATATCCCACCCTTGTCAATCAGCAAACAGAGTGCGAATATTGGACCTGAGCCGGTTTTCAACCCTTACCATCAATTTGACTTCTCCGATGGGTTCACCGTCGTACCTCCACCAACCGATCCATACCTTCCATCCTCCCCCCCTCTGTTGCTCGAGTTCATTGCAGACTTTAACGTCAACGGCACCAATCCTCAGGCAGGTCCCGACACGGCCGAGGAAGGTTTCTCTGGACAGATCTCAAATGGCGATCATGCTCTTACTGGCTGTTTCACCTTCAATGCGTACGGTGCTTCTTTTGGGTGCAATTCCACAGGTCCCGACTGCGATTTCACCTTCACTGGCCTCCGCTACAATTCCTCGTCTGGTGAAGAATATTCAGTAACATCCCAGAATTATTCAATCTCGGCTTGCCCGGCTCTTTCGAAGTGCACCCTCATGCTGATTCCCCTTGATAACACATTCGTTGATCTCAACGCCATCCAGATCAACGCTACTGTGGCTGGCGCTCCTGCGATGTGGTGGATGGATGATCTTCGTCTTGGTTGGTTCAACAACAGCTGCACTGCTGGTCTCTGTCGTCAATCTGCCCACATTCATTAGGTTGGCTCGGTACGAGGCGAACTTGACTTATGGTGGACTTGAGTGTTACAGATTTCACCAGACGTTCTTTTCACCACCGGAGCGTCACGGTTCTTCTCATAGGGGGGTTCGCATCTGGATGATTGAGCAAATTTGAATAATTGATCAGTTTGCTATGAAGGGCTCGGAATTCTACGATTGAGATGTGGCTTCTTCATCAGCTCAGTACCATTCCCAGCTAGCTACTTTGCGCTTTGTACGATTATGAAAACAAGAAACTTGTAATACCATTTTGCTATTATAATATGACACACTTCCTCGCATTCGTCCCTCTATACGTAGATAAATTTTCTAACTCCCAGAGAAGAAGGCCACAACCGCATTATCTTATCTCTCCCTGAATGCATGATCAACTCTAATACGTAGGTACCCTAAGGTAATTCATACACGTAGTAGATCTAGCCTAGACCTACATACATCCCTCCCTACCCCTTAATATCCTCTCCCCATTCCTATTCCCCTTCCCTCTTCTTTTCCCTTCCCCTTTTTATATCTAGAGACACATACAATAGATTATCAAGATATGTATAATTATCAGGATATGTATAATTATCAAGATATGTATAATTATCAAGATATGTATAATTATCAAGATATGTATAATTATCAAGATATGTATAATTATCAAGCTGGTACTGAGACGGTTACGGTTACGGTGACAGAGACGCAGACGGAGACGGAGACAATAACGGAGAGGGAGACGACGACGACGACTTTGACGGTTAGAGGGGATTGAAGGGGAGAGGGATGGGGTGGGGTTTAGATTGAAGGTGAAGATGATTGGGTGTCTTTCTTTTGGTGGGGAGGAGGGAAGCTTGGCACGAACAGATTGAAAACCTAGAAGATCAGAATCCGAAACTTGGGAATTTGAGAATTTGGTAATCTATAATTTGAGCTCTATAACTCGGAATCGGAAATCGCAAATTAATAAAAGAAAGAAAGAAATCAATAGTTAATCATCAATCAGCTCGTCTACATACTCTCTCTCTCTCTTCTTTTTCTGTGAGACCTATACATATCTTGATAATTATACATATCTTGATAATTATACATATCTTGATAATTATACATATCTTGATAATTATACATATCTTGATAATTATACATATCTTGATAATTATACATATCTTGATAATTATACATATCCACGTTAGCCGGGGCCGTGACTGGGATTATTGAGATTCCTTGGAAAGAAGAGGAGGAAGAGGAGGGGGAAGAAGATAGGGTTATGAGGTGGGTGGTGGTGGCTGTTATGACGGGGTTGTAGGTTAAGGTTATGGTTTGGGGGGAGGAGGTTGTGGAACTTGTGGTGGGTGGAGAGGAGGAGGGGGATGTAGACGACAGGGGGGCGGGGGGTAATGTGGAGGAGGTGGAGAGGATAAAGGTCGTCGAGGAGCTTCTTATTAAGGGTGAAGATTCGGTTGTTATCTCGGGGATGAGGCGCGAGGATGATGGAGCGGATAGTGGGGTCGAGGTTGTAATTTGTACAGTAGTAGTTGAAATCCCAGTCTCACCAGTCGTAGACCCCGCTCCAGTAGAAGACTCTGTATTGCCCCCCAGGACACTTGCAGCGACCTGCTTATCCGTGCACTCCACCACCACACCACTCGTATCATTCATCGGCATAGCGAAACACGCTGTCCCGGAAGCACAAACATCTATCACGAAACTACCAGCCGAGTTGCAATTCCCGACGTTGCTGGCAATGCAAGCGATAGTTCCGGGGGAGCAGGGGGATGAGAAGTTGAGGGTTGTGAAGAAGGCGTTGTAGGTTTGGGCTTCGGCTAGGTTGGCTGTGTATTGGGAGGGGGTGATGGAGGTTGGTGTTGCGAGGCTGGCGGGGAGGATTGTGGGCGCTGTTGTGACGGTAAAGGAGTCACTGGAGATTGTTGTTGGGGTGCTGGACGGGGATGGTGTTTTGACGAGGGAGGATGTGGTGACTGCTGCGCTTGGAGGTGAGAGTGTCTGAAGACTGGATGTCGGCGCTGAAAGAGTAAATGGTGATACCGCTGGGGGTGAGAGTGGGGCGGCGGCGACTGAAGTTGGAGATGAGACCGTCGGAAGGCCTGATGCTGTCGTGGATGAGAATGTAGTGATCGTTGGTAGTGAGATTGTATTTGTGTTAGAGAGTGTGAATACGGGGACTGGCGAACTGGCCGTATCAGGGATTGAATTCGTATTAGCGAGTGTGAATATTGGAACTGACGAGCTGGTAGTATCAGCGGTACTGCTCGTGTTGCGTGGTATGGATAAGGTGGCGAATGGAGCAGCCGATCCAGGGGGGAAGGAGGAGGTTGTGGTGCCAGACGCCGACGTGAGAGACGAAGTAGAGGAACTAAGTCCAGCTTGAGACGTCCCCCCTGCTACTTGGCTGGCTGCTTTTGAGGTAGTGGAATTGCTATACGGAATTGGTAGTCCACTTATTCGCGGTTGAGCTTGTCCTGTGGACGCAGATGCTGAGAAAGCGCTTGGAGATGATGTGAGCCCTGATAATGTCAAAGGGTTGGTTCCACCACTCAGAGGTGTATTCAGATTCGTGGCAGAGTTCGAACCGAGTATTCCTGTTGATGTTTCAGTCGGAATTGGTGACGGTTGGGGTGACAGAATTGAAGTATCTGAGGTTATTGAAGTAAGAGAGCTTGGAGATTGTGTAGGCCTGAATGCCGTGCCATTATTTCCGACGGCGGATGGCGGTAGAAAGATATTAGAGCTGGATATTGTAGGGCTAGCACTTGGACTCGATACTGTGGCGATGGGAGTAGTTGGACTCTGTGCTGTCGGGGACAGTACACTAGAGCTTGTCGTAGTGGGGGAACCGCTAGAACTTGGTGTGGATTTGAAGTCACCCGAACTCGATTTTGTTGTAATAGAACCATCGAAACTTGACGTCGGAGTAGTGAAGCCGCTTGAACTCGATTCTGTAGCAATAAAACCACTGGGACTCGACGCCGTCAACGTAAGAGCACTTGGACTCGACGTTGAGCTTGATTCTGTAGTGATAGAGTCACCGAAACTTGACGCCGTAGTAGGAATGCCGCTCGAACTCAGCCCGGTCGACGTCGTGGCACTTGAACTCGCTGTTGAACTCTCTTCTGTAGCAACTGGACTACCAGGACTCGCCGTCGTAGACGTAAGAGCGCTCGTCGTAGTAGCAGAACCACCCCCACTCAACACTGTGGAACTAAAACCACTCGAACTTGACACCGTCGTGATTCCCCCAGACCCTTCCGTCCCTTTACTCGAACTCGTCGTTCCCCCCGTCGACGTTGACAAAGTACCCGTCCCTCCTATCTCAACTGTCAAATCGGAAGCTGTTGGATCCGGGACCGGGATTATCGTAACTAGATCCGGCACTACCTGAGTCCTTCTTTCAAGTCTATAATTTTCAGTCAGCGCTGCGAAGTTGAGAATGTGAACCTAGAGCTGTATCTTACAGTCTGTGTACGTCGCCTCTTGGCAGCGGACCAGCCGCGCTTAGAACGGCGAGGATGAGGACCCTGGGGAGGAGGTAAGATATCTTCATTGCTTTTACCCGTTTGATATTATGTTCCGGGATGTGATTCCTGACAAGGAGTGGTGGACTTGAACACGACGGTGGGGTTCCGATCGAAGATGGTAAATGATAGATTGATGGAGAACTTATTTATTAAGACTTGAAGACCTTTCTTCCGATGGGGAAGGATATGAGAAGTTATGTTTAGTTAACGAACGATAAAAGAGCGAGTTGCTTCAATGAAAGAATGATAGAAGGAAGAGGCAGAAGCCAGACCAGAATGCAGATAGATGCAGAAAATAAGTAAATCAGTAGAGAACGATGTCGAAGCCACGAGAACTCCCGGTTCCCTGTATCTTATAAGCACCGCAACATCTCATATCCCCATCCTTTCGAGTCCAGGCCCTGGGGTCCTGAACCCTCGACCGCGAACCTGCCAACTATAGCTTTGTTCTAGACCTGCAATCTATCTCCTCCCGCGCCGAAACACAGTCGCAAGCTGTAGCGCTGGCTACAAAAACACATCAAAGAGAAGCATTGAGGAATGACGAGGCTGTAGAAACCAATCGATGAAGAGTCCCTCGCGAGACTTTGAGACATGAGGTTTGGCGGTTATGGAGGGGCTGTTTGGGGTTGTCGCGGTTGGGAAGCGAGGCGTGTGTTGATTGGTGGAGATGAGCGGGCGTTGTAGACCACATCACCCAGCTCCATCAACAACCTCACCATCATCGATCAGACAGGAGGGGGAGATGAAACACGAGGGATGAAAGTATTTTGAGAGGAAGCAATAAGCGCAGACGCGCGGAAGAGAAGGGTATCCAATAATAACGAGTACCTTATCGCACAGCGTACGGTACGCCCTGGCAACCGGCGACGCGTCTACATCACCTCCGACCCATGATGAATCAACCTGTCCTTTTCCACGTATCTTGACCAATTTCTGCCTTCTTTATAATGCCTACCTTCCTCGAGACTGTGCATTCTCTGTATACCAAGCTCATGCCTTCGTCATTGTCGCGACGCATCTTAATTACATGTCGCGGTGACTATCACCCTCTAGTGATTACCTTAGCTATCTGTACCCGGCTGACCAACACTCTAGGTAAGACGATAGACCCGGATGGGCTTTACAGATATACGAATGGCCGCTTCCTAGTAGATGAAAAGAATCAATGCGACCGCCGCTATGTCAAATTCAATCTCGACAAGCTTTGCGAAATCGCCTCTTCCGCGGGTAGCTCTCGGTGCCTACCTACCTATCAAATTCGCCTGTTATTACCACTCTTTTACTATGATATAACCTCATTCGTTTGACAACAAGAATACCAAATGCATGAAGATATCGATTTATTTGTGCCGTATCATATTTATTTGGTGGGACACCGTCAGCTGTCTTGTTGTTCAAAGAGGTGTTCATTCTCTGTTCCTTTATACACTTCTTCTCGCTTCATCAGTACGTTCGCTACAAGTATACCACAGTCCAACTCTACTCAATCCAAGATCCATCTTCCAGCCCGAACGCCGTACGCTAGATTGCACTGCATTCCCGGGAGAATCCATTCTTAAAGAAGTCATCCTCGACATCTAGATCCCTGTCATCATTCGGATCAACTGCTACCCGCACAGTCCGAAGACATCCTCTTGGGATTGAGCGAGCTGGAAAGTCATCAATAGACAGTTCCCTACTGTTGATCGCAGATCTGCACGTTAGTAAAAGAGTAAGAAGGATATCTAAAGACACGTACATCTTTATCCGAGCTTGGCTTTAGCCTCTTCTGCCATGCCTTCCCACATATCCTTCCCAGCCTGCGGTTGGTCCTCTGCTGGCGTGTTCTGGTCGATAGTCCCCACAGCTAGATTTGCATCAGGCCCATTCTTTTTCAAGTACTCCTTTAAAATCGGGCTGAGATATATATTCTTCATGCTTCCCTTGACCTCGCCCGCATCGAGCCACATCTAGAACTCCTCATCGTTCTTATCCGTCCGGGCTGGAATGATGCGTTTTCCGGGCGTATGGGTTGCAAACAGCTTCTTGTAGTTATCTCCGGAGAGTAGTGCCTTTCCGAAATTAATTCTGATAGTCCTGGGCATATTGCTGAGTTGTGGATGGGAGGATTGAACGTTGGGATTGAATGGTAGGACTGGCAGCGACTGGATAATCGCCGATTGGGAACTTGGACAATCATAGTCGTGGTTTCCTCTGAAAGGTCGCTAATACCACAACAGTAAACCGCGGCCGTTGATTGTCGACAGAATGGCCTGCTCTATCATAGGTAGGTACTCTGGGACGGGACTCATACAGGATGAAGCAGTTCTTGCAGCGCTGGGCATGACCTTCCTCGTGTTGATCCCCGTGTTGTCTACCTAAGGAGCGGACGGAAGCGATGTACACCACACTCCTTCCTTGGTGTTTCCTGGCCAATCAGAAGCACTCAGGAGCTCTCGTCCAATCAAGCACAGCGCCAGATCTTTTGTTGCACATCGCATCGCGAATCTGCGTCGCCCTGCCGGATACTCCCGCGTGTCCTGGATAGCCGATGTCATTAGGTAAGTTCCCGTGACATTGGGGGTTTTGTTGCACATCGCAATCTGAGGGCGTACCTTCTAGGCGAAACGAGGTTTGTGCCCACCGTCTAGGTACCATCAGTAGACTATATTAGTAATATAACTATTAGTAGATGCTTTAAATTAAGATTAATTATGTAACGACCGTCCTTCTAGCTTAATTATCAATACATTTTAACCGTCTACTTTTTTTAACCGTCTATAGCTACAAAACCGTCTACAGACTATCTAGTTCTCTAACTGTTACGTATTCTGTAGATAGTTAATTAGAAATAACTATGTATTTAAAATTAAATCTGCTTACTACTATTAAAGACTAATAGATAATTAAAAGACAATCTAGATGTTAGTATATAGTCCTCTTATATATATTATCCTAATATATTAAACTATCTCCTTAGGTAAGACAATAGAAGGCAAGCTAGTAGGTAAGTACAGCTAGTCTTGTTACATTTATTTATATAGACATAGCTACTACCTATAATAGAAAAAAATGTTACTAAGGTAGTTAAAACCTACTAGGTAAGGTACCTTAGGTTACTAAGCACATGTCTCTAGTATTATATAGGTAGATAAGTACTTGTATAGTCGTGTTAGTATCTAGATTATATAGAAATAAAGTAATAGTATAAAGTATACTAGACAGAAATGTAGTAACAGTATAAAGTACACTATATACTCCTTAATTTAATATAATACAACTCTATAAACTCTCCTACTAAATATAACTACTAACTCTAGATATACTTGTCTAAAACTCTATAGTATAATACGCCTAGAGCTCTATAATATACAAATATACACTAAGTAAAGAATATAAATAAGAAATACTATTTATAAATGTAACTACTAGACCTATAAGAAATCACTTGTACTATCTTAAGTAAGTATAGTTGTATCTTATATCTCTACCTTATCGTTAAGTAGTATGTTCTTAAGAATATAAAAGCAATCACCTTCTTTTAGTAAACCCTTTTAGGGTCGGATTATCGCTTGTTACTTTAGAAGTCTACTAGAGAGTTTATAGAAATGTTGTCGTACAATATAGTTAAACTTGTCTATACTTATAACTAACTCTTTATAAAAGTCTAACAACTCTTCTTTTAAATTCTTAATAGTATCTTAGACTGTCTATACCTCTTAGTTAAGATATAGATGTATTCTTGTATAGAAAATAGTATATAACTGTCTATAGTACTATTTACTACGTTCCTTTAAGTAGTTATAGTTAAAGTAAGGCGTAATAAAGTAAAAGACCTTACTAAAACTTTCTTTTAAGAACTTCTTTAAATACTATTTAGTAAGACCTTAAGATGTCTTAAGACCTTCTAATTTACGTATACTATTATTTGTTTAATCTAGATCTTATAGTAGGCGTACATGTCTCTAGTTATAGTTAGAATAATAATATTAATACATAATTATTTACTTACCTTAAATACTAATATTATTTTGTTTTAAAAATAACAGATATTTTTAAGTATACGTATACGTAGATATTAATATTTTAGGTCTTAAGATAGTATACCTAGTAGTAGATTTTAGTATAACTTATTAGTAAAAGTATTAGTAAAAAGAAGAAAATACTCTTAGGTAGATTCTTAGTTAGCCTTATAAACTAGTAGTTCTTAGTTATTAATTATGTCTTTATTATCTAGAAAAGTATCCTCTATCTCTTTAATTTGTCTTGTCTTTTATACTTTCTTTTTAGATATATGTATACGTTTTAGAGGATTAACATAAAGTTAGTAGAACTATTCTTTATGTTTAGTAGCTAATTCTTCTAGTATTAGTAATAATAAATCGTAGCGATCTGTACTAGTACTTAAGGTTATAGTCTATATAGTCTATCTTACTATTAGTAGTAATACCTAGAGGGTATATTAGAAAGTAACTTACCTTATTACTAACAAACAGCTATACTAATGTTATGTCTTTTATCGTTATAGTAGAAAGGGTTGATATATCGCGATAGAGATTCTTCTTAATTACATTACGCGCTATACTAATTGTCTCTACCTCTTTATAAGCCTGCCTTTAAGCCTTACTACTTATAACGATTATCTGTATACGCGTATTATACTATCTATATAAGTAGTTAAGAATCTTAGAATTAGTGTTAATATAAGTAGGTAGGTATAAGTAAGTCCTAGGAAATTCCCTATAATTATTATTACGTTAGCTAAGTTCGCGTAGATTAGTAAAGGCAGAACGCGCGGGGTAGACTAACGCGTTACCTTAACACTACCTTAAGCTTTATAATCCTTGTCTATAAGTAATAAAAAAGTAAGAAGTATAAGTAAGTTTTATTTTTATTATTCTTATTATTTTAATTATAATAGTACTAGTATTTCTAGGTATATACTTAAAACTCGTGTCTATATACTTTAAAAAATAGTATAGAACATCTACTAATAGTACGTGTATATAAGGCTAGTATTAACCTTTGTCTATATAGTAGTACTAGAAAGGTATTCTTTTTTTATAACTATCTTATATAAGTACGCTTTTTTTTCTTATATATATAATATTATTTTGTACTAAGTAGTCTAAATTTAGTTAGACTATTAGACATAGTAACTTCTAGCCTATAGTTAAGAAATAAGGATATAGATTATAGCTTAGATCTTGTTATACATTATAAGTAAGGACTTCTTAATTTTACTAAGATATCTAAGTAAATATAAGATTAGGAAATATAACAAATTTCTTAAGGTACTATAAGTATAGCTTATATACTGTTTCTATAATCTAAGAGCCGGTTCTAACTATTACATTACTTTTAGGAAATTTTTAAATTAAAAATTAGTCTAAAATTATTTATTAAGTATCTAGTATAATTTTTTATTACTATATTATAGTGATTTCCTTAGCTTACTAATTTTACTATCTTAGGCTATACTTAGTTTTCTACCTTTTTTAATTTTAAAGACTTGTTAATAATCTCTTACTACTATTCTTAATTTATATACCTTAAGTATTAATCTATATAGACTATACATACTATATTATTTACTATAGCTAAAAAACGTTACTGTCTAAGACCTAAGGCTATTAGTAATAAGCTTATAGCCTTAAGTCGTCTTCTAACATCTTATTCTTTAAATTTAAGATACATAACTTTTTAGACAGTTATTAATACCTTTAATAATAGTACTAATAATAATAATAATAATAATAGTATAGATATAAGTAGCTATATAGGCTATAATAACGACAATAACTAAGTAACTAATTTAAAGGATCTTATAGTACGTTTTATTTATATTAATACACTATAACCTAGTTACTAATACATAAAAACAGAACACTTCTAATGTTATAGAGCTACTCTTAGAGTAAGTTAAGACAGGCTATAAAGACATTCCTTTCTTATCTATTAAAGACTAGGGTATACAGATATCTAAAGAAGAACTAGTTAAAATCAAGTAAGTACAAGTAATAAAAGACCTTAAGTTTATAGATATAGTATCTTTAGAGTCTAGCACAGGCCTTAGAGATATATTAATACCTAGTCTTACTAATTAGAAACAAATGCTGCCCTTACTACTTGTTTTACTAAGATTCTTGTCTAATATAGCTTTACCTAACGATTTAGAACTTATTCTTTATAAACAAGAGTTTAGACTAATAAAGGATTTTGTCTTTACGTTAAGTCTATAGTATATACATTCTAATATTATATAGTAATAGTACTCTTCTTTACTTAAGGTATTACATGTCTTAAAGGATACTAGAGATGTACAAAGACTACTAAAGGACATTACTACTCTAAAGAGGACAACTACTACTTAACTACTCTTACTTTTATAAAAGAGGCGTTAAGTTCCCTTAATTCTAGAAAAACTTCTAACCTTAGTAGTATTATTAAAACTTAATAGTATTAATTCTTCTCTAATAGTATAGGTATATTAGTTTAATCTTATTAGCCTTGTTTATACTATTCTTTTAGCTCCTTTTATAGTTAAGAAGATACATTTTAGAATAGTAGAATTTATAAACAAACTAATAGAATTCTATTATTCTATAAGCTAGGCTTTATCTATCTAGTCTACTTCTAGGTAATATATATACTACCTTAACTCGATACTAGTCTTTCTGTCTAATTTTATTTAATATACATGTCGCCTGTCTAGTTATATATGTAATAGGACTATAACTTATAAAGGTCGTGTTTAGTATATTAGTAGAGACAAGAGATCTAAGGTAATAAAGGACAATACTATAACTCTACTTGTTTAGTTTATTATAACAGAAAGTTAGTGTTAGGTGTATTTCTATAAAGTAGTAGAGGTAAGAGTTAATAGATAGTCGTAGTATATTTAAAGGTATATTACTACTTTAACTATAGACTAATCTTTAAACCTCTCTTCTTTTCTTTTCTTACCTTTTATTCTTATACTCCTTAATACCTACTATTAC